TATACCCATATAGCGTCAACATCGACATGTCGTCGAAGCATCGCAACCCATCGTTCTACATTGTGCTGACTTCGGCCGAGGACCAGCAGAGAGTGTAAGACCTGTCGGGAATGCCCGAGTTTCGTTGCCTGATCCGGAGGAAGCTGATGGTTATTCAGCTGCCTCGGACAGCTTTGCGATACTGCTAAGCGAGCCCTAGAATCATTCTTACGGAGGTGTGCCGACCGGCAAGGCAATTTGAAATTGCCAGTTGTGCCAGCCGCCGTATCGTGTTCAATCCAGCCCTTACGTTTCCAAAAAGAGTATGTCGCTTAACGCTTTGGGACTCTTACATAATGCATATACAATAATGGTAGTATTTTCCCATCTATGATCCAACCTTGCCCGGCGCTCTAGGATTGCTGGATATGAACACGATACGTGCGGATGGTTTAGGAGCCTGGCGACGCACTACCGCCACAGGTGTCATCTGGTGACCTGCACTCTCCTGCACCACACGACCGTCAAATCTTACGTACTTTCTACGTACTCTTTGCGTCGACCATGAACCCCAAAATCGAATATGTCCTCTTCGACATGGACGGTGCGGTCTCTCCTTGGGAGATCGCGCTATTCCCCCACCCGCCTGAACGCACACCGCAGGCTTATTGATCGACTCCGAGCGCGTTTACACCGATGTCACCAGTGCGTGTCAACACGGCCTTGCTCCCGTTGCGCTGACAAAACATACTTTCACTCTTGTCAGACAATATTCTCGCTAAGTATGGCAAAACCATGACTTGGGACATCAAGGCCGGGCTCATGGGCAAGCCAGAGAAGGAGGCCGCCGCTCATCTACTCTCCTTCTTCCCGGACATCTCGCTCACGATCGAGGAGTACCTCGTCGAGCGCGATCGCCAGCAGGACCTGCTCTGGCCGACGGTGCAGCCGCTTCCTGGCGTCGTCAAGCTCGTCAAGCACCTGCACAAGCACGGGATTCCGATCGCGGTCGCGACCGGCTCGAGGCGGCGGAACATGGTCATGAAGACGTCGCATCTCATGGACGCGTTCTTTGGCTGTTTTGGAGAGAGAACGTTGTGTGCGGATGATGGCAAGATCGCGCCGGGGAGGGGGAAGCCGCATCCGGACATATTCTTGGCGTGCGCGAAAGACATCTTGGGGCGTCCCGTCGGCGAGGTCGACCAGGAGAACCTGGCAGCGTGCACAGAGGAGCAAAGAGAGGAACGCGCGAAGGGTCTCGTCTTTGAGGATGCGATCCCTGGCATGCAAGCAGCAAAAAGAGCTGGTATGAAGGTACGTACACTCCGAGCAATTGATCGATCTGTCATAATGATGAGTACCTCGCGTAGGTTGTCTGGGTGCCCGATGCGAATCTGCTTGGCGTCGACTATCAGGGTGTCGAGAAAGCAGATCAAGTCCTCAAGTCACTCGAAGAGTTCAAGCCAGATGACTGGGGACTACCGCCGTACGACTCGTGATCATAGACACTCACCCGCGTCGTTTATAATACACGATAAAGCACATAAAGAAAGTGTAACCCTCAAATGCCCGTAACTTTTATTCCCGCGCTTTCCAGCAGGGGTTTGAGCTTTCCCTGAGCGTGCAGAGCATGGATGTCATCTGAGCCGCCTATCGAATTACCTTTGAGTACGACATTGGGTACGGTGCGCCGGCCGGTTAACCGGCCGAGTATCGTCTGGATGGTCGTCCCATCCCCTGGCAAACGTCAAAGGTCAGCATTGGCCAGAATGGATGTGGACGAAGGGGCTAACCTCGCAGGTCTACTTCGACAACTTTCGGGGGCGGTACCAGCTTGTACGATTCGAGAAGAGCTTTGCCACGTTTTGAGAACCTGCGGCGATGTCAGCGGACGGCAAGTACGGCGTTGCTCGACCTCACGGGCAGTACGTCTGATTGCATGCGATTAATCAATAGGCGACATGTGCACGAGAAGGATATTTGCACACCTTGCTGAACACCACGAGAGGATACTGATCATTCAGCGTCTTGACGCTCGGTGTCCACGCGTCGTCGTACAAGCTCAGCTCCAACACCTGGTTGCCGACCACTGCCGACAACTCCTTGCTCGTCGATGTCACCATATGCAACAGTCCGTGTATCTCCTGCGGCTTGTCCCCCGCGACACTTGCTTTTGACACGCGAATTTCGGAGTTCAGGTGCTCGGGCAACGACCAGAAAGCGGACGACGGCGGACCTTTGAAGTAGAAGAAGGTAGCTAGGCCGACAGCTGCGAGGAGCAGGAGCAACCTGCTGCGACGTATGGGCGAACTTTCCATGGCTTTGAGATGGTCACGGTGGAGGGAACTGACAAGCAGAACGCGAGGACCGTCGTTGTCCGTGGTGTGCCAAATTTAGGACAGGAGACACGTGGGGAGTACGGAGCGCGTGCCTTCTCGTCTCGGTGTTGCCCTTGAATTGCAATCTGTTCCTTCAACGTTGCCTCCGATTAATAATCAGTACAGAAGCTCGCCAACTTGAACTCGTCAAATCTCCGGTACTTTTTTGTTCGCGGGAACCAGGCCCAGGTGGCTGGTCGATGCTTACTGCTGGATTCGCAAGGACCGAGTTCCATGCTACATATACGACTTAGTTCGTCTGGTCGGTGAGAGTCAATCCAAGACAAGGCACGCTCAGGCCGACTAATCTCATGACTTGTAGCGTGCTGATGAACGGATTTCTCTCTCGTATGATCCCTGAAAGTGGCCCATTGGTCGATCGGATCCCTGCCGAGAATATCACTGCCTGAATATGAATCGAGTGTTGAGACAATGCAATCGGATACAGAAGTCCCCAGCGGGTGTCCGAGTATGACACACTGGTGCCATCTCTCGATGGCAGGTTCGCGAACTCAAAAAAGCTACAACATGCGCAAAATCGTGTTCTGAGGCTGAACTCGGTTGTCCATATCAAGGCCTTGCGTGCCAACATTATCCATTGGTCAAATGAAGTGAGTACTATATAGAATTGAAGTGATGCGTTATGCTTCATTGCCTTTATGATGCCCGTCATCCCAGGGTCTACAGCCTATTTCGCCGAGCATATCGGATCTCTCTTTGTTCTAAAGACACGAATATTTGCGCCAACGCCGGAATGGTCAACTATGGTGGATTCGGGCACCCATCGGTCGTGCTAGGAGTCTCATTTCAACATCGTCGGCGCGGAGGTAGGCCAGTGTCTTACACGGGGGATATAGATGCCGTCACTACTGCAGGATTACAGTCTGGAGTGTCGGTAGTACCGGCTGGTATGGCGAAGGCCGCAAGGGAGCACGAGCTCCTATTTTTGTTGTCAAGTGAGCTTCAGTTTGCTTGTGAAGATGGCCTCCTGTAACTCACACAACGATGATGGAGAAAATAATAGCTGCGACGGGTTTGACTTGTACGTTCTTCATTGTCGACGGCAAATACTGACGACGGTATGCTGGTCGGAAGAGGCGAGTTGTGCTGATGAACCAAGTCGCCTGCGACGCTCGTCTTTATACGTCGTTCCAAGTACCCTTCTCTGCTCTCGGATCCGAATGCCTCGAGATACGTTACTGGCACAACGGACTTACATCAGAACGATATTGTCCCGGTCACTGCCAATTGCAGGCAGCGCCGTGATGTACAGCCATGAATTTACCTCGCGCAAATATCGCACCTCTAGCATCCCATCTTCAGGCATTTTCGCCTCTATTGACCTCTGTGCTGGGCAGATCATTTCAACGTTCGAACTCTGGTTTGGCATGCCCGTGAAATCCGACACCTATTCATTTTGAGAGCGTGCTTCCGGTGCGCGGGACTCATTACTTGGGTGCTACTCTACAGTGGACCGAGCGAAGTCATGGTGTACAACATTCACAGCAGTCTTTCGTTAGAGTTCAGGCAGTGCGCCCACACCTTAATACCTACTCTAAGTCCGGTAGTTGGCGTGTGAATGAGGCACTTACAATGGGAGTGCCGTTAGTTCCACACCATCGTGGGGACCATAGGATTATTGGCTTGTCTATTGGGCGAAGGAGAGCTGCTATGTTAGGACCGGGGCCGAGGTTCGAAGCCTCGAGTGCTTTTGATACTCCTGCCTCTGATATGTTCCCGCCCACTCATGGCATTCCGGTTTTCAGCACGATTCGTATACGTGACAATTAAGTCTAGATAACGATGTCTCGAAGGCAATCTGTACTTATCTTCGGTCTTGAATCTACTCTTTGCCCAAGATATCGACGACATTGGACTAAGTAGTGCTAGCGTGCGAAAACATTATGAACACGGTCAGTGTCGCTGTGACCCTGAAATCACTGCACACTGCGCTTTCCCTCGGACTTAGTCTTTACGTCCTCGTCACTTCCTTTCCGCCGTGTTAAACCTTTCAGCTCTCCTGCTCTCTCAGGATGGTACAGCTTCCTTGTATTTCTGTGCCTCCCGTAAACTATTCATGCACAACGGCCCAACTGTCCGCCTTCCGCCCGGGCGCGTCCGATGAGATCTACTTGAATGGACTGATGGCACCCAGGCTTGTCTGAATACCATCGATCAGCAGGTGTTTCAGTCCGTCCCTGCCATCTCGCTCCGCGCAGCGCTGTTGGTCAACATGCGAAACAAAACCCATGCACGTCGAAATAAGCCCATTCGCCCGTCCCCGCCACGCAAGTAAAACCAGGCTATCCCTCATCCGATTCTGATGGGGGACGAAATCGCGCTGCTTCGGCCCCGTCGCCGCCCTTGTTCTCCAATTCATGCGGAAAGCCAAGTGTGAGACTCAAATCTGCATTCAACCGTGCTCGGTGCGTGAAGGTCGGAGCGTCCTTTGGCCGGATCTGGGTCAGGCCAGGTCGAATGCGCGTTCGATGGTGGTCTTCCGTGTGCTCCATAGCTTTGACGCACGGTCTTGTTCAGAGACGCGGCGGCGGAGGCGGATTGAGTCGATCCGCCGCATTCAGGCACATGTTCTCAGAGGGTTCTCACTCCCGCCAGTCTCCCGTCGAACGCCGCATAACCTCGGACACATATCTGGCTTCCATCTGCTCTTCCGCATGGATCTCAGCAGATATTCACATAGGTGCCGACAGGATGCGTCAAGAGAGGGCAAGAGATTACGGGTTCTCGCCACCGCCCAAGTCTAATGCAGGAACACAAACCTCCTTCATGCGTTTGTTTTCCCAGAATGTCATTCGTCGATCATCAAATACCCACGCACTGAAGCTCAAGCGCCCCTGCTCGTACGCTCATCCGACCCGGCCTGGTCTTCTGCAAGCCAATAACATGCTGGCTACATCGAGTGGACCCGATTCGTGCCGCCGGCGTTCACCCTGCATTCAAGGCACCTCCCCGTCCACTCTCAGGATTGTATGCCCACCCGGACACCAGCCGATGCCGCTCCCCTCTTCTCCTCTTCTTCTCCGCCCTTCCGCTCCCATCGACCACGGCTCTCCATCTAGGCTGTCACCGTGCCAGGCACATCTCTCGGAATCATATCGCTGCTGCTCACGTTATGGTTGACCTCTCGTTCCTCGACGAGCGAAGTTCACGCATTTCCCGCGGTTTCTGGTGCGTTTCGCGTCTTCACGAGTATAAAACATTGGAGGCGAGTACTCACTAGTCCTCAGCAGCCCAGGCAGCTCTCGGATCCAGCAGTCTTTGAACGCCTTCACCCCCTGCCCCTCATCCCCTTTCACCCCCTCCACCTCCATCCACCACTCTACGACATGGGATTCCGCCGCTCCGCCATGGCGCTCGTCGCCGTCGCGCTCGCGCTCGCCGTGACGTTCTCCGGCTCGTTCGGGAGCGCGAGCGCCGTCACCAACCTCGCCAAGCGCGGCTTCTTCCCGATCCCGATCATCTTCCCGCTCTTCTGGCCGTTCGTGCAGCACCAGGTCCCCATCGCGTGCTACCACCACCCGCACCCGAAGCAGCCCTTCAATCCATCCTCCACCAGCGGCTCGGCGACGTCCTCGAGCTCCGGGCCCCTGCCCACGTCCTCCCCCGCGCCCTGCGTCTGCCCTAAGGACAACAACCGGGACAGCGGGGTGCTGATCAACGTCTTCCCCGGGTACCAGTGCGCGTACCCTACCGGCGCCTGCACCTGGTCCGACACCGTACGTCGCGTCCTCCCTCTTGTCTTCTTCTCGCAATCTCGCTAACGACTCCATCTCTCCCCCCCCTCGCAGACCGGGCAGCTCCAGAACACGGATCAGACCAACTGCCCCGCCGACGCGCCGTGCCCCGCATCGGGCTGCGTCTGCCCCGCGGACAACAACGGCGACAAGGGCGTGCTCATCAACAACTTCTCCGGATACCAGTGCGCGTACCCGAACGGCGCCTGCACCTGGGACTTTGTGAGTCAACGCATCGCTACTCACCTCCGCACAACACTGGACTCACCCCGCCGTCGTGTGCTCACACAGGACGGAAACCTGCAGAATACGATGCAGACCAACTGCCCCTCGCACGAGGTGTGCGTCCCGCCTTCTTCCTGAATGGATGGGGCCGATCACCCAACCGCGTACATACACCCACGTACGCAGTGGGAGATGACGATCTCGGACAACTTTCTTTTGGGACGGAGTTCTGGCTTTGATCCGCTCCGATGTTTTCGGCCTCCACCCGTTCTTGACTTAGGTTGGGTCCCGTGCGTGTTTTATCACATACTTATATACTGGAAATTTTTGCGATGGTTTTTTGTTATTGCTAGCAGTAGATGATGATACAGCCGGTAGAGAATGACACTTGATTACAACACATAGTACATGAGGGTGATGTGAATGGTAAAGGTCGTGACAACAAGCGCAGAACGTAGCAAAGAACGGTCCAGGACCGTGGAAGGACGTCATGTTTGTGACCGTTTAACAGGCGAACCCGTCGTTTATTGCGTAACCGCATCGACGACATTTAACACGGCGGTCGAGGAGGCACAGACCGACGCCCAGAGGGAACCAGAACACGGCAGCGAGAATACCTGAATAGCATAAATAGTACGGCGATCAGCTTCGGTATGCCGCAAATGACCAAATGCAGCCTGACGCTGCCAAACCGAAAAAAAGCATGGGAGGATGACTCACCGAGCAGCCCGTAATGCGTCTCCGGGACGTGCGTGCCCTCCTGCAGGCACCGCATGTGCGGATGGTCCGGCGGTAAGAGGGAGGCGATATGCTCGCCCGTCACGGGATTCACGTAATGGTGCACGGTGGTGGGCGGAGCAAAGGTCGGAGGAGGGGACATAGACGGCGTTGGCATTGACGTCGCGCTCTTTGTGTCTTTCAGCTCCGGCTGCGCGTGCGGCGGAGGTCCAGCAGGAGGTGCATATGCCAGTGGGCGCGAAGGTCCAGCTGTAGACAAGGGCGGGTCAGCATGGAGAGTGGAATGTGATGTCCGTCGGACTCACGGGCTGCGGCGTCGTACGTAGCCATATCGTAGGACGGCGGGTTCTCCGGAGGCTGAACAGAGACTGCTTTCGAGTCGTTGGCAGACTATTTGGGTCATGACGAAAGTCAATTTCTGAGGTCACACGACCATATAGCGGCGGATCTGCAATAGCACTCACCATCGGCTGAAGATGGTTCGGGGCCATGATAAGCGTCGCGGTCGTGAAAGTGCTCAAGACGGGGAGCGAGCTTGGTGGTGGTGGTGTTGAGTCAAAAGGCAAAGGGCGGGACCGGAAGGGCTCGAACGCTCGGCATGCTGCCGCTGCAAGGGCGGATTATAAAGAGGCGGGGCGCTGCGCCGTAAGCAGCGCCGCACAGCGCTCCGCAGGCCCTCTTCGCGGCCCCGCCACGTGTCTACCGGGTCGATGCGTCATGCGGGATGACATGGGCTGTGCTATAAATACCGTATTCTGGGATGGCTTATCGTACGTATTTTTGGTTTCAGCATATACACGGGGAAAGTGGATGGTGCGAGGACTCGCTGCGTACGACTGCGTAAAGCGCTCGAAAACAATGTACTTATTTGTCAGAGACATCAGTCAGCTCGTGGCGTCTGGATAGCTCGACAACCACGAATCGAACGAGTTCTGACGCCCAAAGCAGGACCCGACGGCTCTCCGATGTGCAAGCGAGGAAGGGCAGACTACAATTTAAGGAGTTAAGAGATGAGTTAAACGATGAATCAGAAGCCCTCAGAAGCAATCCCAGTCGACAAGACTTCGCTGCGTCACGTTTTAGTTTCGATAATCTGAACGGAAGTAGCGCATTTATCGTTGCACAGGATCCGCAGAAGCCAGATCCGCATATCCACTTGAACGGAACAACAGTCGTTCAATGACATCGCGTTATGCTTCATTTGCGCAACGATATGATGAGGGAAGGTTACAACAGACAACAATTTCGGACCGTCACAGCAAGCGCATAGCAAGCCGAGGGTAAGATCCTTCGGTAACATACCACCAGACGAACGCGTCGTGATCTCGCACCAATAATTGCACCACGAGTTTGAAACATCTCCAAAGCCCAAGACTGTTTTCTGCAACGTTTAGTCGTCTTTCATATCGGCGTCGCCGGCGACGAAGGAGTCCTCGGCCTCGTCGTCGTCGTCGCCCTTCGCGATGCCGGCCTTGGCTAGCGCCTCTTCCGACGTGTAGTCGACGCGCGCGCCACGCGTCCGGCGGGGGAGGATGGCGGACGGGTCGATCGCGCCCAGGTCTTCCTCCTGTATATGCGCATACAGTGAGCATACGTCCGCCGATCGTGAATGTGCAGCGGAGATTGCGTCGATATACGCGCATATAGCGCGTAGAAAAGACGCGGAGGTGTCGATGTTTCAGAGATATGTATGAACGCGAACACGAACCTCTTCTTCTTCCTCGTCGGTGACCTCTTCGTACTCCTCTTCTTCTTCGTCGTCTTCGTCGTCCATCGACGTGTCTTCCTGTGCGACCTTCTCTTTGCCTTTACCCGAGGGCGACGCCTTGCTCACCGGTTTGGTGGTCGCAGTCGCGTTCCTGAACCGCCAGAGGGCATATAATCAGCTTCGTCCGCGCTACTAGGCGAGTCAGCACGTACGATGCGGCGCTCGGGTCCGTTACGGAAGAAGACATGGTACAAAAACCGCGGAGGGGCGGGCGGCGAATAAAGTAAGGTGGTGGTTGGGGTGAAAGAGCGAGACCGCGCACGTGCGCGTTCGCGGGGAGGCTCGATCTCTGGCGGAGCGAGGGCCACGCGACGAAAAAAACCTGCAGGGCTCTTTTGATCCGTCTTTCAAGCTTTTCGTCCGTCCTTGAAGTCGCTCTCCTCCTCTTTTCCCCCGCTCTCGCTTGTCCCTCTTTTCACCCCGTCGGTCGCGCACGCAAGAGATATGTCTGAGCCCGGCACATCGTCCGAGGGTCAGGTCGCCCTCGAGGGCATGACTTCGAAAGACTAGTTCAGTGCGATCCATCTTTTCTACTTTGATCACCCGACCGACCACAGTCCGTTCCTCCTCCGGCTTGCCACGAATCAGCTATGCGGACTCTTACGCACACTTCGGTATGTGTTTCAGCGCCATCGTCATCGCCGCGCCGAAACATCAATTGATTCTCGGGCGCTGTTTCTTTTCTTGTTCGCCGATGGAATCGTAGGAATCCACGAAGAGATGCTGAAGGATAACGTCCGGACGGGCTCGTACCGCTCTGCGATCGTGAACAATAGCCATTTGTTCCAAGGCAAGACCGTGCTCGACGTCGGATGCGGGACCGGTATCTTGAGCATGTTCGCGGCCAAGGCCGGGGCGAAGCACGTCGTCGGCGTACGTTTTTCTTTCCCCACCTCCTCTATAAAGTGAAATTTCTGAAAATATGTCTCAATGGATTAGATCGATATGTCCAACATCATCGACCAAGCGCAGAAAATCATCGACGCCAACGGGTTCACGGACAGTACGTTCGGATCCTATACTGCGTGCGCAGTTCCTTCCCTTGCTCACCTTTTGCCTCGTCCGTGCACGCAACAGCCATCACGCTGATCAAAGGCAAGCTTGAGGAAGCCGAGCTCCCGATCAAAGAGTTCGACATCATCATCTCCGAATGGATGGGCTACTTCCTCCTGTACGAGTCCATGCTCGACACCGTCCTCGTCGCGCGCGACAAGTACCTCAAGCCGGACGGGCTCATCTTCCCCGACAACGCGACGATGTACATGGCCGCGATCGAGGACCAGGATTACAAGGAGGAGAAGATCAACTGTGCGTATTGTTTTATTTTCCCCTCGCGCGTTCGGGGACAAGGGACGGGGTGCTGATGGATACGAGGGTAGTCTGGGATAATGTGTACGGGTTCGACTACTCGTGCATCAAGGAGATCGCGCTCCGCGAACCGTTGGTCGACACCGTCGAGCTCAAGTCGGTCGTCACCGACCCTTGGCGGATCAAGGTGCGCCCTCCTCTGTCATATTCATCCTCTATCCGTCCCTGATACATTACGTGGTCCATGTAGCACATCGATCTCCGGACGGTGAAGAAGGAAGACCTTTCGTTTTCGGCACCGTTCAAGCTGAAGGCGACTAGGAACGATTGTACGTGTTCCCACGAGGGTGTTCGGGGCGCGCCGCTGATGGACGATGCTTAGACGTTCACGCTTTCCTCGCGTGGTTCGACATCTCATTCGAATGTACACATACGAAGGTTTCCTTCTCTACTGGCCCGCACGCCCATTATACGCACTGGAAGTGAGTCATAACAGCCTTGCGATCCCCATTTCCCTTGATGACCCGCCATTCATCCCCTTCTCCCACAGACAGACGGTGTTCTACACCCCGGAAACGATCAAGGTCAACCAGGGCGAGTCGATCGTCGGCACGCTCACCTGCGCGCCGAACGCGCGCAACAATCGCGACCTCGACATCACGATAACGTACAAGACCGAGTCCGGGAGCGCGCCCGAGACTACGTTCTCATATAAAATGTGCGTCTGTCCTTTCTCTCCTTCCCCCACCTCCCCACGGAGTGCACCTGTACCACGTGGCTGTCACCTGTGCCACGTGGCTGTCACCTCCGTCCTTCCGCCCTCTTCGCATCGGATCATCAGAGCGTGCGCTGACCGTGAGTCAGGTCCTAATTGTAACACAAACCTATCACCGCGGACTCTTTGCTGTATTACGCACGATACGATCTCCCCGCCCCACGGCTGCCACACGCAACAACAACCCATACAATACGGCTTCCAGGTATTGATATTATCCACCGCACCCAAACCAATCTTGCATCCGGCACCAACTCTCCTCGATGCCATAAATACCAACCTGCTAGAAAGATGCCTTCTTGTATTGTTCACAATCGTCACTTGTGCAGCACCCATCGCTGCAAATTGCGCTCCACCTGCCGCGCCTTCGTGCTGCTATGAATGTTTTTCACTGTCACTGTCAGCGCCATTACGCGACGGCCGGTATCCTCGTGCCGGTCACTGCCACTTAGATCCCGAATGCTCCGATGGTCGCGAAACGTCCGATGAACCGTGAACGAGATCATGATGCTCTTCTAACTCCCGTTGATACCGCGCCTTTGAGCTTCCCCGTTACATACCCCGTCTCTCATGCGTCGTACGACCCGCCTGAAGCTGCATTGAACTCGCCCCCAGTCAATCTGCCACTCGTTCTGACCCTTATTAGTTCTCATTCGATCAAATCAGGCAGTCCTCTCACCACTCACGTCGTAGACCATACATAATATGTTCCATGCAACTTATCCTTTACCGCACGCCCTGCGGCCGACCCATCCCCGGAGGCAGATCTCCTGGTTCCGGCCGAGGCATTGCTCACACTTCCAGTCTGCGCCGGGCGACGTCCTGCTCGAGATCGCGACCCACGTCGAGTCGCTCGCCGACCTCTGCGCGCTCGCCTTGACCGTTAGTATTACCGAACTATTATCTCCCCTCCAGATCCGCTACCTGTTCGAGTCCATCGCCATGTCTAATCGCGACGATGATATAGTGCTCCCGCGTCAACGCGTTCGTCTCCCAGGCGTTGTACCGCGATGTGGTCCTCAACACGTACGAGCAGTGCGTGGAGACGCTCCGGATGCTCTCCCGCAAGCCGCTCAGCGTCGCACGCCACGTTCGCTCGCTCGAGGTCCACCCGCACGGCCGGAGCGCGAAATACGTCTACCACCACGCGCACAACGTCGCCGCCGCGCTCGAGCACCTCGTGCGCCGGCTGGACGCGCTCCAGTCGTTCGTATGGGAGGCTGAGGAGGGCCCGCCATCTCAGAGCCTGTGGCTCGCGTTGCGACTGTCGTGAGTTCCTACAAAATTGTTGTCGTCGTCGTTCATATACATATATCGCTGTCTTCGAAGATGCCCGTGTTTGCGCAAAGTCGGGACGACGATCGGGTCTTGCAGCCCCGGCGCTCAGAGCTATGTGAGTGCCGTGCTCCCAGTTAATCCCTGCGATCCGGAAGAGAATGCTGAGCGAACGACCAGTTGTACGACTTCGCGAACCTCACCTCGTTCTCACTGACGCTCAAACCGGGTTACTACACGCACCACGCCGATGACTTCTGGTTAGGTTCGTATCCCCGTCCATTTTCGTTTTTCGACTATATGCGCTCAAATCATACTCGCAGATGAGAGGCCCGAGTGGATCCGTCTTTGGAACATGCTAGAGAAATCGCCCAACCTCGAAGAGCTACGCATAGAAGGCGTCGCGCTCCATTCCGTAGACGCGCGGAAGGTGCGCACACGACCATCGTACCACAGTGTCGCAGCGACCTGACCCTGAAGCTTCTCCCGCACAGCTCTGCACTAAACGATGGCCCAAACTCAAGCGCCTCTGGCTCGGCGACGTCTTCGTCCAGATCCCCGTCGTCGTCGCCGCCGTGGGCGCCCCCAAACCACCATTCATCGTCTTCCTCGAATCGCACCCCTCTCTCGAATCTCTACAGCTCACGCGGCACGCCGGTGTCACACCCGAACACCTCCTCACCCTCTCCCCGGAATCCCTCCCCCGCCTCTCCGAATTCAGCGGCACGCTCGACCAGGTGCAAAAGCTCCCCCGCGCCGCCGGGCTCAAAGCCCTGCACTTCCCGGAACCGATGTACCTCCGCGAGGTTACCCCGCTCATGGTCTCCGGCGTCCTCCACGGCCTCGGCTCTCTCACACGCCTCACCATCTCCCTCGTCCTGCACGCCTCCTACGACAACCGTGGCCTGCTGCGCACCATCGTCACCTCCTGCCCGCACCTCACCTTCTTCGACTTCACCTACTCCCGCAAACCCTGCTTCTCCGTCGAAGCCATCGCCGCCGCGATCGCCCCTCTCCAGAAACTGCGCGCGCTCCACCTGACGATGGTCCGCATCCCGACCGAAGCCCCGCTCTGCGACGGCGGCGCCCGCATCGCGCGCGCGCTGCCCCGCCTCCGCGCCTTCACCCTCACCCTCCTCTCCCGGCACACGGCCGTCGCCCGCGACGTCGCCCCGCCGTTCACCCACCGCGCCCACTTCGAGCTCGTGCACGACCAGCACGGGCTCCCGCTCCTGCTCCGCGTGCGCGAGACGCGCAAGCCGCTGATCGCGCTCGTGTGGGGCGGGGACCGCGAGGTGCGGTACGTGCACGATCTCCGGCCGGTGGGACACCCCGACGCGCGGACGAAGGGCGTCGCGGAGCTGCTGTTCGAGAGGTCGGCGGCGGGGGAGGAAACGCGGTTGATGTTCTTCTGCGTGTCGCTCGTGACGCTGGCCGTCTGGGGCTTTGCCGGGTTCCGCCACTGAGCGGGTTATGTACGAGGGAGGGACTTTGTTCGAAGAGGTGCAAACGGATGTATATTTATGCTGTATCCTTACATACCGTATCCCGCTAATGAATGGCATATGTATGTCGTAGAACGCTCCTAAGCATGCAATAGTAGAGGTCAGGTGATATTGATTAGAGGGTGGTTTTGTCGAAAGAGCACTAGCGAGCGTGTAGACGTATACGAGAGTGATATACAAGAGGCGAACACCGACAAATTAGGCAAAGCATCTCAACAGCAGCAACAGCGAAATCGCCCATTATTCAGATCATCAAGGCACTGATCGCAGCATGAGGGCTGGAGGAATCGTTATGTGAGTGAAAGTCCGCATCGCTGTGATGAGCACACTCTGTCGCACCTTGCACCAGCGGAGGCAAATCAAAAATCCTGCTCTTCTTCGTCGCTGACACCGTCGATCTCATCCTGGATAGGGTGCACTTCCATAGGGGATTTCACCTCGTAACCGCTATGTCCGTTGCCGTTGCCATTGGTCGCATGGCCATTCGATTTTAGCGAGGCGAACGAAGCAGACGGACGCAAGACTCCGTCGCGTTCGTCGCCCACAATGCGCTGCTTGACGTTCGATGCCACGCGACGGATCCCTGGCCAACAGTCAGCGATCTGTCACCTCTCACGTCAACGAAGATGGTCCTCTTACAGGAAGGACGAGAACGGGCGCGCGGACGATCAATCTTCGGGGCAATAACACGGGGCGTGCCATGCACGGCAACGCCCGTCGCAGCGATCGTATGCTCGTGAGTCTCGGTAACCACCACCTTTTCCTCGACGTAGGTCCTGAGCTCGAGGATGAGGTCGCCATGGCAGGTGAAGATCGGATGCGAGAGGGCGTATGCCCCAACCTCGGGAAAGCTGAACTTCCAGAAGCCTTCGAGAATCGGCTTGATTTTGTCGAGGATGTGGCCAGGGTGAACGGCGTTTTCGAGTTGTGCGCGGAGGAGAGCTTGCGATTCCATGCGGCAGTGACCCTTGGTCTCCCGCACGTGGAAATTGGGGTGATCGACGGGGGTGATCTTGAGCTTAAGTCCACCGCCGGTGGAGCTGCTGGTGATAGTGGTCTTCCAAGTCGCGCCGGCAGAGGTGCTGAATCGATTTCTCAGTCGCAGTTGTAGTGATAAGGGGCGTCCATGACGTACCTCCACGAGTCTGAGCTTCCCTCGAAGCCAAGCCTGATGGTGGTCTCTCCGTGGAGCATGATCTCGACGCCGTTATGGCGCTTGCCACCAACCGGAATGCTTAGGTCGTTCTTCGTATGGCCTGTGACTTTTTCAGAAAGAGCAACTGGACGCATGAAGGTGTAACTTACAAGCGACGGTAAACTGGCCATTGCTCAGGTCGCCGGGTCCGCCGTTGTGCGTGTACGTCCAAACGTCGCTGTGATCCCATACGTATTGCAAGAAGCCGTCGCGTTGGACCGCCCAGCTTCGCGCTTCAATGAGCTTCTTGCGATCGTGACTAGCCCAGGTGTCCAGGTCAAGCTTCCATTCGCCGGCATCGACACCCGCGAAACGAGCAACGAGGGTTGTCTCCGCATTGATTTTCGCGAATGCGGCGAGGATGAGACCTTCGAGGAACGATTTCCTGGACAGGGTGACGGTGCCGTGCACCTCGCGCCTGGTCGTGATTACTCGGGTCGTGGTCCATTTCAGGCGGACGGTCGGCAGCGGAACGTGGCTGTACATGCCGAGAATGAGGATGCAGGGGGAGTCAGAGTGTGTCACATCGTAGTGGATGCAATTGTGGCGGTGGTACTCTAGTTTGGAGTAGATCTGGAAGGCGAAGGACGTGAGGCCGAACTCGCATTGCTGGCGCCAAACGGGCAAGGAATGGAGGATGTGATGTCCGTGGTGGGCAAGATCCAGAAGGTAATGCTCCTGGATGTAGTGCACTACCGCACGGGTGTGTTCGATGCTCTGGCGATCGCAGGTGATGAACTTGCCAAAGGTCGACAGCTCGTGTACGTAGACGGCAGCTGAACATTTCGTCAGCCAAGGGCACACGCGAGGAGAAAGAATGACTTACTCTCGAAGTCGAGGTACATGTGATGAATCGCGCGATCGGTATGGGTGCCGTGGGCCTGGAAGATGAAAGAATCCTTGAACCAATCAACCCACGAAGAGGACATGTTCTTCAGAGACGCGTGTTCGGCAGACTTGATGTTGACCTCGAAGGCGATACGCCACTGCGATATGGTATGCTTCGTGCTCCTGGAGCACACGGCATCAGATAACGTCCTTACCGAAGGCATTATTCGAAGAACTCACCCGGACCAAGGCAACCATCCGTTGAGCGTCTTGTAGGTACCTTCATCGATGTTCACCCAAACAATGGCCTTCTCGTTCGAGATCAGGCGAATGGTCAGAGCGCCGAAGGAAGCTGTGAAGCTGTCGTCATATGACCACGACCTCAGGCAGAACGTATGCTTGTGCCTTGAGGCCGTCTCCCATATGGTCTTGAAGAGCGTGATGATGGAGATCTGCGACACCGCCGAGACATGTTCGTAACCACCGCAAACATCGACCTCGCCGCCGATCAGAGGGCCGAACTCGACATCGGGGTCAGCAGGCCGTCCGCGTGGGGAGAGGGGAGGCAAACCCCAGAAGTCATGCGGCAACCCACAGATGACCGGGCCCGCGGGCTGGTCCACCGGCTCCGGATGGCGCACGTCGATCTCGCAGATGATATGCAGTTTGCAAGACTCGAGGATGTCGAGGTACTGAACCTGGATGAATTCAATGAGGACGTCACAGTAGTGCGCCGCGACATCTCCCGTGACGCCGACCAATACGGAGAGGTGGTCGCAGAACCTGGCCGTGTCCAAATCGAGAACGTAGCGGGTGATGCAGCCGTCGGCGTCCTTCTCCTCCTTGACCTCAACCATGAAGGCGAGCTCCCATCCCTCGTACTTGTCGCGAGGCTCGACGTCGAAGTCGTCCGAGCCATAAAACAAGATCTCGTCGATGACGAAGGTAACAAGGACCTCGCGGGCGCAAATCGCCTTGACCTTAGGCGCGCCGAACTTGACGTGGAAGTGCGCGTCGGTGTGAAGGTCGATCCAGGTGGACTTGAACTCGGCGAGGCAGACGGAGAGCAGATCATCGGGCAAACCATGGCGACCGCAAGCGAGCATGGCAGCCTTGCCCCAGACGTGGGCAAGATAGTTGTTAATGCGCCCAAGGGAGACGCCGTGGACTTCGGTCTCGGTCTCGTGGATGAGGTTGACTGCACTGATGAGGGCGTAATCGATGGTCAGCTTGCGCTGGTCGTCATCGAAGTCCGGGAGGGAGTAAAGGACGTGGTGGCCCGAGTGGCGGAGGAGGTCAAGGTACTTCTTCAGGTAGAGGGAGAGGGCGGCCTTAGTAGCGGAACTGATGGCAGGTGGGTGGAGGACCATCTTGGCGCGGGCGTAGTCGAGAACCATAATCTGAAGGAGGTGCTCGCCATTGCCGGTCAAGCCACCGGGAGAGGTGAACGACTTGATACCGAACGGGACGCGGAATGCGACTTCGTAGTTATCGACGTGCTGGTGACTCTCTCTAATAATGGAAAATATGTCAGGACTTCAAACTTACCGAGAGACAAGGATTTAACTCACTTCTTCAACTGAGCGTACGTGTTCTGGCTGTTTGTGGCGTACTCGACGTTAAAGTGGCCCTTCTTGATCTTGAGGTAGAGAACCGTCTCGTGGTTGCAGACGAACTCGAGACGCGGTTTGTCGAAGGAACCGTAGAACTCGAGATCCTCAAGGCTCTTGACAGGGCCACGGCCAGAGTGGAAGTGAAACTCAGCGAGAGCGAACGAGTAGCGGTGATGGTGAGACGGGAGGAGACCGTTTGAGTGCCTGGCTACACACTCGACCGCGTTCGAGTGAAGAACGGCGAGCTGCGCGTTCAGGTATTTGACGGCGTGGTCCGCCGAGTTCTCGCCAACGCACATGTTGCCAAAAAACTGCACGTAGAGGTGGTTCAGTAAGCCGCATTATGCTGCGGACGTAGTTTGGGGATACGCACGTTCACGTGGATGTCTAGTGACGCTGAAACGGTAACTGGATAGCCGACGAATTATGAGCAAGGCAAAATATCGGCGGAAGCCCTGCAGGACGCGTTGAGGGTAAGAGCAGTCGGGTCCAATTCTCATTCTTATACCAGATTCAAACGTGCTCGGTAGCACGCAGGCTCCGCTTCTCCGCGACAGATCTGACGAAGTGGCTAAGATGGAAGGCGGAAGCCCACGCAACGTCGGTTGCCAACATTTCCAATGCACTTTGACAGCGTTCCAAAGAAAGGCAGGCTCCGAGTGGCCCGACGACCGAAGAAGCGTCCTCAAGGTTCGCCTTTAGCTCTCTTCAGTAAGCTGGGAAACAAAATGATTGATAAGTATTGACCAACCTACGGCACGAAGTGGACCGTGCGCATCGTCTGGGCTCTTGCGGGAAATACGGTGTGCATCATGAGGCCGTGAGGACGATCCACGGGTTCCAGGGCCCGCAGCATTCGAAGGTCCGTCAGGCGTTGGTAACACCAAGTCTACGCCCAGGCACCCGTGGGCAGTCGGCGCTTGCCTGGCTCCGCTTTGTCCATTTAGTTACGAGGACGGTCCTGCTACAATATACCGATCGCAAACGTGAGCTTTCGGCATGCTTTCGGATTCTTTCCCGCAAGGGAGGTGGATCTGCATACGAAGGACGAAGCGTCAGCATATGATTTGACCTCTGAGAAACGGAGTGACTAGCGCTCACCGTCTATATCTGTAACCGGATTGGTCGAGCGTTCGAACCGGACTGTATCCACACAAAATCAAACGGAAGCTTCGAATTTCTTGCCCCGCATTTCTCCCCCTGCTTCAGGTAGAGGCTTCTGTCAAGCTGCAGTGGCGGTGGAGCGTACTCCAGTGGCGTAACTGTCACTGACAGAGCGGATATTTGAACGACGGTGACCTCCCAGCGGCATATGAGGTTGACAGTGGTAAATATGCCGTAAAAGCATGCTACCATCAAGCCATGCACCCCGAAGCAGCGATTTGCGCCCGTGTTCAGGCAGATGGGACGGCTTGGAGTCCTGGACGGCGGGAGAGTCTGGGTGCTAGTACTTAGTGATGGAATGTTTCTCGCGCATGGAGGGGCTCAGCGGAGCCGCTGGCGGGTCAAAGTGCGAGCTTAAGGCACTGTGGCACCCGTGGTGAGACTTCATCACTCTGTATCATTCGGTTGTTGTCTGGTACCGACGGTCATGGGGTCGCGTTCATGTTCTATACTTTGATGGATCCTACTTTCGATTCAGTCTCGAATACAAAGGCCCACCACAGTATATGCGAAACGGGAACTACTGACTGGGCCTGATTGTCTCAAATCATTCTTCACGGTCGATGGAGACCGATGTCTGTTCATCATTAAGAATTGGGGATCCGTAACGAGTTATAGCATTGAAGAATCATCGGACGCAGCGATGGTGGCCATCGAGATTATGACGGAGTTAGCCACGACTGCGCACAGCCTGACCCCGTTGCTGCTTGCCGGCTACCACGACTTCGACATACGACATACCCCTTCCAGCGACCGTCTAAAGTCAACATGAGTTGGTCAGGGTACGCGCGCCCGGCAGAACGTCATCAATGACCAGCAGCGCTCTGACGATGCCCATGATTTCCGCTCATGCAGCTTCAAGAAGTCGATGAACAGGGCGGGGACGACCGTACGTCGCGAACTGTTCTTTGTTCCTTCCCTGGCACTGAAGATAACACCCTTTGAACAGTTGATGCAAAAGACGGGTCAGATCGAGCGCACAGTGGACAGTGAATTTGCAGACTCGGAGGCGAAGTTCAAGGTGTTAGTATTACATACTCCAGAGGCGGCGGTCAGCTACTGATATTCGACCTTCAACGCATAGTTACGAGAAGGAATGTCAGTCTCTGCAGAAGGAGAGCAAAGCCTACATCGATGCTATGCGAGGTGAGTTGTGTGCTTTGGGATGTAGACCCGTCCATTCATGTTGACGATTGGCACATCCAGCCATGACCGCGGCTCAAACCCGGCTTGCGGAGACGATTGAAGCGTTTTACGGCGCAGCGGATCGCACGTCTGAGGGGGCGATGGCGGCGCACGCATACAAAGCGTCGGCTACCGAGCTGGATAATGCCGTCTCTAGGGAATTGGTGTGTCCAACGACCGTCCCACTTTCGGGCTACTCTGGGTCCTGATACTTCTTCATGCAGGATGCGCCATTCAGGACAACAATCATGGAGCCACTAGGCAAGATGAACGCTTACTTCCCTATCATCAATGAACACATCGCCAAGCGCAACAAGAAGGTCAGCAATTCTGAGCGTCCATGGCGCTCCGACGCTCAACGCCCTGGTCTAGATGCTCGACTACGACGCTGCCCGCAGCAAGATGCGCAAACTCATCGAGAAGCCCAGCGAAGATCCCACCAAGCTCCCCAAGGTTTGCCACCTATTTCATGCGATACCGCTGGCGCTAACATCGCCATTTCACTCGCAGGCCCAGCAAGAACATGATGACGCCAAGGAAGTCTTCGACCTACTCAACGAACAGCTCATCGCAGAGCTACCCCAGCTGCTGGACCTCCGCGTACCCTTTTTCGATCCCTCCTTCGAGGCCATGATCCGGATGCAATGCAAATTCGCCGAAGAGGGCTATGAGAAGCTCAGTGGCGTTCAAAGGCACGCCGCGCTCTTGATCCAGCTATCAATCAACCGGAGAGACTGATGTCGTGTTCAGGTATTTCGCTGACAACGTGCGGGACGACTACGCGGCAGGGCAGCTTGACGCTCAGGTCGAAGGCGTCCTTCAGGAGATGCGGGAGCTGTCTATTTGCGGTGCCAGTTGAAGGGTTGTCTCCTAATATTGTCGGGGAGCGCTGAGTGTACTATGCTATTCTCTTCTGTAGCATCAGCTTTGTAGATCTCGTACCGTCGATCATGACCGGGACCGAAATATGTACTTAGGATGGAATTACACCACGTGCAAATTCACTGGCGCTGCTGCCATTCACGATGCTGGACATAGCTATTTTGTACATGTCATTTATATCCGTAGTTGTACTTGTGATCGTTGCAGCTTCGCAAAGGTGCGCGTTGTCCGGCACCTGGGTATGGCCCGCGTCGCGTTAGGTCGCGTCTCGTTGTCAACTCTGATCACGATGCGTACTCAGACGGACTTCCCGCTCAACGACGACATCATAGACATCACTCTGCACGCAATTGACAATGTCAACACTTTGTTCTCGTTCATACTGTCGAGCAAGGTTATCCATGCCGTTTACGCGCGCCGGCCGATATCGATTCTCCGCTCGGTCACCATCAATCAAGTCGGGCGTGACATTATCGCTCAAGCATTGGCACTAGTTCGAACACAGCTCGACGACGCACTCAGGCATACCGGTACTCCCGCTGACGAGAATACCATCCTTGAGAAACCTATCAGAAGAGAGGAAGTGCGGCAGCTAGTTGGAAACGCGAGGTCGATCAACGAGCTAGAAGACCTCTTTAGCTGGAGGTGTGTGCGCTCCATAACGTCAACGAATCAAACTCACTACCAGTCAGGTACAAAAATCGCACCAACAACCGGTCGCAGCTGACCGCAGACGAGTCACTTCGCTTCCACCGAGCAGCATATAGGTACTGGACCTATTGTCGAGTTTTCGGTCTCATCCCCGGGGAACCGCAGCCCGCGGACTCCTTAGACACCGATGCCCTTGGCCTCCGATATTTGGAGCAATTTCCTGACGATGAATTACGGGCAATCGAAGCTGTGGTACTCTTTGCTCGTGAGACGCTGCTTTGGACCTCCAAAGCAACGACTGGGATTGCAGGCGCGGTTGCAAACCGATGGGAAGGTATTGCGTCTTAACTACTCTTCCGTTTGCAGAGCCCGACCTTGACAGTGGCGATAGGTGAAAGGAACATGAACTTGGCGACAGGCCCTGGCGAGATTCTTGACTGTTACAAATGGCTGCATATGATAGATTGGGACAGCTACATCGATCCTGACGAGGAGCAGGAAGAGGAGATCAGAATACCGTTCCCCTTCCTTCTCGAGAAGATATGGGAGATACAAGAGCGACGTGAGGAAGAGCGATCTAAACAGGATGGCGAAGGTGAAGATCAAAGCACGATTCAAGAAGCGCACTGGGCAACTCTCTTCGCCTCTGGCGGTTCGTATCCAGGAGTTTGTGAGTACCATAACAAATTCATACCGGATGCGCCGGACATCTTGCGACACGAGCAGGCGATCGTTGTCAACGGGCTGTCAACGCTCAAGAAGACCTATGGGGAAATGAGAGTGAGTTCAAGTGCCAGGTGGATGATCGTTCAGCTGACGATTTTCTTGCACTCGCGCCGCCAAAATACGTAGATTACTCGCTGCTCCCGGGTAGAATCACTTTCGGCGATATTTGGGAGATGATGCCCGAAGATCTACGCACCAACGATCTGGAGAGGCGCAATTTCTTCGCTCTTCTTCATCCCCCACATCGCCGGACGACCGTAGCCTGGGTTGCGCCCATAATACGACAAATGTCCACGGGCAACGTCGATTACAACGAGCTGGGCGTTGACGACGAGCCGGATGACGATGGTCCAAGCCGGGATCATATGAAACTGGAGCGACACGCTGCCGGTGCGCATCAGGGAGCCTCGGGTATGATCACCGCACCGGATGGACGCGGATGGCTTTGTACGCCATGCCTTGCCAAATTCATGGCGGAGCACATAGAATCATGGTGGTCAGCGCTCAAGGTGGATGGTGCGAGGCTTCCCGAACAATCTGACTCGAACGAAAACTCGTCTGATACAGTCGCTATTCAGTCGGCCTGGCCCCGGGACAGTACTGGCTCGGTCGCCATAGGAAGTCTCCCGCTTCCTCAACAGAAGACGGCTGAGTGTTGCCTTCGAATCCTCTCGACCACTTAGCGAGAGCCTGGAATATCAGCGAGAAGGGCCCCAGCTTAGAGCCCGTGGATCTCCTTTCTCGATCTAACCTCAATGGAGTAAGCGGAATTATATACGTACATATATTGTACATTTTCCTGTCCTCGTACACGAATACCCGCCTTGCATGATGTTTCCCTGGATTCAACACTGTGTACCGAAATGGTGTGGGGAATTGTATAAATACTCGGATGGTATTCACTAACTTCTCGCTCTCTCTTGGGGAAATATGCCAGTCACCACTGAATGGGGCAGTATCTCGCAGTCCACATACGCTCAGACGCTACTCTGACTCTGATGGCCCTTATATTGCCGCCGCCCTTGCGGGATTTACAGCGCTCCTGAGTCCCTTGCTTGCACTCCTCAGCGACGGCTGAACGGCACGTCAACGATCAGCACATATACACGGTAGGTAGATCATGAAGAAAATGTTCTGCGGACATTGGGAAGCAAGGGAAACCGTTTAACTTAGGATCGTCGATGGATATGAACCATTTGCAAGGGTGGCCGGCCCCTGCGGGTGATGGTCTTGGAAGCTCTTACTCAGCTGGCCCGGAAAGCACGCAAATGCATGGTAGAATCCGATATATGCGTCATGCAATACGTACAACAACGAGAGACAACACGCGGAAGCTTGATTTACGACTTCATCTCCACGTCATCTTCTTTCTTGGCCAGATCATGCTTCTTTAGCAGAGCGTCAATCTCTGTTGGTCGGTAGATCTTCGCCTTAGGCTTGTCTCCTTCGAGAGTCAGAGTCGCGAACTCCACTGAGAAACGATAGTGAAGGTTAGCAAGCATATACCGTCGAAAGTTGAGGTTTGACGATGGTGGACTCACACTTCTCGCTGCCCAGTGTTGTGCTATCCATCGTCTTGCTCATAACGCGGAGCACGATGCCAACTGCCTCCTCCACGCTGATGTCGTCCTTGTATTCTTGCTTGAGTAGACTTTGGGCGGTACCTGATAATTGATTACATGCGTGTCAGCCAACAGCCGACCTCTCACGGGGAACATGAACAAAGCCGGCGTCCGAAAGCTCACCATTGTTCGCGCCAATGCACGTCGCCTTCCAGCCAGAGTAGTTCCCTGACGGATCGGAGTGGTAGAGCTGAAACTGGTAGTGCGCGTCGTAGCCCGCGTAGAGAATGGAGACACCGAAGGGCCGGAGACCACCGTATTGCGTGTACCCTTGCTTGAGGTCACATAACCGCTGCGCGAGCATCTCGACGGGTATGTCTTCGTTGTACGAGAAGAGATGGCGTTGGGCTGCGTTCCGCGCATAGTTGACCAGCGAGTTCGCGTCGGAGGAGTAACCTGCAACACCACCGATCACGTTGCTGTGAAGAACGAGAACAGCGCATGAGTTCGCAGCACAATACAGTATGATGGACCGGAAAACGAGGAAGAGAATGCACGCACGAGTTCAACAGGAAAATCTTCTCGCCACTGCCGCCATACCCGCCTTCTTGCGTTCCGCTCATATCAAGCAACTTGCCCGTCACCTTCTTCTCCGCGGCTAGTACAACACCATCTTTCGCGAGAACGCCTAGGACCGTTCCAGCGTGCGAGATAGCCTCCATGGCGTATTCGACTTCATAGGCGCGATTGGCTGTTAACCCAACTGCCGTTGTTACTGCAGACTTGGAAGCTCACTCTGGTATAGCCGACCTAAATAACATCGCATCAAATGGAGGAACAAGGAGCACAGGCGCTAGCACTCACCCTCCGGTGAGAAGATGGTCGTTCGGCCTGTGCGATGAAACAGTCAGCGATGATCACTATACGTTCGGGGGGGCTCGTACTATCGTATCGTCTGGCCTGTTGGAAAACTTGGTCATTGTTAATCGTTTCATAGCATCCAGAGGACTCATACCATCGTGCAAGTGTATGGAGGGCGGGGAATAAGGTCGATGGATGTGCTGAAGCGCGATGCGTTACGCGTGCATGAGCTGACGCGTTCGCGGTTTTGGCGCCGGCACAGCCCAAGCTCTTGAAATATCTTTCTGCCTCTTCAACACACCTCCGCGTCGATGCGCATAGAAAGGATTTTCGACGAGCTCGATTGCGAATACTGCAAAGCTTTGATTTACTATTATACAAGAGTTTTTCTGATCGTCTGGAAATCGTATCCGAAGGATGGCAGTAGCTGGCCCCTTAGGCTGTCCATCCATTGTCGACCTCCAGCACGGCGCCGTTCACCATCGGGTTGAAAGCCAGGAACAGGATCGCTCTAGCGACATCCTCGGGTTGGACGAAGTCTTTGGGCCTCATTGCGTCCAAAGTTTGGCCTACGGACTGACCGTAGGGGTCTATCGCGTCACGTCCGCCGACGAGGCTATCGAAGATGTTCGTTAAGGTTGCTGAAATCACATCTGGCGTCAAAGAACCGCGCCCGCTGAAGATTCGCTCCAAACACGTACCTCCCGGTAGAACTACATTGCATGTCAGTTTACCCTTATTGTGCTTTGCAGTGTTCTTCGTCAACCCGATCACGGCGTGTTTCGAGGCAGTATACGCCGCTCCGCTCATGCTTCCTAGCTTGCAAGCCACCGAGGCAACGTTTACTATGGCTCCCTTGTGGTTGGGATGTACGATCAGGTGTGGGAAGCATTCTCTACTGAAGAAGAACACGCCATCCAAGTTGATCTTCATGCAACGTTGCCACATAGCATCCGAAGTGTCATCGACCCCAGCTGTATCATGCTATCCTGTAAGTTTCTAGTACGGGTTCCAAGTAATGGTTACGAACACTCACCAAAATTATCCATCACCCCGGCGTTGTTCACCAGTACATCGATGTGACCCCATTTCTCGAGGACAGCCGCCACCGCAGACTTCACTTGGCTGAGATCGCTGACATCACATCGCACCGGAAGCAACGCATCGATCGAGGGTAAATTCTCGTGGCCCTTGTAATCGACCGCGGCAACAAACGCTCCAGCTTCGATGAGCAAATTCGTCGTGGCGAGGCCGATGCCGGACGCGGCGCCAGTCACGATTACGACCTGATTTGGGCGAAGTAGGCACGAGCGCTATTATTTGATTCGTCGGCTGACCTTATCCTTGACCGGTACACCAAGAGCCGTCATGATTATCAGTTATCCTGACCGATGAGGAGGAGCACGGAAGTTATACGTGCAGCAAGTTGATCTGCCACTGCCGCGTTCATTCTCCCGGTTCTAGGGCGATTCGCCCACTGCTCTTACGTTTCCCGAACGAGCATCTCACTCTCATACTAGTACGTTCACATGACCGGGAAGCATGCTACCCATTTTACCGGGAAACACGGGCGAATGTCCCATGCCCTTACCATTTCTATGCACCTACGGTAACCCGACTTCAGTATATGGTGCATACCCCATCGAGCGCGACTGCTCATACCTTGCTATTACAGCGTCAGGTTTGCTTCGCAGTCCGTAGCACTGATATTGAAGCGAAATCTTTCCAATCTTCACGTATAGGTGGCTCCGCGAGGATCGGCACCTCCGTGAGTCCACACCCTGATCTCTTCGCCCGGTAACTTACGGTATTCGGCGGCAGTGTAACCCGCCGAGGCTTATACACCTTAAGCTCCGACAATCTGACAGATACTTAGAGCCTACTAGATACGGGTAACTAGGTTATGGTTCGCCTGCTCGAAAGTTTCGTTGATGTTGAACATGTGTCCGGCGATACTGAAGGTGGGCCCCGCTTAAGATGCCGTTACCTCCGTCTTTTCTATCCCAAACTGTCATTTCACAACAACACGACTACAGCGCATATGACAGAGCCCGTGGGCTTTTTGTAAGACGGATCTCATGCCTTCAAGCGGTGTATCCATTATCGACCTCCAGGGTCGCGCCATTGATCATGGGATTTGTCGCCAAGAACAAAATCGCTCTCGCGATGTGATCAGGCTCAAGCCACTCTCCATTGCCCAACGCGTGAGTCTTCTTACAAACCTCCATGCCTTCCTCGTTGATCCCTCCCGCCGGGACGCTATCCAAAATGTTGGTGCTGGTCACTGTAATCGGTGACGTAAGTCAGCGATTTATCGCGGTGCGCGCGCGGAAGAAACGGACACCCACTCCCTGGCAGGACGGCGTTACAGGTGACTTTTCCTTTGTTGTGCTTCGCTGTGTTCTTCGTGAGGCCGGTGACAGCGTGCTTCGATACCGTGTACGCTGCGCCCGCTGTTCCGCCCAGTTTGCAGGCGATCGAAGACACGTTCACGATGCTGCCCTTATGATCCGGATGGCGAGCGAGGTATGGGAAACATTCCCTGCTGAAGTAGAAGACTCCGTCGACGTTGATCTTCATGGTCCGTTCCCAGATCGCATTCGTGGTGTCCGCGACGCCGGCTAAGAGATACAGGGATTAATCAGCACAAGGGCTACGAGTGATAATGACAGCGTGAGGAGGGCTGTACTGGCCAAAGTTGTCGCAGACGCCGGCGCAGTTCACCAGCACGTCTATGCGACCCCACTTGTCCACCACCGCTTTCACCGTGGCCTTGACCTGTTCGTCGTCGCTGACATCGCAATGCAATGCGTATAGCGCGTCCTTCGCAGGCAGATCGTCGAGGCGTTTGACGTCGACAGCGGCCACCAAGGCCCCTGCGTCGAGGAACAGATTCACAGTCGCCAGACCCATGCCTGAGGCACCTCCCGTCACGATCGCAACCTGAACATCGCAGGTAGTTAAGCTAGCACGACGATCGTATGGTGTCAAAGGAGGGTATATCACCTTGTCCTTGATTGGTACCCCTAGTGCAGTCATTGCTGCTCGAACCTATCGAAAGAACGTAGATGACAAGTGAGCCCTACCATAGCTCTAAAGGATCCGGCTGTATTGCCATGGAATTACGATGAACCTTGAGCTTGCTTTGATAAGGGCGTACTGAATAGACCTCGGGGCCACTTACGTCCGAGAAGGCAATCCGATCAAATCCAAACGGCCGTATCTCTTTGTTCCCACCGTTCACAGTGCGCAAAAATGAGTACGGGAAGGAAAGGGGGGTTAATGCGGGATCCGCAGTTGATATTATCAGAATTGGACAGACGGTGGATCGTATGGTATACAGGAAATGAGTGGTCTATAATGATGCCATTCAGGATGAAGTCAAGGAGTGCGGCAATTGTGAAAGTCATAACGGGGGCTCAGCGATTGCAACAACCATGATCCAAAACAGAGTCATCCCACAGGGATCGAGGAACGAAGCAGATCTGAGAACCCTGGAGCGTAGGGGAGCCCCCGATACGTCGAGGCGAATATTGCAGACGACCGATGTTTTGCCTTGATAGATAGATGGTGGAGGCTCTGGAGCGGGAACGAAGAACGACGACGGGTGCTGTGGTGGGCCTCGAGCGACCTGTCAACCAACGTCGGGGAAGTCTAGGGCGCGGGAGACGAGATGTCGCTGAGCGATCGGAGACTAGGTCGAGGGAGGTGCGAGAAGCCGCCATGACAGGGCTGATTGAGCCGCTCGCGGCTCCACCATCTGTCAAGATCACGCAAGTCCGAGATGGGCGAGGCGCTCGCTGGAGTTCGCTGGAGTTCAGGTGCAATGGTTTCCGGGGGGGGGGCAATATCCGCATCCGCATCCTTGATTGTGCTTCGTCGGTACACCTGTTCGAGGGATCGGAATGTATGCGTATGTTCTGTGGCGCGAACGTACGCAAGGAAAGAGCCTGCAGAGCCGAAAAGACGGACCGGGGGGGGCTTGCAAAACGAGAGAAGACGGCGTCGCGGCGGCTGCCTGTTTTTGGGTCAAGGAGGGCGGGCGCTCGAACCGGATCGCCGCCACATCTTGAAAAGTCAAAATTCGGAACTGAGGCCGGAGGCATGAAGGCGCCTGGATCAAGCTTGACAGGGGCGCAACCACGGGGAATTCCGTGAGTCGTTGTGAAACGCGGTGGGGGGGCGGAAGTTACTACACGCGGCATATACAGCAGGCGACCTGGGAGCATCTTGTCTGGGGCCGTGTTAGGGGTTTGTAGGGGGAGGCCGACGATATCGATATCGCGCGAGCCGATGGAGCTCCGCGTTCGGTGCGCGAGTTAGCCAGAGGTTGGGGGGGTCAGCATCGTTCTCCGGGATGAATACCGTGGGCTGGAAACGAGATGCAGTACAATTTGCTGTGTGGAAGTCGCCACCCGCGACCGTAGTCTGGATCTGAGGGGACCGGAGAAGGGTCTGAAAGGACTCGGTCAGCAGGACCCGGTGTCGCGTCCATCGCGGGACGCTCATAAGCTGAAGCACCGACGCCCGCAGATGGCGCAGTCTGCATAATCCATGTCTGCGCAGTTGCGAAGATAAGCAAGCTGGCCGCAATTGTGAGCCGAGGCGGCCGTATTAAGGCGGACGAGGCACCGGGGACGGCTGGGATCTTCGGGCATGGCATGAACGACGGGATGGTCTATGAACTGCATCACCGAGTGATTATAATTTGGCCGGGTACCTGTGCCTTGCTGCGACCTGTGACCCCAGCGACGCATGGGAGCGACAGCTCCCGCTGAGAACGAAGTGCCAGCCTCAGCGCGGTGCATTTCTAGAGTTTTCCACCGTCGAAGTTCGAACGCCAGATCCGCAACGAGGGGAGGGTTGCATGACCGGGCGTGGTCGCTACTTATACCGACAACTCCCGCGTCAAGGAGAATGCCCGGCTTTCGTGGTGGTCGAGAGATCCGGGCGGCCGCAGATAGGCCTAGGATTGCCCTGGGATCCCCCGGTGCTCGGCCCAAGGGGCACTCGGGGAGGCGGTGGTGAAGGTGCGTTCCCACGGCGCCACGATCCAAACAAAGCCAAACTTCCACGTCGCCCTCGTTATAAGGGACGACGTGGCCGCGGGCGATCCGACACGACCCGCACAAGCTATCGACAACCCTCCACGTATACCGTCCCGCGCCGCGCCCAAGTTCCGCAGCAGGCCTTTGCATTAAAGAGACTCCCTCTCGATTTCAGTCCCGGACCCACGTACACACGTACACCGAATACTTGCCCCCCCCTCTTCGACACGTATCCGCCATGTCATCGCCGACGACACCGTTCGCGAGCACGAGCGCCATCGCCATCCCCGCCTCGCCCGCGCCCTCCTCGTCCGACGACGGCCACCCGTCCGGCCCCGCCCGCAAGCGGCCGCGCACGGAGATGACCGCCGAGGAGCGCCGGGAAGCCCGCGCGCACCGCAACCGCATCGCGGCCCAGAACTCGCGCGACCGCCGCAAGGCCGAGTTCGCCCTGCTCAACCAGCGCGTCGCCGAGCTCGAGGAAGAGAACCGTCAGCTGCGCGCGGGCATGGGATTGGCACCGTCGTCGCGACAGGCGGACCACCACGAACGGGCAAAGTGGGAAAGGGAGAATGAGGAGCTGAAGGAGAGAATCAAGAGTCTCGAGCAAGGCTGGGACACCATCGTCCGGGCGCTCGCCGCCCAGGGTCTCCCCACAGGTAAACCTCCCCCGCCTTCGTTGTTGTCTGAACAGCGCGCTGACCGACCGTACGCGCTAGGCTTACCCCTGACCGCACCCTCGTCAACACAACCATCCACCATCAAGTCGGAGGAGGCATCGACTTGCCCCTCGACCTCCTTCCCCGTCCTCGTCCCGACATCTCCCCTCGCCGTCCCCTCGCCGTCTCTCTCGATCGGCTCCAGCCTGGTCTCCGAGGAATCCGAATCCGCTCGCCACCTAGCACGGGTGGCGTCTCCCGAGCACCCTCCTCACTCGGAAGCCCTGCAGCGGGCGGCCTCGCGATCCCCTCTTCCGACCAGGACCTCGGCCTTTCCGCCGGCGCCCACCCCTTCGCGGCGCCGGCCCCCTACGACGAGACGGTCCCCGACGAGGCGGCGATGGAAGATCTCCTCCGCGAGATCCTCGCCCCCTCCCCCTCAGTTGGCCCGTCGCCTCTGCCTACTCCTGAAGCGGAGGCTCCCCCCGCCGCGTTCCCAGCGGAAGTAGCTACCGAGCCGTACGCCAGCGAATGGGACTGGGACGCGCGCGACAAGAACCAGGAGGAGGAGATGCAGCGGCTGCTCGACATGCTCCCCGCGTTCCACCATGCGCAAGCCGAGGCGGCCCCGTCCCTCGGGCTCGACCTCGGCGGGTTCGACTTTGTGTCGACGTCGACTGTCGGCGTGTTCTAAGGGGGATCGTCAAGTCGTCGCCCCCTTTTACACATCAACCGCATCTCTTTTTCGGTCATCTGTGATCTCCTTGGTTTTATCACGTTCATCGCTCGCATCGCTCTCCTATTTATTCGCATCATTTTTTTCTTCTTTCTCGTTTCTGCGACCAAAGGTCCTCACCACCCAGCCGCGCCCTCTCCTACGATCCATCGTTCTTCCGTTTCTCTCACCTTCTTTACCCCCCCACCTCCCGCGTACTCGCTCGCCCCTTCTCTTGGATCTCGCTATCCTCAGCCGTTTTTCGCCATGACTGACGTTTTTCGAAGAAAACAGCCGCGCGCGCGCCGTTCGCACCCCCCCGGCCCCGCCTTCCCTCTCGATGCATGTCTCCCGCCGCCGTTTCCCAACCGGTTCGTACGGTGTTCTCCCCGCGAGGGTCGATGATGTACCGCGAACCGGGCACGGGCGTGGCGGTGAGCGCTTGAGAGGTGGGGTGTGTGGTTGTGGGTGCGTTTGTGTTTTTTTTTATTTAGCGCGCGCGTGTTTTTGTGGCTTCTTTTATAAACCGATGTTCTTTGGCGTGAATCGTTTTGGCGGGTTAGTTGACATATCCCGGGCTCGTTGATATTTTTTTTGTTGGTACTTGCGTGTGGAGATGGGGTCAGGAGTGGGGAGCAATGGATCGAACGTTTTGCGGCTGATGCATATCCGGATCGGGTGTGAGATATGAGGAACGATGCAAATGAGGTCCGATACTTGACGCTGCTGCTGGTGCGCGCGATCGAGGCAGGGCGATGGATGTCACCGCGTAAGTACAGTACCTTTCCTGGAGCTGAGACCTTACGACACGAGATCGGCATGGTGATTGCGGTTCGATGTGCACGTTTCAAGATTCGTCACATTTGCTGCTACACCATTGGGGGAAACATGAGCATTATAAAAAAGTCGGTCCCCGGTATTTGGCAGATTGGCGAATTGTCCTGCATACGTATCTGACCGAGAACACGAACACACGGTCGCCATGCAGTCATCGATGAGCTCGCTTCCTGATGAGCGTTTTGTATCGTCGAGATCGTCGCAGCGCGGGGTGAGAGCACGCGGTTGGGGTTGCGCGAAATCCTGGATTATCAAAAACTCCCATGCGATGCGGAGAGTTCGCGATTCAATAATCGACCTTGGTCAGATGAACTCATTGGGTTCGCAAAACTTGCAGGGGTGATATGCGCCCATTCGGCTCGGACGTTTGTCGCGAACTCTTTCCGCGCAGAACCTGTCGCGATGCGATGGATATTCTACCGTATCACATGGTCCTCTCGATGCGGATGTGCACGACAGAGCCTTCGAGGAGACAAGAAACAGATGGAATTAGTTCAGAGGTACTAATGCGGGAGACGACGACGTCGAAGACCGAAGCTGTTACCAACACCTGAAGCAGAGACCCAACGATGGCCACTCGGTGTCACTGATGATCTCAAGAGAGGCGTTTCGCCAGAGGTTCGCGTCCGCCCTTCGGCGAAGCGCCACGACCTGCGCCTCTTCTGGCTCCGCGCCCACGTCCGCCGCGTCCTCCTCGAGCCCCTCTTGCTGGGGCCTCGTCCGATAGCCGTTGTCCTAGTGGCACGGTAGCGGCCGCTGGCCCTGCAGCATCTGGGCCGTCGAAATCGTCGGTGCTATCAGCCGCGTTCTGGACCCCCAACCGATTCGCGAGCGTCGGTTGCGCGGCGAGAGTTTGTGTGCGATACGGGACGTTGGGTTTTGCGGTATGCCCCGCGCCGCGGCTGCGGCCGCCGTCCGGAACGTGATGCGCGTCGTATGATCTGTGTCGAGTCTCATCGGGAGAGGGCGAGCGGGGATAGTAGTTATCGTGTGCCGGGCGCCTCTCATAGCCGTACGTGTCGGGTACCCGGGATCTGTCGTTGTAGGCCTCCTCGCCTGGTCGATACGTGTCCGATCGTAGCCTCTTGCTATTCGTGTTTGATGGTCCGCCTGAGCCCGCGTAGCTGGGCCCTGGGCGTGCCGCACGATCATCGTGAGGCAGCAGGCGCTTCCGACCATTTAGCGGGGGTGAGTGGGGATCCGGTTGTGGTAGGGGACGATCTGCGCGAGGAGGAGTAAGGGGCCCTGTGTATGCGTCTGGTGGCGCCGCAGCGCCGGATGATGGGGGCCGCAAGTCCCTGTACGACGATGTGAACCAAGGTCCGGGGGTTGGCGAAGATGACAATCCCCAGCTTCCATAGGATGTAGGAGCTGTGGGAGAATCTTCCCTTGCTGGTATGTGCTGGGGAGCAGCTCCCGTGGGTGCGGTAGGAACGGTCGAATTGTGCGCTGTCGCCTGAGGAAGAGGCACATATGCATGATCCGGGCAGCTTGAAGAGTTCGTCCGCGATATGGGATCATCAAGCTCGGGTGGATCATTATGGCGTGTGCGCTTGGTCTTGGCCCTCGTAGCAGAATCTGTCGATGTCCCGGCGACAGGAGGCTCGGAGTCTGGTTGCCGAGCACCTTCGACCGCACTTGCGCGTCGTAGCGTTGATGGCCCAGTATGAACCGGGGCCGACGCCTTCGCAGGACCCAGTCTCTCAAGAAGACTCGCCGATGCGTGTTTCGCGGCTACCGGAGCTGAGGATTGAGGCGCATGTGACAAGCGTGTAAGCAGAGCTTGATCATTCCGTTGCGCGGCTATATTACGCTGGGCAGCGATCGTAGAGGACGCAGGAGCGGTCTTCAAATCCGTATATGCGGGAGGGGGCGTAGGATACTTTGATTCCGAACTCCGGCGGTTGTGAGCAATGTCCACAGCCTTTTGCTGTTCGCGAGGTTTCTGGGATGCAGCCTGTTGCCGGATGTTCTCGGGCGAACGAGACGTCTTCTGAGGCAGCACAGATGCTCGAGGCGAGGCTGCTGAGGCGTGCAGCAGCGTGTCGTCCGTATCGGGTTCTTCTTTCTTGACAATGTCAGGTGGTCCCTTGAATTGCGGGGCGCTGACAGATTTACGCTCCAGCGATGATGCTGCGCTGGGGGCCGCTCGTGAAGAAGTACCCTGCGATGATGGGCATTGAGCAGCAGAAGGGCGAGTCGACTTCTCGTCACGCAGGTTCAGCTGAGCCTCGCGACGCGCAACCTCTTCCCGCTCCTTCAACTCGTCAATCCGACGTTCCTCGGCGGCCTTCAGCTTGGCCTCTTGTTCGATGCTAGCTTCTTCCTTGACGCGTCGCTCTTCTTCCTCGCGACGTCGCTGCTCTCGCAGCCGCGCCTCCTTCTTGCGCTTTCGTTCCTCCACTTCGCGTTGCAGCGCCAACGTAAGCGCCTGTATTTTGAGCCCAGCTTCACGGCGTATGGCCTCGAATCGCTGCAACTCTGGTGCTTTCGCTTTCGCTTTCGCCTCCTCTTCGCGACGCTGCGACTCTTGCTCCTTGATCCTCGCCTCTTCGTCCTTCTTCCGTCTCTCCTCTTCGGCGCGGAGTCGTTCCTCTTCCAGGCGCCTTTTCTCCTCATCCAGGCGCCTGTTCTCTGCCTCCAGGCGCCTTTGCTCCTCCTCTTCGACACGCCTCTTCTGCTCCTCCTCCTGCTCTCGGTCGAGCCGCAACTGCTCCGCCTCGCGCTCGGCGCGTACCTGCGCTTCCTGCCCGTCGCGCCGACGCCGCGCGACCTCCCTCGCGCGCTCCTCTTCCGCGTCCACGAGCGCCCGCACGAGCTCCTCCCGCCGCGCCTCGAGCCGCTCCGCGCGCCTGAACGCCGTATCGGCCTGCGCGACGGTGAGCGCCGCCTGCTCCTGCACGCGCTGCATCGCGCGGAACGCCTCGCCGCAGCGCAGGCGGAGCTCCTCCGCCGCCGCGCCGTACGTGCGGTGCATCGCCCGGACGTCGTCCCATTCGGCCGCGAGCCCGCGCACCTGCTGCGCGAAGTGTGCGAACGGGGGCGCTGCTTCGGGAGAGGAGTGGAGGGGGGGCGAGGAGGGGGAGCGCGCGCCGTCGCTGGAGGAGGGGAGGAGGGGAGGCGGGGCTGGCGTGCCCAGGTGGACGGGACCGGAGGGGGTGCCTGCGGCCGGGTGTGGATGCGCGCCGCCGTCCGAGGATGAACCGGAGGCTTGGCGATGTCCCAGGCTACGTGGGGCTGCGACGACGTTTGTACTGGACCCGATGACTTCTGGTACGGCGGAGGTATGGTTGGGTCTGCGGGAGGAGGGCCCGGCGCTCGCAAGCGCAAGCGCAAGAGAAGCATTGCTCGATGTCGAAAGCGCAAAACCGTCTTGATGCGCGCGAGGGAATAGCCCGCTTGAGAGTGGCGTGCGCGGGGGCGCTTCGTCAACGGCCGCCGCATCGTTGAGCCCGCCTGTCGACTGGTTCGCGCCCATCCATAGAGACTGGAGCAACGTCGGCCGCGATGATGGGGGCAATGGTGAGCCCCGAGAAGATTCCGGTTCTGCAAATGCTTCTTGAGGAGGCAGGCGCTCAGGGGTAGATTCCGCCTCGCCACCGACGACGGTATCTGAGAAGCGTCCTAGAAGAGAGGGCTGCCGACCGATGGTGCGAAACTGGAGATCTTGAACTTGAGGTAAAGGCACCGGAGGGATCACCGCCGGCGTCGACATCAAAAACAAGGTCGTTGAAGCGATAGATGTGGTCGGGAAAAGAGCTGCCACGCGTGAGTGTATGCGCCGCTACACGATGTGTAGCGAGTTACCGAAGCAAATCGCGACGCCCCAGTATCTCAAAGGATGCCTCTTATATCTGGAATTCGATGGAGACAATGCGAGATCAGTGAGGCCAGTGTTGTGAGGGAACGAAAAACAAGGCAACTGAGAGACGAGACAGACTGACACCTCACCGTCAAGCTGTTTTGATCTCTGAGTGTCTACTTTCGGGCCACTACAGGCCACTACAGACCTCCGCCGCTTTGATGTTACGTACCATAACCCAGAGAGAACACGGACTACCTCGTACAAAATGTCGTAAAGAAACAGTTGCTACAAGCCCTACTGATCCATTGATCAAGCCCCCCCAAAGCTCGACAGCGCCATGCACCCCAGCCACGCCATCTCGACCGCCGCCCGCCCTATAGGGTTCAGCGGCGGGATGTTGATCACGCCCGCATGCGGATACTCCGGCTCCTGGAACCCCTCCACCGGCGGCGGCGTCTGGTCGACCGTGTCGAGCGGGAGGCAGAGCCCGAGCTTGAGCAGGCCCTCGGGCACGAGGAACACGCCCTGATCGCGCCTCGTGCAGTACGCGATCACCTCCGCGATGCGCTCCTTCTCCGCCGGACGCGGCGGCGCGTTCGCGCGCGCCTCCGACAGCGCGCCCGTGACCGCGAGGCCCTCCGCCGGCAGACGGATGCCCGAGCTGCGCACGTCGTCGTACGAGACGATGCGCGCCGACGCGCGGAACGCCCGCCCGGCGCTGATGTTCTGGCTCATGCTCGAGCGCGAGCGCGAGCGCACGTGTTCGCCGCCGCCGCCGCCGCCGCCGCCAGCCGGCGGAGGCATCCGCGCGCGTTTCTTGCCGTCTTCGCCCGGTTTGTCCTCGAACATGGTGTAGTACACGAGCAGGTACAGCCGCTCGTCGACGGGGACGTGCACCGGCGGCTCGGCCGGCGCCTGCGCGTCGGTCTCGCCCGGCCAGAGCGGGAGGAGCATGTAGAGCGAGTCGTCGGGTATGCCTTCAAACACGTCCGCGTCGGTGCGACTCCCGCGCCGTGGTGCCGCTGCGTCGCGCGGCGTGCGCGACTTGGGTGGCTTGCTTGGAAGGAGGCCGACGTCCTTGAAGGATTCGTTGAGGTGGTGCAGCACGCGCTCGTGCTCCTCCACCTTCGTACGGGGCGCCATCGTCATCCACGGCGGGTCGTACTTGCCCTCGAGCGCCGCGCTCGCCGGCGGCGGCGGCGCCTGCACGCGCCCAGAGCTCCTACTCCCGCTCGGGCCGATGATCGCGCGTTTGAGACGCTGGCCGATGCTCGTCCCGTCTTCGTGCCGGCTGCTGCTCTCCGTGCGCGTGCGCATATACTCGATCGTGCTCGAGTCGAGCGCGGTGAACGCCTCGGCGTGGCTCGTCTTGTGGTAATGGCGCCCTTCGAGATCATCGTCGTCATCGTCGAGATCGATCTCATCGCGCTCGCGCAGGGAACCTGCGTACGTCGACTGCTGGAACGACTGCTGCGAGGACGCGACGGAGGGTTGCGAGTATTCCATTGACGAGCTCTTCGAGCTGCTCGGCGCGGATGAGACGCTGATGGCCGGCGGCGAGTAGGCCGTCGTCGAGGACGAGCTTGAGGGCAACGGTGGAAGCTGGGCCGGGGGCGGCTGTGGGGTCATCGCCACTGGCGGCGGCGGCGGAGGCGGAGGCGGGGTTGTCGTCGCAGGCGGAGGCGTCGCCGCCTTCTTCATCGAGTACCTCCGCGCAAACTTCCACCCGCCCTCGCTCTCGCCCGTGCTCAATTTCTCCTTCTCCTTCTCCTTCTCCCGCTTCTCCCTCTCCCTCTCCTTCTTCTCCTTCTTCTCCCTCTCCTTTCTCTCCTTCCTCTCCCTCTTCTCGCGCTCCTTCCGCTCTCGCTCCTCCCTCTCCTTCCTCTGCCGACTCGTGCTCTTCCTCCTCCCCTCAAACCCGTACCCATGCCCGCTCGCGCTGCTGCTCGTGCTCGTCCGGCCCACACCCCCTCCGCTCCCCGCGCTCGCCGTCTGCGCCCCCTCCGCCGGCGGCCGATCCGCGAGCAACCCGTGCGAGTTGAGCTTGCTCGTCGTGCGCGTGCTCGTGTACTGCTGCTGCACCTTGCGCGGCGCGAGGAGGATGCTCGTGCTCGTGTTCATATGCACCCCGCGCCCGCCGGCGGAGGACCGGATGAGGTCGTACGCGCGGAACACGGAGAACGCGTTCGCGCGCGAGTGCTTGTGGACGATGATCGCCGGCCCGCCGCGGGTGTTGCCCTTCGAGTACGGGTCGGGGATGTGCCGGATGCTGAGCCGCTGCTGCGCGGGCTTGGTCGGGTCCACTGCTCCGTGCGCATCTGATCAGCAAACAAGACAGGAACGCCGACGCACACACCAAACGTGATATCACGGATGACCAGGTCATCGGAAGAGACCCAGCAGTAATGAAAAACAAATGAAAAACCAAACGCGCATTCGTGATCAGGAAACAGAACTCGAACCGGGGGAGGCACGAGCGCACTCACCCTTGAGCAGCAGCCGGTCGACCTTGAACCGGCCAACATACGCGCACCTCCAAATCTCCTGCGTCCCGACCGTCATCGTCATCCTCCCCTGGCTCCTCTGCACGCCCGTCACCCCTCCGGCGATACTCCCCGCCCGATGACTCGGTCCGAGCTCAACCCCCACCCCCGGATTCTGCCCCTCCGCTTTCTCGCGCGTAAACGCCCAATCGCGCTGGCCCTGCTTATACTCCGGATCGTGGTAGGTGACATGGCGCAGGAAGGTGTCGTCCACCGTCGCCGTCGACGGCCTGCGGTCGTCCCCGCCCCCACCCCCTCCCCACAACCCGCCGAACGCGCCGAACCCACCAAACCCGCCCCCGCCCCCGCCGGCCCGATCGCCCGCGTAGATCGACGACGGCCTCCGCCCGGTGCTCACCCCGTCCAAGATATAGTTCATATCGAACCCGAAGCTCGCCTCGTCCGCCGCCGCCGCCGCCCCTTCCTGCGCCTCGCCCCCTTCTCCCGCCCCGCCTCCTCCTCCCCCTAGCGCGGTGCTCACACCCGCGCCCATGCCCGTCGTCCCCGTCGTCCCCGCGCCCACCTCCACCCGCCCCCACTGCGTCTCGCCCGCGGTCGCCCGCGCGAGGTTATACGCCCTCAAATCGTCGTCGAGCGAGCGCGACGGCCTCCTGAGCGTCGCGAGGCTCTCCCTCTCCCTCTGCGGATCCTGCCCCACGCCCGGCCCGCCCGTCCTCCCCGCCACACCCGCGACCGGCCCGGAGCCCATCGCGGACGTGTCCGTCGGGCTGACCGGTATATCGATCGGGATACTCCCCCTGCGCGCATAATACGGCGGCGCCGACGCCGTCGACGGCGCGTAACCCTCCGGCGGAGCCTGCTGCGCGCCAAAGATGCCGCTGTTGAACGCGACGCCGACCTCGCCCACGAACGGCGCGCGCGAGCCGGCCGGCCTGCGCATCCCCCTTCCTCCTCCTCCTCCTCCTCCTCCTCCTCCTCCTCCTCCGAACGTGTTCACGCTCGCCGCGTCCGAGTCCGCAAACCTGCCCGTCTGGAACGCGCTGAGGTGCATCTCGACCTCGTCCATATCCGTATCGAGCTCGCCGTCCCCGTCCCCGTCCGAGCTCAAAAACTCGTCGCTCGTGCTCTTGTTCTCGCTCTCCCGCGAGGACGACGTCGCGCGCCCCTTCCCCTTCCCCTTCCCCGCCCCCGTCCCCGTCCCCCTCCTGCGGCGCGACGCCTCCGACGACCCCCCGTCTTCTCCCTCCGAACCCTCTTCCTCTTCCTCTTCCTCTTCCTCGTCGTCCGACCCCGAGCGCTCGTCGTCCTCGCGATGCGGGCTGTGCCGGCGGCGCGTGTGCGACGCGAGCGAGTAGCGCCGCATGGTGGACGTCACGGACGCGATCGACGCCCTCGGCGTGCGCTCCGCGCTGCTCCGCTTCGAGTGGCTGGGGTAGTGGTGGTGGGGCGGGAGCGTCGGCGACGAGCGGCTCCCGCCCTCCAGCGGACCGACGCGGTCGCGCTCCGTCTCGTTCTCCGCGTCGTACGGGTCGCCTCCTTCTCCTCCTCCATCGCCTCCCGCGGCGGCGGCACCGAAGGTGTACTTTGCGAGCCCGGAGTAGAGCTCGGTGGTGTCGGGGAGCATCATGGCGGAAGAGGAGGAGGAAGAGGAGTAGGAGGAATGGGAGTAGGGCGGCGCGTGAGCGTAGGAGGTGGAGGTGGCGGCGGGAGGGAAGCGGCCGAGGGGGAGCGAGGCGCGGCGGGAGGTGCGTGAGGAGCGGGAGGAGGTCGAGGCTGTCGAGGCGGTGGAGGGCCGTCTGGCGGCGAGCGTGGCTGCGGATGGCGAGGGCGGCGGTTGAAGCCCTTGGAGTGGCGATGGCGATGATCTGCGCATCGAAGAACGGGCGGTCAGTTACCCGAGATCAGAGAGACCAAAGCGCGGTTTAATAATGACGGAACGAAATGCGAGCCGGTGTTGGACGATAGGTGTTAACCGATGGGAAATAAAATAAAAAGTGGGATGGCCAGGTGAAGAGAAGGGTGGAAGGATGGCGCCAGGGCGTCCTGCTGTGTGGATCGGCGGGGCGGAGGTCGCGCGTCGGGAGCTGCGTGCCGTGGCGTACGCAGCTGTCCCCTGCCTCCCCCGCCGATGCAAGAGGAGGCGGCGATGAGTGGATCAAAGGACGCGCTGCCCTCGGTCCCGCGGCGGTGACAGATCCGCGTCCGAACGCCGCGAAGCGCGGGGCGCTTGGGAGGATGCCATAGCTGTCCTCGCCCGCCCTGTCATCCATTTTTGGGCGTTTCGTGCGGAAGACGCGAGATCGGAGACAGGGTGTGCCATTGCGAGGCACAGGTGGAAAGTTAGGGAGGAGGTGGCGGCAGCGAGGGTAGAAGAACGAGGGCGAGGACGGGGACGAGGATGAAGAGAGGCGTTACTCACGATGTCGACTGTGCGGGCCCGGTCGCAAGAGACTTGCGGCGGATGGGCAGGATGGGTTGGCCAAGCATGTGCGAGCGGTCTTTCGGCGGCGGGGGTTGCCCAGCCATGACGATCGCCCGGTCGTGTGCGCGATGATAATAATCGTCGTCGTCGGTCGGCGCAGCGGCGAGCAAAGCCTTTGTCACCGGCGGCGAGTGCAGATGGTAAGAGACAGAAAGGGCACGAGGGAGTATGTTGTGCCGTGTTAGGTTATGTCAGGCTATGTCTGCCTGCTTTGGTCGACCATGCCGGCGTTCGTGTCGCCTGCAGCTGATCTCGCTCGCCCCGGGACGCGGTGGCTGGTCTCCTTGTCGATAGTTTCGGATCCACGTGGCACCGCCGAATCGCCCCCACGTGGCGCCCCCGCTGTGATCCTGATCCTGATCCCGGGTCGCCTTGTTCCCCAACGGGCCCAAGGTCGTTAACGTCCCCCTCCGAATTCTCGCTGCGACACCGTGAAAAAAAGGCTGGGGGACGGCCCCTGCTTCAAGATTCCAACCTAAAGACGAAAAAGCCAACTATGTAACTGTGCTAAATCCGGGCCTTTTCCTGGATATCGACGAGTCCCTGTTTTCCACCACCGCTTATCGCCCCGGTACGATGCTACCGGACAGGTCGACTACCGGATGATCGCGCCGTGTCGGCCACAATAGTATATCTCATCCTTCACGTCCAAACCGCGTCCAAACCGCGTCAGCACTACGGTGATATGTAGTTCAGGTTCTATCCAAGCTTTTCTGCATCGCAGCAGGCCCTAGGCCTGTATGTACTTACCCCAAGCGGAGGGTCTTCCTCTCGCCGACGGCTGCTCTTTCGCGGTCCCTCGAACGCCGTCGGCTCAGGAAACATACATAAGTTCATATGTACGTACGTACGTACATAAAGGAAGTGCGCAACTAAAGAGCTAATAATACCGGCACCCCCCTCGGCACTCCCCTTCCTTCCTCAAGGTGTCAGAGCGCTCTCGTCTCGGCCGAGCGCACTTATCTGGAATCGTTTCGAACGACGCTGCGCAGTGCGCATCCGTTGTCCCCGCCCGGAGGAGCCGAGTTCCGAACAAGAGGAAGAACGCTCCCTGGTACTATGTAGTACATCACCTCGCAAGAGACCGAACCAAAAAAAAAACCATGACGCCGCCATTGACATTCTCGCGAGCGGCAAAGTAAGCAAGATAGGTGGCATCTCAGAAATCCAGTGAACATGATTGCCAATTTGTACCACCTTCGCCTTGAATTCGCAGCACCCAGTTCGACAGCGGAGCGCCGCTCACGGGCCAGGTGATGCCCGTTCACATCAAACCAGAAGAAACAAAGAACGCGGGACACGATGACGCAATGGGCTCGCGATAGCGGCCTGATTGCGCTCTCTAAGTAACTTACGACCTTCGCAATCGACGACGAGGATCTGGAGCAGCGGTGATAGGAAGCATTTTATCGAACCAAGACCTCTGACCCAACGCGTGCTTCCGACGACGACTATGACCGAGGACCCTGCTGGCCGACTTATCGACGGGGCCAACGACCCAACGGAGACTCGCTCTTCTCCTCGATCTCTTCAGTGCTCAACATTTCCCACCTCATGAAAAAAAAAAAACCCCTCGCCCCGCTGTCGTCCGCGCTCCGACATTACACCGCCTAATCGCACTGCAATCCATTGCCTCATAGGCTCCTTTATCCCCTTCCGGCTCAAGATCGAACCGCGACCCCCCGCCCGATTCATACGCACCCCGGGCGCATCCAACCAGGGCGAGAGAGGTGCGGCTCGTGTTACTTTTCCCGCCCCGAACATCTTAACCCTTCCTCCACACCTCTCTTCTCTCTTCTCTCTTCTCTGATGTGACAGAAGAGTCCACTTCAGCCCCGTCCCGCCCATCCCGTCATGCCTTTCTTTTCATGACCCAACATCGCGCGCGCCATTTACGCTCACACCCCGGTTTGGCGCCTCTGTCTCGCCAAAAAAGCGGGGCGGGTTACTTACCCTCGATATACACGGAAAACGTTTTTTGGGGTGAAGTTCTACAAAAGGTCCCGACTGCCCATTCGTAAAATAAACAAATAAATGCTATTAGGCTCTCCAGCTTTACCATATTTTTATTTTTTATTTTGGTCAGATTTGGGACATGGGGGCGCGCCGGTTGTGCTTTCGAGACCCGATCCGATCACCGTGAATGGCGCCTCCGCTCGTACGTGATATACGTCCTTATATACACGCGGATGTCCTGCGTAGACTTGCTGATTTTCTTGCCGCAGCCGCTCACAGGTAACCCATACACCATGGCACTTGGTGGGTCCTTCCAGAAGACCGTGACCATCGGATCCTCCTGGACGCGCGGCCTCGCCATCCATGCCGTCACCTCAGGGCTAGGATAATATCGACCCTTTTCGAGAGAGAGAGAGAGAGCGTGCGTGAGGTTTGCGGTTGTGCGCCAACCCCTGGGGCAAAGGGGGCGTGGGAGGACCGTCGAGTGTCGAGCGTCGAGGCCAAAGAGGGGGGGGGAGGGGGAAGAGAGGGGAACGTCGACGTCTTCGTTGCCGGACAAGATTCCCCAAAGTCCCCGACGTCGGGTGTCTCCTCAAACGGGAACACGGGCGCGCGCCGGTATCCTTCGAAACGGTCCGTCTTGCGGCGTGTTATACTGGTGACGTTTGATTCATCCCTGGACCTCCAATATATATAGACTGTAGACACGCTAATCGATGAGAACGAACCAAGAGCGCCGCCTTGCAACCCCGTAGTATATACTTATAGCGCTATAACCGCGGTATCCACCTGTGACGTTCCTCATACAGCCTGTCATCCAGCTGCCTAGTCACTCCCACAAATAATCTAATCCACAAGGTGTGTCAGACCGAATCGGGATACAGTGGGATCTTATGAGGGCTGCATTGCCATGTGTAATTATCCATGGACGTCAAAGCCTCATCGGGCTGGCCCAGATCCCGTGGCGACGCCGCAATGGATCTTCCCACTGGCGGGCTCAGCAACTCGAGAGCTTGACGGGAAGAACCGAACCGCGAAAGAACACGCCCGATCGAACCTTCGTTTGGGTTTCTGACGAAGCCCAAGGCGGCTTGGGGTAAGGAGGAAGGAAGCCCACCTTGTGATGATCAAATAACGACAGTGTGCTGCACGGAGACGCATGCTTAGACCCACTGCCCGAGCACGGCAAAGAGGGCGTGATTGGTGGCGCCGCGGCCTCGAGATCCTGCGATCTGGGCGCACCACGCGCGGAGGCGTGTTTTTAATGAAGTGGGGGGGGCGGGGGGTGGAGTTCTAGACAAGACAAGACGAGAGAGAGAGAGAGACAAGGGCGGCGTACGTTTATGTCCACGGTGCGCGTTATTGTTGTTGTGCGCGGGTTACACACGTCCTGTCGGATGTCTACGGGCGCTTGTTGCAATCGCGTACGAATTTGCGCGTGCCCCCCCTACGCCCCCACTCGTCGTATCAAGTAATGAACGCGCCGGTGATACCCGGCGTGGGTGCGTCCGATGTGGTCGTAGCGAGGCAGGCTCGTGGCTTCGGGAGGGACATCGCCCATCGCCCATCGTGCGCGGGGCATCGAGGCGGACACGTTCTACGCGAGAAGATGATGATATCGCGTCGGGACCGTGTGTGCGAGACGCGGCGAGCGCGGGCGGTGCCGTCACGTCGACAGTCAGGTGCTGGTAATCGTCTGTAGATACCGCCGCTGCTCACCCGTAACATATAACTATGTGCGCCGCCAGAGATCGCGGCTAGACTAACACGCCTTCGTCGTATGTTTTTGTCGCCTTTGCCGGCTGGGGCTGATGCTGACCTAAGCACTCCGGCGGTATCGAGGTTCGCGAACACCGGCCATTCCCAGCGCGATGGCAAAGAAGGGCGCCAAACTGAAGCAGAACCCGACCATCACCCCCTTCGTCCTCCCGCCGACGGACGACAATAGCTCCTTCCCCTCCTCCTCCAGCGCGTTCAGCCCGCTCTCCCCCGCCTCCCCGCGCTCGCCGTGGTCACCGGCGTCGACGACCGCCAGCCCCAGCACCTCCACCCCCACCCCCGGCTTCGCCGCGTTCGACATGGCCCCCAAGGCGGGCGCCTCGGACGCGCAGCCCGTGCTCGTGCTGCAGTCCACCGCGACGAGCTTGCTCGACGCCCAGCTCCTCGACGACTTCACCAAGGGCGTCGTCTACGCGATCGAGACCGTCGGCCGCACCACCACCGTCTTCCGCACCGACCCCGCCAGTCTCAACCCGACCCCGAGCCATCGCGCCGCGAACGTGCACTGGCCCCGCCGCGCCCGCACGAGCGCCAAGGCCCGCGAGCTCGCGTCGGGCGTCAGGATCCAGATGGGCGGCGGACGCTGGCGCGAGGCGGAGGAGTTTCTCAAGTTTGGATCGATGTATACGTGAGTTGTGTCTCTCTCCCTCTCTCTTTCTCGTCCTTCTCGCTCTGGAACGGGGGAACTGCGCACAGGACGCCGATCTGATGTCGTTCCTCTGCTATTTCCGTATAGGACCCGCAAGTTCAATATGCCGCATCATCGGGACTCGCTCAAATGGAAGCGCACGGGCGATGGATATACAGTACGTACTCAGAACTCCCTATCAAGCTCACCTTCGCAAGCTCATGATTTCCCGTCTATTCTTGCCCTTCTCTTTCTATTCATACCTGCCATCGACGACGATCCCCCGATGATGATGACGACGATGAAAACGCGCGCAGTGCACGACCGCCTCCGTCAAAGGCCCCGTCGCGATCCTCGACCCGTCCTCGATCTCCTCCCCGGCGCGCCTCCGCATCTGCGACACGCTCGTAAAAAAGAACGACGACCGGCCGCAGCTCGACTACGCCGGCGTCCCGCTCCTGCTGCTCGACCACCTCGTCCTCACCTCCATCCTCCTCGTCACCGACGCCGAAGAGTGGATGAACCTCTCCGCGCGCCCCGCCGACGACGTCTCCCTCTACGCCCGCTCCGAATCCGGCCGCTCCTCCGTGTACCACCCTCCCCGGCCCGGCACCTCGGGCGGCCCCGTCCCTCCGTTGCCCGGACTGCCCGCCGCGACGGTGCAGCAATGGCGCCAGGGCGTGCACCCCGACGAGCCCGCGTCGCCGACGTCCATCCGTCCCGGCAGCCCCGCCATGTCCGGCTCCTCCGGCTCGAACACGAACACCGACTACCCCGTCACGCCCGCCTCCGCCGCCTCCTCCCAGTACTTCTCCTACCCGCAACAGCCACCGCCGCCCCCCAAAGCGCCCGCGCCCGCCGTCCCCCCCCTGCCGCCGCAGTTCCAGGCGTCGTCGCCCGTGCCCATGAGCGCCCGCACCGCCTCCTTCGGCGCGCGCACGCCGCCGTCGTCGTCGTCCGGCAGCTACGCGCGGCGCGAGCTGCCCGCGCCGCCCCCGGGCCCGGCGCAGAACCGGAACCCGCACCCGCACCCGCACTGGCTCCAGCACTCGCACTCGCTGCAGTACACGTCCACATCCACCTCCTCCGCCTCGCGCCCCGGCACCGCCTCGCGCCAGTCCGCGCCGTACCCGAGCAGCGCCGTACCCCCGCACGCGCAGCAGCAGCAGCAGCAGCCCGCCTACCCGCCCGTGCCCTACTCGGCGGGCGTGGCGGCGCCCAACTACCCGCGCGGCTTCGAGCCCTCGTCCCCGTCGCCCTCGTCCCCGTCGCCCTCGCCCGCGCAGTACACGCATCCGTACGCCGCCGCCTCGCCCGGATCCTCCCGCCCCGACACGCCGCTCGACGCCGCCTCCGCGCTCCAGTCCGCGTCCGCGTCCTCCTCCTCCTCCGGCGCCCTCTCGCGCTCGCCGCCTCCCGCCGGCCCGTCCTACCCCCCGTCGCGCGCCTTCCCCCTCCCCGAGGCGCGCCCGCCGCCCACCGCCTCGCTCCCGCGCCCGCCGCCTCCTCCTCCTTCCCACCAGCTCCCGCAACCGCCCCAGCCCGCTCAGCCCCCGCCGCCGAACAAGCTCGCGGCCGAGTTCGAGCGCGCGGAGCGGTTCCGCGTCGCGCGGCGGGCGACGCGGATGATCGGTCCTTCCTCCTCCTCCTCCTCCTCCTCGGCGGGCCCAAGCGGGGAGACGGAGACGGAGACGGAGACGGTGGTGGGCGAGCTGGAGGCGCGGGTGAGGGGGGGTTTGTACCTGGACGAGGCGGGGGGGCGGGGGAACAGGGAGACGATGTACGAGCTGCCGCCGCCGGCGTACGACGCGATCGACTTTTCGGCGCCGAGGGCGCCTGTGCCGCATGCGCCGCCTGTGCCTCCTGCCGCTGCTGCGCGGGATCGGGGGTATGGGGAGGGCGGGGGCGAGGCGGCGTCGTGAGGGACGGTGGGTATTGGACTTGGTCTGGTTGTTTTTCGGTCGAGTTTGGACTTCCCCCCGGGTTGTGATTCCCTTCCCCTTCCCCTTCCCCTTCCCTTTCTTCCCCCCTTCCCCCCATTTTTTCTTTGGTTCTGTTCCCTCTTCTTCCCCATCTCTTCCGCGGCTGCTTCTGACTCTGACATTCCGGAATTCTCTACGCCATATATGCATGCATATTTCTCTCTCCCTCGTTTCGATTCCTCATCGTAGTTTCGGTTTCTTTTTTTTTTCTTCCCATTTTCAATCTCTTCGCCCTTACCCTGCTATCGAGCGCTTCTACTCCCGAGATCGCCTAACTGCTCGCCGCCAGGTTTCGGCTACCCCCTGCATATAGATCTTCATATCCTGTCTCTATGCCATCTTTTCCCGGGGTGGAAGGGGGCAGTGCTCCTGCTCCGACACTCTGAACGATTGTTTTTTTTTCCGTTATCGAATCGCCCTTAAGCCTCTCCCGTTCCAAAAACGTTCTTTTGTTTTTCTTTATTCTCTCTTTGTTCGCGAAGATGCAGCGCATACCACCACAGCCCGGGCCCGTTGTTGACTAGTAGCCATTCAACGACGCCAATGAAATATGAGTATCGATGTCACGGCCTTGGAAGTGGGCGTTGTAGACTATTGACGAGGAAACTTGTTGAACTCGCCGACGCGCCGCTTCATTCTGTTCCAGGAAGTATTTCCTCTCGGCTTGCTACGTATACTTGTACGGCCGATTCTTTGCTCGCGCTCTCCTCTAACGTATGTCATATGAGCACTACGTAGATCCACCACCGGACAGATCTCGACAGTGTGTCCCAGACCGCCCGCCCTGGTTGCCGACGTCACGGACTTGCGTCTCTCTCGTACGCTCACATGATAGTTTGCTCGCTCTCACCTACTATATACCAGTTGAGCGCTATACTACCACCGTGTCGAGCTCGACAGGTTGTCTATTTGTAAGTCGGTCCTCGGAGGCAACTCTCGGCAGTCGTACATGTACTCGACCACAGCCGCACACCATCCCGCCGAAGATAAAGAGGACGGTGGGATTTCTCTTTCTACACCCGACATTGGGCGTGCGTCACGAACCGGCATCGTGATGGCTCTCAGTCGTCGGAACGTTCTCCAGTATGCTACCTTGCACCTGCCGGGCAAGCTCGTCACGTAGAGCCGATGGTATTCGTAGCCACGGCGTCCGTCCTCGTCGACTATAACCACGCCGGGCTGTTCTATGGTCGAACAAAACAATCGCATTAACGTGCGCTTTCAACAATGCCGCCCTTCACCATCGCTCGTCCAAAGGCAACGTTTGCCTTCAAGCACGTTCAGGAAAGGCCTTTGCTGCTCGACGTCTATGCAGCCGAAGGCACGGCAGGCGGACCGCGTCCCGCCATCCTCCACTTCCACGGTGGCGGACTGGTACGTTACCGCCCATCCATCTCGTTCCACGACCCTATCAAAATCTCACTCGCGCGTCGATCCCAGATCTCCGGCGACCGCACCTTCGTCCCGCCCTGGCTCGTCGCCGCAGCGCTCCACCGCGACTGGCTCGTGATCTCCGCCGACTTCCGTTGTCTCCCCGAGTCGACGGGCGCCGAGCTCGCCGAAGACCTGCGCGACGCGTACGACTGGCTGGCGCGCGGCGGCGGCGGCGCGAGCAAAGACCTGCCCGACCGCCCGATCGACCCCGCGCGCATCGCCGTCGTCGGCGGCAGCGGCGGCGGGTACTGCGCGCTCCTCGGCGGCGCCGAGCTCTTCCGCGACCCTGCCCCCGTAGCCATATTCATGCTCTATCCGCTGTCGGACCCCGCGTGGCCCACGTACCTCGCCGGGCCCGGATTCGAGCGACGAGGGGTGATGGGGCACGCCGTTGAGGACGCGGCGCCGACGCTCGCTGAGATCGAGGAGCGCATCGCGCGAGGGGAGTGTAGCTTCGGGGAGGCGTTCCAGCCCAAGGCGGACATGTCGAGGCACGGACGATGGCCGTACATGCGCTTCGTGCTCCAGGAGGGCCTTGTCGCGGACTACCTCACCGGCGTGCGCGGGATGGCGGCGAAGATCAGGGAGGAGGGAGTGGAGAAGGCGGTGCCCGAGCACCTGCGGCATCTCTTCCCAGCCGAGTTTGGGGTCCACAAGGAGCTATCGCCGCTTATCATCTGGCACGGTACGGCTGACGCAGTGATCGACATCGCTCAGAGCGAGAAGTTGGTGGCAAAGTGCAAGGAGGTGGAAGCGGTGGTGCATTTCTTCGCGGTGGAGGGAGCGCAGCACGGTTTCGATTTTGCGTATGTGGATGTGGAGGGCAGCAAGGATAAGAAGCCTGGGGAATCGGAGTTGGAGAAATGCATCCAGGCGCTGGAGCAGTATATGTAAAGTCGAGCCGGCGAGAGAGGTGGTGCATGTCTCTTACCATCGTCTTAGATATGTACTAGCATCATTAGCGTGCGCTATGCGACGCTATGCACCAAAGTCATGACATGCCACCGTACTCGAAGTATGCACAAATCCCTGTCACAATTGTTGTTGACTGGCCCATGCATGTACCTTTACTCAATCTGCATATGGTGCTCATCTTTCCAGCCCGAGATGGGTGTACATGGTTGTCATAGCGTGTGCCGTTAACTTTGACCTATGATGAATGTAACCTGCCTTTTAGACAAAGGGGTGTGTACGTGTCCACCAACTAATGTGCATTAGTTATTGTGAGTTGTATTGACATCACCATTAGTGTGTGGTACTGTGAGTTCTACGAATTAAGATAGGGCTCATTCAGTTTCAACAGGTCCCACGGGTCTTGCTAGTCGAATAAAATATTCTACGTTCAAAATTCACAGAAATCGCCGCCACAGATTTCAAGATAATGTACATTCAAAGAGAATTGTGGTTTTAGGATTAAAGAGTGTACCCCATAGCGAGTGGAATTCGCTGCGCAGCACTTATCACACCTGTTGAAACTGAATGAGCCCTATCTTACCATGTGTTAGTCACTGTAGTTGATTAGCATGGGCATCAGTTACTGAGCATGTCTTATCACTCTGACTTTTACCCATGAGCATGCATCAGTTATGGTGTATGGCTCTTCTCATTCCCGTGTGCTAGTCACGGCGACTGATTAGTACATACCTAGCTTTACCAATCAGAATACATCAGTGAGCACAACTTATCGTTTTCTTTAGTTACTGTGACTTATTATCGTACACTCAGTTTGGTATCACTTAGTGTCACTTAAGTATTACACCGACTTCCGTCCTTTAGCGTGCATTTGTTGCTGTAGCTTATGACTGCTACTTCACGGCTCAGGCATGACTGAGACTGGATCTGATCGCACTTTCTTACCGTACACAATTACTGACTCTGATCCAGTGTGGCTCGTTCGATTAATCATGCAGTGATTCATCTGCGCGCGAGCAGGATCGAACCCGTGACCTGGGCAAAATCCCGGATCGTCACCATCGACGCGCTAGCCACTTCGCCAAGCGAGCGTGCTAGTCGCAGTCCGCATGCAAATCTATAATGGAATTACAGGAGCGTGTGGCTGATGATTAATGTGATGTCATCGCTTATTCGGCCCGTTCACGTGACTCAAGCCCGCCAGCCAATCAGATTGTCTTTTTGACTTTGTCCTCCTCCTTTATAATAGAAGATACCGGCGATCAACACGCACCGAAAATCTTCATGGAGGCTGGTTCCGTGGTACGTCTGAAAACCACCGGGTTGTTGCCTGGGGCTTGGAGCCTCGCTCTAAACCGCCATGACCATACGACGGCAGTACGACGTATGCTCGTCCGGAAGCACCATATCATCTGCCCACGTACACGGCCGCAGGGCTCCATGTCCTTCCGTGTCGCTTTCGCATCACTAATTGAAGGCGATCGATAATCGAATTGCACGATATATGCATGCTGCCGCTACTGCTGCGTGCAATCGGTCAATGGGCTTAGCGAGACTACGGGCGAATCCGTGCAAGCAAGCCGTATAAAACAACGAAGCCGTTCCGAGACTTCTCGCTCCCCGGCAATGTCGAACAGCATCCCCCACGTGCAAAAGACATTCTCCTTCAAGGAGATCCGAGGCCAGCCATTGCTGCTAGACGTATGGGCAGCGGAGAAGCCCTCTGGTGGACCACGCCCCGCTACTATTCTACACTTCCATGTCGGCGGGATGGTATGTGCGATCATCCGCCCCTCCCCGCCCGTTTCCTCGTTCGGTGTTCCGATCCTCTTTTTTCCTAATCCCTTGTTGATACAATACGACAGGTCTCCGGCGATCGCACCATCATCCCACCGTGGCTGGTCCCTGCCACGCTTAGACGCGACTGGGTGGTGAGCTGCTAAAGAAGGCCCAAGAAGTCGGCGCCGTTATAGAGTTGATTCGCGTTGATGGCGCCGACCACGCATTCGACTACGCGTACCGGGACGTGGAAGGTATGAAGGGTGATCCACAGGCGCTGGCAGTGCAGAAGACCATCAAGGCATTGGAAAAGTACCTTGGATCAGTGGTGTTACTGACCGATCATATTATGTCCCGGTTGTGACGGGTGACTTGCCTGAGCTTGCTCAGGTACAGCACCAATCGTATCCGATATCAGGTTTGGTTAGATACTAATATAAGGTTGTGATTTGCGAGAGTAAAGTTTCACCCGCGTGTCAGGCGGGGCGTAGGGTCGGACAGAGGTCGATAATGGCTCGGGGGAACTCCTGAGAGTCGCCTAGAGATATGTAACATGACCCAGAGAGAATGGCAAACGAATCAATCCCGAGAGGACGTTGAGTAGTAGATCCTGGGGAAAGCCCGACTGACAAGGTGCTCAGATATCGAGCGAACGCCGCTGCACGTAGCCTTCAGTAAAGCGAGACATGCGTACCGAGACGTGGAAGGCCCGAAAGTGCAGATGAGCATCAAGAAATTGGACAAACACCTGGGATGAAGTCCATGACCGTTTCGTATTCCGTGTATGTTATCAAGCGAGCCGGAGTGTACAATATTTGGATGTGCCTTGAGGGCACAACCTCGATACGAAGTTCATTCTCTACACATGAAACATGCATCGACTTAAACACTTCCAGTACAGTTAAACCCGATCGAACTTGCTACATTGCTGCACAAATAAAGAGCTGGGACGTCACCTCCACCAGCCTCTGCTAGGTGAACACCTTCGATGGCAACGTTCTCGCACGGGGCGGCGCCGCTGCATTGTATCTCGGCCACGGTCCCTGACGCAGTGGTCCCGGTCATGTTTACCCACGACACGTTGGCGATCTTGAGGGTGGATGTGTCGCAGCCGCCTGTCGCGCCTGAGAACGAGGTGCATTGCGTAACTTGTACCGGGTAGTCGGTGATATTCGCCAATGTCCAGTTTTGCCAGACGACGTTCTGAACGACTGCCGGATCGTAAACAAATCATGGTCACGACAAGTTACTCGCGCATTAATGAGAAAGGGGCTTACCGCCCGTTCCACCACCGCCACCATTCGGAGGAAATCCTTGCCGAACACCGGTCCATGTCTTTTTACAGATGGTTCATTTACCGGCGAAGATCGTTACAGCCATGCTTACTTTTATATAGCCAGTGTACCTTGTGCGGATGGCTTCTATATTCCGAGCAATCACACCATCGATGTACTCGTATATGCCTGCGTATTGACCAATGCTGCCCATCGCGACGCCAAGACCGCGGTAGAACGTGCAATCTTCAATGAGGATGTTCGTGGAGTTCGCCTTACACGCGATGGAGTCATCGCCGTTGTCAATCGTCCAGCGCCGGAAAGTGATTCGATCTGAAGCGAGGGTGTCCGCGCCGTCTGTGTTGCGTGCCGGATTCTGGTGAACGCGTTCCCAATCTGCATGAACGGGAATAGCCTGCGAACCCACGCACATGATTATCCGAAGTGCTGTTGACGTAGATATCTTGTAGAAGAACATTCTGAGACCACGCTATGGTCATTGTCCTGGAGAAAGCAATTATGAGCATGCCGCCATCCTGGAGCCAAAGTTTGCATACACACCACATCTGACTTTGGACAAACCGAAGACCTTCAAAAATCGAGTCTCGAGTCTTCCAGATGGTGATAGCATGCGGTCGACCCGGATAGTTGCTCTGCCCTTGGACGAAGTCGTACCACAGTTGACCGTTTCCATCGAGAGTGCCGGTGCCGTACCCGTTGACGCGTAGACGCTCGCCACCGAAGAACCATGCCGAAGACTGGTTCTGGTAGCCCAACGGAAGGCTCGTAGCAAGCCAATTCGTGATGTTGGTCCCCCACTGATCGTGCGATCAGAGCGTTCCGCGATGGAGTAAAGTAGCAGGCGACGAACCAGCAAATAGCCATGCAAGTCGACGGTGCAATCTGATAGGCCAGTAGTGTTCATAACTTGCTCGATGTGAAATGTCTGACTGGGCGGAAACACCACACGTCCGGCGTGTCCGCACCTCTGAAACGCCTCGATAACCGCAGCCGAGTCGTCGCCACCATCGCTATCGGGAACCACCGTACAGACACCGGAAACATATCCCGGGTCTTTTGTATGGAGGACGTGTCCGGAGAGCACGAGGAGAGGTAGAATCAAGGCTGGAATTAAATGGGCTAGCATGACTGAGACGTCATGGAGACGACATACGATTCGCCCTTTCTTATACGACTCGACATCCACAGGGTCAGAGCTTCAGCGTGACGTGCTCGAGACATCAACCCGCAGTAGTGGAGGCTTCGCATGCATCGATGTAGCAGGTTCATCTTCGAATTCTTCCGCATCAGGGCGGGCCGTTCGAGCACGTTCAGTTGGACACATGCGCACACAGATGATGTTCTATGATTCAAATCTGCGATTCCGGGCTAACGAGGTGCGCCCTGTAGATCTGTAGTATATTGGTCTCGTGTTCGCATTGAGCAAAGCGATGCAAGCCGGGTGTGATCCAGCTATCGAGGAGGTAAAGGAGAGGGCCATGTGTTCAAGCCGATTGACGTCTCGTCCCGAAGGTCTTATGAGCCGGCCCTAATGTTTCCCACGCTGCATCACCTACAAAAATTTTGCTCGCGCATTTCGGTTTCTTTAGAACATACTCGATCGTGCGTGCCCCCCCTGCGTTTTCATGCCGATACGTCGTGCTAACCATGCCTTGCTCTTCACAGAGGATCTGTTATTCAGTATCTTACCGAGTCTCGCTTGTTTACACAAGCCGCATCCTTCAAATCCACTCGATGAGATTCGCGCCCGCTCGTTATACTGAGAACATGTCTGCCTTTCGGCGGACTCGAGGACGTTTGGCTTACCTGAAGCTTGCGCCTTTCGGGGCCATTCTTCGGGTTCGCCAGCGAGCCGGGCGTTTGTCTGATGGATTCTGCTTCCGGAGGGGATGCAGCTTCGTTATACATGTATATGTACGCTCAATGAAAACTCTCGTTGCATTCATACTGTGATTGTGGATCTTGTCGCAGCGTTGATGGTGTCGTGCTTTTTTGCTCGAGCGAGTCAAGAATGGTAGGAAGTTACGCCGCATGATCGAGGATGTCGGTTCCCAGACGACCGCTCATCCAAATCTCGTCTACTGCGCAAGGAGCTACTGAAAGGGCGATTCCAGACGACCAACGCGACGGAGCTGTGCGACATCAGCTTAGTCTACTCGGCTGCAATAGGATATGGTATCAAAACGGGATGCGACATCGCATCCTTTGCGCTAAGACGCCGCGACGGGGAGTAGGCCATCATCTCCTCCAGCAAATCCTTGACTTCGTTTCGAACATCGAACATGCCGACCACGCTCTACGCGCAAGCAGGTCCATTATTCGCCATGAGCTCGGGATGCAGAGGATGTGCTCTTACCTCTACAGTTGGACCTGTTATCGTCGTCTCCACCTCAGTCGTTGGCGCAAGCCCCATGTCTTGCCGTTCTTCGCTGGTCGGTTCGCCTAATGTTTGTCGGCAAAGCTCACCCTGGGCTTCTTCGGTTTCGGCGTACTCCATCAACGGCTCGCCGATGAACATGTTGACCATCAGCAGCGCCAGCGCGAAGACGTCTGTCGTTCCCAAGTCAGCAAACGTGGGACATCGGGACGATACTTGCGGCGACACACCAACTTTGCACGTATACAGGGTGGATCCGAACAGGGCTTCCGCTGGATGTGGTTGAAAATCAGCAATCGAGGGCGGCGGCGTTCGACAGTTCGCGGACGACGTACGTGCCCTCGCGTTCCGGTGCCCGTAGATATGGGTATTCTCCACGCCAGGGTCGAGGCGCTTCGCGCACCCAAAGTCGCACAGCACCACCCTCCCGCCCTCGGGGAACGCGCCGTGATCGACGTCCACGAGGACGTTCGGGAGCTTGAGGTCGCGGTGCGCAATGAGCCGCGCGGGGTCGTGCATGTACGCGAGCGCGGAGAGGATCTGGCGCGCGTAGGACAGGACGTGCGGGAGCGGGATCGGCAGCGCGAGCGACTCGAGCGTGGCGGGAATAACGGGCGTTAGGAGCATGTGGAGATAGCGGGCGATGCTCGGATCGTCCGGGTCGTCGGTGAACCAGAAGGCGTCTAGGCGGAGGATGTGGGGGTGAAGAAGCAGCGAGTGGACTTCGTGCTCGCGGTGCTGAGTATGATGGATCAGCGAATCGTGAAGAGGCGACAGCGAGGGGCGAAAGACCGTACCTTGTATCTGACTTCCTGTCTCGATCGCTTCAGAGCCATGATTTTACCGGGAATATTTTGTCCTGCATTGGACGCGGCATCGCCCCAGCCAAGGATTCTGACGGAGTGAACGGTGCTGAAGCCGCCGTCCGCGATGTAGGCTACCGGCTCGTAGGTAATCGCCACAGGCTTCGGAACGTCCTCTGCACTCCTCGCAGGCAAGGATGCCGATACAGTGAGGGAACTGCTTTCCGTCATGGAAGTGTATCCCCTGGCGCATGATTGACCGCACTATATCGGGAAGAGCATGACTCAAAAGGTATTTGCCACGTTCAAGCGCAGTCGTTGATAAGGATCCGGATGATACAGTTGGCATCACTACGTTGGCCAGTTACGTGGGTGTCCCAGGATGGCATTGTGTAAACAGAGCAGAACAGCAAAAACGCACAGGTACTAGTAGCACAAAAACATTTGTACGCGAAAATGCTTCATCGGAAGTCATACGAGCAGCGCCGGGTAAGAAGCGCGGGAACGCCAACGTTCACATCAATGGCACGCCATGCCTTTGCCGGAAGCACCTCCGGAGAGGACGGCCTCTGGGTCCATGGCAGGATTGAAGACGTAGTGGCCGAGAGCAGCTCCCACCACGACAGCGAGGATGAGATAAGCCTGACGTACAAATGAGAAATGTCTCCTGATAGTGTGAAGGAAGGCTCACGTTGTACGTCATGAAGACTAGCATAAGGAAGAACGACAGGAAGACGGTTGCGCCGTACAGGAAAGATCTGAGAGCACGAGCCGCAGGAGGGATGGGTGTCCTGTAGACGAGATAGTTTCAGTCATCATAGCGCATATACGGAGAGAGAGTGAGCTAAACACGCACTCCGCCTTTGAAACCCGCCGACCAGTCAGTAATCCGTCTTCCTCAGCGGCATCCCCGTCGTTCTCAGGGAGCTCTCCACTCACCAATCCTCCCCGACCCTTGCCCTTCGCGGTCATCGAGAGCGCGATGCGCTTGTCGACCGTCGTCTGGAACATGCGGAGCCATTCGTAGAAGGCGCCCAGCGCGACAATGATAAAGAACGAGAAAACGAAGGCGGTCGTCGTCCGGATGTGCCAGCTCCTAAAGACGATGCATGTGTTCTCTATCTGAGTGTTCCTGGAAACCGAACGTCAGCCAGGTCATTGCAACGAGATAGGGATGCGCGAATACCAGAGCATATTCATGGAGCATCTGGGCGGCATTGTGTGTCCACTATGATCCCCGTGGTTCATGGTGAAGGAGGTTGATGTCGATGAGAGAGCGTTGCGCGACCGAACTCTGTCGTAGGTCGCAGTGCACAGTACGCCGGCGGCCAGACGCCTCCAGACGCTCTGCCGGTCCACGTGACTTGGCGGCGCACGGCCGAGAGAACAGACCCGATGTACACGTGCAAATCAATGCTGGACGCGGCCGTTCTCAGTTGCCAGCCGCGATCTCGGACAAGCTTGGCCTACTTGACTCTTGAGCGTTTGACGGTTCTAAGGCTCACAAATAACCGTTGCATCTTGAGCGAAGTGTACGGTCTCTGGCAAACCAGAAATGAGTACTGTTGAAAAGGGCGAGCTTCCAGTTGAATTAGTGGTCTCCATTCACCGCATCTTGGATGGACCGGAGGACACGACTCGGAGCTCTGACCCTTTAGATGCTCTTTCATCGGCTGAGCTCAACCCTGTCGATGTTCTCAACGAGTACTTTCCGGATGGTCAGTCTCCTGTCTCATACCTCCAGACGCGATTGTAAGATCGAGCGCTGACTGCGAGCCTGTACGGAATGTAGAAGCATCCCTCGCCCAGCTCGGTGCAGTCCAGGCGCGACTACAGCAGCAAGAAGAAGATGTGCTCCGCGAGATAGACGAGTTGATGGTAGAATTGCGACGAGGGCAGGACCCGAATCGCATGCAGCTCATACAGGAGATGATATCCGTAAGTGCGGTATTGTCCGCGTTCCAGTAACGCGTGCCGTCACTCGCTGACGCCCTTTACTCAACCCCTAGGATCTCCTAGGACAAATGTCTCGCATCCGAGAGAAAGCGACCGAATCCGAGGCCGTTGTCCGTAACATCACTAAAGACATACAAGTATTGGATCTGGCCAAGAAGAATCTCATACTTAGTATGACGACGCTCAAACGATTGCAAATGTTAGGTGCGATAATCTTATGGCGTGTCGAGAAACATTGCTTATCAAGACACCTAGTGAATGCATTGACGCAGCTGGAGGATCTTGTGAAGGAACGGAAGTATGCGGATATCGCGGAAACGCTGTCAGTACGTGCCACGATTTCACCTCACATGCTCCTTCTGATGGTGTATATTGCTTTCCTTGACAGGCAGTTAAGCAGATTTCGGCGTCATTCAAGGGCTATACTGCAGTACCGCATATCGCTCAAATTTGGAGACGCATCCAAGAGTTGCAGGGCCGAATCCGAACTCTGCTGGATGCAGACTTTGATGCCTTGTATGTTCACGTCATCTTCGACTAGGGTGTTGCGCTGACAGTTATATGTTGCTCAGCTACATGCAAGATACCTCGCGCCCGGGACAAATGGTCAAGCCCGCGCAGATCGCATCCGCCTGCTTAGTCGTCGATGTCTTAGGTCCCGATGTTCGCGCGCACTTCGTGGACCGTTATGTGACACTGGAGCTCAAGGATTATCGCCGCATCTTCCGGATTTCCCCTGCATCGACCGCTGGAAGCTCCAAAGCCGCTGCCACTTCGGAGGAGAATGAAGCGGCCGGTCTGGACAACATCAGCAGGCGGTTTGCCTGGTTTAGGCGATTGCTTGCAACTCATGATCAAGAGGTGGCAAGGGTATTTCCACCGGAATGGCATGTTGGGTGGGCATTGGTTACCAGATTCGCGGATATCACAAGGTGGGCTGTATACCTGTGGCCTTGAACTGCTCAGGATTGATGCTGATACGACGATCGTGATGTATCGGCAGGGACGACATGGCGACACTGCTTGCCAAGGGGGAAGCTTCCAAGTCGCTGCCTGTATCGCTTCTACTCGAGACGCTACAGCAGACATTGGAGTTCGAGGCCTCCATGGCAAAGAAGTATGCTACACCCGTGAGTGACCGTAATCTATACCGCGGCCGCCTCGCTCATCATGCGAAAATGCAGTTCGTCGACATCCTCAAGAGCTCATCTCCGGCTATGACGAAGCCCGTGATGCCCATTTCCACCGCTTGGGAGGCGCACCTCGGGGTATTCGTGGAAGCGCAGGATAAGCAAGTCACCCCCAGTCCATCTTCATTTCTGCTAAAGCTAATACTATGTACTATCCTAGGGCTCTTGCGGACATGCTGGCGCCTCATCGTGCATCCTTGAACAAGGGCCCTCCGCGATCTTCTTTGGATGCACCATCATCTGGAAGGCCGTCACTGGAGGATGCAGAGGAGACGGAGGCCCGCGTATTACCATCCTCCACCGAGCTATTCTACTTCTATGCACAGAGCCTTGAACAATGCGCCAAGTTATCTACCGGGCAACCATTATACGATCTGTGTCAGGTACACAAACGGTGGCTGAGGACTTATGCAGGTACGTACATACCAGATGTTGAATCCGAACTCACACCTGAGGTTTCGTTCATAGAGGATGTCTTGATTCCGACTATCAAACGGTAAGATTTCTTGCCATCGCTGAATCACGCCTAGAATCTCACTTGAAACCATATCAGCCCTTTGCCACAAACGAGAAGGTCACTAGATACGCGAATGGACGCGGAACAGCTTAAAACCGCGTGTGTCCTGATTAATACTGCCGATTATTGCCAGACAACTGCACTGGAGGTAAGCCTATCACAGCATTGTTCCTTAAATCAACGTCGAACCATGATCGCTTCTAGCTGGAGGAGAAGATCAAGGAAAAGATTCGGGACGATCTCAAAGAAAAGGTCAGCTTACAAGACGAACGCGACATATTCGTGGGGTACGAGCACCTTCCAGGCTCATAACAGAGAGTGTCTCACGTCTTCTTTGCCCTGCCCTCGCGGTGTAGAGTCATTTCCGCCACTATTGTGATTCAACTCCGGGAATTGGAAAACGCCTGCGAGGCTGCGTTCTCGGCCATGGCGCGCACGTCTTGGGGAACCATCAGCCAGGTCAGCGGACCTTCGGCATACGTGGCGGACCTCGAACATGCGATGGAGTCTGTCGCGGCCATCCTTGAACCCCGCGTAGAGCAAAAGAAGTACCTGAGGAATTTCTTCGACAAGGGCGCCAAGTGCGTACGATCTTGATTCGGGCTGTTAAAGCTGTCTAACATGGTCCCAGCCTGATACTGACCCGCTTCACGAATGCGCTCGTGAAGAGTCGACCGCTGAAGGAGATAGGAGCTGAGCAGGTGAGTGACTTGTCATCGCCTCCGTTGACGGCGGTTGATCGGACCTTTCAGAGCCTCATTGACCTTCAGGCGGTCAAGGCGGCATTGCTGAAGTTGCCCGGTGACCACGCGACTTCCATGTACGTCTCATAGCCCGAGGTATCCGCAGACATTCACCAATGTCTGTCGTGTAGCTACTCCAAGAACGTGACCAGGACCACGACGAACCTTGAGGCGTTACTGAAAGTCATCGTTACGTCGATCGTAAGCCCGTCTAGTGTTGACTACCTCGCTTCCATGCTCACGCGCGTTTTAGGATCCGGCCGAAGGTTTCATCCTCAACTACACCATCCAGATCGGCGACGACTCCTTCTCAAACTTTCAAAAGGCGAGCTTTTATTTTTTCCTGCGCCATTCGTCGCGCATTTTTTGTTTTTTACCGCAGCTCCTTATACCCAACCGACCGGTTTCTCCCGCAGGTCCTCGACCTCAAAGGGACGCCGAAGACGGACCAGAACCACCTGCTGGACAACTTCGTCGCGATCACGAGCACGATGCAGGACCTGCAGCCGACCTCGTTCCTGTCCGCGCTCGACATGAACCCGCCGTCGACGGTCTATCAGGGCTCTTCGCAGGCGGCCGCCCCGTCGTCGTCGATGACCCCTTCCGGCAGCCGGGTGAACCTCCCGGCGTTGTTGGCCGGGACCGGCGCGGGCGAGGGCATCCTGGCCGCGCTGGGCTCGCCGCCGCTGAGCGGCCCGCCGACGGGCGACGGCGTGGGAAGAGGCGAGGCGGCGCAGAAGCCGCAGGTGTTCCAGTCGTTGAAGGGCTTTATGCACTTTGGGCTGCGGAGGGATACGGCTCCCCCCTAAGGGGCGGGAGATGTGCGGACACACGCACTCTCTCTCGATCTCCCCTTGTATACGCCTTTTCTTTTTCGGGTCTCCTGGATCAATTAATCGAGGAATACGATGTTTTACGCCGCGGGATATTCGTTACATCATGCGTCGAATTTATGGGAGACCGTCGCCCCCGCAATGCGATTACATCGTCCGTTACGTTTACGGGCGCGCTTAGGTGGCCCGGGGTAGGCGCTCGATAGGAGCCGTTAAACCCATGCAGGAAGGGATGTCAGGTCATCATCATGCGGGCCCGCCGTCTCCCCCGGCGAGATCTTTCATCGCCTTTTGCACCTCGAGCCGCTCCATCACCGCCCTGTGGAGACTCGATTGCTGCCGGGCCGATGCTTTCGCTTTGGCTTTTGATTGCGATTGCGATTGCGATTGCGATGTCGGTAGGGATGATGGGTCCGTCGAGGGATCCGGTGGCGCCGCAGCTGACGGATCGGTGGGGTGATTCACGTGCGTCGCTGCCGTCGTTGATGATGATGACGACGACGTCGTCGTCAAGTGCGAGGGGACGATGATGGGCGTTTGGCGGGGCGGCGGGGGCCACTGGGAGGAAAAGAGGTTATGAGAATGATTTTATGTTTTTATTCATTGTTGGGAGAGGGGGGGACACTTGATAGGAGGAGGGGATACGTACGCCGCGATTGGGTTGATTGAAGTGGAGGGCGGCCCATGGAGGGCATTCCTTTTCCAGGTGCGTGATGTGGTCTTCGAGGTATCGCAGACGGTCCAGGAGAGATCGCGGCGGGGCGGGTACTGCGAAAAGAGGGAATCGCGTGAGATGGGAAAAGGCCGTGCGGAAGGGACGGGGGGCGGGCGGGCGTTTACCGTAGCGGACCGCGAAGTGGGCCTCGATGTTGCGCAGGCGCACGTCGAGGCCAGGGTGCCTTTGCGCGGTCGGTACGCCCGGGTGCGCGGCGGCGCCGGAGGAGGAGGCGGAGGCGGAGGGGGCGCCGGTGCCGGCTTTCACGGTGCGCCGCAGAGGCCCGTCCTCGTTCTTCGCGATGTCGTACTTCATCTGCACGTCGCGGTCGACGGGCTTGGCGTCCGTGCGCGCGCACGACGCCGGTCTTTCCGTGCCCGCGTCTCCGTCTTCGACGTTCAGGCGGCGTTTCTTCTCGGCGAGGGAGTGGAGGAACTCGGCGCGGTTGGAGGCGTCGTTCCGTGCCCGGTTGCGCGCGAGGAATTGGGCGATGGACCGGTTGATCTGCCTGAAAAAAAGACAGAGACGGTCTCGTCGATTGAGCGCACGGACCGAGGGAGCGGGTATGACTTTCGTTTTATACCTACGTCGGAGGTTGAGGAGGACGGCCACCGGAGAGATGGACGTGGTCCAGCTTGCGCTCGTCCAACGGTATTCGTGGTCCCTTCTCGTCCGAGCCGGTCAGTCCTCCTTTTTCATGCAGCAGCTGCGGCGCGTTTTCGAATATCAGTCACGTCGACGTGGTGGGGTCCAACGATGAGACACGGCGCGTTCACCTGAAGATGTTCGCGCAGCGTGTCGAGCGCGCTCGCGACGGTGGTCTGCTCGACGTCCGGGTTGAGCACGAGCATGTCGAGCTCGAACCCTTTCAAAGCCTGCGTCAGGCCAGCTTGTTCCAGAAAGGTTTTGATCGCCGTGTCCCAGCCTCGGCGGAACGGGACAGGAGGGGGAGACGGCGTTCTGCCTGGCGATCTCGCTTCACGTCGCGGAGTCCCGGCATCCTGACCTCGCCCGTGCGAGCCGGAAGGCTGGTACGCGGAGGACGACGAGGATTGTGCAGGCGCGTTGCCGCCGTTCGAGGGTGCTGCGAACGCTTGGGGCCGAGAGGGGTGATGAGGGGAGTAGTATGCTAATGAGGACGCGCTCGGTTGGGCTTGTGATGTCCCGTCGTTGCGGGCCCCGGGGCTCTGAGAAGGACCGGCGGCAGACGGTGGCGGCCCGTTCGCCATGGCCAACGACGACGAAGGGAAACAGACGCGACGTTCTCAGGCGATCGATCCACGCGCCCTCGTTTCGCGACTTCCTCCTCTCAGCTGCACCTGTTTGCCTCCAAGCTTAGCTTGAAGCTCGATCACCAGTGCACAGTACCCGACTGCGCGCCGACGGTCGTATCTGTTTTGACCGATGGCGAAGAAGAACACCAAGGACGAGGCGCCGAATCCGAACGCCGTCGCCAACCGCGACATCCTGCAGCGGCTCAACTTCCTCTACCAGGCCAGCGTCTACATGAACAGCATCCAGCCTCCCTCCGCCCACGCGGGCCCCTCTCAGAGTTCAATCAAGCCCGATGCGGCGGCCCCGGTCGCAGCGACGCCTGGAGAGGCTAGCGCGCCCTCACGCCCGGTCGCAACCAAGAAGCGGCGGCCGCGCCGGACGATCAGGACGACCGATCTGGCGCGGGAGTACGTGAAGGACATGAAGCTCGTCGGGCGCAAGACGACGGTCCGGCTGTACGTCTTTCGCAGCCGGATCTCCAAGGGACGATCCGACTTACACACACATCGTTTTTAGGGACCCGTCCGTGAAACGCACGATCTGCAAGGGCTGCAACCTCGTCCTTCTCCCTGGGACGACCGCGCGCGTGCGTATCCACGGTGCGTTTTCGTCCCTCGCCTTGTATATCATGCTCTAATGTGTACACCACATGCAACCTTTTGGGTTTTCGCCTCTATCTTTCGTTCGTTTCTAGCATCGTGCTCGCACGGGAACGCGATCGTATACACTTGCCTCTCCTGCCACATGCTCCGCCGGATACCCGCCCCGCCTACGCTCGACCCTCCAACAACAGCAACAACAACAACAACAGCGCTATCAGAAGCCGCTCCCGGCGCGGCCCATCACGAAGATCCCCCGCAGTCTATACATGACGTCGATCAGGCCAAAAACGACGCGGGCGTCGTCGTCGCCGTCGCGCCTTGCGCAGCCCCGGGCTCATCTATGAGCCACGCCGAGCGCGAGCGCGTGGGGACGATCCGCCGCCCGAGGGGCAAGAAGCCGCGCGCGGCGCGGCCGCCCCCCCTGTTCCAACGCGCGAACGCCGGGCACGTCGTCTTTCGCGGCAACGAGCCGATCACGGACCCGGACGCGAGCTATCCGTGGGCGTAAAGTCCATCACCTTGCACACACGAAGCGCACGAATACGTGCCCCCGCCCCCCTCCCCCCGCGCGCTCTCTCTCTCTCTATCATCCTTCTTAACAAACGGAGAGGGGAAAAAATAAAAACAACTGCCGCAGATATAAAGGACAGAAAAACGCGCTCGGCCAAAAAAAAACCGGGGTGGGGCTCGTCGTCTTCCTTATTTTCCTACTCCTTGCCGGCAACGATGTTGACGAGGATCTCCTGAACGCTCCGCCTCGTCCACCGGCTCAGGTCCGGCGGCGGCTGCGCGGCGGGGAACGCCAGGCTGGCGAGGACCTGCTCCTCCGGGCTCGCGCGCGCGCGCAGCCGGTGCGCGATCGCGAGCGGCACCGCGCTGCGCACGTCCGCCTCCGACGCATCCATCGCCCGCGCCGGGAGCGGGAGCGGGAGCGCGTCCCGGGACACCAGCGTGCGCGCCGCCGAGCTCTTCCCCGCCGATCGCCGGTCGGGATCGTGCACCGTCTGCGCGTCCTCCTCCTCCTCCTCCATCTCCATCTCCTCCTCCATCTTCTCCTCCACATCGTCCTCCTCCAGATCGTCCTCCTCGTCGTGTCCGTCGTGCGTGCGAGGGGAGGGATGGGGATGTCGAGGACGGATGCCGGTCGTGTCCCCGTCGAGGAGCCGCAGCGCGCGCACGACGTCCGCCGCGTCCTTGTGGGCGCGCACGGTGAGGAGCGCGCCGTCGAGCTCGGGGTGGTGTCGCGCGAGGGAGACGAGGTCGGCGAGGTAGAGGTCGAGCGTCGGGTGGACGCGCACGGAGGCGCGCAGCGTGCGCAGCGCGGCGAGATCGGCGTGCGAGATCGGCGGGCCGCTGCCGCCGGGGGAGGAGGAGGAGGGGGGATCGTCGTCGGGGGCGTGGGCGGCGCCCGAAATGGATACGTGCGCGCAGACGGAGAAGCGGTCGAGCTGCGGGCTGGCGTCAGCGGGGAAGAGGAGGAGGGAGGAAGAGGGAGGAGGGAGGGAGGAAGGCGGAGGAAAGAGGAGGAAGGAGGAGGAAAGGGCAACTCACGAGGCCGGGGTGGATCGCGGGCGGCTCGTGCGCGTCGTCTGGGCAGACGGACACCACCATGAAGCCCGGCGGGAGATCGCGCTGCGCGCCGTCGGGCGCGGCGAAATGGCCGTCGAGGAGGGTCTGGAAGAGGCACCGCTGCGCGGGCACGCCGACGTGCTCGAGGCCGGTGAGGACGAGCGCGTCCGGGACCGTCGTCGTCTCGGTGGGCTCGGCTGGCGCGCGGGGTATCACGGACGGCTCCGGGGGGGCGTGCGGGGGCGTCGGGCGGAGGGAGCCTTTGGTGGGGCCGTCGCGCGCCCGCGTGCCGATGCTGCTCGGGTGCGAGGAGGGCCGGCGGAGGGCGCGCGGAGGCGAGAGGAAGAGGGCGCGCAGGAGGTCGGCCGGGGCGAGCGCGTGCCGGAGCTTGAGTTTCTGGGTGCGCAGGCCGAAGACGGTGGCGAGGATCTGTAGATTAGACGGAGGCGCGGGGTCAGCAGCGTCCCCTGCGCGTTAACACGTTGACGATGGATTCTCTCGCGTCATCCGTCTGGACGGGTGGCGCAGGGGGGGGCGGTGCGTCAAGAAGTCAATTAAAACTTGGGAGGCGCGCCATCAATCGATAGTGGCTGGGTTGGCAGGGGTGGCGGACGTGCGGGAGGCGCAGGTCATAGGATACCAAACGCGTGCGCTGAGCGCTCGGAGGCACTGAACGGCTCGGATCAGGCGCCTCAGACGTCTCAATGTATCAAAGGGCGTTATGACACGATCTGGCAGGATGCAGTAATCCGGGGTGTGTATAGATGCAGGCCGCACCTGGCCAGCCCCACGCTCGGTCCGATGATGGCGAAACCGATACAGGGAACGCCGACGACGAAAGGCCGCAGCATCAAAAGCAGCTGGTATATCGAGAAAGATAATAGAGATGGGAGACTCACCGAAGAGGTTAATCGGGCTACGGAGCTGATATCGGCTGGGCGGGTACGGATCAGGAGATGTTTGTTGCCCGAGATCAGGCAGAGCAGCAGCGACTGGAGGATGACGGGGTCTTTGATGAGCGTCGGTGGGGCACCTAGGTCCTGCAGGCGCGATAGGAGCACCGCGAAGTAGCCGGACGCGCCGGGGTCGAAACCTGAGCCTGACATATTCGATGAGATGACCGTTAGTAGTATGGCGCCTATGCCTGTTTTCCTTTGTTAGCGTTTCAGGTGGATGCAGATCGGCGTGGGTGTGGACGCAGGGTGCGCGTGCAGAGAGGGCTGGCTGGCAACGGGCCCGCGTCAGACGTTGATGGGAGAAACCCCCCGTCTGGACCGAGGATCTGTGGTTTCTCGGTGAACCAGGTCAATGCCCCCTGGACGCCACTGGGAGGAGGATGTATATGATTGATTGGAGTATGGTATGCTAGTTGCCGTTCGGTTGCGCGATGGGATCTGGTCCCTGGGCAAGGCTGTCCCTTATGTCGACAGATTGCGCCGTCGCAGAGGGACCAGGCGACGAACACGAAAGGGAGGAAGGAAGCTCGTGCGGGCCAATGGCGCGGTCCGCTGGGCCGGACGTTCTCACGGGATAATATTGGCCGAATAATCGCGTCTTCACGTCCGCCCCCTGCACGAGGCTGCTCGCTGATGGAAGCCGGGCGCGGTAACTAGGCGTGCGGCGCTTCGGCGAGTCGAAGCACGCCCACCCTTGCCGCCGCTCAGACCGGAAATATGACCACAGAGATCCCGTACGTATAGATACCAGACGCTGCCTGGCTCTCATGATTGACAGAACCCCCATGCGCCTGCGCGCGTTACCCCCGGTTTGCGCGCTCCTTCATATACCGTTCTCCTGAGCCTTGCGTCGGGATCCCGATCTTCCGTCGCGCTTCTAGACGACTCGACTGCCCCCTTGCTTATCTCTGGCGTCGCAACGTCGACCAGTAACCACTCGATCGGCCACCAGAGCTCTGCTAGCCCCCTTGGACCGTCGTAGCTAGCGCGCTCTGCATGGCCGACGTTTATCGCGTTATCATCGACGATACATCTCCAGTCGTATATTACGCTCCCTTGGCGGAACCCCTCACCAACTCCGACCCGCTCACCGGATGGGTGCCCTTCTTCACCGACTCCGGCTTTCCGACCAGCGCCTCCCTCGGCGACGTCGGGAACGGCACGAGCTACCATGTCACCTCGCTCAGCGGCGCGCAGCTGTCCGTGCAATGGTTCGGTACGCGTCTCGCTCTCGACCCCGTTTCAGTCCCGAGATCTCAACCGGGTTTCCGTTCCGCGCTGGGTCTCGCGCGCGTGCAGGAACGGGCATCCAGCTTTTCGGCAACGCGACGGGTGCCTCTTACGACATCCTCGTCGACGGCAAAGCGAGCGTCGCCTTCTCCTCGTCTCTGGACGAGAACGTCCTCGCCGCCGTCGACGATCTCAAGCAGGGTAACCACACCATCTCGCTCGTCGCCCGCCCGGACACGAACACGACCGCCAGCTCGATCGCGTTCGACCGCGCGACCGCGACCATATCCGCCGAACGCGCCAAGTAAAGTAGTTTCGTGCCGCGTCGCCCTTCTCGCCGAGGCTGATATATTTCGTTTCTTCCCCCCCCCCCACCCCCGCGGTAGTTGCACTATCGACACCGCGCCCGTGGACGATCGCGACGTCGCGTTTCGCGGCGCGTGGTCTTTCACGTCCGACATCGCGATCGGGGGCAAGAACCAGTCGTTTCACGCGTCCAACTCGAGCGGCGACGACGCGACCTTCCGCTTCACCGGTGAGTGACGCGCGGCGCGATGTCGGTGTAAACCACCCCGCACAGCCTTTCTCACAAAAAAAAAAAATCCCCCCCTAACAGGATCCGCGGTGTACGTGTACGGCTTCCTCAGCGAACGCTCGGGCCCCTACAATGTCACGCTGGACGCGCTATCGGCGTCGTACGACGGCCAGTCGCCCTGGACCGAAGAGACGCTGCTGTTCCACGCCACCGGCCTCGACGACTCGCAAGCGCACAACCTGAAGATCGTGAACGCCGGCGACAGTATGCTAGCGATCGGCACTCTAGAGGTGGTCACAGTGACAGGCGGCGTATCGTATGCACCCACTTCCTCCTTATTTCACGCACAAAGACCGGTGTATTCACGGGACCCCACATAGGACGCACCCTCACTCGGGTCTGCCCCGAGGCACGATCGCCGCGCTCGCCGTCACAGGCGCCCTCGTCTTCCTCGCCCTCCTCGGCCTGCTCCTCTTCTTCCTCCTCCGGCGACGCCGCCGCCGAAAGTCGTCCTCTCCCGCCCTCCGCGGCTTCGCCCTCGGCCTGCCCGCCGTCGACCTCGCCTCCGACGACGGCCACGGCACCGCCCTCGCCGAGAAAGGCGACAGCACCCACGGGCGCGACGACCCGTCGCCCGTCGTGTTCGCGCCCGTCTTCGGCGTCGCGCAGCCGCCGATCGGGCCCGGCCGGCAGCGGCGACGGTCGCGCACGATTTCGTGGGCGGCGACGCCGCATCCGCACGATCGCCGCGGGAGCGGCTCGGCGCTCCTGGCGAACGTCGCCGGCGATCCCGGGTACGCGTCGACGGACACCAACGGCAACCGGCCGGCGAGCGCGCCGAGCATCGCGGACGACCTGCGGCGCATCGCGCGCGCGGAGGCGCTCTGTCTGCCCGGCGCCCAGGCCGCCACTTCCGGGGGAGAAGGAGGTGGTGGTCGAGGGGGAGGGGGAGGGGGCGAACCCGGAGCGACGCGCCGGCAGCGCGACAACGTACTCTCCTTCATCGACTTTGCGTCCTCGACGCCCTCCTCCATCCGGGCCGACAACTCCACCTCCGCGTCCTCCTCCCGCATGGACGACGGTGCCGCTGCTGCTGCACTGGGCGAGCCGCCCGGCACGGCGACGACGCAGCGGTTCAAGTCGTCCCCGGACCAGATCTCGCTCACGCTCCAGGGCCCGCGGCGGATCTCGACGACCGCGACGCACGCGCGCGGGGCGTCGGCCGCGTCCTCCGGCGGGGAGGAGGAGCGGGTCTCCCCGACGGAGAGCATGCCCGTCACCGTGTCCGACATCCAGTTCCGGCCCGCGGACGAGCTGTCGCAGTTCGATCCGGCGTCGAGGCGGGCGAGCGGCGAGCCTTCCCAGCAGCAGCAGCAGCACCCGCCGCACCCGCCGCTGCGCACGACGTCGTCGCCGTTCATTGTGCAGAGGATGCTGGGGATCGGGCCGGGCACCCCGCCGCTGCCGACAGTGACGGTCAGCACCCCGCCGCCTGCTGGTCCGCCGCCCCGGCCGTGGCCGATGTCTCCTCGCTCTCCCGGATCATCTCCTCCGCCTCCGCCTCGGGGTCCGCGATAGCGATCTCCCCCCTTCCCTTCTTGCCTGCGATGCGATGGCAAAACATTCGCACATCCCATCGCACCCCACATCCGCTTCCTTTCCGGCGTTGATTGGGTTCTGGAGCAGTGAAATGGCAGGCTACTGTTTTTTTTTTACTATCTTACAGCGCACATCCCCTTTCCCATTCTTAAACGACCATTTTTTTTTCTTCCTCGGTTTTCTTCCATCCATCGGGCGAATCGCATCACTGGCCAAAACAGGACCTCGAACTATATACTTCATCGCATTTTTTGACTTTTTTTCTTTCTGTACGGCTTTTTTCTCATCTTCGCATCAACGCGCGTTCCGTCCTCTCCTTGTAAAAACTCTGTGTACTTGTATGTTTGTTATGTTTAGGGATCGATCGGCTGTAGTGGGTCAGCCAAAAGCCCCGCGTGGAAGACAGACCATCGCATCGGCCCGGGTTGAACGTTGGTACTCCAAACGGGGAACGCGTTCCGGGAGCGGGTGGAACGGGGGGGGGGGCTGACTCCAGAGCCGCGAAAGTGGGTTTAGTCCGTTTCGCGCGTAAGAGATCCGACGGAGGCGCATGGGGAGGAGCAACGTTCGCGGTTGCAGGGAAACGTTAACCTCCCCTGATCTCCGGCCCATTGTTAGGCATAGCAGTCCACGTATTGCGCCCCCAGTGGTGGACGAAGCTTCATCTACGGCTCGTCTGCTGACTTCCCTTCTCGTCTGAGGACCGGGGTCAGCGGTTGCCCGGATCTACGAAGCCTGGTATGCGCAGCGCGATAAGACGGACCTGGGCACTCTCAGTGCCCTCCCGCCTTGAAATGACTCTGAAACGCTTCATATGCGGCCCTCGTGCGCTGATTGCGCTCGATGTGGGCGCGCGGAGATTGACAAGGTTTTCCGGAAGCCGGGGCGGGTTGCCACGGCGCAGGAACTTCCGCGTGCGAGAGGTATATATGGGACGCGCGCGAGCTTGTGATCACTATGACAGGGTAACAAAGAGGCGGTAGTTGATGAATTCATGATGCGTATATATATAAGCGCGGAAGAAGACCATAGCGCGCCTTCTCGTTGAGCACATACGATAGCAATGAGTCGAGATGCTTCGATCTAATGTCGGGCAGAGTCCGCAGTCTGGTAGAAACTGGGCGATTCAGTCATCGCCCCGTGTCGGCTCGCAAAAATGCTGCAGGAAAGTTTTCGTCGGTGCCGGACCATGCAGCAACGTACCTGGACTTACGTTGAGTCGCGACGCGTGGTGAGGACTGTGTAGCTGCGTCCGGCAATTCCAGCCATACCAACAGTTCTCTTGTATCGTCTTGCCTCCTGCATTGATGGTTGACATTAGCCAAAATCTCAGTGTCAGCTGCCAACAGCGATCCACTTACCCTCGATCTTTGCCGCCAAGCGCCATGACACTATGTGGTCCGCGATGAATCGTCTGATACACGGTGTACAGAGTGAATCGTCTTCCGCCCATTCATGCCCGTAATCCTGCGGCGTGTCGGTCTTGTGACGCATAACTCTGCAACGAAGCATATCTCTGATGATGTGCTCGTAGAGGAAGCCGCTGGTATTGCCCTGGATATCGGCTATGAAATCATTTCGTTCCGTAAGGTTCCGAGCCAAGCGACCGGGCAGCATGTCGAACAGCTGTCCCAAAGTAATTATACCCCTCAAAAGCTCATAGTCTAAGAGAGGTAGTTGAACTCAGATGCATTGCAATATCGATTTGTGGACGCACTTCCTTTGCACCACAAGTCTCCGGCTTCGTCTGCCGTTACCTGGCAACGGTTACCTATTCATGTTCGGTCGGGTATCTGATTGCTGTAGGAAAGGACTGAAATACGGACATGTTGCAGGATACGCTCGTTTTTCGAGCAATGCTGTCCGCCAATGTGTAGGACGAGTAGAACTGTTGTCGTCCCCGCCTGCTTCCATTCGCTGGGGGCGCTGGCGTTTCTCGTGTAGCTTCGATATCGTGGATGTGAGGAACGGGCGTGAAATTGGTGTCTCTACAAAATCTCCGACGAAGTCGTCCTCGTCCCATATGCTGCGATCCCTGTAGCATTGGCAGATCAATTTCGGACCAGCCGCCACGTTCATGTTTACTACTTCGTCTGTTGTATTCTCCTCAGCGCGATTTCAGGACGGAGGACTGGATATGATCACCAGAAGGTTCGGCGTTATGGATTGCGCCACCTGCCTTGATGGACCATACGATAGTTTCTCGCGCGAAGTGCACAGCGGCCTCGATCTCCTTCAGTTCCGCATCCGAGAAGGTGTTTAGATACTCCTGCTGATTTTGAGCCGTGTCGCTCGCTGGAGGGGCCATGTCCTCATCGTCCTCGCTATCGATCCCAAATGCAATACAGAAAATCCAGTATCTGTACATCGCACGATGGAATCGATGGGATTCGTTGGGATCGAGCTTGGTTTGCGATGTTGAGGGGTCCTTGTGTCTGCATGTACCATGCCCAGGCGTCGATCGCTCTTCGTGAACGAACTCATATGAGGCTAACGCACCTCCAGCTGAACAAGTCCTCGAGCTCATAGACGACCTTAGCATTCTTGACTAGGTCTTGTAGTTCATGTGTTTGTGGAGGTTCTTCCAACACGGAGTGCTCGTCGATCGGAACACCGGTATTCCTAGCGTCAACGTCGCCTTGCATCCGCACGAGGGCTAACGCTTGTGCAACAGCAGGCCCTGTCTGATTTACGGTGATGGAACGTTGGATGGACATTGGATGACGTTTGTAGACATTGTAAACGGCCTTGCATGAGAGTATGAACGAGACAAGGGTTTTGAATTCGTCAATTGTGGAGAGAATACTGTCGACAATATCGTCGTCGAGCGGGAAGCCGTTGTAGGCACGCATCATCGTAAGCTGGGAGTATGCAAATCGTATGAACCAACCCCCTTTTTATATACTCCGACGCGTCTGACGCGTTAAGATCACGTGTTGTCCTTGACTCATCGTGGTCGTCGCGTGTCGGGAGCGTCGGTGACCGTACAAGGCAATCCCGACCCTGAACATGAGTCAGGGCGGAGAGATTCGTTCTCGAAATAGCCATGCGCGCTTCGCCGACAACACCCCTTTTGGTATATGCCGACGAATCACCATACACACTCTGGGACTAATTCGGGTAGGGGGGTCTTAACCCTGCATTCGGGTCATACGACCTTCCGCTTTTCCATACGCTCGAACTCGTAACGAGATGACACGATACACCAATTTTGGCCGCAAACGTACCTATGTCGAAGCTGGCTTCGATAACGGGAGCATTCACAATGACCCGGCCTCGACCGCAGCTGATATCGAGACGCCCGAAGTGAGCAGCGGCACCACGGAATCCGCCACACTCAAGCCAAAGAGAAAGCGGGCCAAGAAAGCTGCATCTGCAAACGATGCGCATGATGGTTCCCGAGAAACAGCGGAGGGTCATCCAGACCGTGGGGATCCGATCCAAACAACGGGCGAAGCCAGTAATGTCGAGGCGCCCAAGAAAAAGTCGGCCCACGCCGCGAAGAAGCTGCAGAGGCTGAAGGCCAAGAAGAAGGCGCAGAAAGGTGAGTTTCTTCATCTCACCCGACTTCGAACTCTTGGTGGGTTGCTCATGCGGTTCTGGACTTACCAGACGCGAATGCCCGCAAAGAATCGTCGGAGAGTAGACGACTGAAGCGGATCGCGGAAAAGAATGCAGCATTGACTTGCTTTGCGTGCCGAGAAAGAGGCCACGCTGCAGCGGATTGTCCCAAGGCAGGAGAGTCATCTACTTCACAAGGAGCTACGACGGGAATATGCTATCGGTACGCCAATTGTTTCCAAAACTTGCCCTAAACACGATATCACAACTAACTAACGAATGGGTAGATGCGGGTCCTCTCGACATACGCTCTCAAGATGCAGGAAAACAGCCGACCCAGAGAATCCGCTCCCATTCGCCTCATGTTTCGTTTGCTCCGGAAAGGGCCATCTCGCCTCCACCTGCCCATCGAACGCCGAGAAGGGCATATATCCCAACGGAGGGTGTTGCAAGTTGTGCAGCCAGAAGACTCATCTCGCCAGGGACTGTCCCTTGAGGAAAGCCATAGCAGGTGACACGGAATCGCCGGTGTCTATGTAAACTCGATTGACTGACGTCAGTATGCAGATGGCGATCAAACGAAGAGAGCGCTCATGGTTGGCACTGGTAAAGGTGCGGGAGCGGACGAAGATGACTTCCTCGCGTTACGAGCGGTCGATATCGAAGTCGATCGAGAGGAGAAAGCACGGCTGAAGGCGGTCAAGCGGAAGCTGACTACCCAAACGACAGCTCATCCCCAAGACACTGTAGTGCCGGATGCGACTCTTTTTGTCGGTGGGAAAGACCCTTCCAAGTTATCGATTACTTCGGTGCGGTCCCACCACTCTGGCTTAAGTGGTGCCAGGTTGGAGAAGGTGACGACGAAACCCAAGAAGGTGGTCTACTTTTGACGTTTGTCTTGGCGAGAGGAGTTCAGATCATTTGCTTGGGACCGAGCGAAATGCTCGGATAGGCCGCGTCTGAGGAATGGATGCATGGGGCCGTTGTAGCGCAAAACGGTGACTATCTCGGACTATCCTTGTACTACGTACGGACATGAGCCAACTTTGTCGTCAGGGGTTATAGCAAGCCTTACAGGGAGATCTCCTGTCTCATCGAAGTCGAGGACGTCAATCGATATCATGAGTCGAGTCACGGCAAAGCCCGGTGTCTTCTGCGGCGCATATGCCCATAATCATCCACCTCAGACTGGTCCTCTGCGGCCAACCATTCATCAAGTTCATGAGGGTGAACCATCCGCCTGAAGTTCCCTTGCTCAGCGCCTGACTCAGACAAGACGGGTAGCGACGCGATGGCGGCACAGCAGGTTGAACTGGCATACGAAGATCATCCATCGTTTACTTGCCATTGTTCAGCCGTCATCGTCAGTCGTCGTTTCAAGCGTGTCAATTCCATTTAGCTGAGATCACGGCGTTGATGTGCATCTTTCTATCGACCTCCTGACGCTCCCCGGCTTCTGTCGCTTCGATATACGTGCCTGAACGCCTTGCCAGGCTCTTCAAGATGAGCTGGTTAGTAAGGCCTTCTCCGGACGCGACGGGCGGGGATACTTGGTATACTCGACCAGCAACCTCCGAATGGGGAAAAAGGAGGATAGGAGGTTGATGTACGTACCTCATTGCTCCCGTTTACCCCATTCCATCATTGAAGACTGTATGCGACGTCAGGACCGGGGTGCACACCGTTGCAGATGTCTATTGTATAGGCTGCAACGCACGCATGGGATGGTATTATGTGAAGGCGGCAGAATTATCGCAGAAGTACAAAGAGGGTGAATCTTCCGCCTGATTGTGCGCAAGAGCTGATTTCATTGGAAACATCGTGCCAGGGAAATATCTTCTAGAACGCGAGAAGCTTATCAAGGAAAACGGCTGGAAACTCAATATTTAGTCCACGATAATACACACATTTGCCTCATATGGATGGTATGGATATCGCCTGGGAGCGCGGAGACTTGGCTTCAGGGCTCCACGAAGATGTTCGTATAGGTATAGGATGCAAAGACGCATTGCGCTGGAGACGCGTTTTCTCCCAAGGCCCCTTGGTCCTTCATCCTTCAGCCTTCTATTCTGATGATGAACACGACAGGTGAGTTTCAACAGAGGAAGAACTATGGTGGTACTTGCCTGTGTGCTCTTTGTTCGTCGACGAGCCGCTCCACTGCGCGCCCGATACCCTCCGCTCAGCCTGATCGCCTAGACCATAACATTGCCACCCCGATGGAAGTCTGCCTGATGCGAGGTTTACTTAGATTATAACACTGTCGTGTACTTCAAGTCTTTGTTTTATGGAGAACGCCGAGTTGAGAGCTGAGCCAGCGGATACTGTCCAGTACAACTACGGTTGTTGCCGCAAACGATAAACTGGATGCTTTTCCCCGATGCCAAGTGCAACGCCGCAATGGATTCGAATCCGTACGGGAACTGCGTGATCATCGTCGCCGGAGGAGGGAGAAGGTCGAGGGCACAGCTTGACTACGTACTCGACCGCCAATCCCAATCTCCCTCCTCATGCAGGCCGCGATAGCTTTGAACCCTCTTTGATATCCCGACTGCCGATGCACATACACAACCAGTTTCAAGTGACCGTGTATGCCGAGATTGAGGGGTGCTGGTATGATAACCGAACACTAACCCCCAGGAGATATTAGGCATGACGAGCTCGCCATCAGCTGTAGTCAGCACGCGCCTTCTGCCACTCGCGTGCGACGACTGCTACTGGAACCCTCGACGTCTCGCATGGCCAGGTGGCCCGACCACAGACGGTGCTGAATCAGCGCACGATATTATGTCGAGGCACATCGCACCGATCGACTTGATCTCCTTGGGGAAACCAGTGTTGCTCTGTTCATCCGAGGACGCGAAGCGACGCGCTTCTGCGACGATCTGCTTGCTCAGCGGCCTCCATGCTGAGTAGCATCGCGACTGGTACAATGTCTACACCCGAGTTGTCCGGGAGAGGGATGGGCGAAGGAGTATAAAACCCGGTCGAAATGTTGCTGAGCTCTTCAGAACATTCAGCTCAATCGACTCCCGCAGCAAATCACCAGCATCCACTCGCACGCCAGACGCCAAACATGTCTTCTACATCCCAGCCCCGCGTTTGGTTCAGTGAGTCCTTCGATGCGCGTATATATTCCGGCTAACTTGCACGCATATAGTCACCGGTGCATCCGCCGGTTTCGGGTTGGCGGTCACCAAGCACGTCCTTGAGGCCGGCGACATCGCCGTCGCCACCCTCCGCAAGCCCTCTGACATCTCCGAGCTCGCCTCCAAGTACCCGTCCTCGCGCCTGCTCGTCCTCCCTCTCGACGTCACCAAGCCCGAACAGGTCAGCGCCGCGTTCGCTCGCACTCGCGAGGCCTTCGGCCGGATCGATGTCGTGTACAACAACGCCGGCGTGTGGATGCGTGCCGAGGTTGAGGGCACGACGGAGGAGGAGGCACGCAGGCAGTTCGAGATCAACTACTGGGGCGCGCTCCGCGTAAGTATCGAGGCGGTCAAGTTCTTCCGCGAGGTGAACCCCAAGGGCCTTGGTGGACGCCTGCTCCAGGTCTCGTCCGTTGTGGGTGTCAACCCCTGGCCGCTTACGGGCCCCTATGCTACTACCAAGTTCGGTGAGCATATCGCCGGTTCGAGTGGCGGCCCGATATCTGACGCATGGAGCAGCCTTGGAAGGTATCACTGATGCCTTGAGGAAAGAGCTCGACCCTGCCTGGAACATTAAGGTCGGTCCGGCGAGCTTGCCACTAGCAGCAGCGTGTACTTACGGGTTTACCCTCCAGGTGACCATCATCGAGCCTGGGATGTTCGGCACGCGCCTCCTGGTGGACGGCACTGGCGAGCCGAAGCCCATCCATCCCGCATACAATACCTCCACGAGCCCGACTAAGGCCTTACGCGACATGATTGCGGCGAACAGCCCCCTCTTGGGTTCTCCACAGGACGTGACGAAGGGTGCGCGGGAGATCTACAGGCTTGCCGGGTTGGAGAGCCCGCCCGAGCGCCTGCCCCTCGGCAAGGATTCCGTCGCGGCGATCCGCGACAAGCTCGAGTCGCAGCTGAAGGAGCTTGCAGCGTACGAGAGCTGGTCTAGCGACCTTGCTTAGGGAAATCAGGCCTGTACATGATCGCCCCGTTGCATTGCTATATTCAACACAGCTGCATGGAGCATATCATTTACTTGCATCTCTTATATTGTAATGATAGATTGGTGTGAACTGGAAATGGGTATTCGATAACAATTGGGTCCATGTGTGATCACATCCGCGACTTTCGTTTGTTCTCTCGGGGCCTCGCATCGCGTGACTGTCTGCATTATCTCTCGTCCTCGAGAGAGACGCGAACAGGAGGTAGGGAGCAAGGAATAATCACGGTATGCCCAAATTGACAGGAAAGCAAGCTTTCAAGTCGTTTCCAAGACCGGAGAACGGTATATGAACAAACAAGTAATACTGGCCGCACCAATACGCAGTCAGTCCGGCACGATCGTGATAACGAAGGGATAAATGCCACGCACTGGAGCTGAATCCCGCGCGATTTTCTCGGTCAGGGCGATGCGAGGAACCGAAAGGCGTAGTGTCGCTGCGTAATGCACACATTGGACGCAACGCTTAGCTCCTGCGCCTGCGCGTTCCGCGTCTTCGCGCGGCGTAGATAGTGTCTCCATCCCGCGAATGGTCGCTGACGAGTCACAGGGAAGCACGGGTGGTTCCCACACGGGCCCGTCGACATGCATGTCTCGAGGACGAACGGTGGATCGTACGTCCCCAGGTCGGATGGGTAGCGTGACCCGCCATTCGCAGTCGGAGGCCTGCACGCTCACGGCACGGACGAGTCGGATGGCGATCGCGGTTGCGGAGGTCGGAGGTGCAGGCAACGTCTTCAACAGTTTGTCACCACCATCGTGGATATCGCGCACATCGAGGAATTCCGTGCGCGTCGTGATGCTGAGCATCAGCTGGATGTCTGTTGCCATGGGAAGCGAAGGGAGATTTGGGAGCCGAAGCTAGTTATTGCAACAAGTCAGCATATTCATGATCAATCGAGAGGTGCCGGTATACCTGTCCTTACTTCGATATGTGCACGGGAATTTAAGCCCTTGCGCCAGGGAAATGGCCACGTTCGAGTTGGAATGTCCTTCGATCGGATGTAAGTTCGCCACGGAGCTACTCCTGGAGATCGCTGTGACGCAGCTTCCGAAGCCGAGAGCGGCGCTACGTGCGGAACAACTTCAACGGGATGGCGTTCGATGTGACGGCGTACGGAGGAGAAACAAGTGTGAGCGCGATCCGTCCACGCGCACTCCAGCTCGAGATAGTACCGTATGACATCGGCGTGGGGGTCTCTACTTGGCGGCGACGTGGGGGGAGCATAGGGAGGGATCAAGAGCCCCATCGCACAATGCATCCCCCTAATGTTGTACTTCCGCATATGTGCGAGGTCCTCGGCGTCGCGTTCGGAGTCCCATATGACGCGCTTGAAACAAACGAATAGTTGCGACTCGGACACGACGCGGAACCCAGGAGACGTGCTGTCTGTATGTTTGACGGTCCTGCTGCCATTCGATCAGTATAGGGCGCGAAGAACGGAATGCGTCGCGGGTGTCACTTGCGTGAAGGTGATGCGTTCGCCAATCAATCTAAGCACAATGGGCCCGACGCCGTCATTCTGAAAGCGCCAAAGGTCAATGATAGCCGTTATTGGGAGTATGTCTGCCGGTCGTTTGGTGTAGAAAAGTTCGTAACGAAGTGTTCCAAGGGGCGTGTTCTCGCTCTCCAGCATCGTGGGGGCCAGGGGATCCAGAGTAAGAGGATCGTTTCGTTCACTTCAGGTCGAAGATATCATATTTGTACCAGTCGCCGGGCGCTCAAGCGCTCAAGGAGTGTTGCGTTTGCGATGATCTGATCTAGGTTTCCGGCACCGAGATGGTATGTATAGCATGCGTTGATGTCGGAGAGAGAGGATCAACCCGTTGGAGGTGCGCCTTTGCGATCATCCTACCTACCTACCTACCTACATCCCTAAGCCTTGTACATGCCATTGAGACGAAATTTCAATGGCCATCGGATACCGGGTTCTAGAGTTTGACGCCAACCGATGTTCCGCGCGTGCGACGTGGACGACGGCAAACCTAGAAACAAACCGCCTCCATGCGTAGCTAGTACCGTATGAATCATGATCAACGATCAGTTAACCGCGAGGAATGTACAGGTCATGCTATTATTTCCCGGTCCTTATTCCAGTTTCCAAGTATATCTAGATGATGCGAGAGGACTATTCGACATGCAGACATGCAGCAAACAAAAAAGAAAGGGAAAAAAAGGGGGGGAATGAATGAAGGGTCATAGAGGGAAAAGAAAGGGGGATATGCCAGATAGGGAAAGAAGGGGAATGCGTTTACGGGTCAATATCGATGCAAAGGCGGGCTGGAAGGCGTGATATGGGTCAATTAGCTGGCAGCAAGCGAGCGGCGCGGAGGACTACAGTACGTAGTAATAATGCGAATCGTGGGTTTCGAATGGTCCGTTGGGTGTGGGCCGGGCGTTCGTGGGGTGTCGGAGGCGGAAGGGATGAACGGGCGGGGCTACACAACATGCAGGAAGATGACGCTTCGTGAAACAAGGATGGAGGAATGACGGGTCTGTTCCAATGAGTGGATGGGATAAATGAGAGAGATCCAATGCGAGGTAGTGAGAGATGGGGGCAGCGTCCATGGGGAGGGAAAGCGGGTTGCGGGAGGCGAACAGCGCCAGAAACCCGCAACGCCGGCATCATCCTGCTTTTATAGCCCCTCTTTCGCGTGCGAGTTCGTATCAAGAGAAGAGACAAGGAACCGTTCGCCAACCTTCGTCAAATCCGTCCACCCGGGTCGAGCGGGCCTAACGGCCCATACCTGCCCCTCTGGTCGCCTTCACCCCTTCCGCCACTCCGTTTCCGCGCATGCGTATTCGAGTATTGCGACCCGCTGCTCATTCCGTGCGGTCCTGGCGTCGTCGGCGATGCCCCATCACGCGACAGCGGCGTATACTGCGGTTGCGAGTCGCTCAGTTGAAACCTCGCCGGGCCAGGCGGGGCGCGCATCGACTGCTGTTGCGGCGGCATCTGCTGCTGGGGCCTCCCAGGCCCGGTCCGTTGCGGCGGATCGTCAAAACCCATCTCCAACATCGCCTCCAGGTCCCTCGCGCCGAGCGTCTTTCCGGCCTCCGACGGTTGATGCTGATACAGCCCGAGGGGCGGAGCCGGGTACGCGGTGCTGTTCTCGTTATAGCCGCCGATCTGGCCGCCCCACTGATCCTCCTCCGCCGAGCTCGCGAGCGACATCGTGTCCGAGCCGTCGTATGTCGACGTCCGTGTCGACGAGGGCACGACCAACCCGCCGTCCGCGTCGTATCCGTTCGGGAATGCGCGCTCGAGCTCGCGCTTGCGGCGCTCCTGTCGCTTAAGCTTGCGTAACCGGGACCGTTCCCAGTCTTCCCAGCGCCGGAGCGGGACGGAGGAACCGTCGAACGTACCCCCGCCTTCTCCGTGCGCTTCGCCCTTGGCCTCGCCTTCTACTTTCCTACAATCAATCATGTCAATGGACTCGGCCCCCACACGAAAAGAAGAAGATCTCACCTCGTCTCTCCCCACGAGAAATCGTCGAAATGCCAGAACGCGTACACCGGCAACACAAAGTTCCAAACCGGGAGCGCCATGAGGTACACCAACATCCAGAACACGTACACCACCTTCCTCGTCGTAATCAAGATCAACACCGCGGGTAAACCAAGCACCGCGACGAGGAGCACGAGCGGGATCGCCTCGTCGAACGACTTGGGCGGGCTCAGCGCGGAGGACACGATGAGGATATACGTCAGCACGATCGCGACAGGGAGCACGACGGTACCAAGCAGGTCCATGAACACGACGAACTGCATGCTGAAGCAGAACGTGCCGCACAGGTTCCGGACGAGGACGAGCTCCATCAGGTTGTGGATCGTCGAGTTGATCCACCGCCGACGCTGGGAGAGCAGGATGCTGAACGTGTCGGGCACGACCGTCCGGCAGCGCGCCTGCGGGAGGAACATCATCTTCCGGTTCGGGAACGTCCGGATGAGAAGCGTCGTCAGGAACCGATCTTCGCCGAGCAGGAGTAGGTTCTTCTGGTGCAGCGTCGTCACTTCCGACTGCGAGTATTGATTCACAATCTCGGGCTTGACGATCAGCGGCACCCAGTCATCGCCCGTGCTCTTCCGCGCCTTGAGCCTGAACATGGAGAAACATCCGGGAAGACACGAGACACCACCGAACACGGACTCGAACGCCTTCGCCATGTGATGCGAGATGAAGTACTCGAACACCTGGATCGCGGTGACCCACGAATCGCGCTTGTTCGCTATTCGAGTCTCGCCGCAGACGCCCATGATCATCGGGTCGTGGTGCATGCAGTTGACGAGGTATTTGAGCGACTCGGGGAAGACCTTCGTATCAGCGTCGACCTGCACGGATGTCCATCAGTTCGTCCTCATACAGATGAAGCCTGACTAAATGCGCTCACCATCAAGCAAACCTCAAAGAAGTCCGGCGTGACGCCCATGAGCACGTGTATCTTCCTGAACAGATCGTAGTCGAGAGGCGTCATCCGGTCGTTGTACGTCACGCGCGAGAAGAAATTCATGAGGATGAGTTGCGAGTCGCGTTTGCCACGGTTGCCCGGCTTCTTGTCCGTCGCCGCCTCCTGCTCCGTGCCGCACTTGACCACGATGATCGTCGGTGTCCTCCGTCCAGCAGCAGCTACAAAACGTGCGGTCGTCAGCACCGGTGTGCATGGAAAAACGAAATATGCGGGGAATATATGCGGGGAAAAAGGATACTCACTGTAGTGCCCTGCATACACCATCGCCCTGTTCTCCTTCTTCTTCCCGCTCCCAACCGCGAAGTAGCTCATCGGCGTGGGGTTTCCGAATCGCGGATCGGCGTCGAGGAGGCCGACGCAGATATCGGGCGTACTCCGCTTCTCGCCCGCACCGGTGATCATCCCGTCCGCGACGACGAAGATGAGCTTGCGCGCGTCCGAGTACGTCGTCGCGCTGACCGAGTCGAGCGTCGCGCGCATCGACTCCTCGCCCTCGGAGTAGGCCGTCACGAGGCACACCGCGAACAGCTCGGCGCCGATCTGGGCGAGCGACATCACCGGGGCCGGCGCGTCGTTCGCGCCGTTGACGAGGGTCGACGTCGACGACGCGAGAGAGCGCGGCGCGCCCGGTCTGTTGGAGGACCCCTTGGTGATCTTCTTCGTCCCGGCCGGCCCGGCCCAGGGCGCGGTGCCGTGGCGGCTGTCGACGGCGACGTTCGCGCCCTCGGGCATGACGGCGGGGCTGACCGCCTGGCGCCGGAGCTCGCGCGTGTCGACGGGGCCGGCGAGGCGCTCGGAGAGGAACCAGTTGAAGACGCAGGCCATGGCGAAGCGGATGAGGATGAGGGCCATGATGACGATCAGGCCGGCGTAGAGCACGAGCTGGGCGACGAAGCAGCCCGGGGTGACCTTGTCGATGTTGCCGGCGTAGTAGCGCTGTTGGAGGCAGGGCACGGCGGCGCGCAGCGCGGCCGAGTTGTAGAAGAGGCGCGTGCCGTCTTTGCCGTGTTTACCGTTGCCGGTTTTGAGCACGGTGCGGAGCGCGGCGTCGACGGCGTCGCCCGAGATGGCGTTTGGGTGGAGGGAGAGGTAGGGGGAGAGGTTGAGGACGGCGCCGTCGAGCACGAGGTAGGAGGAGAGAGCGGCGACTTGGTCCCAGTCGTAGCCGACGACGAGCGAGGTGTTGACGAGCCCAAGAGTGGTAAACGTCGAGGAGGCATTGAGGGCGGGTAAGGTACATTTCGTGACGCTGTTGCAGGGCTCGTCGACGGCGATGCGGTAGTTGAGCCCGCCGCACTTGCTGAACTGCTTCGCGTCCCGGGTGAAGAGGGTCGTGATGTCCTGCCCGGCCTGTTTCTGCGCGAGCTGGATGAAATTGACGTCGGCGGTCGATTTGGAGTTGGAAACGTTGAATTGCCAGCCGGCGACGCCGAGCGTGCCCGAGGTGGACCCTAGCCTTGAGAAGTGGGAGGTGTGGCCGGAACCGGCGGTCGTCTGTGGGCAGAGCACCTTCTGGAGGCCGACGGTTGCGAAACCGACGACGGCGCACATGACGGCGATGATAATGCAGAGCGCCATCTTCTCGCGCCAGGCATGGATCGCGTTCTTGTCCTTGAGGCCGCCGACGCTCTGAAGAAGGAAGGAGGGCGCCCAAAAAGTGATGACGATGGTGAAGAGGCGCCAGGCATCGAACCCGCCTTCGTCACCGGCTTGCACGAGTGGAGTGCCGAGGACGGGTGATGCGGTGGAGACGGCGGTGGTGGGCGCTATCAGCGGTGGTGGTGCGACGCCTCGTTCGGGGCGGGTGAGCGTCTTCGCACGCCGGACGGTTGCGCCTCTTGCGGGGGCGGGCCCGGGGGCGCGGGTCGTCGGGCGGGGGACGTCGGCCGAGTCGTAGCGAACGGCGGCCGACATGGCGGCGGAGTCGTGAGGAAAGAGTGTGTTGAGCACGCACGCGCGCTGTGCGAGGGAGGGGAACGGCGGGCGGGCGGGCGACGAAGATGGGAAGGAGTGAGACTTGTGAGCTGGGGTAGCGATGGGGGCGATCGCAACGGCGAGCAGCCAATGAACGCACGTGGGGGTCCGCGAGACCTCGTGCGCTCATACGGCGCACGTACGATGACAGCTCGCCGGCGACGTCTGCCACGGCGTACGCGGACTGACTTGTACGTTCGCTATGGTCGAAGTGCGAAATAATCATCCTGGCTTCTTCGCGAGGCGCGGCGGCGCGGGCGTCGGTGCCCGTAGTGCGACAAGCTCGGGGGTTCGCTTGGCCCATTCGGTGCGCGCACTCTGCCCGGATATGGTATAAGCCGTCGGTGACCACCCCCGGATCTCTTTTCTCCGGATTTCCAGTTTTCTGGCCGACGCCCGAATTCAAAGCCCGCCCCGCTCCACAACACGGACCTGCCCTCGTCCTCGTTGTGCATCACAGCGACCAGCTCACCGTGCAAGACGCGCGAGGTCAACAAACCAAGACGACCACACGGAACTGCGCAACGGGCGCATCAGACCCGCGGGCCCGTATCAGTCGTTTCTCCGCTGATCATTTCGTCCCCTCAACGAGGCCACTCTCTTTTGATCCACCTGTCCTTTACCTTTACAACCAACGACGACGAGAAACGAAGATGCTCTCTGTGATTGACGTGCCGCCTATCCCGCTCCCGCGTCAGCTTGCCCTGGACCCGCCCCCGCTCCCGGTACACAACGCACACGCACGGACGGTGCATCAGACCAAGCCTACTGTCGAACGTGAACCTCCAGCCCCGCCCACACCGGAAGAGCGCCTCGCGCGCACGCTTGGCCCGCTCGCGTCGCAGCACCACCGCTCCGAATATGCGCGGTTGAAGCACGGTCCGCGCGGCGCGCCGTACGCCTACGTCCCGCTCGCGCTCGCGTATCCGCATCACCACGCGCACCTCCTCCACCGCCAACGGCTCTCCGCGGCGCAAGGCATTACCCTCAGCGCGACAAGTTCGTCAACTCCGGACGTGCCATGCCCCACATATCTCTCAGGACCCGCCGCATCTGAAGCCGCAGACGACCAATCCCAGCTACCGCCCGTCGAAGAAGCCCTCGAGGCGGCCATAATGGCCGCGATCGACGCGCCCCTCGACGCGCCCGCACCCGCTCCTCTACCGATACGTCCATCAGGCGACCGCCGGATTAAAACGAGCGAAACGCACCCCATCCACGTCTCGCCGCTCATCCCACCCGAGCTCCTCGCCCTCCTCTCCACCCACCTCTCTCCCGCCTCTCCTCATCCTTCACCTCTGCAAGCGTCTCAGCAGCCGCCGACGATATTCACCGTCCCCGCATCGTACACCCTCGACCGCCTCGCCTTCTCAGCACACCTCCCCCCGCCCCCACCGGCGCATATATCCACATATAGCGCGCTCCCGTCTCGGGCGCGCTCGCCCCCACCCGCGAACAGACCGCCGACGCGCACGGGGTCAGGCGGCGGCCTCGGCACCTTTGCCTTCTTCTCCAAACGCCCGCCGTTGAAACCGTTCCCCTACCCGCAGCAGGAGCAACAGGAAGAAGTCGAGAAGACCAGAACGGCGCCGTCGCAGCCGCTCTTGCACGTCCCCCGCCCGCCGATCGGCAACCTGCTGCTTTCGTCCTGCCCGGGCAAAAAACGTAACGTTTTTCTTTTCCCCTCTTCCACGCCTTTCCAAACGAGACCTCACGATATCGCGTTTTGTTTTTGGTCGTTAGTGCGCCTCAACCCCACCCCGCCGCCCGAGTCCAACGCCCAAGGACAAGAACAAGGGCAGGGGCAGGGACAAGGACAAGGACAGCGTCCGGCCGTGCGCCGCTCGGTCCGAGCCGACCTCGCGCGTATCCGCGCCCTCGGCGTCGGCTGTGTCGTGTGTCTGCTCGACGACGCCGAGCTCGCGTTCCTCGGCGCGCCGTGGGAGGAGTACGCGCAGGCGGCGAGGGAGGTCGGCGTGGACGTCGTGCGCGTGCCGACGCCCGAGGGGCTCGGCCCGCTCGCTTTGGGCTCGTCGGCGTCAGCATCTCCATCGGACGAGACGGACGGAGAGGAGGAGAGGGGGGAGGGGGGAGAGGAGCCGACGGTAGCCGGCCTCGACGCCTGCCTCGACGCGATCATCGCGCGCTACACGCGCCGCAGCGTGCCCGTCCTCGTACACTGCCGCGGCGGCGTCGGCCGCGCGGGCGTGCTCGCCGCGTGCTGGGCGATCAAGCTCGGCCTGCTCGGCTGGCTCGACCCGCCCACGCCGTGTCCCACCTCGCCGCCCCGGAACAAGCGCAAGCATAGCGCGACGTTCGCGTTCGCGTTTCCCGAGAAGCCGGAGGACGAGAAGCCGAGGAAGAGGCGGGAAGAGGAGGAGAGCGGGGTGCGGATCGATACGCTCAGGCTCGTCGAGCGCGCGATCGCGCTCGTGAGGCGGAGGAGGAGCGTGAAGGCCGTCGAGACGTACGAGCAGGTCCGGTTCTTGGTAGAGTACGTGGAATATTTGCGGACGAAGGCCGGAGGAGCATGAGGCTGGTTACCCTCCGAGGGTTTCAAGCCTCGTTTGATTAAGACTTTGGCGAGCTTTAAGCTCGGTCTCACTCACTGTGGATCCATGTGGAGTATCTTGTCGTTTATTCGTGTTCAGGGCTCTTTATGCTTAACCCTATTGTTACCTTCGATAAGTACCTTTAGTGTAGCGCCGTACATATCTCCGTCTTTCTCTCTTGTTGTTATCCTGCGTCGAGTTGGACGATCATGACGATTCGTCAATCAAGGTGGCACAGCCATCATTGGTGGCGGTGCCCGGCATCCACGCAAGATGCCGAGATCTGGCCGTCCCGATGGAACCGGTAGCATTGTTTCACGCTGCTCCTCAAGGCGTACGACCGACTGTACAGCTGTTGCCCACCCACTCGTCCTCCAGGTTGAGCGACGCCTCCCATCACATCCGCTATAGCGCAACAACGGCTTTCGAACTGTACGATCCTGTGAGGTTATCCGTTGCAGCGGCCTTGAAGGGGTATAACCAATGAACGTGCGGACAATGGAAACGGTCGGTACTCTTTTCACACCCACCCTCTCATCGTCTTCCTTATCCTTTCGCAGATACACCTCGAAGACCTCACGAAAACGGTTCCGGGCTCCAGACGTATGATCTCGCTCGAAGACGCAAAGCCCACGCCGGACGGTGCGGCCGTCGTAGCGTCCAGCACCCCCTTTGTTCCCCCGCCCACGATCTCGACAATGGCGCCAGATGCGCGTGTTACTTCTACATCTACGTACAGACGCAAACCGCGCGTGACGTACCGCTCGCCCTCGGCGACGTACCAGCCCGGCCCGCGCGTCGAAGGCCAGCTCCCGCCCAACTTCGGCTACCCGCCGCCCCGCCGACCTCGCTCGCCGCCGCGACCGCTCTACCCCACCTCCTTGCCCTCCGACGCTACATCGTCCGCTTCCGGCAGCAACAGCACGGGCTCGACCAAGCTGCCCTTCGCCGAGCTCCGGGCCACGATCGCGTCCGAGGCGGCGAAGGGCGGCGACAGGTACCGCAAAGTGCTCCACGCTCGCGCGCAGACGTCCGCCGCGCGCGCGCACTCGCTGTACCACCCCGCGGGCCGCCTCGCGCTCTCGCTCCCGCCTCTGGAGCCCGCGTCGCTCGCGGGCGCTGCGGACTACTCGACGCTGTACCGCCAGCTCCCGCCGCCGGCCGTCGTGAATGTAGAAGCCCCGCCATCCAGCAACGGGAACGGGAGTCGCGAGCGCCCGCAGCGCGCGCGCCAGCCGGCGGCGAAGCTGAGGGAGGAGGAGAGGATTGCGGTGCAAGGGGCGCTGGCGCTCGCGGCCGGGCGCGGCGCCGACGTAGGGGACGAGGGCGAAGTGGAAGAGGGCGGGGTGAGGGAGCGCAGCCCGAAGAAGAGGCGGGCGGCGGGAGGGGTGGGCACGGCGAAGAGGAGGAGGGTGGCGAGGGAGCGCGAGGAGGAGGAGGGAGAGGGGTATGCGGCTCCGCCGAAACGCACGCCGAGGGCGCGTAGGAGGGAGGCGCCGGTGGAGGAAGAGGAAGAGGAGGAGGCTGGTGAGGAGGGTGCGGGTGCGGGTGCGGGTGGGGAGGAGGGACAGGGCGAGCAGGATGCGGATGTGTTGCCTGGCAAGCCGGCAAGGAGGGGCGCGGCGAAGAGTGCCAGGCCGCGCGCGAGGAGGGCGCCTGCGAGTGCGACGAGGAGGAGGGAGCCGAGTCCGGTACTGAGCGAGGCAGCGACGGAAACGAGCTCGATTCTGAATGTGCAAGCGCAGCCGGGCGCGGAGCCGGCGAAGAGGCGGACCGCGGCACGGAAGAGCGCGGGTGGTCGGAGGGCACGCGCTAGTAGGGTCAAGGTGGATCAGGAGGCCGAGGTGCAGGCCGAAGTGGAAGGTGATCCCGATGCCGAGGCCGCAGGAGAGGAGAAGTCCGGAGGTGCCGAGTCCGCGTCTGCGTCTGCGGAAGGCGTGGAGGAGGAGACGACTGCGATGCAGGTCGATGTGGACGCGGACCCTGCTCAAATGCCTGTCGAGCCGGATGTGGACGCCCGACCGGAAGCGGGCGTCGTTCAAGAATCGGCGCTGGTGGAGCCTGAATCGGGCCCGGGGGACCCGCCGCCGCCGCCGCCGCCGCCGCCGCCGCCGCCTGCGAATGACACTGCACCAGTTCAAGACCCGGCGGAGGAGAGTGCGGCCCAGACGGAAGAGCTGGCGATGGCCATCGACCCCGCACTCATGGCCGAGTCGGCTGCTGCTATCGCGCTGGGCACGCAGGTGCACGTTCCGGCCGACGAGCATCGTCAAGGCGTAGTTGCCCCGGTTGCTTGAACTCAAAGCAGGTACGTCTCGCTGTGCATATTGTGATTACGAGCTTCTAACTGGCGAATCGACCAGCGTCTGCTCTGTGCATTATATCGTCATATCTCACCCCCGATTAAGGCGGTTGTTTGATTTTAACATACTGTGCGTTTCCGGTGTGTACCTCTCCATTACGATCAATATCACGGTTTCTTGTCATAGTAATTTTAGTTCCGGCGCAGAGCATGCAAAGGACATATGAACGTTGTCAAGCATTTTGTAATCGGATGTTTGTTTAGCTTCCGTACTCAAACAATGACATCCGTCGAGGTTGCGAAAAAGCTGCCAGCTGTCCTATAGCGGTCGTCGTCCCCGGGTCCAAGGAATGGTATGATATACCGGGGGAGCGGGCATGTTCGCTCCCGGCTTCATAGTACCCAGTCCATGAGCAGTGAACGGCAAGACGGGGCATCTGATCGGCAGAACATGGAGGGCAAGAGATGCGGGTGCAGTCGCCCATTATTACCTGCTGCGGAGGTTCTGTCGTATCCACGCTGGCGGCGTTAACGAGGGTTGTCGTCGATATTGGTGATCTTGGCCAAGGCTAGGCCAGTTCGCTGGACCCTCGGCGTTGGCTATGGGCGTGCAAGTCGTCCTCGGGCGCACTCTCGGCCGGTCAATCTCTAGAGCTTCGAGAAATCCTCGAAGAAGAATCGCAGCGCCTTGAGAATAAGTCACTATGAATATCAAGAATATCAATGAATGGCAGACGCACAACTTGATGTGAGAGGCCGGGAGATGAATAACATTGTAAGCCGGCAGAACGCTTCGTTGATTCATGAAATCCTCGGGACGGGCGCAATATAGCAAATTCCGCGTGCTATGGTATTGAAGCTTGAATGGTCGGTTTCTCGTACGGTGTGAACTGAGTCCATGGAATCTCATGAGCCAGAAGGTAGGCCTCGCCATCCACACCTCTGGCATCGACGTGGTCGACATTATTGAGAACGGCGAAAGGACTGGCATGCGTTCACCGTCTACGCTGGGAGATTCGGCTATCTTTCGCTTCCGCATCCCGACGATAGTATGAACCTATGTGATTGGAAGCACGGCGATGACATCTGATATTCTGCACAACCCATAAGACGGTGGAGTATGAAAACGTTCCTTGGCCTCCTTCGTAGCAATCCAAAGCGGAGCCGAATCAGGACAACTCAGGCCAGTAAAGCTAACGGCCGATGATAACAATGAGCGATGGATCCATGTGATTTCTGTCAACGTTTTGTATACGCGCCTTTTGCTCAGCTGACTTGGGAAAAAGATGACGGTGGCGCCCGGGTGCAGATGCAAACGCTCCAGCTAAAACACACAGGGTCGCAGAGTTTAAGGTTCGTAGTTTGAACAAATCAAGGTTAATTATATGAGCCAATAGTGAGATCTCGTGTTCAGATTCTGTTCGGGCGGAACGAGGCTAGCGGGTCGGAAGCGATGGACGGAACGGGTGGGGAAGTTCTTCGGAGAACGAGAAGAAAGGCGGGTGGGAGCCTTGTGATTCATGTTTTGGGTCCTACTGCTTGGGCATTAAACATTGAGGAACCTCCTCCACAAGTTTGCGGGGGAGCATTTTATGTGTTCGAATATGAGAATTCAACGCGAGACAGACGCACTCGAACGAACTCGAGTGAGGACTGAGTACAAGTGTGCCCGTCGAGGTGGCATCAGAGCGCGTCGCGACGCGCGACAACCATTGCCTTTTCAGGTTATGGGCTCTTTCCTCCTGACGCCATCGACCCCGCGCGACGCGAATAGCAAAACAATTCTGGACCTTAGCTGAACTCGCTCTCCCCTGATTCTCATTCGCGAAAATGGAGGCTAGTGCCTGTACCCCACGGGGCCCCGGTTGATTATGATCGCAGAGGAGGTCACGCACGCTGATGGCAAGCGAGTCAGGATCTCCGATCCTCCAGGCTGGTAGCGACGACCCTCACATTCCACGCGCCATCATTGGATACGGCAGCCGTCGTTCGCGAAGGAGCCCATGTGCTTTCCCTCCCCCAAATGACTTCCTTCCATCAATGTGTCGAAAATATGTGCGGGCTAGGATGATCCAGTCGCACGGACAGTAGTTTCGGGAGGGTCATGGGCAGACGACGGAGCTTCGAAGCCCTCCCACTGATATATCTTTTAGCGCGTAACCATTGCGGTGCCTCCTTTCGAGCCTGCACCCTCTCCAGCCTGACTGCTTGCTTGCTCGCGCGCCAAGTAGCCAGCGGCGATGGCAATCATGATGCGTCAACCAGCGAACGCGTCCGCCGTCAGCCTCAATGCTAACGCCGGGAGTGCATACGGGTCGACGGCCTCTCTGACGCGTAAGACTCTCGTCGACATATTGAAAAGCGCGAAAATTTCAATTGACTTCTGTCTTTCCCTTGCCGACAGAAAATGCGGCCGCCCCGGGCATTGACGGCCCCTCACGGTTTTCAGAAAACATTGGAGGGCCGGAAGAGTCAGCGGCAGCGGCGAGGGCGGCGAATGCAAGAGGTGCTGGAGCAGGCGCGGCGGGTGCGGGTGCGGCAACTGGAGCAGCAGCTGCGCCGAAGAAACCGATATACAAGAGGCGATGGTTTATCATTGCCAGCATCATTAATGCATGTATCGGCATCGCCCTCCTCTTCATTATCCTGTACCCGGTCGTCGCGGCCATCGCGCAGTCCATCATCAACAAGAGCGTCCTTCATGTCGAGCACGCGGACATCTCGAATCCCACCAACACCTCGTACGTTGAACCCACAAGGTTATCCGGTATATATGCACTACTTACTATTGTCTTCAGGTTTACTCTGGGGTTGCAGGGCATCGTACGTGTTTACCGCATATACCCACTCGTACCCGCTCTCATGGGTTTTTAGGTTACTCACACCGGAATATTCAAGGCCAAGATCACGTTCACCGAGCCCATCACCGTCTCATGGGTGAACGGCGACAACGAGACTGAGTTGGGCGTGATGGATATGGACACGCTCAAGGCGAACCACCACCGGGCAACGATCAATGAGACGACGACGTTCAACATCACGAACGAGGCCGGCTTCGGCGAGTTCGCTTCGGCAATGATCACCCAGAAGACGTTCCAGTGGAAATTGACGAGCAGCAAGCTGAAGGTCGCCGCGCTGAAGTTCCCGGTCGCGCACGGTCTCCACTTCAAGAAGACCATCACGCTGAACGGTTCGCACATCGGTTGGCTGCTGGAGTCTTCAGTGCTTAAACATAACCATTATCTGTGCCACACAGGTTTTGACAGCTTTAACGGCAATGTGCAGCTCAAGAACTTTTTGCTCCCGAGCGACTCGCCTCTTGGAGGTATCAACTACCAGGCCGACACCGCTCTCACGAACCCGAGGTCAGCTGGGCGTCAGCTCCACTCGTCGCTGGAAATCACAAGCTGATCCCACCTATTCCCCACAGCCCGTTCAAGCTCAGTCTCGGCACGGTCGTCTTCGATCTGTCCTACAACAACTTGTTCCTCGGGTCCGGCACCTCGACCTCGACGAACATTGTGAGCTCCGAAAGCTTGCCCTCGCTCGTGTATTGAACGATCATCTATTTACACGTTTGGACAGGCCCCCGGCTCGAATGACATCACGCTCAAAGGTCGTCTCCTCCCCCAGCAGGGCGATGAGAACATAGCGCAGGTTTCGACCCTCTTCACGTCGTACATAAACGGAGAGACGTCCGATGTGATCGCGACCGGCCAGTCGACGTTGCTCGAAGACAATACTACTGTGTCGTGGTTGTCCCATGGGCTACAGAGCCTCAAGCTCCACGTACCGTTCAAGTCGTTCACGCCCATCGACCCGATAAAAGCGATCAGCATCGGCGAGATGTCGCTCGCGTTCAGCGCGACGAACCCGTGGGCGCCGATGGCGAGCAGCGACTCGGTGAAGGCTTCCATGCGTGCGTTCATCCACACCTACACGCATAGCATGTGACTCACGTCGTCCTTTCATACCCGTAGAACTGCCGTTCGGATTCAGCGTTTCCGTGTCCGAAATTCAGAACGCGTTCAACATCACCCGTAACAACGCCACAGTCGCGGGCCTCAGCACCGTACGCGTGCTGTCACGTTCCTCGTTTCCGAGCCGTCTCGGCTGACTCCTTGCCTTCTTAGCCGCTTGGCGCGTCGACGTCGTCCATCTCCGTCCTGAGCTCGACCGACACCAGCGGCACGATCGATATCACCATCAACAACAGCGCGCTCACCTCCGCCGCGGACGACCACGACCACTTCTCCTCATTCAGTGAATTATTCGTACCATCAGCACCTCCTGATACATGATACTGACCCTAGCCCGTGTGCACAGACGCCATGCTGACCGACAGCGAGAAGGCCGAATTTCAACTCGTGGGACATGCAAGGGCGATCGCGAACATGAGCATCGGCCTCATCACGCTCGACCCCATTAAGTTCAACGTGACGTCGAGCCTGGACGGGCTGCAGGGGCTGAAGGGGATGACGACGATCGAGGGCGTCGACGTGCTCGGCGGGACTGAGGAAGGGCTCCAATTGGCTGTCAACGGTCAGCTGATAGTTCCGGGTGTGCGCGTGCTAGTCAGCGATCTTAACGGAACCGGCAGTGTCGATATTCAACCCGTCAAACTTGAACCTCGATACCGGCGATTTGAGTGAGTGGGCCCATCTGCCTCCCGTCGTAAATCTTCTGATTTCCTGCGATGCAGCCCTCGCACTCCAGAAAGATGGAAACGCGCTGGGCACTACGACCCTGCCCAACTTGAAGCTGAACAGAGGCAACAACTCCATCCAGGCGACGGCCATATTCGCGGTAAGTTCACATATGCGCTTGTAATATTACGTGGAACTGACCGTAGCGTGAAGGCGAACAGTAACCCGACGGCTCTGCAAACACTCAACAATTACGTCGCCCGCCAGGGTACGCACGCATTTCTCTCCTGGTCGGGCGCGCTGTTGACTTCTGCATCTTTAGATGTGCCCATTGACATCGCTGGGGCGTCGTATAGCACCAAAGTTGATTCGCTGCTGCAAGCATTCGAGACCCTCCAGATTGGGGCAACGCTGCCCGGCCTGAAATCCTTCCTCTTGGATTCTGGGTCCCTCACAGGTATAGGATTTTGCGAGTGCCCCAACCCTTGCGTTGTGCTGACCATCTTGGCGTGACAGTCTTGAACTCCACTGGAAAGAGCGATAACATTTCTCACGTCCAAGTGAAGCTGGCCAACCCATTTACCGCTCCCCTCCAGATTACCAAGATCACGTCCTCGGTTACCTCGTTCGGGATCAACCTAGGCTCCATCGAGACGGACACGTCGTTCCACGCGCCCGGAAAGGAGGCGACCGATTCCCCGACGTTGCCGCTGAACATGAACCTGGATCCTGCTTCAATATTCACTCTCACCCGACAACTGGCTGTGGAAGCTGGGCTGGATACCGCCCAACTGGATGGGATCGTTAAACTGGGTGGATACGAATACCTGAACATCGACACCAGTACCGACGCTACTCCTGCCGCAAACTCCTCCAAGAAGCGTGACAATATCTACACGTACGTCATTGCCCTCACTTTCCGTCCTTCCGCGCTCATCAGACGGCGCAGCGGGTTCAACCTGCCTGACTTCGTGGACAAGGCGTTCAAACAGTTGAGGTCGGATGTAAAGCTTTCAACCGATGTCACGATCGGTGAGCCATGGCTTTTTCGGCACATACCGCAGTCTCGTTTACTAACTCCTTGCACGTAGGAAATTACAGCACCACGCTCCAATACACACAAACCGATCTGCCCATCTCAACCGACTCGAGTCTGAACGAGCTCCTGCCCATCCTGGCAGCCCCCATAGTCCAAAAAGTCGTATCGGGATCAGTCCTTGGGATCGATAATGTCCTCATCTCGGGTGTTAAGGAGGATTCGTTCCGTAAGCCTACAATGGATTTCCACCTTGCCTCTTGGCAGCCTCTAAATTTTTGCAGAAACCGCATTGAAGGGATCGATCACCGAAGCTGGGCCTTGTATGCGCGTTCCTTCCGGTGATTTTGCAGAGCTAACAACTCCTCTAGTTGATGCCTCGATCTCGTTCCCGTCCGGCCTGGTGGTGTCATGGTCAGGCAAACCCATTGGCAAGATCGCCATGGACGACCTAAAGATCACTGGTGACGTTGGCGGTCAAATCGATTTGAAATCTGCCTTCACAGTGGTAGATTCCGCACAATTAGCAGAGTTCTCCAAGGTACGTTGATGATCGACGATGCACTGAGATGGTGCTTATATCTTCGCAGACTCTGCTGACTGAGGAGTCTTTCGATTGGTCCATCTCGGGGGAGAATTTGAGTGGTGAGTGCCTCATTCTCGTGACCATTGATTACGTACTGACTGGCACTGCAGTCTCTGCATTGGGTGAGTTTATAGGACGTCCGTTGGCGCCGTCTGCTGACAGAATGCAGGCATCGAGGTTACTGGAATCACCTTCGGTCCCGCATCGGTAACATTGAAGGGATTCAATGGGCTCAAGGGTGGCGTAAAGGTTTGTAGACTCAACTCATCAGAACTAGAGTACATGTGCTCACCCCGCGCGTATCGCCAGATCAATAGTTTCGACCTTCCCGCCAATGACCCCGCCGGCGGCGTCAAACTCACCGTCGACTCTTCCGTAGCCAACGTAAGCTCAACTTCATATCGCAGCTATTCCGTGTCTGAATCTTGCATATCAGCCCTCGCAAGTTGGCATAGAGCTCGACTCCCTGACGTTCAACGCCTTCGCCAACGATACCCAAATTGGGGTTTTGACGTCGAACAGCAGCTTCACTCTTTCATTTGGCTCGACAATAGACCTAGGTCTTGCAGGACGTCTGATCCCTCAAGAGTCCTCGGATGGGTTGGCGACGGTACAGCGACAGTTCTGCTGATCCGTTGGCGGTGATTTAATGACGTTACAGGTGGCAACCATCTTCAACAACTTCATCCACGGCAAGGATAGTCCGGTGTCTGTGCATGGCCAGAGCGTGCAGCCGGATGTACGTCGTTGCAGAATTGTTATTCGCTGTGTTCTGACGTCCTGGTCAGGTGTCTTGGCTCAGCTCTGCTATCCCGTCTTTGCAGGTCGATACGACGCTGCCAAACCAAGGCGTTCTGGACCTCATTAAATCGATCACACTGGAGCAGTTGCAGGTGCACAGTGATACACGGGCCGTTTCTCGAAATGCATACTGAAACAAAACCTATGACAGTTGATGTTTACAGAGAATTCCGCTTATGGCCCCTCCTCCGGAAGCAATGCTACGGAGGCAGCGTTCACCCTGCCATTCGCTCTTCCGGTTGATATCATCGCCTTGGAGGGAGATTTCGTAGTCACTGTCGATGGCGTCTCCGTCGCTGAATTGCAAATCCCGATGAGCCCGGCCACAACGAATGTGGACACTCGAGTCCTTCAGCTGAAATTTGACGACGTGCCATTCGCTGCTTTCGGTGACAAGCATGATGCCTTCAATCAGTTCGTCGCCGCCGTCACGACATCGAAAACGGAGAAGTTCCATCTATCCGGGACAAGCAACGTTAATGCCAAAACTGGCGTCGGCGTGCTTCCGCTCACGGACATCGCGTTTTCAGTAGACACCTCGATCGCTGGGCTACAGGGACTGAACTCTAAGCCGACAACGGTTGGCTCATTGGACGTCGTGCATGGCTACTCGGATTTCCTGCTTATTAGCACCTCGGCTTCATTGTTCAATCCAAGGTAATGTACATGCTATAATCGCCTATATGTTATAACTAATCATATACACAGTAATCTGACAATCGGCAAGTAAAGTAAGACCTATACGTCTCTTTCCTACTGATATGCATCGCAGGCACGGGCGACGTTAGCTTCAACCTGATTTTCGAGTGAGTATCTATTGCATCATATAAAACATTCTGAGGCTCACGTCCTGACAGAAACGCGGATATTGGATCGGCACTTATGGTACGCTCACCTGCGGCTTGTCATCACGCGTAACCTGAAAACTGACGTTTCTACTTCAGGACGGTCTCGTGATAGTTCCTGGAGCAGCCAACTACAGCGTTGGTACGTCGTTTTGACTCAGAGCATGTTCCTTGGTCTCACGCGCTGGAAAGATGTGCACTTCTCACCGCAGGGAGACGCTGTATCAACCGGAGTTAAACTCCTCGAGAATTATATCTCAGGTATCGACTCGAGTACAACAATCGCCGGATCGACCGATTCAACGCCTATCCAATCGCTCAAGACCGCGCTATCTGAAATTTCTTTGTCTCCGGTCAACATTGCTGGCATCAATATTACCCTGATTCCGTCCACTTCGTTGACATTCCCAACGGATATTCTTAAGACGGGGGTTTCCGATGCTACGTTCGATCTCAACGACCCTTTCACCGCCTCTTTGAACGTGAGTTTGCATTGCCTACAAAGTATATTCGTGGAAGGCTGACGCTGCGAGCTCAGTTGCTTGTCGTGACCGCAACCGCCACATATCGCAACCTCACTCTCGGAAAGATCGATCACGTCGACCGAACATCGAACCCAATACATGCCAATGGACACTCACAGATCACTTCGCCCACGGTACCGTTGAACTTCAACCTGCAGCCGGACGTCATCGTCGCACTCCTCCTCGACCGATCCCAGGATACCGGCACTGATCTCGGACCACTCCCTGATCTGTTCGCCTTGGGAGCGAAGAACCCGGACGCAGGCTCAGTGGTAGGGTCCTCGTTTCTGCTTTACCATGGCATCTTTGTGACCATGTTCCCAGATCAATGTTACTATCGAGACCGACCCACCAACATGCGTCAGGTATGTCATCACCCTTGTATACGCCTACATTACCTAAAAGGAGCATAGCGGAACGCAATTTGACGTCGACGATGCGATCCTCAATGCTCTGAACGGCTTGCGCATAGACCTAGCGGTCGATTCGTCGCTCAAGATTGACGACTGTAGGTGCTTCCATCGTAGTAAGCAAGTGGTTCTAACCTCGTCGTAGACCCGGTGGAATTGTCTTTCAATCAGTCCAATGTACCCGCCTTGGTGCGTGTTTGCATGCACTCGATATCATGCCACCTTTCTCACGCGATACATTCGGACAGACGGATAAAACTGCATTGTACTTGGTCGGAGCTGTCGCGCCCCCCATCGTTCAGTCTTTGGTGGATCAAGCGGAGCTAGTCTTCAGCCAGGCGCTCATCAGGTACCAACCTGCCCGGCCTTGTATGAGCTAAACTGACCAGCTATCAGTAACATCACCGAGGACGGTTTTGAGCTCGCACTGAAGGGCTCCTTGACCAATATCGGTCCTCTGGATGCTCTGATTACATTCACGGAACCAGTCACGTTAGTTACTGCTACTTTATCGTCATGGCATTGTTCTTATCATGTTGTCTAGCGTCACATGGGAAGGCCAAGATATTGCTCAGATCGGACTAGATCCGAGTACGTTGGCGCGACTTCCATTCTTACACGATGCTGACACCAGTCTAGTTTGCGGTGCAGCAAATACCGGTGTACCTGACTATGAGACAAGCGCCCACTTGACGATCACTGATCAGGACAAGTTAGTGCTTGCCGTTCTGCTTAGAGCTATACTAACCCATGGAGCTGTTTTAGGTTTACGGACTTCGCCTCGTTCCTTCTCCTTCAGTCATCGTTTACGTGGAACATTCATACCGACAAACTCAGAGTGACGGCTCTAGGTACCATCTTCGATGGAGTAACTTTATCCAAGAACGTCACTTTCAAGGCGTTCAATGGCCTCCCTGGCGTGACCATTAGCAACTTCCAGCTACCGGGTGACGTTGACGAAGGAATTGAGATCGAGACCGATTCCACAATTCCATCCCCTGCGCGTACGTACCGCCTCTCGGACTTCTCTTTCAACAATCTCATCATCCTTGCAGAGATCGGCATTGGATTGGGTACAGTGGAATTCAATTCGTTCTTTGATGGCGTGCTTGTCGGTCGTAAGTTTTGCTCCACCCTATGCAGAGTCTCGCCCATCTCATCTGCTCTGCAGCCTTGACTGCCAATAACCTGAATCTCGCTCCGGAGTCGATTGCCAATGCCCACCTTTCTGGCCACATCGTTCAGCAGAACGGCTCGGATCTCGAAACGATCGGAACTCTTTTCTCGAATTTCCTTGCAGGAAAAAACCAGACATTGGATGTCAAGGGATTATCCATCCAGCCTCCAGGGGCCAGTAGTCCTATTGAATGGCTGAGTACTGCCTTCAAGTCGCTAACTATCAACGTCACTCTGTGAGGCGACCCGACTCCTTTAGCAAATGCGTTTTCTGACGTTCCCGTCCAGTCCTGGTCAGACCTTCACCATCATCCAATCTATCGCACTGGAAGACTTCAAGGTTGAGATGACTACTGAGGACGAAGCGTTTGCACCGTTGGCTAGCTCTCAGGTATATACATCGTCTCCTGATCCGAGTCGTCCGAATTCATCACATGCCTCATTCAGACCGTCTTGGCAACGTACAAGAATCCGTTCGGATTCAGTCTGCAGGTCATCAAGTCCGGAGAAAACATCACTTTATCGTCAAGTGGAGTCTCCATAGCTTCTCTTGAGCTCCCCCTCGCGGATGCAGTCGGCGGGGTCTCGACGGGAAATGTGGCCCCTTTAGATCTTTCGTTCAACAAGGTACCTCTGAAAGCGCTGAACAATGGTGCCTTCGAGCAATTGTTCGCGGGAGTGACGGATACGAGTGAAGCGGACTTCCGTCTCGGCGGAACCGCCAACGTCGTAGCTAAGACGACCATCGGAAACGTGCCGATTTCCGGTATTCCGTTCGATGTCCCGTCGGGACTCAAAGGTACGTGACATGGTGATGGATGATTGCTCGTCGTGACTCACCATGCATCAGGCATTAACTCATTTGGTGGTTCGACCAAGTTGAGCAACGTGACGATCACAGGCAGCGGTGGAAATGGCGGAGACGAGTTCGTCAAAGCACCGTTGACAACCGAACTCAACAATCCGTCTAACGTCTCCCTGTCTACGAACGATGTCTCGTTATCCGTAACATACAAGGATGTTGTTCTAGGCCGCGCCGCGTTAAATGTAAGTACTGTAACGTCCACTTCGCGCGATAAGCTGACGACCCTGTTTAGCCGTTCAACCTCACTCCCGGGACCCACGATTACCCTGCCGAGTTTCAATACGCACCTGCCGACGCCAATGACACCACCGCCCAGAGTTTCCTCACGGACTTCCTCCAGACAAGCAATGATTTGCCCCTCACCATCCAAGGCGACAGTTCTTCATCGCCGTATGGCTCGCTTGTACCCGCTCTTGAAGGTGTCAAACTCTCGTCCAGCCTCACGGGGATGGATGTCCCGCCGATAATCTCACACGTCAACGTCTTCATCACGCTCGAGACCTTGTTCACGAACGAAGTCGACGTCAACTTCGATATCACCAACCCGCTCGATACGGAGCTGGTTGTCGAGCTCGCTCAGTCGGACGCGAAGGTGAACGGGGACACGTTCGCGATATTCACGCAGCCGTTCTCGTCATTCGTCGTCCCCCCGCACAGTACGGCGAACAGCGGGACGTTCCCCCACGTTTTGCTCGTTAAGGGTGCGCTCGCTAGCTTGGGCATCATTCCTCTTGGGTATTTGGACATATCTGCGGCGACGAGTGTTCGGTGAGTGTGGTTAAGCATGAATGACGATCCTCAGTACTCACCATCGCACTTGATAGCGCCGGCTCCGGCGGGTACTTGATCCCCTGGCTCAAGCTGCAACAAGACCATGTACCTACTGACTACTCCGTGTCCCTTACCGACGCAGACATAGCGTCGGCGCTCGCATCCGGGGTCAGTTCCGTGGCGTCTGCCGTGAAGAGCGACGTGTCCGGCGTCGTTAGCCATATCAGCAGCGATGTGTCAGGCATCGTCAGCCACATCAGCAGTGACGTGTCCGGCGTCGTGAGCCACGTCTCCAGCGCCATAAGCCACGCCGCGAGCGATGTGAGCTCTGTGGTCGGCGGGATCACGAGCGCGGTAGGAGACGTGACGAGCGCGATAGGAGGAGACATCACGAGCGCGGTCGGAGGGCTGACGCATGGACTGGCGTCGCCAACGCAGGCACCATCGAGCAGCGCGGCGGACAAGGCGTCCTCAGTCGTATCTGGCGTCGAAAGCAAAGTTACGGCGGCGGCAGGCGCGTTCACCTCTGCCCTTTTGAAAGCGCCGGTGTCCAGCGGGGAGGCGGCTTCGGTGAGCGCGTTGTTTTACACGTGAATATCGAATATCACCTGCTCACAGCCCGTCTTGTCGCATAGGCATCTTCCGCTTCGACATGATAGTAGCCGGATCAATCCGGACGAAGATCTACGAACACTCCCTTCCGGGTTTCCGAAACTTTTTACGGCGTGCTTTTTTCTTCTTCCTGCTATCGGACCGTTCATCTGGATGCCTTTTTATACCTATACTACTCAGTCATCCCGACACCGCATGTCCCCTTATTGCTCGTCACGCATACCAACCACGAAATTTGACTCTCATCATTATGTATTGCTTAGCATTATTCCTCGTTGTTCGCTCGTGCTACACCTCTCGTACCGTATTCACTTGCACTGCTGCTTGTACCAATATCAATCAGATGTCACGACGCGTCGACCGGGAAAAAGCATGCGAAGCGCCGGGTCGTGATTGCCAGTGTAAGACTGTTATTGCCGGGTCGCGCATGTGCCATCCGCCAAGCCTGGTGGTTCTGCGGCACCGCTGGCGGGCTCGCCGGGAGCAAGGGATCGTTGATCCAACTCGTACCTTCAGACTCGGCCAAGAACACTAGGTCAGCATCGCGAGGATATACGAGGCATGGCGCGACTTCAATAGCCAGGCTCAAGGAACTCATCAGGCATCCGTCAAACGATTATCAATTGCTCAAACCATGGGACGGGAGAAGCGCAAGCTACGATTCAATAGTATACATTTGGTTTGTGTATGGCAGATGTACATTCAATACATTAGATGATTGTCTCCGGTACCGGTAACGGGTGCGTTTTAGGCATCGACACCGTTCTCAACGAGGAGCTCGCGAGCTTGCTGTTTGGCCTGCTTGGATACGTTAGGGTCTAGCGATGCGTACTGCGTTAGCACCTGACAACTCATTGAGAACAAACGCGCGCGTACTCTTCAAGGTGGCTTTATATCCGCCGAGCACGCGATGCTCGTGAATCTCTTCCTCGTGGTCAACGCCGCGCGCGGATTCAATTACGGATGCAGGATCCTCGTCAGCAGCCTCGAGCACATCGGCGGCGTGCTCCTTGGCCTCCTCGGATACGTTGGGGTCTATGAGATGTCAACGTCAGCGCCGCGCATCGAGGCGTGATGCGAGATAAAACTTACTCTTGAGCGAGGCCTTAAACCCACCGAGGACGCGATGCGTGTGCTCGTCCAATCCGTCGTCGTTGCCGCCCACAGATGCGCGCGACGACAGTTCCTGCGGGGCTTCGTAACCCATGTCTTCGAGCTCTTGAGCGGCACGGTCTTTCGCTTCCTCCGTAACTCTATCGACGTCGCTTCAGCACGTTCCAAATTGATCGGGCAATATATATGACTTACCGAGGGTTATGAATGGCAGCCTTCAAGCCTGCCGCGACGCGCTCGGGGTTCTTCTCAGTATAGGCTGGGCCTCGCACAGTAAGCACGGCGCGTTAGACCAGATGTGCAGTACTCACAAGGCATTATGATTATCAAATCGTGAGAAGGAGATTAAGTCTGAAAGCTTGTTGGGAGACACGAATTGAGGTGAAGAAACTGTTGCATATCGAGGCTCGCTGGTCAGGTATTTATGCATCTTCAGCTGGAGCATCGACGTCATCCACGATGGAGCGTCGTCGCTGCGGCTCGCTTGGCGAGTCAACGGGCCACACAAACGCCAACGATTCGCAACGTCGAATAATTTGCGAAGGACGGAGCGCCTGACGAAGAAGCTGGTTTAGCGCCCGTAGCCGAGCCCGATTCGGAAAGGCGGGGACGCGTCGCAGTGCGCGTGACGTCATGCGGGGAAGCCTACGCGTGATGTCATTGGACGCCTAGCTCGTTCTGTGGCTTCTCCGCTCGACAAGCGTCTCCAATGGGGCGTGGGGTAACCGTAAAATAACCCCTGACTTGCTCCTAACCTGAACCTTGAACCGCACCATGTCCTACCAAGACGACAACAACCCCGAGCGCGTCGCCGCAGGCTACAAGGCCGCCCTGCGCAACCCGAAGTCAGCGGAAAACGTGTCTCTTTTCCTTGACCTTCACTTACCTTGACGGTTTCGTCGGCTGTAGCGTGTCGGAATCCGCCAAGGAGCACGCCTCCGAGGAGCTGAAGGACGTTGATACGAGCACTCACACCGGACCCGCCACGAATTTGGCCGAAGTTCACCACCAGAACCGCGTCATGGGAGGCTACAAGTCCGCCATGCACAACGAGCGCGTCGGGCACGAGGCCAAAGAGCACGCCCGCGACGTCCTGGGAGAAGAGGGGTATGTGGAGCCGGAAGCGCGGCTGCCTGGGCACGAGCCGACCTACACGACGGGCCGCGCGCATTGATCACCGGGGTCATGTACCCACCCACGTCTTCAAGCTTTTTGGAGTTGCTGTACTTGTACTAGTAATAGTCGCCGGTGTATGATCCGACAGAGGTCGTGACGCCCTCTGAACATCGCGCTTTTGTTGTTATATTCTGGGACCCCTTCCACTTCCGTGAATTTGCTCATCGCCGTCGCGCATGAAGGATCTGACGATCGCCGATAAACGGGGAGCAGGCACGCGGTACCACAAGTACACGGTCTCGACGCAGTACGTAGCGTCTTCCGATATAGATACATCATGACAACTCTCGCGACGAGTGCTTCGTCACCGTCAGTTCCATCTCGTATTCGCCGGGCCAGCCCGTTCGCGGATCTTTCGCCGGGGAGAGCTTGCTGCTCCTCGACCCCGTTCGGGAAGGTACCACGATCGAGCGCGGCGTATCGCGCTCGAAATCTGACGAAATCGACAAGCCGTCGTCCTCTGCGTCGCTGCTAGCGTGCGTGTTGAACAACAGACGGAAGAACGTGATGTTGTTCAACGACCACACCAAACTGCGATTCGTGATAGTCAGTGGAAAGACGAAGGGCAGAATCCTTGTAGGTCAGCTTACAAGACTTGCAGGAGAACAAGCGAGAGCTTAAACGAGCGTTAACGGTCAATGTGTAAGGTGCACGCAGGGTGTTTGTTATTTACTCACTGGTGAGACGACCGAAATGATTAGATTCGCCGTGCGCATCGCTACGGAATCGCCGCTGAAATATAATCACAGTGTAGATCGCGTGACCAACACGTACCCGTAAGGACCTGCGAGCCAGCGCGGGCTGAGCAAAGCATACTATAGCGCATCGGACCTGAACGCCTGAACGCACCACAAAGTATAGAAATCCATCCCTGTACAGGGTAGCCGAGAGCCGCGTCGAAGCCGTTCGTGGTCGCGCTATCGCGTTCAACAGAGCCGTGAGGAAGACCATGAGTTCGAACGCGAGCTGTTAAAAACATTAGACGTTTTAAATATTTGCGGCGGGACGCTCGCTGAGGATCCACTCACTCCTGGGCCCCAGAACAACGCTAGCGGTATCGTCTTGGTCATAATACATGCGTGAAGCTCGTGGTTGAATATCACGCTCTCTGCAAGTTCGACTGTCATTCGTGTGTGGACAACACATGATCCTGATGCGCTCACTTCGAAGGTCGACGGAATTCACGGCCAGCGCCACCAACGTCACTACTTGAGAGATGACGAAGATCATGAAGGTCAGTCGAACGAGGACTTTGTCCTTCTCCCAGAGAGCCCACAGTCGATGGAGAACGATATCTGCACGTGGATAACGACGGTCAAGAAGGTCGCCAACAAAGGTGTCATTGGCGCGTAATACACACAGTCATTGGATGCAATGGATATGACGCCGACGCATATTGCTGAAGTGAGCCATCCTTGGCAACTGAAGGCGCGGCGGCCTTTAGTCGCCACTTTGCCATTTGAGCAGGACGAGCACTTACAACTACAAGGAATACGTCATTAGGACTCATCGCCATATCGCTGTGTTACGAAGAGCTTACTGTATCCGTGAGATGGACGGTCGTGAGTCCACTGAGATCTGTATTGCAACAATATATCGATACTCGATTGCAAGCATGGTGAAGACCAGGTTGTGTCATACCGTAGGTTTGCATCAAGACAGCCGTAGGAACGAGGTAGCGGCTGAGCAAACATAACACCTTCAGAGCGTTCCAACGGCTGGTCCAGATGACGTCGATCTCTTGAGGGATGGTGAGCAAATGATCGTACAGAATGATCTGGGAAAATCTCGTGAATTGATGAAGGGATATGTCAGTGGCAGCCATAGCACTCACCACCAAGGCAGCAGCTGACAAGAGACGACATGGTCAGGTTACCAGCTGCTCATCTGAGAACCAGAGCTTACCACTGGTGTATCGGGTAGCCTGGAGATGTCGGAAATCATCCTGGAGATGTCGGAAATCATTCATTGTGACGTCCATCGGGAGGGAATCGGAAAGACAGGCAAGCCATTAGTATGTATAACAGGGCCATAGCTCTAAAGATGCGCCAAAAGATGCGCCTAGCGCCGTAGAATGCCATACAAGCCTTCTTGCAATGATGATCACAAGTATGTGATGTGGTTTGGGTCACCGAATGTATTCTCGTCCGAGAAGACACGTTACCCTGGGAGTATCCATTCATTCGTCGGGTTTCAGGTTCACCTGACGAGGCGATGCGAAGCTGGTACGCGCTTCAACAGGCCAAAAATGCAGGTCGGATCCTTTGTGAGTGTGAGTCACCATATGTTGCGGGTGATTCCCTCGACCGCAAGGTGGCGCGAGGAAGATCCGAGGTTTATTTTTGGACCTACTGCTATGCCATCCACGCTGTCCTGGTGCGGATTAAGCACCCTTAGAGCATCTCGAATAGCCTTTCGTAGACCGGGTGGAGTATGCACCACGAGCATCGCGACGCGTCGCGGGTTGTCTTAGCTCTGACGTGGGCGCGCGTGTCGTTGAGAGGCCCCTTCTGTTCAGAGGCACGGATCCGAATCCTCCGAGATGGGCGCCTCCGGAGGCATCGCGATGAATGAGAGAGAAATAACGCGGGAGTAGCGCGCTTGCCGTCTGGGGCGCCCAGAGCTGCTGTTGCTATGGACCTATGTCCGGATTCGTCTTGCGGTGCCACAGCGCTGGTGCTGTCCGGGGCGCACTCTGAGCGTAAGACCCTGTCAATCAGAGTCGAGGTCATCATGCGGCAGTTGCGGATTCGAGGCATGAGCTCCTGGGGCCTCCAAGACCAACCAAAAGACCGTAAGGTAATCCATTGCATCCATTAGCATAGGGTATTGGCATAAGGAATCCGAGGCGCGAGTGTAACGTCACCATGGTATAACATCATGAAGGCCCCGCCCTTCACTTCGACACCTGCTCGAGCCTCCTCAGCACCGCGTCCACCCGGTCCTCGAGGCCTTTCACATTCTTCGCGACGACGTCCTTGTTTTCCTCCAGACTCTTCTCGACCGTGCCCACCGCGCGACTCAGGTCCTCGAGCGCCTCCCGCGTCCGCCGCTGCTCCGCCTCGAGCCCGTCCAGCGTCCCCTGAAACTCGGCCGCGCTCGCGTGCAGGTGGGAGAGCGTGCGGAGGCGGGTGAGGATGTGCGGGATGTGCGGGAGCGCGGGCCCGAGGCGGGCGAGGAGCGGCGCGAGCTGGTCCGCGAGGGGCGCCGGGCCTGATGGCGCAGAGGAGGCGGGCGCGGACGCGGGGGTGGTGGACGAAGGGGCGTGCCCGGACTGCCGCCGGGCGGGCTCGCGCTCGCGATGCGACTGCGATTGGGACTGTGAGACGCGGTCGAGGTCGGTGAGGAGGAGCTTGAGCCGGCGCGAGATCTGGTCAATGTGGCGCGGTTGGGCGAGGATCGTGAGTTGCGTGTTGAGGCGCGTGAGGAGGGGTAGCAGAGGGGGCGGGAGCGGAGAGGTCTGAAGATATACGACCGTCAATATACCATGTCGAGTGATAGGATGAATGTGAGCTTGCCGTACCTCGTCCAGCGCGGTGCTCGACGACCCGACGATCTCTTCGAGCTCTCCGACGCGTCTGTCCATCTCAGCGATGCTCCTCACGTCCGGCGCATCCTGTTTCTTCTCCCCCTCCATTTCCTTCTTCTCCACGTCGTCTTTCCCGTTTACGAGGTGGTGTTCGTGCCCGTTCGCCTCGCCCGTGACCACGCTGACGAGCTTGCCCCGGCCCTCTTTCTTCGTCCGTATCTTCTCCAATCGGCCGCGGACGTCAACGAGCTCGCGAATGAGCTCGCCCGGGTCGACGTTGTCCTCTTCCCTCTCTTTGTGCAGCTGCGGATTCGACGGGTCGGCGAGTTCGGCCTCGAGCGACGCGAGCTCGGCCTGGAGCATCCGTAGACGCTGAGATATCGGCGGCGTGTGGGTATGCTGCGTGGGCGAGGTGGGCGAGGGCGGAAACGTGTACTGTGTCCGCGGTCGGTGTTGTTCTGGAAAGCAGACGTTCAATTCATGGACCATCTGGAACAACACGACGCATTTATCACGTACCTCGCCGCTTTTCTGCGCGCTTGAACTTGCGCGTAGCCTCCTCGACGTCGAAGCTGTTGTTGTCGAACTCATCCGTGCCGTTGGCTCCGGTCTTGATCCTCAAGGAGGGCCGTGAAGGGCCCTCATCGTCGCTGGAGTCACCTCTCTACCCCAACCAATAGATCAGGTGTCGTCGGAGTACAGGAACGCAACGCAACTCACGTTGCCTCCCGCGGATGGAAAGGTGTCCTCGGTCTCGTAAACGTCTGGCGCAGTGTCCTGGTGGAATGGCCTATGTAGCTGCAGTCGATTCCCTGTACAGTTCGACGTACAATGTCCGGCAAGTTCGCGTATTTGTTGACGCTCATCGTCGAAGATGCGATGAAGCAGCGTTGACGGGATAGCGTCGTTGTCGAAGTGCCCAGGACGCGTCTGAACGCCGTCGCGACGCAATGTGTATGAAGATATGAAGGAGGAAAAAGTCGTCACCTGAGCGATTCGAACACTCGCGGGCAAAGCCCAACCGCTACGCTACACAAATAGCAGGCGATCCCGTTAACCACTCCGGCAAAGTGACCTAGCCTCACCTTAGCACTACGATCCATCTAATCTTACGCTTGTCTCCCACTTCCAGGAGTGCGCCGTCGGCCGCAGCTCCTGCTCGAGCACATGCACTCATGCTGATATGGTCCTTCTCATGCGTTATGTTTGTTATCACCCAGCGGGACTCAAATCGAACGCTCCTTAGCTGGAACGTCCACCATCTCACAGGCTCTCTGCGTCCTCATCGGCCATGACTTCGTACTCGCCATCCGAGAAGGACGCGCTGCTCGCGCCTAAAGCGCCCCCGAACTGGAAGAAGAAGTACACGCTCGTCATCCATGGCGGCGCAGGGACGATGTCGCGCGAGAGCGCGACGCCCGAGCGACAGGCGCTCTACAGGGCCGCTCTCAAGAAGGCGCTGCGGTCGGGATACGACGTCCTGCGCGATGGCGGCGAGGCGATGGACGCCGTCGTCGCGGCCGTAACGGTCATGGAAGGTACACAGTATACGGTGCGCGGTCGTAACGGCATTTAACCGAGACACCATCTCCGCGACAGATTGCCCGCTCTTCAACGCGGCCCACGGCGCCGTCTTCAACGTGGCGGGCAAGAACGAGCTCGAGGCGTCGCTGATGCTCTCCACGCCGCCCTCCTCCGAATCGCATCCCGCCGTCCCGGCCTCCCGCCGCGGCGCGTCCGCAACGCTCCTCACCCGCGCGCGCAACCCGTCGCAGCTCGTGCGCGCGCTCTACCTCGCGCCGGCCGACGCCGTGCACCCCTTCCTCTCCGCGTCCACCGCGGAGGACATCGGCGCGCGCCACGGCGCGACGCTCGTCGACCCGAGCTACTTCTGGACGAAGAACCGGTGGCTCGAGCACCGCCGCGGGCTCGGGCTCCCGGACGAGCCGTTCCCGCCCCACTCTCCCTCGAGCTCCTCCCCCGTCCCGGATAAGGAGAAGGAGCAGGAGAAGGGCGAGTGGGATGTAGAAGAGGAGCTCGAGCTGAACCTCGATGTCATGCCCACGGGGACCGTCGGCGCGGTCGCGCTCGACGTACGCGGGTGCATCGCCGCGTGCACGTCCACCGGCGGGCGCACGAACAAGCTCGTCGGCCGCATCGGCGACACGCCGCACAAGGGTTCCGGGTACTGGGCCGAAGAGTGGAAGGTGAAGGGTTGGATCCGCAAGAAGCTGCGCAAGATCCACGGGAAGAGCTCCAAGAAGGCCGTGGGCGTCTCGGGCACCGGCGACGGAGACGTAAGGCATCGTTTCTTGTCCTCTTAGCGTGGCCGGAAACGAGCCGCTCATTCGTTCCCTTGCAACAGTACTTCATTCGTCAGGCGACGGCGTCGACGATAGCGCGCCGGATGCAATTCCTCAACGAATCAGTGGACAAGGCTGCTCGTCACGCTGTGGAAGACCTCAGAAAAGACGGCGGCATCGGTGGCGTCATCGCATTGGATGAAGAAGGCAACGTCGCCATGCCACTCAACTGCTCAGGCATGTACCGCGGCATCATTCGCGAAGATGGAGTACCGAAGGCGGCCATCTTCGACGACGAAGAGCTTTCGTAGATCGAATCGGCGCCGTGCTGTGGAATAGTCATGTGCAGGAAAAGATGTTATACAGCCATTACAAGAGCATACATACGTCCTTGCATTCGTGGGCGAGAACAGGAAAGCAAAAGAAGAGACCACTGGGTATCTACGTGCCCGCGTTTTTGACAGCTGCTTTGAGCCTCTGTCGTAGCCTGCTGGCCGAGTCGTTTTCGCCCTCCTTGTCTTTCGGTGACGGAATCACCGTCACGTTTTCGCCCTGCCCTGCCGTGGCGGTCGTCGGAGAAGCAGTTACAGCCGAGCTACCTGCGAGCGCGGAAGGATTTGACGTGGCCAGCTGCGTCAGAAGGCGGGTAGGAGAGGGTGGCGCTTGAGGTTTTTGGGGTGCGAGTGCAGGCGCCCTTGACGAGACCTCGTCGTCCACGACCTCGATTTCTTCGCGGAGGACGGCGATGCGCGTCCACCGTCTGTACCGCGTATACTGTATACGATGCAGCGGTCAGTCCTAGAGCTCGTCATCCAGGTGGTCGTGTCGGTCACCTTGCCTAAACCACCCTTCGGGCTCGCTCCTTCCCACTTATTATCCCCATACACCCACCCGTCCGGGTCCGTCACCGGATCCTCGCCGTCCATATCCCCACTCCCGTCCTTATGTCCCTGCCCCTCCTTCTCCCTCGCCTCCCTCTCCGCGTCTTCCTTCTCCTTTTCCTTGATCTCCCCCAGCGGCACGTCCTTGTCTGCGCTCGCGCTGCGGATATGCCCGCTCGCCCACCCGGCGCTGACCTTGCTCGCCGCCCTCGCGAGCGCCGTCTTGCCCGCGCTTCCGGGCGCCGTCGGCGACATGCTCTCGTCCGGCGGGTGCCTTTCGACGCGCGCCGTCCTGCCCGCCGCCGGGTCCGTCTTCACGCACAGCCGCCACTCCGGCTCCTCCCACGTCCAGAACGCGGTGCGCTTCAGCCTCTTGCGCGGGCCACCTGCTTGATTCTCCTTGCCTTTGCCTTTGCCTTTGCCTTTGCCGCTGCTAAAGGAGGAGGAGGAGGGGAAGGGGAGGGGCATGTAGACCGTCGTGGGCGCGGGGAGCGAGAACGCGGCGGGCGGGGTGACGGGGGCGAGAGCCGGCGGAGCTGAGCACCACGACGGGCGCTCGCCGGGGAGCAGCGCGGCCGTCCAGTCGAGGCCCATCCACCACCGCTGGTTCTCGTACACGGTGAACAGGAACCGCACGCTGTCGCCCTCCTTCTTCTGCGGGCCGCCCTGCGAGAGCGCGGACAGGGACCGCGTTTGGGGCGAGAGGATATGTGGGGGGAGGGGTTCTCCGGAGAGGAGGGACCAGAGCTTGTAGCAGGTCCAGCGGAGGTACGCGCTCCGCCAGAGCGTGTGGCGGAGACGGTGCGCCCAGGGGGCGCGCCAGGTGAGGACGATCGTGCCGGAGATGCCGACGAGGACGCGAAGGCGGACGAAGTATGTGAGGACGAGCCAGGGGAGAGACAGAATCAAGGCGGCGCGGAATGATTTGGATAGAGGGGTCGGTTGGGTGGTCGACGGGGTGGGAGATGGTGAGGGTATGTAGGCGTAGATGGCAGCCAGGTCGGCGACGATCGCCTGCAACGTCTGCTCGGATGCAACAGGTGCCACGGTTTCATGTCGTGGTCGCCATCGTCTGAGCGCGACGACGGTGCACAACGCCAACGGGAGTAAATATCTGCGATTTCCGGGTCAGGTCGAGGGGGACCCATAAACAGACTGATTCTTACCTTATTATTGGGATCGACAGCAAGCATACGCCCCACCACCCAAAAACAAGCAGCCAGCTCTGGTCCCATGTCGTCCTCCAGCTTACGAGCTCGGCGCCGTACCGCACCCGCGCGATCCAGGGACTGAGACCGACCAATACGGTCGTGAGCGGCGCCGGAACCGTGCTCACGAAGTCCAGCAACGTTGGGGGCGACGAGTGCGCTCCGGGGGACACGCTGAGCGCTGCCATCGCCGTCGTCGATGGAAAGGAAAGAGGCTCAAGATGGTCGACCGAGGCGAAGGCGCATGACGATTCGCCTGCGGGCGCGCGACTTCGTCACCTCGGCTGGCAGCGCGTTCATTTTCACGTGTACGCATGTCGCCGCAGAAGACCGGCTGGTCATGCACGGCCAGACGATCGCGTTTGCTGCTACACCTTAATGGAGACGTTCGCGAAGTCTATCAAGTTCTTCGACAGCGTATCGCAGTTATTGCATGCATTGAAAGATGCGGTAGAAGGCGCGCTCGATTGATCCTGGTTGCCTTTCGTCTCTGACTGACACGACGTCTGCACTGCCGTTAATGTAGGACATCAAGCACTCTGGTTCTCCGGATCACTTCACAGGGACATTAGCCCAAGCAATATCCTCATCGTGGAAGACGACCCGAGCGAAGAAGGCGCAGGCTTCCTCATCGACCTCGAACATGGCAAGATCCTCGACGACTTCGCGCCGCTGCCTTCGCCTTGCAAAACCCAGCGAGAGTGCCTGAGGCTGATGGATTGGTATGATGACGATCCGGACGTGAAAATTTCGTTCGAGCAGACCGAAGATTTGCTCAGTCGATATCAGGACCGTCACACAGCGTCCCTTCACATTGAGATGGCCCACATAAGAGGCCTGAGCGCGGTAATGACGAAAGGGATTGCACGTCTAGCATTCACTGACAGACTACCAACAGATCCGTAAGGACTTCATTACACCGAAAGTGAGCTCGCCTCGTTTGTCTATGTGATTCGTGGGTTGACGTCCTCATGCTAGCAACAATACTTCAATGTCGGGAATACGGTAGCAGCCAGCAAATCACGGACGGTCTGTCGGATGGTAGTGGATCGTATCCCTTCTAATGCGCACACATAGGGTACGAAGGCTTTCATGAGTGGCGAGCTTCTGTCGCAACATCCGTACGCACACAGTACACATAACCGTCCCGGATGCGGCGCCCACGACGTCCTTCACGATGTGGAATCTTTCTTCTGGGTTCTCGTCTACCTCGTCATTACTCGAGAAGGTCACGGAGGACATCGTCGCCCTGAATTACTCACAAGTACTCCCTCTGTGGAAGAGGAGACCATCCAGAACGTGACATACTGCCTGTTTGACGCTGCCGACGAGCTCACTCTGTGCGACAACAAGAACGAGTTGTTCTTGCAGCCCGAGGATTTCAAGATCCATATCCTCCCGATGTTGAACCCGAGGCTAGAGTCGAAGGACGTCCTGGCTGAATTGGTTGAGAACTGGTGGAAACTCCTCGTCCTCACATATTTAACGTACGATCTTTACACTCCCGGTGTCATTCACGATCAGGTTTTGGCCCTTCTCCGTACTGTGATCGACAAGATCGCTGCAGTGCCTGGAGGGTGTGGTCCTCGCTACCCGCAGACAGAAACGACAACATGGGAGTCCAGCCCAAGCAAGCGTGTCAACGATAGTCCGGCCAAGCCTGCCACATCCGAACCTCGACGCGAAGAGTCCCCGAGCCCCGCTCGCAAGAGGACGAAGATGGGCCAGAGCTCCTCGCCTTCTTTGATGGGTTGATGACTTTTTGTGCGTGTTCGTCGCCCTTCGGTGAACGTCCAGTCTAACGGAGCCTTGGATAGAGTGCCCTGGACCGTTTTGAGCGCGGCACCCTACCTCGCGCGTGCTCTGCAATGCCCACATCTCTCGCGTTTCGCTCACTCTTTTTGCTCTCGTGCTTTCGCTACCTCGTGAATCCGCCTCCGGATGGCCATACATTCCCTGCGGGGGCTTCCATGACGCGGACCTGGCGCACACTCGCGCATGTACTTTATCGAATATCGATGATACCTCGTTGTCTGCTGAAGCACCGATGTCATTTCATAACGTGATGTCGGAACGTTATCCGTGTTTTGTCGGTTACTCCAGTTGATGTTAAGATTGATTCCATGTAACGTCGTTAGTGTCTGATTCTACAAGGCTTTAGCCATTGTTCCGTTTGTGCTTGCCACTCCGCGTTCTCCACGTGGCCTTGCCCCCCTTGTGCTTCGACACCGAGTCTCAGACACAGGACAGTATCGCTCGACGCGGCGGCGACACACCCCATACATTGGACCAGCACTCCCAAGAACGGCGCTCCAACGTTGGACTATATGAAGACCGTATACATAATAGCTGCTGCATGAACTCCTGGATAATTACTGCTCACCTGACGAACACATCCCAATGTACGAACTGATGGCGACGCAAGGCTTTGCTATCCAGAGATTCGGGAATGTTCCTCGGCTCTTGGACGGGATACGCGATGCTATAAGAGGTGAGAAACCCTTCGGTAAGCATGCACCTGAGCAGTGAACGATGGTCTCCAGCCTTCAGGCAATAGTTGACATCGGCGCTATGAATGTACAAACCAACGTCAGTCTCACGCTCCTGGACGACGAATCATACCTGCTCTCACCACTGTCAACGGTATGCTAAAGTTGTATATGACCCACTGAGAGCTGAATCAGATCATCGCAGGCGCCGCGATCTCTGAGCGCTCGGTGGTTGACCGCACATACATATGTGCGACATATACAGCTGTAAGCGGCGGATGCGGCGTCTCTCTTTCCATGAAGCTGAAGACCGGGAGAACGCCTCCTGGGCGGCTCCGTTACGAGTTGTTCCACACCAAATGGCCGGGTGACGTACTCCAAATCACGGCGGTGGTGGATGTTGGGCGCTTGCGACAGGATCGATGCGAGCCGGTCGTGCTCAGGGTGATCGGAGAGCGCATCACCTTCGAGTGAGTACCAACGTCCGCACGCGCCGTGCATCCCGTCCCTTATAATGTTACCACGGCAGTACGATCATGCTCAGCGATGGCGAACCACCTAGGTGCCACGTGGTATCGAATTCGTGCCCAATCATCTGCTATGAGCGCGTTTTATGGGACGCCTACCGCGACGCCGACGAGTCGCGACAACAACCGGAGATCACGGGCATACATCATCGGCTAGAACTCCTGATCCCCTTGCATGCCCCGTTCACGTCGCCGCCCAGCACGGATCCGCACGCAAGCATCGTTCGATACTACCTCGAGCTGGAATGCGCGTGGTCGCACCGTGCCCTCTTCAGGTTCTTCCGTCCGCGACATCACCTTGAGCGCCATCCTGTCACCGTCGTCCCGCGCTGCAGACCGCTCTCAGCGCCCGACGCTGCGTCGCAACGCTCACCACCGGGAACGCCACCGCTGTGGCGCGCATACACCCTGTCGAGGAACATTCAAACGCGGTCATCTCATTGGGGCAAGTGTGCGCACGTGGAGGTGCGTGTAGGGGCGTATCGTGCTCCTCGTTCCGTCCCGATCACTGGTCCTGAGCGCATACATTGCTAGGTTCGGCTTCCTGACGTTCCCGCGCTTCCTATGGAAGTCGATATTCCGCTCATGCTCTGCATGACAATGCGGTCCACGTTTGTCGACGTTCGTCGTATTCTGGATGGCGGGGCCGGACTATTGCAGAAGCTCCCTGGACCACCGCGGGACGCATATGCCGTCACTATCCAACTCGTCCGCGCCGTAAGCGTGTGCTTCGCTGGCCATAGAAAGCTTATCCCAATGCCTACGCGGAAGGATGACGTGCAGTGCACTGTTTATCCCCTCAGCCTGCACGTCAATGAGCCCGTCTGGGAGCCGCTTGCGCTGCCCTGCGACTCGTCCATTCGCGGAATGCGGGCTCTATGGCCCTGGATGCAAGACGCGGAGCGCGCAGGGGCAGGAGCGAAACGTGGCGTGCGGTCTGCACAATTTGCGGCGCGATTGCGGCTCTCGGTCCCTGTCGGCGCTCTGACCCGGCGAAGACCGCACGAGTCAGCTTCGGTGGGTGGGCGTGGCTCATCTTTTCCGTCTCCTCGTGGTCGAACCCTGATGACTGACTGCTGAGGCGGCCAGTACTTCCTCTACGTTCATATACCGCTTTCGGGGTTCGAACGCGGCGTCAAGGTTTACGTCCCTGTCAAGTTGGCCTCGCATTAAGCCAGTGCCTCGATCGCTGTGCTTGCGATACAGAGATCTGAAACAAACATCGCGCTTCTCCTGAATCGCATGTCGTGATATTGAGGTGACGGGGATTAGAATTTGGACCGTACGGTTCGCGAACTTGTTTGAACACACGAGCTCCCTGCTCGTCTCTGGGAGAAATTTTCCCGGCGTGTTCCCGTACGTGACAAGAATCGTGCGGCACCTGACGCCGATAGGTGCGATTCGGCGCACTCAGGGCATGAAACAGCGATTGCCACGGGCTGTTGTACACCACATAGTTATGTAGCACAGTTGCGCAATACTCACGGTACGATCGCACACAGAGGGTATATCTGCCTATCCATATCCCAAGCTACGCTCCCCACTCGTCTCCGGTGTACCACAGCTTTGCCGCTTGCTAACGAAAACATTCACACCAAAGCCAATGCAAGAAAGGGCCTCAGGATCGTTGCCCGGGGTGACAGTGACGGATGCCTCATCCCCGAGTAGCGGGGCTCAGGCTCAGGTTCACCCTGCAATACCTGGGATGAGTGGTGTCTCCCCGGTCAACGATCCAGCTGAGGAAACGCCCATGGACGAGGATGAAACCTCGGCCGATGTCCTTCCTCTAACGTCTTCACCAACTGATCTGCCACCCGCATGCAGCTCAGACCAGACAGTCCGGCGCAACTCCAGGTTCCTTATACCAGATGGGAACCTGCAGATAATCGTAAGTCATCGTGCCATATGAAGTGTTATACTCACTTTCACTCGTATTGGATCACATACGGCTACTAGGTAGCAGGTACAGAATATCTGGTTCATCGCTCCATCTTTATGCGAGAATCCGAGTTCTTCAGAAGCCGCGTATGCACGCAGTGTTCGTCTTCACATGCCGTTCCGGTTATCTGCCTGTCGGACGTCGACTGCAACGACTTTGACCTGTTCTTGGACATCATCTACCCCAGGTGACGACCGCGCTCTACTGTTTCATGTTGCGTGAAGAGTTCTAACGCTGGTGATCTTTCAGGGATTACAATAAGCGCATGGCAGAAACCTTGGCAGATTGGACTGCGGTACTCCACCTGTCCGACATGTGGGGATTCAGGACCATCCGTGAGCTCGCCATGCGGAAGTGTTTTCCGCTTGCGCTGCCGGTGGACAAGATCGTGTTGGGGCGTCGATACGACATCAAGGGCTGGCTCAAGGATGCCTACGTAGCTATATGCCAGCGAGAGGAGCCGCTGACGCTGCAGGAGGGAAAGCGGCTTCACCTTGAAGACGTTATAGCCATATCCGAGGTACGGCAAAGCATACGGGATGCCAAGATGCTTGCTCCCGCAGAGACAGTGGTCTCCACCGTCGTCCGCGCATTTTCCTCTCGACTACCGGCCGAGGAAAGCTCCGAGCCGGCCCCTTCGACGTCCGTTCCACGCGAGAATGAAGCAGGGGATTCGAAGAAATCGACGAAGGCCAAGGACCTAAGGAGGCGGTGATCGAGCGAGCATCCGGCGATGAATATATCGTCTATCGTGAGGTGAGTTCAGCCTTACTGTGGCTTGATTTTCTTGAAAAGGTCGAACTCAGCACGCCATCAATGTGCCGAACCTGTTACGGGATCCTCGGGATGTTGTGAGCGAGGGGAAGCACGCGAGAATAGATGTGAGGTTGGGTGCCCCCCAACTTAACTGGTCGAGAGAGCAGAGTCATTGGGAGATGACCGCCCGCCGTGGCCTCGAGTTCAGGCTGTAAGTCTAGATGAAGCATGGGTATAATCATGCCCGATTCAGCGATCCAATTCATGAATTAAGCGCACAGTGCGGTATCTACCAGCGCAGACTCGTTGCGAGGCGTCGGCCATCTTAAGCTTGCGCTCGAGCAGCGTCGATCGAGGGTACCCTCAGCATTAGTTGCCCTGTTAAGCGTCGCTTTGCTCCCGTATGCATCCGCACCGCCGCCGCCGTACGTCTTGAACGCCACATCAAACGAACACAGAAAACCTATAGAATAGCCATATCCAAAGCAGACCCGAAGCCGAGAAGCTGGCTGAACTGGGACAACAATCGGAGAAAATGGGCATGCATCATCATCAACTGAGGGTGCCGCCCACGTCGCCGCCTAGCAAGGGCCCGCACTGGTCGAGCCTCAATGACTGACTGTGAAGGCGATCAGTATTTTCTGTTCGTTCATACCGCTGTTGGGGTACGAGCACGGCGTCTATCGGTGAGGGGTTGTTGGGACCGATACCCATGGATATACAACAGTAATGGAGGAACTTACGCCCGCATTCCCTCCACTGAGGCCGACTTGTCCACGAATGGGTGAGATGTTTGAATAGGTCGAAGTTCCGACTTGACCGGTTATCATCCAAGTGACATGCTTCTTCCGAGACTGTGCGCCTCATCGCGAGCATGGCGGCACCTTGTTCCTTCCGCGGTACCTCAAGCAGTCGCCTTGCATCAAGGCATCACCAAAATGCCCCTGCTGGTGAATGACACAGCGATGGGTATCATGAGGACGATATGTGATATGCGGCACCCGCGAAGTTCTTCTCTATCGAGGAACAGGGACGATCAACACTTTGGCACTATCTGCGTCGAGTGTTTGTGTTTGGACCACACGGGGTCAAGGATCGCCGTTATGCTCGCAGCCACCACCGCGCGGGCCTGAGCTGCATAAAGGCCGGCCTATTCGATGTCCGTATCGCAGCAACCCAGACACCAGCGATCACCACCTCCTAGCCGAAAATGCAGAAGTCGCCCACCCTCATCGCAGCAGGAGTCCTCGCTCTCGCTACCGCTGTCTTCGCCCAGTCATCCGTCTGCCCAAGCAGCAACCCTCTCAACTTCTGCTGCCTCTCCTTCGGTCACTTCTCCGACAACTATGCCGTTTGGCATAACATGTGCGGCGTCGACCTGCCAAACAGTACCACCGTTGGTAGCTTCTGCGAGCAGTCAAATGTAGGGCTCGGAGGATGGTACGTCGAATCTCACTTTAGAACTCGGTAGCAAGACGTGATCCTCATACTGGAACCACAGTGACGGATGGATCCATTTGTGCTGCGAAAGCGAAGCGAGCTTGGGTGAGTCTTCGATGATTAAGTTTTCGCGGAGGTCTCACATACACGAAATCAAGTTTCTTGCAGTGGTGGAGTGGACGGTCCTCTTGCTGTCAACTGCGTCGAGATCGAGTAAGGCGTAGATGCCGGCCGATCTCGTACACAACATGCGCAGGTGACACGATATATATGGCGACGATCCGGAGTGGGATGCAACGAGCGATGGATATGCAGAATATGTAGTGTGTCGATAAACAGTGCTATAAATCATGTACGCCTTAGCACTCTCTCGATGAAGGCTGAAGAGATGTGTCGGATCCGACTTGTCCAGCTCTTTGATCTTCTCATCTGTATCGAGGAAGGTCTGTCGGAGGACATCGAGTAAGGGTTCGTGTGGAAGTTGGTGCATGTTCTGTAGCAACACCTGCAAGAGGCGGGTGCATCAGCGTTTCCAAAAGAACAGCGGTGTAAGGTGTAAAAGAGGAGTAGCTATGTCGGTCTCACCTCGTGCAAATGTTCGCCGCAATATCTGGCGACGTCGATGCTGCCGCCGTGACCGTCGTAGACGGCGAAGAACCCCTGCCCGTGTATCCCACCGAAGTCGGGGACGATCGCGTGCATATCTTCCATAGTCGGGCGATGACCCTGCTCCGAGTGCGCGTGCGCCTGCAGCAGCCAAGTATGAGGCTGCTCGGTCATCTGAAGCTTTTTCAGTCATACACGGTGGGATTCAGTAAGGGTACCTACGGCAGGGTCAGGGGTCGCGATGGTTTTCGGTGGCCCAGTTCGCCGGGACGCCCACAAGCGGCTATGGAAGGACTCGGGAACAGGATGTGATCGGATATCGTGGGTCATTTTGCTTGGGATGTTGATGAAGGGGTGTTTGTCGCGAAGGATGCCGTTGGGATATTGGCAGGGGTGAACTAAAAGCGCTCGTCTTATATCTTCAAGAAAAGTGCCACACAGGCAAATGGCTTTGTCCTGCAAGTGAGATCCACGACAGTGCTGGCCGCAATGAGCTGTACAGCCATGCTCATAAGTACGATATCCAGTGACTCCATATCGAGAATACTGTGGCATTGTAGACATACCATCGTGCTGTCCGATCGACAAGTTAACACAACCACATGCGACCCCGCACCGCGGCGATCCTCAACAATACAACGGCGCACGCTAATTAGACAAGCAGCTGACAACCTCCCCGCCACATCCCTGCTCAAATGTACGCGTCCAGCGCTAGTGCCGAGCGTCAAGAGACACTCAGAGTTTTCCTGTCTTTGCGATCTTAACGCCAACGGCCAAATTTGAACGCAGCTCGGGGCAGTGCGTGCAGCGTGAGGACAGCTTCGGAGTCCGTACAAGTGGCCGAGGATGGCACAAAGAACGCCCAGCTTTTTTGCGCAGCAAATACGGACATCACGGCCCCAAGGACGTATGGTTTTCTTTGTGCGTGTTCGTGTCTGAGAAACGAATCGTCAGCTCTAGGCCTATCATCATAAGATTCGAGCGCCTTCTTTGCGAAGAGGGAGGTCTGTGCACCGGGACTTGACCAAAGGAGCCAATCCACCTTCCGTGAAGTCGAGCAACACAGTTATTCCGCATCCGCTCTCTCCTGGTATAAGAGCTCGCTGGATGCTCGTTATACGGCCAACTACATCTTCTCCTGATACATCCATCACCTCATTACTGCAAAGCAACCACAAACTTCCACATCTCAATCATCCCCTCATACTACCATGCGCTCCACTCTAATCGTCGCTGTCCATTTCGCCGGTACCTCCGTCTTCATCTACGAGAAGTCGGACGGTACGCTGGTCTTTTATGAAATCGTTCGCGGAGGTGTCCAGGTATGTGCCCTTGCCCCTTATTTTATCAACGACGAGCCTCATGAACGTTATATCGATCACGCAGGTGTCCACAAGCCCTTCGTCGTCGTCGCAAGTTAGAAAGGAGTTGCCCGCGGCCTCGGCCCGGCCCGTCGTTCTGCAGGCGGCGGTCACCGGTCTGAGGTCGGTCGAGAGGGGCTTGAAGAGGCTCGGTTCCATCGTCACTGGAAGGCGCAAGATGCCGGCGGTCGTCGAGATCAAGGTCGAGGTCGAGGTCGAGGTCGAGGAGGAGGTGCAGGAGATGGATTGGGATATGGTGCTCGGTGAGGGTCAAGCGACGGTGGAGAGGAGGAAGGCGATGAAGAAGGGCTTGATGGGGTCGAGGAAGGCTATGGTGGAGAGGAAGGGAGCGATTCGGCGGGCAGGTCAGGTTGATGTCTAAGGGCGTCGGAGTGGGGGCGCAGGTGGAACTTCGCACTGCACTTCTTTAGGTGAGTCTTCCTGTTTTTCGTTTTGATTCCTTGTCTGAATCTCGTTCGCAGATTTTACAGATTCCAGGGACCGGGGACCAGGCTTCAAGAGACTCCGATGCGCTGATATTTGTTTTCGGTAAGCCTCCCTTCATTTCCATACATATGATCATAGGCTAACCATTTACACAGGCTCTACTAATCGCCTTGCTCTTCTTTTCAGGTCTTGGCTTGGCTCGGTTTCGGCTCCGGTTTCTAGCTTCGGTCTCTTGCGCTGGTCGCAAGGGGGCGCGAGGTTCGAGGGGTTGGAGGTGCGCGGATATCGTTTGTGCACGGATGATGTTCGCGGTATCTTTGACTCTCGGCCCTCGTGCCCCCGGAGAGCGCGCGCCCGATTGCGAACACAGTCGGGCGCGTGCATCTCACCCCAACTCCCTCACTGACACACATCTCTCTAGGTGCCGAACGCGCTTTACTGAATATTGAGTTTTTCTTAGGAATTTCAAGTTCGTTGTCGACGCTCCGGGATGGGTCTGGGTCGGGCAATGGCATGGAATGTTATAACAGCGTCATGTATCTCTCTGCGCTCAGTGTCTCCCGCATCATTGTATTCGCGAATTCGATGACATACCGTGGGCTAATTTCGTGCGACTGCCCGTGTCTTCTAGCGCGGGGCACATCGCGAGGACCTATCCATGGATTGTTGGTATGAACGGCCACGAGTGTATTGTCATGCATCCACAAAGGGAGATGATCATGTCGAAGGGTACATTGAACAGCGGCAGCGAGCAATGGAACCATTGATGTCACCAAGAAGACCGAAACGGTATATATGCAGAGAGAAATGATAAGGATAAGAGACAGAGAATCCGCGAAGCACTATGACGAAGAGTACGATGAGGTATGAGATACAAAATGTATCCGAAATGATTATGACGAGCTCCGCGTCTCGCCTTGCGCGTTCCTATGCAGCTAGATTTTCCTAAGGAGCCGCATGCCGTCATTTAGGCGGGATTCCACAGGTCGGAGAACAATATGCTGCCAATACGCAGTATGCTAACCCTTGAGCGTCGAAGTTGTAACCGGTCATGAAGAGTAGCTGAGACGGCGGCTAAGGCGAATTTAGCTGCCAACGAGTCGCCTTGCACTGGGATCAGGGAGCCAATGGACAGTGCAGGCTACGAGAGGTCAATCCTACGGTGCAATCTGGTATGAGCTTGTCATCGTGGGTACCACAAGCAAAAGATAGTCTTCGACTTGGCGCGAGATGAGACAAAACACGGGGGTCGTCAGGTGGTCGTACGATGTAAGATGCTAAAGACTCGCAGTAACGTGATCGACACAGTAATCGTGCATCGACGGCCGTCCTTTATCAGCCTCCGGAGACGGCAGCACGCGGAAGCAAGTTGAGCAAGTGAGAAGATCCCGCTTTCGCGGACGATGGAGGCAGATGCGAACCTAGATGGGGGCTGTACAACCCGTCGAACGTGATTTGCTCCCATCGTCACGCCACGCATCTCACTCAGCTTTATCTTGCGGTGCAACGATGCGCGTGTACCATCATGCTGAGATTCACAAGGGCGGTCGGCGTTACTCAAATACCTCGCCGACAATCTGCATCGATCATCATTCGTCTTGTTTCCTCCTCCGCCGCGGACGAACTCGAACACCAGAGACTCCTCATGGCCGACGTTACCCCCGCTAAGCAGCTCTTCTTGTCGTCTCCTCAATTCGCCGTCGTCGGCGCGTCGAAGGATCAGACGAAGTTCGGGACGAAGGTATGGAACTGTCACCGGAGATGGGAACTTCCATTGTAATTGAACGAGATCCGTCGTTTGTTGTGCCCATAATAGGTATTGCAATGGTATCAGGCCCGAAGCAAGCCGGTTACCCCTGTTCATCCCAAAGAGGCTGAGCTTGAGGGCTTACCGACCGTGAAGAGCATCGCGGAATTGCCTGCACCGGCCGAGACATCAATCAGCCTTGTGACCCCACCCAAGGTGATCAGTAACATTCTTCGGGATCGCACCTCCGTTCATCTTTGTGTCTTAATTCATCAGATCACCCTCGGGATTGTCCAAGAGGCAAAGAAACTCAACGTGCCTGCACTCTGGATCCAGCCGGGTGCTGATGATAACAGCGTTAGGCAATGGGTGGAGGAGAATGGCTTGTCCGAAAAGGTCGTTTACGGATGCGTGTTAGTTGAAGGCGACAGGGTGTTGCAGAGCCTCTGAGCCTCGACTACGGACGCAACGTTCTTTCTTACCCGGAGGTGCGTGCGCTATTACGGTGCACCATCTCCTGGATCGTTGACGTGCAATGCCAAGCTAGATTTAGATATAGACGAATGTTTTAAATCACATTTTTACTGCGGACTTTGCTTTCTCTGCGCAACACCGCGCGAGTGTTGGCCGCATGTTCTGTCGATGATGACGCCCGTTCCAATCGGGAGTAGCGTCAGTGCGTGGATCCGAGGCATGCTACCCGTTCGTCGTGACTTTCTATGCGCTCGATATTAGGCGGCCATTGGGCGGACATAAGCTGATTGAATCGATAGGCACTGATCAGGATGAAACGGTACTCCGTCGTTCTATAGCTGTCCATCGCAAAGGGGCGAATCGGACACTACCGAGTTATACTGGCGGATCGCTCGCTGTGCAGTGCATCTACAGCACATGGCCGGTGGGGTGTGTCTCGCCCGTTCGCACCCTTCTCCTGAAACCTCAGCAACTAACCCCGTCATTCACCAGCAGGAACCTGTTTCGAATTCTCCTACCTTCCTTGGCCGGCTCCAACGTGCCATCTTACGTGGACTGAGCCCACCGGTCCCAATACTGCCCGCTTACCGCGGGTAATTGACCGTAACCTTCGCCCAAGCTTCGCTTGGGCTCAGGACCCTGCATCCGATATAGTTTGTGGGATCGTCTCTGACTTCCATGGCATGTGGCCATTGGGTCCGGCAGTTCAGTATAGGCTACCCCCAAGACCCAGGCCGTTCGGCAGTGGCATCCAGAGACGTCCGAAAGGAGGCGGTGGGATTTTATCTCGGCGTACGAGGCATTCGCATGTTATCTGATGCACAGTTTCGCAACACGTCGCCGCCGCACCTTAAGCTTGACTCGTGGTGCGTCTTCCCAAACTCCGTTGGAGAGTTCAATCCGCTGTCGTCGTCGTCTCCTCGTGTTTTAGCTGAAAGAATCTCCGAGACGTCATTGTTAATGACCGCTGTTCGGTTCGCATGCCCCCCGGGTTGCCATTCACCGGGACAAGGCGAGGGCATGGAGCGGGACGTGGCTGGGACACAGTTCGAGGGTGACCAAGCAGCCTGGCGCCATCGGGGCGGGCCCGATCTGAACACCGTGCCCTGCATCCGGCAGGGACTGTCGGGGAACGCTTCGAACGCCATCACCTCATTGTTCTCGGCATCTTGTGCCCTCTCCCACCCCTCCTCGCGCGGGGAACGAGGCAGAGATCCGGGTCCGAGATGGCTCGCAGCAAAGCGCGCGTGTCGGAGTATCCTCGTTACCAGTCCCGGCCTTGCAGCCCAAGCGGGTCCCACTCGTGTTGCCAGTGAATTTACGGGCTTTGCTCGCGCGCGCATTCGTGCCTCATTGTCCTCGGCAATTAGGCATTGCAGCGCGTTCTCCTTCCGCGGCACGTCCGAATGGGGGCTGAAATGCTCATAGCCGGCCGTGGTCCATGCCAATCACGCATTGTCCTCCCGTCTGGGTCCCGGTCGTCCGTCCTTCACATTTCCTTTTCGGGCGACGAAGTGCAGCAAAGCGTTCTCATCTCGTTCTATCGTACGTCGAGATTCTCCTGTTTCCTGGCCATGTCATGTGTCTGCGATACATTGGTGGCCGGCGCGCGCCTTGTCTATTTCATACCGTGTCCCTTTCGAGCTACTTATAAGGGGCCGGGACCTCCGTAGCCCCTTTATTGAAGACTCCCCTCATGCTCGTACGTTCTGCGTCTTCCCCTTGTCTATCGACGATGCATGCTGAATGACGCCTGCGTTGATCAAGCGTATACACATCCTCGCTATGACCACCGATGCATCCTCCGCGCGCTCCTCCCCCGCGTCGAAATCACCAAAATTCACAGCCCAGTTATCCGAGGCCCTGACGCCTGGGAAGGCGATAGCAGAAGCCTGGCGCAAAGAGAGCGCGGAGTCGAAAATGCGGTGGAAGGAGGCCGACGCTGAAATGCTCACCTCGTATTTGAATTGGTCGAACGCAGATGGGAGGAGGCGACGTCGAGGAGCGAAGATGTGAGAGGACGGCATCGTCACGGCAAGGCCCAGTGCCACGCGAGCGCAAACCTTATTTATATATTTATCCTGCATTTGTTGTACACTCTCGCACACGCCTCTCTTACAGCCAGCGTCGGCCGACGCGCTAATTGCAATTGCTTGACCCGCCCCGTCGTCGTCGTCGTTCACCAGCCGTTCTGATTTGTCGGCAAACACGCAGCCCAACATGAACAAGACAGTCCAGGACTTGACCGCCGGTACTGCGGGTGGCATTGCCCAGGTCTGTGTGGGCTTTAGTCGTGCGTTGGATGGTCGATGAACAAAGCGCGCACTCCAGGTGCTTGTGGGGCAGCCTTTCGATATCGTCAAAGTGGTGAGCAGATCACGTCGCACGTCATGCGAGTGGTTGTTGACGCGACCCGTGTCATGCAGCGCATGCAAACGTCGGCTAAGGGGACGTACACCGGCATGATGGACTGCGCCGGGCAAATCTTCAAGAACGAAGGACCATTGGCGTTCTACAAGGTTCGTGCTCGCTGCTGTTTCCTTCCTTTCGTCCCACTGGCCATCTGACGGCGGGCGTTTTCCCATATCTCACCTACAGGGAACGCTGACCCCGCTCCTAGGCATAGGCGTGTGCGTCTCCATCCAGTTCGGCGTGCTGGAGTACACGAAACGTTACTTTGGGCAACGGAACCGGGCGAATGGGACTGGGGGCAGCGATGGCATGACGCTTGGCGCTGGCCAGTTGTTCACGGCCGGAGTGCTCGCTGGGATAGCGAACGGTGTCGTCTCTGGACCAGTGGAGCACATCCGTATCCGTACGTCTTCCAGGTCTCAAAGATCCACGGGCTCGTCTCAATCTATCCTTTAGGCTTACAAACCCAGAGCGACAAGAATCGCGTGTATAACGGGCCGTTCGACGCCATGAAGAAGATATACGCGGCGCACGGCATCGCCGGAATCTACAAGGGTCAGGTTGCCACCCTCATCCGTGAAGCGTCCGGTTACGGCATCTATTTCCTGACATACGAGAAGCTCGTACAATGGGAGATGGCGAAGAAGGGCATCCGGCGAGACCAAATTAGCGCCGCGAACGCCGTCTTGTACGGTGCCGCTGCGGGGTACGCGGTAAGCAAGAGCGGGTTCTCGCTCGTGGTCCGTTCCCGCCCCTCATTGTTCTTATCTAGCTCTGGGCGATCATCTACCCGATAGACGTGATTAAATCGCGGATGCAGACCGATGGGTTCTCCCCGGCCACGGGGCAAAAGTACAAGTCTACAATGGACTGCGTGCGCACTGTATGGCGCGCGGAGGGCGTTCCCGCCTTTACTCGAGGACTCGGACCTACATTGATCCGGTTAGTAATTGCGCGACTATTATTGCCCGAACCCGTTCTAAAGACTGTATTGCTAGGTCTCCGTTCGCAAACGGCGCTACCTTCCTTGGGTTTGAATTGGCGAATCGCGCGCTCAACTCGTGGTCAGCCTCGTGAAGCCTTGTTAAATCTCGCTTCCTTGCTACGCGTTTGCTCGGATCGCATGCTATAGATTATGTTATATGCTCCTGTGCCATAATGTCAGTCCTACCAATATTACGCACCATAGAGCACTCACACGCACTTGGCGGCCTTGTCGTTCGGAGCTAAGTACTGTGCGTTACGCCATGGGGTTGTCTCGTCCCCTTTTATCGGGATTCGGCGCAAGTCTCGCAAGAGCCTGACTATCGGATAACCTTCTGCAGCCGGCATACCATATTTGGGGAGGCCGTGTCCAAACTAGGCGACACCTCTCAATGATGTGCCCGCCGAGATATTTGAGAGTCCAATTTTGTATACCAAGTTCTATATGGCGAGCCGGAGCCTAAACTAGGCGATACCTCCTGCCATGGGCCCCGCGGCAGTGTCATCGAAGTGCTCAAGGTTTGACATATTGACACCATGGCGTGTTGTTCAGACTTTCTGCGTGTATATAAGACGAGTCTCTTCACTCCCCCAATTCCCTTTCACCCACTGAGCACCGCTGTGTATGGATCCGCATCTCATAGGGATGAGACATGTCATCACCGCTTGACCAGGCACACTGCTATTTCGAGCACGTAGGATAGCTTGTACCAGTACTGTACACCACATGAACAAGCCGTTCTTGTGTTTTTTTCGCTGATCAGCAGAGAAAATACAAGAAAACATACTGCATCAAGGGGGAATCGAACCCCCGGCGGGTCGAAATCGACGGACAGATGTGGCAACGACCCAGGTTACCACTACCCCATTGGTGCTGTTTATTACAGCAAAAAGTACATATATGGACAGTATCACCCGGTTTTGGAAAGGCTAGGAAGATCCAGCAACCTGCTGACTTCAACAGAGTCCAAGAGGAGCCACAAAACTTAAGGATCGTAAAACCGTCTAAATGGGTAATTCAGAATGAGACACCGCATCCGTGACAGGAATCATGCAAGATCGCTCGGCCAGCTACGCCACGAGCTCCTGTGCTTTAAGCTTCTCGTTATAAAAATATGACTGGAGCCTTGCTGAGTGGCACTGGCAGGCTCTCTTTGGCACGGTTTACCAACTCGACGAGCCTGTAGATCTCGCGAGCTGCCTTCCTCCGAGCCACATTCTGCGGCGTGCCCAACGGAGGGCTATTGGCCGCAACCAGGTCGCGCATTTCGCGCAGGGCCTTGGCTGTGCTAGTAGAGGTGCTGTAGGCGAGGTGGACGGGCTGTAGCTCGCGGTGCCGTCTGCCAACATGCGTGTGCCAGACATACCTGGCTGGATCATTGTAGTTTGAGAAGAAAACAATCAGTTCGTAGCCGTGCAACGGACAGTACGTACGAACAAACTGACCTTGATGTTCCATACAGGGTAGAGCTCTCCGCAAAGAATCGACAATGCCTTCCAAAGCTAATCTGCGTATCAGCTGTCGGTAACCCCTCAGAACACTATTGCGTTCAACGGGCTTCGTAGTAGTGTATGAGCCTATGAGCGGCCTTGGGTTGACCCGAACACAAGCGAAACCTGGACCAGCCGTCCGCCGCGGCCCTTCGGGTTCACGTCGTGGAAGCATTTGACTACCTCAAAGTTGACGCGCCCCAGTGGGCGATACCGAATCCCTTCGCCCCTCGGACTCGGTGGTGCCCTCGACTTCGGGGCGCATCCACGCGCCGGCGTTGTTGTACACGACGTCGATCCGGCCAAAGGCCTCACACCTGCACGGGGGACCATGGCGCGCACCTGCTTGGACTTTATGATGTCGATCGAGGGAGAAGCAGGCGGAAGGACGGGTACTCGGAGAGGTCGGATGGCTTACGGAGTATAGCGATCGCGATGTCGCCTAATTCAAAGACGTGCGTGGCGACAGCCGATCCGAAGTCGGCGGATGCACAGGCGACTGCGCCAGTTAATCAGAACAGGCCGGATATGTGCGCGGCAAAGAGAACTCACTGAACCAAGCGAGGGGCTGACGCGGAGGACATTGTATAGCGAGAGGTGTGAGGATATGGGCCGATGCTAGATGTTTGCGGTTGAGCAGGGTCGTGTTGATGTTTTGAACGACATTAAGCCTGAATTTATGATACCTCCCCTGCAAAGGTGTCAAGTATGGGCCGTGGTGGACGAAGTATCCTGATCAAGCTGAGGGGCTGGAGAAGCCTCCACTGGTCGTAGAAGCACCGATGAGTAACGCAGCCGCTGATATGTAGATCCCAGAGGAGATCAGGAAATGTTCTCAGATCAACCGTGCGCTGACTCAATGTCGTCGGTGCTTATGTTGGCGGGCTCAGTCGTCGTGTTCGACTTCCTCAGAAGGTGTATTGACTGTACGCTCGTCGCTCAGTGACTGCTCGTCATGTCCTGATATTTCCTCTAGCATTATGAGAACTCGCATCCTTCGAATCGACCACCACGGTCAATTCATGAGTAATGCGTCGTGGTAGATGCGGTTTCGTGGGGCATCGGAGACTACGACAGGTTGGTATAGATGGTAGAGGCAATGGCGGTGGGTGACCAAAGGCAGTCATTCAATGATGTTCAATGATAAATCGGGAATTTCCGAATCTTCAGCCACCCCTCCTGCCCCGCCGACTCGACTCATCGTAACCCTCCTCCCGCTTCCCATCAGTCGCAATGGTGAGCATCCCGATATTTGGACATTCTGCCGCTGTGCTGTAGGTGTCTTGAAAGCTCGAGCAAGAGATCGGCCGGTTTTAAGACTGGGAGTGGATGGATGGACGATGTGCGGGATGGATGATGTTACTTGTCTCTTGCTGGACCCGCGCCCGCTCTTCTCGCTTCCTCAGCTCTCCCGCATGCGAACCGACAGTTCAGGACCGTATCTGATACCTCCTTCAGGCCAACGTCGAGCTCGCCGCCACCTACGCCGCGCTCATCCTCGCCGATGACGGCATTGAAATCACCGTACGCTCGTCGACTCTGCTCGCTTGATCCCAACCTCTGAACTGCATAATCTCACAGGCGGACAAGATCACCGCGTTAACAACAGCCGCGTCGGTGGAAGTCGAGCCCATCTGGGCAACCCTCCTCGCAAAAGCCCTCGAGGGCAAGAACGTGAAGGACCTCCTTTCCAACGTCGGCGCTGGCGGTGGTGCGTACATCCGGCCCTTATTATATGCAAAGCGGTGTGACTCAATCACATTTCTAGGAGGCCCCGCCGTTGGCGCACCTGCCGCGGGTGGTGCTGCGGCTGGCGGCGCACCTGCAGAGGAGGCGAAGGAGGAGGAGAAGGAGGAAGAGAAGGAGGAGTCCGACGACGACATGGTACGTCGTACAGAGTGTTACGCGTATTTTTGCTGACATCCCGCTCAGGGCTTCGGTCTGTTCGACTAAGCTTTTCTCTCTCGTCACCGTTTATTGTTGCTGTATCCTTCCGTCTCCCATGTTTGCATGTGCAATATGCACCACCACGCAATTATGACACGCATAAACACTGCAATTATCCGGACCGAGCAATTATGCAATCATGACAACCAAATGGGTATCGGTAAATCTACGTATGCTCAAGCAATCCAGGCTTTCGGAGACTATGTACATGCGCTGAGTGCTTACCTCTGAGATGCGCGAGGCCATGTTTCGGCCTTACGTCCAGGCCATGATCTCGTTGATCTTCCTCTGAATTCTGACTTTCCTCATCTTCCATGTCTTGATCAGGTCTGGGGCGCCATCCAACTCGTGCTCTGGGATCCAATAGTCGTCCTTGGGTCCATAGCCAACGTAGCGCACAAGGTATTGCACCCCTGCCTGCGCTTTCGCTAGTTCCTTCTGGCCTTTACGGGAGCGTGGATTGAACGGCATTTCTGCAACGATATGGCTGACATCCCACTCCTGATCTGGGTCATATTCAGAGTCCGTTCCCTCTTCCAGGAGCGAGTCGTTGTTCTCGCGCCCGACATCGGCGTTCATGTATCCATCATCTGAAAAATACGACACATCACTGCCGTCCGGGGTTGCGAGCTGATCAATTCTTGAAACGCTGTATGCCGTAGGCTGTCGCTGTCGGCCCCCGGCTTCGTCCAGCCACGCAAATTTATGTGGCAACACCCTTGTTACAGGCTTTGAGGAACCTTTGGGCTTGTACGGTTTGACCTCCGTCCTAGCGCCCTTGACATCAGGATAGCGGATCCGGTAGTATTTCTCGGCCTCGCACAGAGAGTGCTCAACGTCGACCACGCTTATGCCGGCGTGAAGACCCTTGCCGACCCCGTTCACACCCTTGGTCCAGCCTTTGGCGTTGGCGGGCAACGGAGGCAGCGCGGGATGGAGCGACGGTGTGTAACCGATGCGCTCCCAATGCGCCCTCTGCACTTCGGGGGAAGCCAGGTGAATCATAAGATGCGATTCTACACCAGCGGACGAGTCTCCGAAGATCTGTCGGATAAGGCATGTCAAGGGTCGACCTGCGGAGAGATCAAGCCAAACCTACTTACTTTTCGCAGACAGGCCCTGGAACCGGGCCCATCCGGAGCCCACTCGTTCTCCGACCAGTTCAAGTACGGGGTCATGTTCAGATCTAGAGCAAGCCTGCGATAGGCATGATCCGTGAGTGAGAACTCAGATAAACCGACGTTGGGACATACTGAAACGCGAGAAATGGTCCCATGCTGGGGTATAGGTGCATGATCTCATATGCGTCTCGCAAATGTTTCACCTTCGCCAACTCGTGAGGCAAGCCTGTGTCCATCATGAGGCGGATCATCCTGCGAGACGAAGATCAGCAGTTGCTGAGGCGATTCCGGTTGGCTCTGAAAAACCTCAGATGATTCTCCATATTCTGCGCCCTTCCTAGAGGCGGGGCTGGAATGATGTATGCCGCGGTATATAGCGCCTGTCGGCGACCGCGGGCGCGCCTCAGAATGCCTTCGTATGCGGCCATGCCAGCCGGAGTCTGAAAGTAGGCGTACGTGAGCTTGTCTTCTCCGAGGCCATCCACCAGCAGCTCCCAGGTATCAATCTTGTTAAAGCAACGATACAAGAGAACACGAAAGAAGGTCTCTTCAAGATCCTGCGGCCCTTCATTTATGACATTCGTGATCAAGTATTGCGTGCCCGCGTCCAGCATGCGGTATACGTTGGCGAAGCTGTACTTCTGTAGGATCTTGTCGTCACTCCATTCGGAGGGCTCAAGCTGTTGAACCTCGTACTCGTCGACGGACGCAGGGTCCGTTAGAGGCGTTGGCGGGAAACCGTCCGCATGAGCATACCGTCGTTCGAAGGCTTGATGTCTAGCTGCCATGAAGTCATAGAAACCGTCTAGGAGCTCTGGACGCAGGACGGTTACCGCACGGGGCCCTTTCGGAGTTTTGAGCATGATAATACCCTTCGAATTCTTCCCTGGCCCCGGTTTTGAATGCATATTGGATGAACCGTGATCATTGCTAATGCGGGCGCGCTTGGTTGGCTTATTCAACCAATGGCTGCTGCGTTTCTGGCCCATGTCACCAAATCTGAATAAATCCACATGAACATATAGTTTAAGGCAGCACTGGATCAAGTGAACACTGACCCTTAAGCAACTGGAGCAATCACTCGAAAATGCACAAACCACGTAGAAGCACAGCAGTGGTGCAATATATGCACCTAAAGAAGTGTTACTGCGGAGAGCTGTTTGTAGATCAGTCTGGAGGTAACGGGGGAAATCGTCAACCTGCAGTTACTGACCAGCTAAACTGAAGCAACCCGCTCCAGTCCTGGAAATGAGCCAAGAAGGACTTGTGTTTGTGTTGATATATATGGTATAAATTCCGTGAAATATAGATGGATAGTTGGAGCACAAAGGGCCAGTCGAGCACCTCACGGTAGCGTGGCACGTCGCCGTAGAATTGTGACGACGCGGTCGAACGTGCGCAAGAAGGAGATGTATCCGCCCAGAAAGAAGTGTTGGCTCGCCTTGAGCCGCACCACTCGTACTACGCGCGTCCGGGAACGCGGAGTGAGATGAATAACAGCCCTCGCCGTCGTGGCCGATGGGGACGACGCGTCGACGGGGGGGTCGGGACTCGTTTGCTCCCATTTTGCAATTCCCCCGTTCTTCAGAGCTTCAGCCCACGTGATGGCGATCGACCGGAGGCCCGCGGCGACGGAACGCGGCGAACTAGAGCGGACCTTTCTTGTTACCTACCTACCACTGTCGTTAGGTGTAGAGGACCTGCTTGAGTACGACGCGAACGAACGACAACCACCGGCTTATCGCTGCGCTTTTCTTCCGTATGAAAATCTGTGCAAAACGTGTGTCCCTCACGATCTCCAGGCGGTATGGTCCTCCTCGGCTAGAGGATTGCGGAAATGTCTCGAATCTTTATGGAGGTCCTTGACGGATGAAAACGACAAGTCCATAGTGGCTTCAACAGATGGATGTGGCTCGATGTGAAGCAGTGGTATGTCTGTTCGTCGGCATCATGGGAAATGCTCGATGGATAACAGTCGTGGGATCTGTGCAGATTCCCAAAGCAGCGCTGTCCCGTCAGATGTTCAGATTCTGGATGGCCTCAATTCATGCTCGGTCGTTCATCGGATGTTGGAGCTATATCAGAGTCCATGCGTAGCGACGGTCATTTACGCGTCGCGCCATCGCTGCGCTCTTCGAATCGTCTTCAATCATCAATTTACGCAAACCACCGTATTCATGCTCGTGAGCCTCCGTGCACAGATACCTATGGTGGAAGCGCAGAAGCCGTTGCCGTGGCCAGCGGCGATGCCGAGCGGTATCGAGCGGGGCGATAAGTCACCAACCAATACAACTCGTCACAAGAACCCGCGTTAAAGAGATACCAGGGTTGCAGCAAGCACTTCTCGTACCCGCCAACAGCCCTGCGGACAGTGGAAAGATCGCGGAATCCAGGCGTCGTCTCGTTGCGCGGCACTGCGTATGTCCTAAAGCTTAGATCTGATTGTCCAGTTTGGTACCTCAGGTCGATATCCTAGGACTTGCGTTTCGTGAAAGCTTCCGATCCGAGAGCCATTGCGACGCAACGTGTATCAATTCGGGACAGCCCTGCGGCGTTGATCAGTACTGCAAAAGCGACAGACCGCAGGGATCGCTTGACCCTTCGAGACATCAAATCACGGTTCTTATCAGACATGTTCATCTCGGCATAAGTAAGCAATAAGCATCATCAATTGGTCGTGAGGTGCTATGTACGTAAGGAAGATCGTAACATTACGTGATGGTATGTGTAACAGGTTATAAGAATGCTATCGCTACAGATATGAATGTGATTTGGCATAGGTTGTTGTTGCGGATATGATGGTATAGGAAGATCAGATGTAGACGTGGTTTCATATTAGGAACCCAGAACCAAGGTGCGTCCGCTCGCGCGAGGAGAAAAAGAGAAGGTGAAAGGAGTGTGTGGTGGATGATGCATGATGACCGGACCGGATGACACGCTCACGCGCGGGCGTAGTACGGGTACGAAGACCCGTGCTGGCGGTGCGGGTGCGGGACGTCGTTAGGACGCGTCGGTGGCGCGGCGTGCGGCGACAGCGGCGTCGGCAGCGCGCGTGGCGTCGCGCGCGGGGTGATGAAGTGCGTCTCCGTTAGCGGGCTGCTAAACGTCACGCGCCGGCGGGCCTTCGGCACCTCTTCGCGGCGCGGGCTCGGGTAGGAGGCTTGCCTAGCAGGGGATCGGGCATACTGGGTCGCGTGCACGTAGCCTGAGGGAGCAGGAGATGGGTAGGCATAGTAGGGAGGCGCGGAAGGCTGAGCATAATATGTCGGTTGCCGGGGTGCAGGCATCCTGGAAGCCTGCATGCCGTATTGCACCATGGATCCTGTTGACAAGGCAGGGTCAGAGCTGTACGGAGCGCAATGTATATGGGAAACTGACCTAGGAGGTAATCCATGGGTTGCTGAGCTTGACCGGTGCGATGTGGCTGCGCAGGTCTGGACGACATCTGCGGTCTTGAAGAGGACTTCGGCTTCACGTCCGCGTGATGCGCAATCGCATTCTGCCAACACAGATATAAGCGAAACTGAGCCATGTCTTGGGAAGATAAAGCACATACCCAGACGTTCTGGAAGTAGACACGCGCCTGCCTCTTGTACATGCTGACCTCGGTCCTTGAGAGGCGAGAGCGTCGGCTATAAATAGCGAGTCGTCGTTGTTGTACCCTGAAAGGTCAAGGTCAGCTATGGGTACAGTAAGCCGTAACAAAGCAGTGTAGAACGCACATGTTGCTTTGTCTCTCCAGCTTGTCGCGCGCCGAATGGTGCACCCGGCCGCTGCGGAGGAGGTGGTCTCCGGAGGATAGGTAGGCGTCGGCCTTCCTGAGCTTGGAGCGCGTCGTGATACATACGCAGGAGAAGTCGTCAATGGGGAGGTGACCCTCTCCGCGGCGACGGTGGAATCCAGTGGTCATCGTGGATATGCTGGCGGGGAGTGTGTTGCTTCATAGTACCGATGAACATGACGCTTTTATCCGACGAGAAATATCAAATCCGTGGGCGAGCTGTGTTATTTGGGTTCCTGGTAACGACCGGTGCGGGCTTCTGACTTCTTGTGGTTGAGTCGGGAGCCAGGCCGGAAATGGGTATAGGATGAGAACAAAAGCCTGTGCAGCATCGGGGGGATCTTTGCCCGGTGCACATGGCCTGATTCGGAAGAGGTCACAATTTTGGTCACATCGAGCGTTGTTGTCCTGGGCGCTGTCTCACCTGCGGGTAACCAGCTCGAACAACAACCTTGACAGCGGCGCAGAAAGATAGACAAGGGCAACGCAACCCGTAGGAATTTAGGAATTCAATACAGAGAGCTCGCGTTCAGTTACGTCCTTCCAAAGCTTGTTTCTACTGCTTGCTTACAGAATGTCACGCTTATGTCACCCGCCGTAGCGCCGATCTTGGGACACTGCGTCATCGCCTCATGCCGGTTGGGCACCGGATAGAGGCACCGATTAGACGCTCACAGCTTCTGCAAATCTCGATACTAAGTGCGCCTCTCACCATTGTATCGTTTATTGCACGCTATACCTTAGCCAGGAATTCGGCCACGTATCCTTCGCCACCCATGCCCTTGACCCGAACCTAACGGGAAGAGCTTCCACTAAGATGGTCCCAGTTCTCCAACAAATCGTACGAGCGTCCCGAGGCGCTGCGGACCGACGGACGGCTCGCGGACGCCGTTGGGGTCGGCTTGCAAGTCCCGCAACGAATGGAATGTAGATCTTGCTGCTGTGCCCTCTCAGTTCCGGGGCGCTGTGCGTCTGTGCGTCGACGTCAACAATAACCTAGCATGACTCGCTCGGCTGGCAACGTGTGTACCGGACTCCCGTAGCGGCTTACGGAACCCGATATCCGAAGGCCTTACGACCCCGATTTTCTGACATGCTATTGGTCTACTCATTCCCAGTCAGGCGCCGCGCCGGGCAAGCTCGCCACCATCACCCAAGACCTTGAATGTAATAACCAGGAGCTCATAGTTCCTTACGTGGTGGCGCGGCGCAATTGCCTCCATGGTGTATGGCTTCGACGTCGAACGACCGTGCGTGGGTTGAGATATTGGTACTCCCGCGTGCATGCAAAGACGGCCAAGCACTTTTGCTGAGTCTGTTTCCACAGCTCCAATTCGCGCGATTCAGTCAGGAAGCTGACTGACCCAGTCAACCCCCGCTCCGAGCTTAAAGCAAACATGAACAACGACGCGGGCAACTGCAGCAGTATCCACGGTGCGCGGTTGGCGCACGCAGCCACCATCGCAACTATTGGTCCAAAACGGCAAGTTCGCATCCACAAACCGGAAAGCAAATACGTCTTATGGTCGCCGTCTACCTTCTCCTTGGGGCCAGCTGGCTGCTGGTACTGTGGGCATACCTCGTGTATCAAATACTCAAAGTACTTCTCAGATTCATTGCTGCGGTATAATCAATCTGTGGGCGTCCCGCGGCATTGTAATACAACCAGCGAGCTTGCGCACCCCCTTCGCGGCACCTGCACCTGCGATCCCACCGCCGTTCGCTCGCGCCGTGAGATGAATAACCTTCTATGCCCCGAACATCCATATCCAACGCCCTTTGCTCCCACTACAGCTTCACATTAAGGTTCCGAAAGGCGACATGACTCCCCTGCGCAGTACGAACTTTCGCAAACCGACGCGCTACGCTCCCGATGCGTCTGCCAACCCTGTACTCCCCAGATTGAAGATCCGTCTCCGCTGGGCCGCGGCGGTGCCACCCGTGCCACCCGGCTGATCTCGGGATCAAATCATGCTCATTTGACCCCGTCCTTAAGCGCCCGTCCGCTGCGTACGCCACCCGTGTTATACATCTACGGATGCTTGCCCATGTAATCCGTGAACCGAACTGGCACCCGTCGGATGGCCCAAGCTCAAGCTTCGGATACCGGGGACTTGGACTACGCAGCTAAGACATCGCACAACGCGCACAGCGCATGGCATGGCCATGGAGCATGGGTGCTAGTGGCGCGCACTCGGAATGATATTGCTATTCTAAACGCCTTTCAAGCGGCTCGAATGCGGCGTACGTTTGCCACCGGTGCGATACATTTTGCGACCATTTGCCTCCGTCGGATGCCCAAGCTCAAGCTCTGGACACCGTGAAATACGCAGCAAAGACATCGACAACGTGCAAACCGCATGGCACGGGTACTATCGGCGCGCCGTCCGCTATCTGCGTCGCTGGCGGTATACGAGCGCACTTGCCTTTAACCTATATGGGCTGCGCCGTTCCGCTTTCCTGATGTATGGACCTATCGTAGCCTAAGCCGATGAGAGAACGCGCTATCCTCCATCTTCGTGACTCCCGCAACCGCGGGCGAGATGAGCTTTATGGAGCAAACGAACGCCACTCCGCTCTGCGCAGCCTGTTTCCGCCAGACTCAATCAACGCGAACGCGAACGCGCGTCCCACCCGCCCTTTGACACGGTCATGTGCTTCTCACGTGAACCTATATAGACGCGCTCGTTCTGGGGTGCAGCAGCTTGCCATGAGGACGTTACATCATGCTCTGTAATTAAGTCATGGCACAGGAGAAAGATCTAACTCTTTCAAGCAGTTCTATCGTTCAGGAGCTTCCCCGGCGTTTTTCTGCGCTTTCTTCTTCCGTTGGCGACGGGCTCTCGCGAACATCGCGTCCCCTCTCTTCGGCCTTGTCCGCACTTTGCCCTTCGAACACCGAATATACCGCCCCTTCCCTGATGCGCCAAGGGAAAAAAAGAAAAGAAAAGTAGGGTCACATCAGCATTCCCGCAAACAAGGCAAGATAAGATAAGCACGACAACTTACGGCAAGCGCAGATTGGGGAGGAACCACGCGGCGACCAGGACCGGGACCGCGATCGCGAGAGCGGCTATCGAGATATCCCTCATCACGTCTGAGAACTGTGTCGCGCGGCATTATGAGCATAATCGCCATAGCTTGACACGGCCCCACTCACCGCGAAATCAAGCGCGACGCGTTCCGCAGACCCCCACGCAGGCAACGCCGTACCCGTGATCGAGCTGATCAACCTCTCCACCGTCGCCTCGTCCACCTCCGCCCCGGGCACCTTCCCCAACCTCCTCCTCAACGCGTCCTTGAACACCCCCGTATATATCCCGCCCGCGATGCAGCTCCCCACGGCGCTGCCCATGAACGTGCTGAGCAGCACGAGCGCGCTCACGCCCGCGAGCTCTTCGTGCGGGACCGCGACCTGGCCCGCGACGACGGCGACCTGCTGCACGAAGCCGGAGCCGACGCCTTGCACGAGCTGTACCAGGAAGAGCTCCGAGGCCGGGTTCGTCGTCCCCCGCAGGCGGAGCATGAGCGCGTACCCGACCAGACGCACGAGTGCGCCCGCGACCGCGAGCGGCTTGTACCGCCGATAGCGGTACATGAGCGCGCCGGCGACGATCCCCGTCAGGCACTGCGTCACGCCGTTCGTATAGACCTAGGCAGGGGGAGGGGGGAAGGGAGGAGGTAAGAGCGGGGAACGGTGCGCACAGAGGTCAGGACGGTTAGGCTGCCTACCAGGAAGGTCGCGTTGCGGGCGGAGTAGTTGTGCGCGACGACGGACCAGGAGTATAGGTACACGTGCGTCGCGCTGAAGCCGGCTGTATCGACGGCCGCGAGCACGCAGCTCATCACGATCGAGCGGTTGCGCCCGTAGCGGACGGGCACGACCGGGTGCCGCGCCACGTACTTTTCGTATGGCACGAGCGCGGCGAGGGACAGAACGCCGAGCGCGATGACGGTCCCGACCCAGGGCGTGCGCCACGCCGAGGGCGTCTGCGCGGCGAGCGTGAGCGGGAGGAGGAACATCGCCGCGCCGCTGCAGAGGAGGAAGAGTCCGCCGAGGTCGATGAGCGAGCAGAAGTCGTACACGGTCAGGCGCGTGGTGAGCACCAGCCCGGACTTGCGCGCCTTACGCTGCAGGTACAACAGGGTGATGATGATGAAGCTGGATGCGAACGGCTGTCATTTCAGACGGAAACATGATCTGACGTCAGCGCCGGGCGGTGGGATGAGAGGAGGAAGGGCGCTGACCATGATGATGGCGAACATGCCGATGCCCCACCTCCAGCCGATGCCGCCTTGACGAGTGACGCTATCCACAATGAACGCGGCGACCCAGGGCGTGATCAAGAACGGGAAGTAGCTGAGGCCGAGTACGAGCCCGCGCCATCGCGCGGTTGAGATGTCGCTGATGATGATCTGGTCGAGGATCTGGGTCCCGCTCTGACCGATGGAGTAGAAGATGGCACCCGCCGCGTATGCGCTGATGGTCGGCGCGGAGGCGCAGAGTGCGTACGAGATGAGGTAGCAGCTGATCGTGAAGAGGTAGGTCTCGCCCCGGCCGAGGACGTCGGAGATTTTAGCGATGGGAGGCTTGACGACGGCGGTGACGATCGTCTGGGCGGTGGAGAGCGTGCTCAGCAGCGCGAGCTGGTCGAACGCGGACGTGGCGTAGTTTTGGTAGGTATAGACGGTGCTGTTGTCGAGTTCGCTGTGCATATATGCGTCAATCGATAGCTCAGGGGCTTGGATCGAACTTGCTCACAAGACTATCATCATCATCGCGAGGCCCGCCCATAGGCAATATTTGCCATATTTTCCGTACACCGCCTGAACCGCCTCGACTTTGGCAACGCCGACGAGGGCATTCGTCCCAACTGGAGGCACAGTCGCTAGCTCGGGCTCGTTGGCCGAAGTTCCCTCCAAATCGTCCTTATCAACGGCCTCCCGGTCGTCGGCCGCCACCATCTCCGTGGCGATATTTGAGGTTAGCGCGGACGGACGCAGCTGGGCCTTGACGGCTTCGACGAACCTCATACTCATAGTGCGAGGCCGGTGAAACTGACGACTTGAACAGCGAGGCAAGGGCCCGTCGCGTCCGCCCGCTTATCTGCCCCAGCGCCGTTCGTTCCTCGCGGCGCATCGCGTGCGCGAACTACGGAAGTTCGGCGGCCAAATAGATGCGGAGAGAGTTCGATTCTTCAGGTCTTATCTTGAGCAAAGGGCCTCGCCGGGCGACGTTCCGCGTGCGCGGAAGCCTCACTCGTCGCTCGTTGAGGTATCGCACGGCCTTCGTTTGGGTGCTTTCGCCTCCGTGTATCAGTGATATGGGACAGGGGGAGAAGTCGGGCGTGAAATAGAATGGGAAAAGCCCAAACGCGTGGGCAATGCTTCACGAGAGGCACGGGACCGACGATTACATACAGCCACACCCTCTCAGTCTGAGTCCAATATCGTCCGAGATCAAGTTGAACGATGAAGAGGCCGAGCTGGCACGCGGGGAAATAAGAGCGAGTTCATTCATGGAGACCGTTGGTGTGGAAGTGATTCCGATGTTCAGACCGACCTCAACCTATGACCTTCCCACGCACACTCACCGATATCCAGCATACGCGCTATACCCCGAAGGTCGCCCTTTCGAACTCATACAACCGCCATACTTGAGGATATGTAGCACATATCCACTGAACTCTTCCGGATGATGAGCTATCAACACTTGAGAAGGTGTTCTCCCATACTATCAGGCTTGACCTTCATGGCGGAAATGGACATATTGTCCTACTATATATGATGGACCAGACAAAACCGATGACTGTCGACCCACCGCACTGCTATCCAGAAGCTATCGAACCTACTATCGAGCCAGCGCCGCGATAATACCAGACTTGGCTACGTCGCGACCATACCTGTGTTCACGGGCGCCTATATGGATCCCCGCGCGGTGTTATATGCCCAGTTTCGCTCACGTCGTCTCTCCTACGTCTCGTCTCGCCGCACCCGTCATTATTGGCTGTGAAGGCGCCCAGAAAGAAGATGTACATATACAGATACATCCCAGACACGAATCATCGCATATGTTCTACCCCGTTCAATAGGATTCACAAGACGAGAACAGAAGGCTGTGGGACGGCTCGCGCTACGGGTGACGACCACATAAAGATCGCTTTCTCTGGGGGGTTCCGGATCGCGTAAGAGAGTCCCCCTGGACTACCGATGCTCGGCCGTCCTCAGCGACACATATCCACTCGCCGGCGCAGCCACCCTCATGAGACCGGTCTACCCATCGACAACTATCGACGGTGCTGCCTCACCACGAAGGCCAAGCTCCAAAAAGCTCACGCCTATCTGCAGTCGGCCGAGATTCTGTGGTATAACGGGGTTCCACTCATGTATTACCAGACGGTACACGGGTCACGAGAGGAGTGAGTGTTCGTTTTGTGCGATCGCTCGAAGGACGCGTGGTGTTGATATTGTTATTATCGGATAGAGCGGTACGACGCTTCAATTACATCAGCGACATACTCACTCCGAGAGCGGACGAGGTCGCGTGGTACAAGTCGATGGCGAAACACTACTTCATCACGATATGGGTACGTCGTCAAGCTCTGTCGAACGCGCTCGATGCGGCATCTAAACGCATATACCTCGACAGAATGCCACGTATGTTATCAGGCAGGGCACGATACAGCTGGGCACACCCAATCCGTGGACGCCGCAGATGGTGCTCCCGCCTCCGCCCGATCCGTGGACGCCTTGGGCATGGAACACACCCGTATGGTCCCCAGAAGCCGACGACCTCCCTCCGCTGGTCGAACAACCTCCGCAACTCGTTCAGCGACCCCGACCATTTCCTTGGTGGTACAACATCAATCCGCCTCCGCCCATGGCATAAGCTGGAATGACGCTGTTTCCTTGAGTGATCTGCGTTTTGAAACCTCTTTCCCATCCCTCAAACATGCCCATACCTGAGGCACTCGGAATGTGCTCTCATTCTTGGTTACATGATTCACGATAGAAAAGCATTTTCTCGGCGACAGAGACCCCATTATCTACAGATATTCTACAATATACCCATGCATGTACTCTACAGCAAATCGACGATACCACTGCCATGATCTCTCAGGACAAGCGGGATATGACGTCGTAAACCAAAGCCGCAAGGAGCGCCAGAATCGCCACCGAAGGACCCAGTCCGAGGACCTTCGCGAGGTCCCATAGAGTGAGCGTTCGGTGTCTCGCCGCCGCGGCTAGCCTGTGACAAGCGGATTCCAGCGTCAGAGAGCGGGATTGGCGCTGAATGAGCAGCCCTCACCCTACGGCGCGCGACAGCCGGCGGTCGAGCACGGCGTATATGCCGGCCGTGATGCGCTCCTTTTCGACGCGCAGGACCGGGCCGTCGTCGGGGATAAGGTACGTCGCACCGGACGTCTCGGCGGACGGATCTGTACACGCAAAATGCGTCCGGGGTAAGCGCACGTTGGGTAGGGGAAAAGAAGAAGAAGGCGCAGTTGCGGTGGCTTTACCTGTGGAAGAGTAGAAGATGGCGTTCGCCACCCTGTCGAGAGGCGCCCAGGGCAGGCCGGCCATGAGCACCTTCATGGCTGGCGGAAGGATGCCGGTGTCTAAAAGCGGAGAAAGATGGGTTCAGTAACCCGTGGAGGAGGAGTAGCGCCGGGATGGCTGGCTCACCCACGAACCAAGGGCACACTCCTACGAGTCGGATGCCATACGCGGAAACCTGAGCGTGCAAACTTCGAAGCGTCCCCAAAAGGGCATGCTTGGATGTCGAGTATAGCACTGCTCCAGGGATGCCGTTCCAGGACGCTATGGGAGAGATAAAAGGAGGTCAATCTGTGATTTTCTGATGATGGGGATGTGGGAGCGTGTACGTACCCATGGAGCAAACCAGCACGATCGCCTTGAGTTCGTTTGCATCGTTCGTGCTGTTCAGTTTGAGGTAATGGATAGCAAGATGGACGGCTGTTGACCGACACGGCAATAATAACGGTAGGTCAATCGAGATGCCAGCGCAGTGAAGTCCATGGAGTCATACGCACTGTGGAGGACGGCTTTCAGGTTGACGTCCAGCACCGTCGTGGATGGTTCGACCGGAACGTCGTGTCCGTACTTTGCCGAAGGCGCCAGTGTCGGCTCTGCGAAGGGTTTGCCATCGGTGATGCCCGCGTTCGGGACGACGATGTCCACCTGGCCGTACGTTCTCAGCGCGAACTCGAACAACGCAACCTGGTCATCCCACGACGTGACATCGCACGGAGCCGGTAGAACGGCAGCTTCCCTGTGGAGCGCAGAGCGACGCGTTAGTTCGCTGGAAAAGGAAGAGAAAGTCACGACGCCGCGGACTCACCCCCCAGCCTGCGCGCAGAGCTTGACACACTCCTCCGCAGCCTTTAAGTCCAAGTCACCTAGAACAACCTTCGCGCCGTGTCGGGCGAACTGCAGCGCGCTGGCCCTGCCTATGCCGTTACCGCCGCCGGTGACGATGACCACCTTCCCTTTGGCGCGCGACACGTATGCCAGCAGTTCTTTGTCGGAGACGGTGGTCATTTTGGAATACGGCTGCCAAGGGCCAAACGCCGCGAGCGCTTAAGCAACTACTGCGTCTCTGGCAGAGTTTTGTTATCGGCGCCTGTGAGGCTGCGTACGCGACTTCATGATGGCCGGTATTAGGACCTTGATTCGAAGCTTGGCTGTGCGGAGAACAAGCGCTGGATCGCTTTTGAACGCTGTCCGTTTGCATCGCCACTCATTGTTCAATGGGCGATAGGCCATGCGCGAGGTACGAGCGTTGGCCTATCAGAGGACAAGCTCAGTCCAGCAGGCGAGGAAGGTGGGCTTGCGAGGCTACACAGCCTCCACCTTTCCTCGCCTCCTGCTTCGCTCGTCGCGTTTCCCGCCCGTCCCGCCCTTTCGATTGGCACCAAGAGTCCTTAGGATCTTGGAGCCCAGAGTGCAGTTGCGCGTGTACGGTTTTGTTGAACCCGCCCACGCGCGGCGACTCTCGCCCACACCCCGTTACTCGTGCGTACCTACCTTACGCTCCACACTCGTCCGGGGTCCCACTCTGGATGAACCAAGGACTAGCTTGTCTCGAGCTTGTTCTCCTCCATCGCCACGGACTGCTCCCCCATAACTCCTGAAGTATCAGACATCAACAGCTTTCGCCACCATCTAAATTGCTGCCTACTCCATTGTCCTCGCGACTGCCCCCTATCAATCATCAGCACGACATGACGGAATGCAGGCCGTAGCGCGCCATTGCGACGATGCTGCGAACCCTGACAAGGACAAACTCTGAACATGATTTGCGCCGATCGGGTCGATTTTGCCATTTCGAGCAAGCGCGGGCGACTTGACTTATTGTTTCCCCGGACCCGGCACTGAGGCCTCCGGCCTGGCATTCAGCGCATCCCGCAGCCGTAGCTGCTATATGTTAGGACTCGCTGATAGCTTGAAAGAGAGCGACTCCTGCTCCTGTTTCAGCAATTCAGTGCCTTTGGGATGGTGCGGGACCGCATCCTTCGGCGCAGAAGGGCGAGCCCATATAAATATCTGGCGTAGCGTGCTAGAGCGACATACACGCACTAGTTTCCCTGCGAGGATCATCGCTACCACAACCACGCCTAGGAACAATTAATATCTCAGCATCATGCCGCGCCATGCGAACGTATCGTACGGTTCTGTCGTCGGGTTGCGGCTTCCTATCGATCAATTCCGGGGGTACTCCTCCAACATCCAGCGACAGCTACAGAAAGCGAACGCGTACGTCGAGTCCGCGGATGTCCTGCGGGACAGACGTGTTCCATCTTCGCGTCAATACCACCTCCAGGTGTTACGGCAAGAGTGAGAGTGCTTTCCTTTCCTCACGGAGGCACTCTAACGAAACGGGGTTCGGATCAATAGGGCCGTAAGGCGACTGAAGATCGTCCGCGCCTCGTCCTGCGTGTGTCCCGAAGACGTGGACCTGTACAAGAACCTCGCCAAGTCCTACTTCATCGCCGCATTTGTACGCCTCGACTCTTGTACCCCTGCTTTGATATTTCGAGTCATGCTCACGAAGTCACCTCAGGACGCTGCGGTCCAGGATAGCACCCCACATCCGCCCCTTCTCCTCAGAACACGAGCCGAACAAGATAGTAGCCCTTCCTTCCCGTGGTGGCCTCAGGTTCACCCCGCGCCGGCGTTCGGCTGGGCGCTCACGCCGTCCGCCGTCCCGGTCTGGGGGTGGACTCCGCCGGCTACGAAGCCTGCGTTTGGCATGTTCGCACCTCCGACGGGAGCTCGACACTTGGGCCGGTTCACATGAAAAGTCCATTTTTTGCTCGTTGATTGCACCCGAATGTACGCTATGCGGCGGGATGCCTGAGTATCGCCCCGTCCTGTACCATGTTTTAGCTTCGTATTCTGGAATCTCATCATACCCGATGTAATTGTTGTATACCCCTTTGTACCATAATTTTTTTCGTGTGTAGTTTTGTGCCAGTGGAATATCCAGAAACCTTCGCATAACGCACGTTCAAAGGCTGGGCTGCGGTCTTCAAGCTTCCAGGCTGTACAAGGCTGTATAAATGCTGGGAAGCGACGCGTGGTGCGCGCGATCAGGCTTGCCACTATCCCCAACGCGAGCTCATGCTAGATTCTACTGGTTGCTTGCAGCACTACGCTTCTGGATCTAACGGAGAAAATGCTGGATATATAGCTTCATTATTAACGCGAGGCAGCATGCCTTTGGAGTCTGACCTGCTCAGTCACCTATGGATGTCGAGTCGTACATTCGTGCTCAAGGGCTTGCCGACATAGGGCAGAATCGTATAAATACCCCGGCGACATATTCGGGTATCCCGCAGATCCTCTCAACTCCAAACACATCCACCGCCGACTTCAAGTCTCCAACACCGTATACCCATTGACGCGTCACGACCATGCGACCCGATCAAGGCGATACTTTCGGCTCCGCCGTCGGTCTGACACTCCCAATCGACGAGCTCCGGAAGAGGTCATCGAGCATTAAATCTCGCTTTGACAAAGCACAGGCTTATGCCGAGTCAGCCGACCTCCTGCGAGAATACCGCATCCCGCCGGACTCGGAGTTCCGGCCTACATTAGACGTGTTGCGCGACGAGTGAGTCTTCCACAGGAACTTGACCATAGCTCCCCTTCAAGCGTCACAATAGGGCCCTGCAACGCCGCGAAGACATTCCCGAGCCCATGTGGCGACGGTACAAAGCAGAGGTGGACCGGTTCAAGGCCGCCGCGAAGACGTACTTCATCTCGACCTGGGCACGTAATCTCTCGTATACTCTATGTGCTTCGCCATGTTCCTCGATTGACGATACTCCCTCAGAATGCCGCACAGCAGCCTCCTCCGCCGGTACAGCTTCCAACCCCGGCTGACTCTCCGATAATGTCTCCCGCGCCGCAACCGCCTACCCGCGGATCTCCCTTTGCTCAGGCTCCCGCTCCGCTGGTGCAACCTCCTGCGCCGTACTGCTGCATTCATGGTCCAATGGGCGTGCCATGCCCACCAATCATCCCTACGCCGGCTTGTGCTACTGTTGCTCCTGCTGCACCTGTGTATGCTGTCCCGCCGGTTGCTCCGCAAGGCTACGGTTTTATCCCGCCTATGCCACAGAACTCTCCACCTGCGCCATGCGTTATCTATGCCTGGGGCTCAACTGCTATGTACCGTCCGCCTTCCTGGTGAATCCGCTCGATTGTCTCTGCACACGCTCATCTGTGGCCCTCTCGGCTCGCTACTTTCGGTTAATGTCGTCGAGTCTCACCTGCCATACCTATGTTACATGCCTCAGTCGTTCTATGATCATTCTTTTCCCGCTGTGATATAACGATACCGCACTGAATGCACTCCACGAACCCTTCTTATATAACTCGTCACTGGATAAATGAGATAAGAATATCTTCGAAATACTCTCGCAGGATACTGAGGGATATGAACTCTGTTCGCCTTCGCCGAAGTGGAGTGTCATTGCGGAACTCGGTAGATCAAGGCGAAATTTCTCGCGTATGATAGCTCAGTACAGCGAAAAACCGATTACTTCTGCTGCTTAATGAACTCTGTCAGTACGCACAGACTTAGCAAGCTCAGTAGTTAAGATGCAGGAAACCGGAGGCGATCCAGTCGAGGCCACCCGGCGAGATCTGGGAAAAGCTGTGCTATCTCCCCTCAATCTTGTCCTCCTGAAGCCTGCCACCATTGAGACTCGGACTGTGGGAACATCGGGTTGCTCTCTGCTCTCTGCTCTCTGCTCTCTGCTGCTGCTCTCGGAAGCGAAAGAGAGCATGATGGCCGAATGTGTCTGGAGCACATCTATGCCTAGTGCCTTTGTGTGGCGCGCGGTGGCGGATGCCTGCGGAATGTGCAGCTTTTGCCTGCATTATTGCGCTTCGAGTGGTATTGTACTGCGGCTTCTCGCACGGCTTGATATTCGGGCCACCTGAAAGCTATAGGAAACGATTGTGCGGCCTCGTGTTCGGCTGTGCGCTGGGCCCAAAGAACTCGCTCTGACAGGGCCTCAACGCACGACACACACCCACGGTGCTTTGAACCTGTTTGCTTAAATTCAGCCTTGTTCTCTTCCGGCTCTCCTCGTCCAACTGGCTGACCGTCTGTTTCGCTTGACCATCTCCCTGAACCGACCGCCCCTCTTGCTTCACTATCTGACACTGCTATTGTCACTGTTGTCAAAACTAACTATTTCGCATTCTTGCCGCTTCGCGGTTCATTCGCTGATATGACAGACCCGGCAGGCAATGCCCAAGGTACCTCAATGACTGCGATCCAAATCCAGCTACGGCAGGCGCGTCTCTATATCGACGGTGCAGACATCCTCCGCGAGCTTGTACCAGCGGTGTGGCAACACTCTAGATTAGTTAGGGAATCACGGCAAGAGTGCGTTGTTGCTTGGTAAGAACCTCATGCAATAGACTGACTCTAGTCTTCCTACTGTAGCGCTATGCGGCATCTGAGGAACATCACACGGAGCACGACCACGACACCTCCATCTCCCCTGGACGTAGGTTTCTATAACGCCAGTGCAAGGACATACTTCTTGGTCGCTTGGGTGCGTATGACCCTCACTTCTCCTCGATGTTCCCAGTGAACTTGAAGATCTTAGCAAGCATCTTGCATCGTAATGTCCGTGCCCTCGCCGATCTCTTTTCGATCTCCGCTTGCACCTCCCTTACGACCCGCGCCCGGGCCGCCCTTACTTCCTCCAAGACGTCGCCGCATGGTTGTACCTGCCCCACGGTTCCGCCAGCTCTGGAATCCGTGGCATCGGTCGCGAATTGTCTGCTGGCCAACCAAACCTGCGACTCCAGGGATGCAATGGGGGTCTGGCCTGACCGCTGCTTGGACGCCACCGCCCGTAATACCGGCACAATGGCCGGTACTCGTGTGGTGATCTTGTGGGGATCAATTAACGTGCCCCTGTTCTTACTTGCGACTGGGTAGGTTCCGGCTACACCGGTGAGAGGTCTTCCTGGGCTTCCTTCGTAGTTGTTGCAGTTGTATTTTCATACCATCAAGTGAATGGCATATTCTCCCGTAACGTTGCAGCGATGTACATTAACTAAGACGCGTCGCTTTGGTACCTGCGCTGTTTGAGAATTTTCGTCGAGAGTTAAGCACGCAAGAGCATGTTACACTGGGAACGCGTGACTATACGCGTCAAAGTCACGCTTTGACGCTCTCTGTTTCATCTCCGCCATTGGGCTCCCCAGACTCCAGAGGTTGGGCGGTACTCGCCGCAAAGAGGGCTGTAGCTGAATATGGAGAACCCGCACAACGAACGGCAAGCCGTGTTGCTCGAGCGGATTGTGAAGAACAGCGTGCGTTCTCCCGCTGGTTTGCACATGGCGAGCGATACAGGGTGTGATGATGACCTGTGATACAGAACAAGGCCACGGAGCTCTTCATGGAGCTGAACAGGGCTCTTGAGGTAAGTCACGAACTGAATCTTTCACTTTGCAAGGATACACGTCGTGATCGATACAGGAAATCCATCGCGCGAACGCGTCCATCCGCACCGCGGCAGATCTCGTCACGAAATACAGGCAGAACGTCAAGTTCAACTTTGAGGTGCAGGGTTCGTCCGAGCCGAAACACGATGTATAGATAAGAGGAGGCTCTAGACTCTCGGATTGTATATAATGAGACAGTGAGGTACGTGTCCGTTCTCGATACTGTGGTCGCCCGACTTACGATCGTCAGAGTGTCCCAATGGAGGCCATCTATTACCGTTATCCTGCACGCGCCGAGGGTTCATCTCTCCGTGTCACTGAAAACCTCATGAACGAAGCGTCGACTACTGCCACAGAAGTGCGATAGACATGCACTCGGCCGATTGTCTGCACGACGACGTGAACGCGTACACATCTTCGATCACGCTGCCCCCCGTGATGCGCCTTCTTCCCGCCGTGCTTGCAAGTCCCACATGGTGTGGCGGACGGGCGCGCCTTCTATCGTCCCGCAGAAGATGGCGCCGAAGCTTTTTTTTTCGAACTACACCTCGGCCCGTCAGAACTGGAAAGAGAGCACGAACGCCTCCCGCATCTTATGCGCCACGTCATGTCTCCTTGCCTGACTCGCGCGGAGCTCCGCGAGCGATGTAGGAGGATGCAGACGGATGGACGCCCCGCCGACGACGCCGCGAACCCGCAAGGTGCGGGCGTAGACGAAAGGACCGGCCCGCGAACGACGTGCGGATGACCGCCGCCGCCCCGGTAAACCTGCACGATGCGGAAGGCGGGCACGCGCCCACGCGCACGAACGATGGTTTCAAAGTGCGCTTGAGTGTTTGCAGGCACGGTTACGAGGGATGAACGGTATGGAAACCGTTAACGCCAAGGGGGCGAGGTCGACCTCCCCAACCCGGTGGGGGACTGCGATTTCCTTCCTTCAGCGGTGAGCTCGATCGGTTGCGTCCAAGTCTGACGTGTCCACCAAGCATGCATACATCCGTACACGCTTTTCATGCCACGCATCTTGCATGCTGCTAAGTTTCGCCATATTGCCGAGCCTTCCTTTCGATCTCGTGTCGAGGTCGCACACTTCTTTCTGTTACTATCTTCTTCTATCTGCCCGCAGAAAAGACGTCAGAGCACGCTTGCTGGGATCACGATAGATCGATGCGGAAGTATCCCGTCTAGGAAGCGTGGTGTCTTGGAGGGCGACCTGCTAGAAGTTGTGGTCCTTCTTCACCTTAACTTCTGTCGTATCTTTGTGCCGGATGCAACAAGAAAGCATCGGTCGGGGCTCCGCGTGCGATGACGGGTAGAATGAACGGTGTCCGGTGACCATTGCAACACGCTCGCTGCGTATCAGCTCACCAACAGGCCGATCCTTGGACGGCCGTCGTTTCTCGGATGACCTTCATCTTCGTGTGTTTGTAGGGTGGTTACGTCATTCTCTGGGCCGCTCTACAGCCTGCGATATGTGTCGTCGGGGAGCAACTGCGCCGCAGACATGAAAGGAGCACACCCATAATTCTTCACGTCTGCGGTTTCGGAGAAGAGAGGGTCGATAAGAATAAACTGAGACAGAGATAGCGTACATGCTGCATAGGTAAGCGAGACGACGCGTTTGCTTCGTGAAGAACGTCGGGTGAAAGGGGCACTCGGTCGTCGAGGGGCGCGTGAGCAGCGCTATTTCCGAGGCGGCGCTCAGAAGGGAGGTTCTTTGCTGCGGATACGGAAGAGGGGGCGGGGTTCTGCCAGCGCCCGCATACACGAGAAGACGCGGTCCGGTCCACCCTGCCCCGATTGCTGACGCAGAGAGAGCGGGTCAGAACCCGGTTCGAGCTGCCCCAAGCGGAAACCCGCAGTTCGTGTGGCGGCGGGGTCATTTACGGGTACGCGGCGCCTGGATGCATATGATGAACAGAGGAAGCGGGCAAGGTTTCATACGCACATCATAACGAATGTACTGCCCAAGACTATTGGGTCAGCTGCGTGTATCCATCCAGACGAGGTGGCGAGGCTGCGACCATAATCCAGATCAAAAGGATTGGAGCTTGGAGCATACAGCACCGCCGGGAACAGCGGACTTCGAGGAAACCGCTAGACAAACGCGGAGGCACTGAGTGCTGCGGATAAGCAGAGGCGTCCGCTTGGCGACAGGATACCTGTACGAACCACCGCCATGAAAAGGGTTGCATAATGACTGATGCAACAACTTAAGTAAGAGCCAAAGGGCGGCTTTCGCGCGCCCCCTCGCCTTCCTCGTCGCGATCTTCGCAGCGCAGCGCTCCCACTCGCACGCGCGGGCCCGGTGCACGACGGGGGGAGGCGGGGAGAGTGGGAACCTAGGAATTTCTGACTGCATGCACTGGAATGCCCAGCGGTCTCGGCTCGTACGCAGTGCTTGACCCCCAGCCAGATTCGTCATAGCGCGCGGCTTTCATCTTCATCTGAACATATTCATGGCCTTCCGATACGATACGTGATACGTGCTAGTCTTGGTGGTCACCGCTTCTCGGCAGAGATGCCAGCAAGGTATTGTTAGGAGCGGCTGCGGAATGTTGGTGTGAGAGCGCGGGCGACGTGGACGAGGGAACGCGCGCACCGGGAAGGGCAATGGCGCAGGGACGGTCCTAGCCCGGCCTCCGCGCATCTCTCGCTCTCACCGGCTGTCGGTCGTCCAAACGGCTGGCTATCATTGGACCTTGCCCTCGGCGCGGGAGACATCAAAACGGGTCCAGGATCGCAAATATGATTCTCTCTGAAGGGGGCTTAGCGTGATATTAAAGGGACGCGCGCCCGCGGTGACCGGGTTGCGAGACCAACATCCCCTGTCTGCCCAACGTCCTCTCCTTACCATATCACAGTCGTCTCCTGGGTTATTTGGACCACAATGTGGATCCTTTCGTCGGGGCTTTTGGCGTTGTCGTTGGGTGCAGTCGGTCTGGCGCGGCCGGTGAGTGCGAACTTCGGACGTCGATCCACGGATGGGGCTGATGCATCGTATCGTAGGACCCTGCAGCGCTCGGACTGTCCCCGAGGCAGACCAGCACGACCGCAACGGGCGAGTCGAAATGCTTTGTAAACCTGATGTGCATATCCGGCGTCCTGAACGGCTCGACAGTAGAGTGTGGGTATCACCCTCCTCGCCTCCCTCCATAGTGTCGGGTCGTGTAGAGTTCTTACATATCGCTTCGTTCAGACACTCTCCAATCCGCCGGGAGCCAGAAGCCGGGATGGATGGCCATGTTCGTCATACCTTCTGCTCGTTATGCGCGCCGTCCCTTGACTGTATCGCGTCTTCAGGGGCTTCGGCACGCTCATGTCCAACTCCCAAATGGTCATCATGTGGAGCAACTCGGACGGGTCCGTCACTCTCTCGCAGCGCACCGCGTCGGGCGAGTCGATGCCCAAAGTCGACCCCTCGCCGTCGCGCGTCGCGACGCTCCAGACCTCTCTCAGCACAGTACGTTGCCCCTTTCCTTCCTCGTTCTCGCGGCGGACGCCTTGCTTACACCGAGGCTCCAGACCTCGGGCTCGAACCCCAAATTCGTGTACACCGTTCCCTCAGACTCGACCACGAAGCAGAACATCATCTGGGCGTTCGGCACGCAGAACCCGGGCAACGCCGCCGAGGACGCGACGATCATCCAACACATCAGCTCGGGCATGAGCACGCTCGACCTCTCCGCCACGCTCACCGGCGACCCGACCTCACCCGCCGCGCCCTCCACCACCTCCTCTACCTCCTCCTCCGGCTCCGGCTCCGGCTCCGGCTCCGGCTCCGGCTCGACTAAAGGCGGGTCGGGATCGTCGAGCTCAGGAGGAGCGTCGAGTCTGCCTTTTGCGCCGTACCAGCGCATGATCATCGCCCACGCCGTCTTCATGGCCTTCGGCTTCCTCATCGCGCTCCCGACCGGTGCGCTGCTGGCTCGCTATCTCAGGACGTATTGGCCTGGCTGGATGGGCGCGCACGTCTTCGCGCAGTTCGTGCTTGCGGCGCCGTCCGTGATCGTCGGACTCGCGCTTGGGATCAAGGCGGTGTCCACGGCCGGCGCCCCGCACCTCAACGATGACCACAAGGTGAGCGCCCATCTCCCTCCACCTCGTCCCGTCTCATCCCCCGCGTTTGGTTGTCTGATTCTGATGCAACGTTTTTTTTTTCATGGTTACGCCGAACAGAAATGGGGCGTCGCGATCTTCGTGCTGTACATCGCGCAGTGCTGCGTCGGCATGTTCATCCACAAGGTCAAGCCGCGCGACCACCAGTCCCGGCCGCGCCCGCCGCAGAACTACTTCCACGCCGTCTTCGGCCTGCTCGTCATCGCGCTCGCGTTCTACCAAGTCCGGAACGGATACAAGACCGAGTGGCCCATGGTCAGTCTCCTCAACCCCTTCCGCCTCCCCTTTCCCTCTCCCCGTGCCATGCGAAAGCCGAGTGCCTAACGCGTCCGCATGCAGACGACCGGCCGGGGCGATGTTCCCGACGCCGTGAACATCGTGTGGTATATCTGGGTCGTGGTGAGTGGGACACCCCTCTCCTTGTGCACGCCAAGGACGACGAACGTTGACCGCGTTTTGATGCCCTCCGCAGCTGCTCCCGGTGCTGTACCTCGCGGGCCTCACGCTCCTGCGGAGACAGTACCGCCTCGAGCGCGCGAGCCGGACGGGCAGCAAGGAGCGCCCGGCCGACGACGACTACATGCTCAATCAGCGCCCGAGCGGCGAGTACCGCGACTACTAGACCCCCCGCTCTCTCTCTCTTTTCGTTCTCGGTGTTTTCTCCAATGCCCATGCGTCGAGGCAAAAAAAAAAAACCCCGCGCGTGTGAGGCGCAGATCTCTCGGGCGTTCTGGGCGTGTGGAAGGGGGGAGAAAGCGGCTGCATACGGTAATATGGACGTTAGAACATGGACGCGCGCGTGGGGGTTCATTGGAGATCCGACGACGACATCTCTACTACATATCGACATGTGGCCAACTTTGGCTTCATTTTTTTTTCCACATACCATGCATGGATTCGGTTCTCGCGCGTATATACGTAGAACTCTTGTACGATAGATGCCGGTAGATCTTGGGAGCATAATGCATGATCGGTCCAAGGTACTGCTTGGCGTGTTCGCTCACTATTGAGTTGGTTCCTTGGTTGTTCCTTCGGAGGAAAAACACACTGTCCAGTGTCGGCACCATCTCTGCTGTGATAGGGCTCATTTAGTTTCAACAGGTCACACGGGTCTTGCTAATTGAATAAGATATTTTACGCTCAAAAGCACAGAAATTGCCACCAACGATTCCAAGACAATATACCTACGAAGAGAATTGTCGTTTTAGATTCAGAGAGAGTGCCCCGTAGCGAGTGGGATCCGCTGCGCAGCATTTATCACACCTGATAACACTGAATGAGCCCTATCTGATAATGATCACACGTCGCTTGTCGACAGGACTGATAAGTTTGAATACGAGGTAAGACGAGACCTTCTCACGATCAGAGCCGATTGTGGTGACGGTAGTTTATGTAGAGTCGTTGAGGTAAGTAGTGCCTAGCCTTACTCATCCTTTACGCCATGCCCAGGCCTATCATTTCGCCTGAACACTTAACTGTTCCTCGGTTCTTTGCCATAACCATCCATTTCAACGATGGTTTCCCGGACACCGCTGGTGCTGACGGAGACTCAGTTTGCGTGTACACCGTAAGCGGGGAGCCATGAGCCGAATCGGGGTGTGCTTATACATCCAAAGCACATCATATTCTCTAGCTTGTCTTATAGCCTCTCCCAGCTCTGATCTTCCGCCATTCACCGCGCACTTTTCAGGAAGGCCTACGGGATGTCCGAGGCGTAAGCATCCGTCATATACACGCATACATCCATAATAACCACTCCGCTTGTACCCCACAAACACAACCATCTACTCATTTGTTCACGGCACGCATATCTGATGCACCCCGCAGATACGTCAATTTCCTCGGCGGCTCCCCGCTCAACCGCCTATCCTGGCTGCGAACCAACCAGCCCTTCCTGAACCACATCCTAGCCGCGCCCGCGACGCGCTGGCTCGTCTTCCGCTCCGGCCAGCCGCTCCTCGCCGGACGCAAGCTCGCGCGCCTCGCCACCGCCGATGTGCAGTCGCTCCTCGGACCCTCGCCGTACTTCGGCCAGGGACAAAACGAGGGCGATATCGCGGACGAAGGGGTGGGCGTGCTCGAGGCGGCGCGGTTGAGGGGCACGCCGATCGTGTTCTTGGGGCTGCAGGAGCCGGAAGGGGAGGCGGGGTCCGCGCTGCCGAGCAGCGAGTTTAGCGGGAAGGCGGGGGTGGAGGAGCTTGTGAAGCGGGTGCGGGGGACGCCGTGGTTCTCGCTGGACGTGAGCGACGTGGCGCAGGAGGAGGTGGATGGCGTGCTCGCAGCCGCTGCGAAAGAGGACGAGGCGACACCGGGCGGGCTAACGTTTGGCGAGCCGCGCGCGGCGATGGCGGTGATGGACGCGTTCGAGGCGGCCGTGTTCGCTGAGGCGAGGAGCATGGCGGATTGGAACGCGCGGAACAAGGTGCGGGTTGCTAGATTTCTCTTGTGCGCGCAGATGCTGATGGAGAGACAGTTTTGCCCGGCGTGCGGGTCATGCGTGTACTCTCTGTGGGCCGGGTGGAAGCTATCCTGCACGTCGCTGCTTCCGTGGGCGGATAATACTGGAAAACAGCCGTGTCCCTCTAGGTACGCTCCTATAGCTCTGCGCGGTTTATCCATTCCTCATTGTCTTCAACGAGTAGCAAGGGCCTCCACAACTTTGCGCACCCTCGTACGGACCCGGTCGTTATCATGATCGCTATCAACGAGTCGAACGACAAGATCCTACTAGGGCGGAACGTACGCATACATTCCTCCCTCTCATCATCGGATAGCGTCTCACACCAATGATACGTTACTCCAGAAAAAGTTTCCCGGCAAGTTCTACTCCGCCCTTGCCGGGTTCATGGAGCCCGGCGAGTCGTTCGAGGACGCGGTCAAGCGCGAGATGTGGGAGGAGGCGGGCGTGAAGGTGTGGGACGTGCGGTACCACTCAGGGCAGCCGTGGGTGAGAGAGCCTCACATGAACCCTTGCCTTTTCTTGAACTGGCTCCTGACTGAGCAATAATACAACAGCCTTATCCCGCGAATCTGATGGTCGGTTTCTACGCCACTGCGGACCCGAGCCAGCCGATCCGAGTGGACCTGGATAACGAACTTGAAGGTCCGTTCTTTTCGACCATCCTAGGTCTCTCCTCTAAACTTGAATTGGCGTGGCTGGCGGAACCAACAGATGCGCGATGGTATACCCGCGACGAGATCCTCGCGATCCTCCGCCACCCGACGGGTGCAACGCTCAGCAGGAGGGACAATCGGGATCTCGCCAAGATCCAGGAGGGCGAACCAACGTCGACGTCCACCGCGGCGGGCACCCTCCCCAACGGTGGGGACGGAGCCGGCGCGCTGGCACACTCGGACCCTAGCATCAAGGCGCAGGAGGTCAAGCCCGTCATCGCGAAGACGGAGGCGATAGACGAGCCGCCATTCAGGGTGCCGCCGTTGACGGCGATTGCGGGTGTGTTGATTAGCGAGTGGGCGCATGGGAAGATCAAGCCGGAGGCGTCGAACGCGGGCTCAGGAGAGGCGAAGAAGGGTAATTTGTAGTAGGTATGTAACATCAGGCGTGTAACGCTTGCACTACTTTGACGACCACGGTACTGATTTAAACCGTGTAGATTGATTGTAGGTGGTATATGGATGGATAGAATGCATGATCATTACATGGTAATACGATCATTGTGAATACCTCTAACACGTCAGAACGGTGCCCGCTGTGACGAGCCTCGCCATTGAATACAACGAGTCCTACGCCTACTACGCCTATTACAACCCAATCCGACCTGGTAAGCCTATCTCAGGAAAAGACCAAGGAATCACCTTCTGGCTTGGACTGGCTCACTGCACCGTTCTACAGTTGGCGCATCCACCGCCGGTCATATTGTCCACGCCGTCTGCGCACGGACAGGACATTGTCTGCGTGCAGACGACGTAGACGATACACCTTCGATCGTGCAAGACTGATGTGTTCATGTCTTCGGTCGTGCTGATATTTATACAGATTGTTCTTCATGCTGGAGCCGGCCTTTGCAGTTCCGCCGCAGTACTGCAGTCGGCCCTGCTGCTGCTGAACAAGTAATGCCAATTGAGGTGTTATTGTTTTCCTTGCTGGTAATGTGCTATACGACTGTCCAGCACTTAGGTCCTAGGAACAATCAAAGCGGTGCACAGTGCGGAATGCAAACCGTACGAATGGTTGTTCCGTAACGGATGGCAGCATGCGGATCCAAGTTCAATCTATCGCGACGATGGGAGATGGACTGCATTCCTTCAAGGTTGAAAGAAGAGATAGTATCACTTCCGAACAGGGCTGGACAACCCTCGACCTCAACGAGTAGCAATAACCAGGAAGTACGTTCACGAAATAAGGAATGAATAATAAAAAAACACAGACAATGCATCTATAAGTACAGTGGTGTAAAGGAGGGTATAGGGTGCAACAACGGTATTTCAGCCAAGGAACTGTCCGGCTGCTAGGGCCTCTATGGCCCCTATGGTGTCTATAGATACATAAGTAGTCCGAATGCGGTCATCACACCGGAGTCCAGGCTTGCGACGGCGTCCATGCCCATGCAGTGGTAGGGACGAAACCCCATCCCATCACTGGTGTGACTGGTGCAGGTGATACAGGCCACCAGGCGAAGGCCGGTCCATGAGCGAGGAAATGTGGCGAAGCATTGCCAGGTACACGAGCCGGAGAGGGTGCCGGTGCGGGGGAGGGCGGTGAAGGGGAAGGAGGCGCTGGTTCGGGCGGTGCGCTCTGAGCGGCATTCTGAAAAGCGGAAGATCGGTTTGTGAACGCTAGGGCGGAGTCGGATGAGACGTACCCAAACGCAAAGGAAGTAATCTTTGGCACATTCCTTGTAAAAGTCGACGTCGTCTGCGCGCAGACGAGTGGCACAACGGATGGTGCTGAGGCGCCGCATAGCCCTATGATAGCAGCGCATGGGATAAATCAGAGCGAGAGGACTAGAGAGAAGAATGGCGTACTCTTTCCGCAATTCTGTCAGACCGGGGTGTTGTGCGCGCGGGACGAGCTCCCTATCTCGAATGAGATCAGCGGACTCGACGTACGCGTTCGCTTTCTCTAGCTGGCTTTGGAGAGTGAAGGAGAATCCTCGATAGACATCTATGGGAAGCTCCAAGCCGACGGCAGAACCGTAAGTGGCGCGAGAAGGCAAGGGCATAATTGCGATTTGAAAGGCGTTAAGGAGTTGACTGTTCGATATCGAGGATGAGGCGGTCGTTTGGAGGTGGAGGTCGTGGGTCAAGTTATCGGTGAGGGACAACAGACCGCATAACGGTCGTATTTATGCGTAGGAGCACCTCGCATGATGGTGGTGGTGGATCGACATATCCTATCCGGGCGAGGTCCAGAGCTTCAGCGAACAGCAAAACACGAGGTGGCGGCAGGCAGCACAATCACTTTTGATAGCTTCTTCTGAGGTAGACAATACCATCATGCACGAGCCTATTGCAGGATTATATCGAGAGCTAGTTCGCCCCGGGTAACTGTATGCGCGAAACTGATCGATACAGCAGCCAAGCTACAGGTGGAGAAAGCTGCACATTCCGCGTGATCCATCCCAGCATTTCTGCCACAGCCGTCCTCGTCGAGCTTTCATGACTGAAGTAAATGCGTACTGCAGACCGAAAGGAGCGTGTTGCGTTGTAGCAGCCCGAAGGTATCTCAGAGGCGCGATTCGACGATACCTCTCCGAGTCACGACTGTGCGTTGATCAAGAACTTCGACCAAGTAGCCCGCCTGCTCTGTCGCTGCCGCACCTGTTTGGTCTATCTTTCCGTCAATCGACCGCTTTCGCAGCCGTCGTATGGCAAGCCCAGTGATGTCGATGACATTCCGGACATCTAGACTCGAACAGGGCCATTGTTCCCTATCCGAGCGGTCATAGCAGGGGTGTTGCGATACTTAGGAGAGCAGAAGGAAGCCATGCCGTAATAAGCTGATCATGAGCGCCAACGCCAAACCTACGCCCTGTACACGTTATCGACGAACCATGTCGTTGTCACCGGATGATATGGATTTTCTACGACAACAACGCGACCGTTACCGAGTCATGGCCGGACAACTACGAGGGAGCTATGCCGAGGCTCAGACGCGCATCGACGAACTGGAGACGGCGAACACCGATATGGAAAGGCGACACCAGGCCGATTTGAAACGAATCCAAGAGCTCGAGGAGCTGTGCAACGGCCTGCGCACGCAAGTTGAAAGCGCGAACGATGGGCAAGGGGATAGGACTAGCGCTACGGCCGCGGCAGAGGATGTGGAGATAGTCGGGCAGACCCCTAGGCAAGGTGGAGGAACGGCTGAAGAACGGATATCGGAATCGCGGAGAACGGAAAAGAGACCCGAGCGGGTGTTAGCACCTCAAAGGGGTGGCAGAGGATCAAGACAGACCGGCAATTCGTCTGTGCGGGGACGAGACAGCAGCGTGTCGAGCAGGGCTCCGAAACGGTTCGTCGTTCCTGAGGTCGTGATAATCCAGGTAATGACACGGCTACTCCCTTTCAGCACGGAAATGGGGTTGACCGGTGTTTCTGCGCAGAGGCGTCCTACCGTGGCCTCAGACAAGACGACGAATGGCGATCGCCCCGTCATGTCGACGCTCGACAATAACGCTCGTGTATCTCGCGTTCTACCAGCTCTCGATAAATGCGCTCAGAGTCCGCAGAAAGATGCAGCAGGGCCGTCGAGCCTGGTGAGGGAACGAATAGGTTTCTCGAACGACATACAGGGTATGCTAAATCGATGGCAGCTTCGCAAAACAGTCCGGAGTTCGGCCACGGACTCGGACACCGCGGGCGATGTCATCGATCTCATGAGCGATCTGAGCGACGAGGAGGACCAGGAAGAGGAAGTGTCAACTCCCAAGTCTGAGAAAGAAGGAGATACTGCAGTGAGTTGTTTATGATCTACCTGTGGCGAGTTGTCCACTGAAGATTGTATACTAGGCGGATGAACATAAGTCCAAGTCTAAGAAAGTGGGCGATTTCTACGTAAGTGGTTGCTGTATGCCAACGTCGCGCTAGTCCGCTGAGCATCGTATGCTAGGTGGAGAAATCTACTCCAGCGGCGCGTAACAAGCGAGCTGCCGACGCTGATTCGCCTAACGGGGCCGCTCTGCCTCCTCGAGAGCCCAAACGGCCGAGGCAGAGTAGCCCAAGACCGACCAGGCATGTCGCCACGAGTTCACCAAACTCTCCCAGGCCCCCGGTAAGCCTCGTGTCCATCTGGCCGACAAGAGTTTTGCTCATTCAGGACGTAATAGGTTCCCGAGTATACCATGGACGTCAGCAATATCGCGGAATTCAAGGTCTGTCTTGACCTGCTGCGAAACTGCGTCGGACGAGGACTCATGGATGCGCTGCAGTTTCAACGAGCGCTCTTGCACCTGACGTACAAGGGGAATCCGCAGGCGATGATTAACAAGCTGTCGGATGGCCAGATGGTGCTGGCCGTCCAGCCCACGATGAACCCCTTCGTTCCGGCGCGCCCGGGCGCGGGTGGTATGTTGTGGTCGAACAGGCCGCAGATCATGGAGCATCAGCAGTGGAAGGTGGTCGTTAAATGCGAAAAGGCGACGCCACAGACGTGGGAGTACCGGGGAGACTACCGGGTGTCGCGCGGCGAGGCCGTTAGCCCGGAGGTGTTCATGAGCCAGCCGTTGTCGGTGAGTGCTCACGCCAAGGCGTTTTTGGTATGTGTCGATTCTGAGCCTCGGCTGCCCGGTTGTAGGTTCGCAACGAATGGGGCAAGACGATCGCGCATTCGACTACGCCGGGCAAGTGTTACACTACCATGCGCATCAGGATCGCGGATCGGAAGAAACAGGGTGAGCGAGTCGTCGTCGTCGTCGTCGTACGGACGACGTCGCTAATGTGAGCGGCAGAGAACAACGGCGAGGATGTGACCATCGGCGAAGCCATTCACGCGATTAGGTCCGGAGAGGAGGTGAGTCGGTTTACCTCGGCACAGTATATTGCGAACTCATGTTATGGGCAGGAGCTCGGGACCATCAACCTGGAGTTCGTCGGGTACGATGTGCCTTTCGTAGAGAAGATCAGGAAGAGAGCCGAAGCAAGCATTGCCTGAGCTGCGCCACTCGGTCGGAACCAGAAACCCGTGCGGTCGTGAACAAGCTTTCTCTTGTTTGTGATCTGTATGCTTGGCTGTACCATCAAATCGCACGCGGGGCGCGTCTCGCGGGCTTGTTTGTATATTTTTGTTGCTTTCTTTGCCTTGAGTGTACAACAATCATCACGTTTTTGTCCTTGCTATCGCTACATCATGGTTCTCGTTCTCAAGCACGGAAGTTTCCCGGTACGATCTCAATCCAATAACTGTTGTACGGTCAGTCCAACGGCCCGCGAAGAGAGAAAGAGAGTACGCTGTTGGCGGAGACTCACCCGTCGGGGTCCAAGATGAAGGCGATGTTCTTCATGCTCCCGTCGGTGAGGCGCTTCTTGAAGGGCACGCCGAGCTGCTCGAACCGCGCGCAGGCTTTCTCGATGTCGGGCACGGTGATGGCGATGTGGCCGAAGCCGCGGCCGGGGTCGCTATTGCCGGAGGAGTAGCCCTGGAAGTTGGGGTCCGACTCCGTGCCGTGGTTGTGGGTCAGTTCGAGGACGCCTACATAAGGGGATGGGTCGTCAGGAGCGGAACAAACACGGATGGGGTGAGTAGAGTACCTTCACGGGTGAAGCGCGCTTTGGCCTTCTCGTCCGCGGTCTGCGCGCCGTCCGAGTGGTCGAAGGCGAGGAAGTAGAGCGTGAAGGTCTCCATCTTGAGCTCCGAGATCTGCTCCATACCGAGGACCTTTTAGGGTGAGAGATTAGATTAGATCTCGGGGCAGAGCACTCGGAATGAGGAGGGGTACCGCTCCGGGCGCGCACCTTCGTGTAGAAGTCGAGTGACGCCTTCGGATCCTTCACGCGGATCATGGTGTGGTTGAACTGCGCGTGGGGATGGTTTTTCGATTACTTTGGGATCCCGAAGTCCGTAGAATAATCCTGGGCTTGCCTTGAAGCCGGCGGTCTCTGGATCCCTAGCCATGGCGATTATGTTGGAGACGATAGAGGGATGAGGAGGATGTGAATGCGAGTGAGTGAGAGCCGGACGCGCATGGTGCGCAGATCGTATTTATACGATCGATGACGATGAGGTCGACGTGAGCTGCCGGAGGCGAGGGAAGCCGAAACCCACAGCGATACGCGCGGTGGTTGTGGCGTGGGAATATGGGCCCGGATTACCGTGCAATCGTGGTCGGGAAGTCGACGCCTCTTGTAGAGTATTGCTGATCTTGACGAGGTTCCAGCAGCTGCATCGGTCCCAGGGTATCCGCCAAATAACCTGTATACGGCAGTCAGAAGCCGATGCTTGCGCCTATTCTGTTCGGATATCGCTGTGATTGCAAAGGACGGTCTCTCTTGAGCAGAGGTTCGAATACGGAGCGGCATCGCCGAAGTGTATTGCGATTGATATACGGGCAAGTGAAACAGACTTGACCGAGCAGGTTCTCCCGGCGAAGGCGGAGGAGCTGGTCATGCGGTGTTCAACTATTTATGGCCGTCCGGTCCGTGAAAGGCGGTCATATCGAAAGTATTCGGTACTCGAAATTTCCTGTACGTCGGTGCCAGACTCGAGTGGATGCAGAGAACGAGTGGCGTTACACAATGCCGAGCTGAAGCTGAAGCTTTGTTGTTTGGGTTTGCAGCGAGGCAGCAGGAAGAGACGCGACGCGTGCAGGTCCTGGTCATGCGGGCATACGCGTTGATTCTCGCGGAGTTTCAAAGCGCGTTTACTCGGGTCATGTGCGGCTCTGACGCGTTGCGTTGACCGACGCTCGTTGACCGGTTCCTTATCATCAGCCCACGGCCCACTCCGTCTCATTACATCGCCCCTTGCCATCCCTCCGCCAAACTCCGCCTCGCGCCCTCCTCGAGTTCTACTCCTCCTCGACGCATGGCTCAAACATACACCGAACGCTGGCCACCCCGCGCATCCGCCGTCGCACTGCAATTTTTCCATCCTCCCGCGGCCACGCCGATCGTCACGGCATCCTCTGATCGCTGTGACTCGCAACCGCGCAGTCCGACCCGACTGGGACTGTACGACCTCCTGAACCACGACGACCACCCGGCGCCCTCGACATGGCGCACCACCAAGCTCGCCTCCGCCTACTCCAGACCGCTCGCGCGTCTCTCCCTCTCGAGCGACGACGCCCCGCCTCTCACCTCAGACACCTTCTCCGAATACTCTGAAGACCCGCACTCGCGTAGCTCCCACTTCGGCGCCGAAACGGACCCCGAGGATGATGGATTCGACGTCGACATCGTCACCGCATCGGACGACGACGAGCCTTTCGAATCGCGACACGTTTCGTACGCCATCTCCGACGAGCGCGGGCGGTGGAACGAGCCGGTGCCCAAACGCGTCGCCCCGGCCGCGATACCCATCGCCGACATCCGGGCCCGGTTCCCCTCGTCGTCCCCCGAGTCATCGTGCACGCCGATGACGGCGCGATCCGAGCGGTCGGATTACTACTCGAGCACCTTTGGGGATGGAGAAGAAGGGGAAGAAGAGAACAGCAACGGGCGATCGGCGTCGCCGCTGCCACCGTCGTCCCCCATGTCCGTGTCTGCATCCGGGCTGGACGACGAACAGGACATCGAGCTCGAGATGTTGCCCGGATCGGACGATGGCAAGCCCCGGGAGCTGGAGGAGGCAAGTCCGTTTTTGATGTTTGGCCGTGTTTGGGAACTCTGCGTTTGTGACACTCGATGTAGGAACACATGCCTCCTTCTTCTCAGGTTGAAGCTCTACACGAGCCCGCGCAACCTTTGAAAGATTCGTCGTCATCGGCGCCCCATTCAGCAGAAGACGATACCGCGCCGAGTTCATCTCCCGCAGATCGCAGTCCATCAGGCCACCTCTCGCAGCAGATGCACCTAACCGATGAACCTTGCGAACAACAAGCCAGCGTTCTCCTATCTGCACAGAACGTCGAAACTCCTGAGCCGATCGCAGACTTGCCGCTATCAGCCGGCTCGTCGCAACCCAATCTCGAATCGGCTACCCAAACCTCCTCACTCGAGTCGCCCCTGGACTTGGCATCAATCCCGGAACCCTCTCTCGCACCCGGGTCTGAACAACGCTCTACATCGCCGATGGTGCCAGAACTCGCGCATACCGCGGAAGAAGAAGTCACCCCTGAATCGATAATGGCGTTGGAACCCTCGCCCGACACCGTGGATGTCAGTCCTGACCTCGACCTCCTCATTGTGCCCGTATGCTCTCCCGAATCGGAGGATGTTGATCTGGATCTCCCGTCATTGCCGCTTTCGCCTTTATCCTCTCCACCCGCCTCCCGCGCGTCCAGCCCGGAACCGCTACCGCTATGTCAAGAGTCGCTACCAAAACCGGAGGACGTGCTGACGGAGTCGGCGAGTGCAATTCCGGAATCGGACGACGCCGTAATGGCTGTCGTTGCAGCCGCCACAAAGAAAGTAGACGCGAAGGACGAACTGGAGCTGGAGGAAGAGACGGTCATGAAGTCGAAACAAAAGTCGAAGGCGCGGAGAAGGGCGCTGGCTGATGCGAGCGATGCGCGCCCGAGGAAGAAGAAGCGGGTCAGTGTTGAAAACGAAGAGGACCTGGGCGAAGGAACGTCGAAGAGGAAACCGAAGGCGAAACCGAGGGCCAAGTCTCGGGATACGGAAGCCGCGCGTCCACGACCGAAAACCAAGAAGGAGACCCGGAAACGCAGGCCGACGCCGAGATCGAGCTCGTCGCCTTCGCCCGAAATGGTTTCCGAAGATGACGTCGCTTCGTCTTCGTCGCGCGCGAGCTCGGCTGGTCCTGCACCGTCAAAACGGGCCCGACCGGCGGCGTGCGCGGAATATGCGGAGTACCGCGGGATGCTGATCGAGGCGTTTGCGACGTCGCGCGCGTCGGCGCTGTCGGCGGCGGTGCTGTACAAGATCGTGATGAGCACCCGGCCGGCGTTGAGCTCGCAGAAGAGCAAAAAGGTGCGTGCGCTTCGCGCGCGATTTTGCGCTGTGACATTCGATGCTCATTGATTTATATATATAGGAATGGCTGGAGTATTTGACGCTGGTGATGGAAGACGGCGCGCGGACGTGCGGCGTGTTTGGGCGCGTGGATAGCAGTAATACGGTGCGGTTATTATTATTATTATCTATTTTTCGCCTACCTGTTGGGAAAGGCGTGCTGACGTGACATGCCGTGCGTAGGACGATTCGGATCGGATACTGGACGCGCGGTGGTTCTACTGTCCCGAAAACGACGAGGACCAGGATCGGGCGGCGCTGATCAAGAGCATGAACCCGCGCGCGGAGAAGCGGAGCGAGACGAAGAAGTATAAGCAGTATTACTGGCGTCCGCTGGATAAGATAAGCAGGTGGGACTCGGAGGACGCGATCTGATGCATGGTGGTTTGTTTCTGGATACTCCGCGCTCTGCGTAACTTATCTTTCGTTTTTATGTTGTTGCTCGATCTCCGTTGTTGCTCCTTCTGTCGATGCCTTGAATTCTGCGCTGCGCCTACGTTCTCACGGGCCCCCGAGCTTGTTGTCATGTCTTTCAAGTTCCTGCTCAGTGTTTGTATGTCTTGCTATATTTCGTCGAAGACGATCTCTGTCCATCGCGACCGTGGCCCGATCTTTCGTTGTCTTAGAGACAGAAATTGGTACACCGCGGCGGAGTAAGCGCCGGCCGAATCGCCGGTGCTCGGATAAGCGCTCAAGATCTGGGATTCACAAAGCGGCGTAAGCGATGCAGATCCCGCAGTTTACTCCGGTGGCCGATCGTGTATTCCGCACAGCCGCGCGTGTCTTACCGGCGTGTCATGCATAGCGGATAGAGCAAGTCCGTAGCCCGATGGTCCACGTATAGACGGCGCAGACCAGTGCGGTGGGATCCGGCAGATGACAATGGCGTAGGGGTAAGGCGGGGGCCGGACTCGGAAACTCCACAAGAAAAACGTTTCCGCAGCCGTTCGGCACAGCATTACCACTTGTTCCTCTTATATCTCTGGCGCACCCTACTTCCCTTCGCTCGTTGCTCCTCCTCTTACTCCCTCACTCTCTTCTCCATCTATAATACAAATCCGTACTCATGAAGCGCGGTATATTGTCTGCCTCGGCGATATTGGCCTTGTCGGCGTATGCCAACGCGACGCCTTCGCCCAATTCAAGACCAGAACCGATCCATGTGCCCTTGCGCAGGCGTGCGGGACGCATGAGCCTGGAGAAGCTGCGCGCCCACGCGGACTTTGTCAGAGCGAAGTACAATTACCCGACGATCAATCCGAGCAGCAGGAGAAAGCGAGGGAACACCGCCGGGATCTCCATCATCGATCAGGTGCGCATCTCGCTCCTTTTTCCTCTTTCGTCGTCGTCGTAAGCACGAACGTTCATAGTGAATCATTTATACAGGACACGGACTCGTCGTACATCGGCGAGGTCAACGTGGGCACGCCGACGCAGACGTTCAAGGTCGTCCTCGACACGGGCTCGTCCGACTTCTGGCTCGCCTCCAGTTCGTGCACGCAGTGTCCCTCCGGCATCCCGGAGTACGACTCGTCTTCGTCTTCGTCGTTCAGCGCCGCGAGCTCGTCCTCGTCCGACTCGGTCGACATCCCGTATGGCTCGGGCGAGGTCGCCGGGTCGCTTGCGACCGAGACGGTCGAGATGGGCGGGTTCGAGGTCAGCGGGCAGACGTTTTTGCTCGTGGACGAGATGACGTCCGGACTCCTGGACGGCGACGTGTCCGGGATCATGGGTCTCGCGTTCGAGAGCATCGCCGCGACGGAGGCGACGCCGTTCTGGCAGACGCTCGTCAACAACGACCAGCTGACCAATCCGGAGATGTCGTTCTGGCTCGAGAGGGTCCTCGGCACCTCCGACACGGACGAGGAGCAGTTCGGCGGGATCTTTACGCTCGGTGGGACGAACACGTCGTTGTACTCGGGCGACATCGAGTTCATCGATTATCCGAGCGGCGTGACGGAGTCGTACTGGCTCCTCGAGACGAGCAGTGAGTGGGCTTCGCCGTGGCCGCTGTTTATTTCACTCACGGGGTTTCCCCATCTCTTTAGAGATCACTGTCGGCGGCTCGTCCATTTCTATCCAGACCGGCTCCAACGCGCTCGCGGCCATCGACACCGGCACGACGCTCATCGGTGGTCCCACCAACGACGTTGCGAACTTTTGGGCAGCCGTCGACGGCTCGCAAGCTCTCACAGGCAACAACGCCGGGTTCTATGCGTTCCGTGAGTAAAGACATTTGCCCTCCAACCGTCTTTTTCCCCGCATGGCGTGCTGAATATATGCGCGCGATTAGCGTGCTCGGCGACGATCAACGCTACGTTTGCGTTCGGCGGCAAGGATTGGGCGATTAATCCGACAGACATGAACGTTCAAGAGCTCTCGAGCTCGCTGTGTCTCGGCGCCGTGTTCGACCTCAGCCAGGGCAGCAACGTTGGAGGGAGCGGTACGCCCGCATGGGTCGTCGGCGATACCTTCCTCGTGAGTGGTGCATATCACTACACTCTATATGGATAGCTGACGCATATATGTGCAGAAAAACGTGTACTCGGTGTTCCGCAGCAGCCCCGCCGCGATCGGATTCGCGGAGTTGTCGACGACGGCGGGTGGATCGGGCACTTCGACCGGTGAGCTCTCAATCATCAGTTCGGGTCGGGGCGAGTTTGTGTATGGGAACGGATTGGGTGACGCGAACCGCGTTGGGTCTTCGTTTTCGCAGGAAACTCGGCTTCCGCGTCTGCTTCGGCAACGGGAAAGACGACTAGCGCCCACGGCGTCGGCACGCTGTCGACCGTTATTGCGTCGGGCACGGCGACCGCGAGCAGTCCGTATCCGCCTTCCCGCGTTAATCCGTCCTGTCAAAATACGATGTGCTGACGAACTTCTTCATAACGTAGGCACGGACTCGAGCTCGTCGTCTTCGTCGAGCAGCAGCAGCGCGGCGGTGAAGGCGAAGGTCGACGGCGCGTTATCGACGGGTTTGGTGGTGTCCGCGCTCGTAGTGCTCGCCTTCGGTTGGTGATGAATCGATATGATACCCCCCACCACCATCACCACCATCGGAACGCGGAGAGGAACCAGGTTAACATAAGGCGCGATTTGCATAATCACAGAAATGACACTCCGCACACTCCCCTGATCACTCACTGTCATCAACCCGGACTCCGAACGCATTTGTATACGACTCTTTGACCTGACCTGCCTTGTTCCATGTACTCTACTTCTTATGTATGGATAGAATAATCGCGGAACAAATAAACCATCGCGTAACATCATCTACGATCATGCATGAACATCAAATTCGAATCAAATTACGAGTCGTCGCATGCCAGATATGTACATTATTGTGCAAGACTCGGATGTTTTCCTCTCCAGCGGCTCCAGACCTTGGATGCAGCAAGTGATGAAATGAGGCGTACTCTTCCAGACGATGTAGGAGCAAACCGCACGATACATCGTGTTGACAGCGTGCCGAAATGGGCGCGGTATATATCCTGTCGCGCACCCGGGAATTTTGATAGCTCGATTGCACTACTGCTGGACAAGAATCATTTTATTGTGTTGGTGGTGCGGCGCGCAGGGAATATGTTGAACAACAGGCTTCAAGGTCGTGTTCGTACGAGATTCGAGGCCGTCAGCAGAAACTATGCCCATGCGTGTAGGCTATCTTGGCTGTCGTGTCCGTTCGAAACCACTGCGTCTGCGAGGTGTCGATGAGGCCCCTCGCATACCTGGGGCGCCTTGTGTAGGCGGTGTGTGTTGGGGTGTTATGGACCCCCTCCTCTCTTCTTCGTCCCTTCCCCTAATCTCAGCGAGCGCCATAAAACCCTCAAAACACCTGTGGGGAAAAATTGCGAGGGAAAGCGTCTGCCCGATTCGCCCTTCCTTCTCCTTCTATCCGTCGTCGCGTCTTCGGTCCTCGTTACGATATAGAGGATTGGTACTATAAACCGTGTGCTTCGACGAAGGCGATAAAGAGGGAGGTCACCGCCCCCATCACCGCCGCCGACGGCATGCCGGACGTCGATGACAGTTCCCACGCCCATAATAGCGCGCCAGACCAACACTTAACCTCCATCGCGAACGATGAAGATGCCAGCGTACCAACACCGGCGGTCTGTCCCCCCTCACTGCGCGGATCATCTCCTGAACCCCATCCCAGCTACATATTGCAGCTGATTTCTGCTCCTCCTCTGCAATGCCCATATATAATGTCACCGGTGCGTGACCGGGAGACATAGTTCGTGAGTAGACTGACCATACTTATGTGCCACAGTGGACGATATTTCTCCTCTGCTCATCTATAGCGATGGACAATGGGTGGACACGAACACGGGGGATGCTGCTTATACGGAGTACTATAACTTCACATTCCATGCAACCCAGGTTGAGAACGCCGCGGTGACCTTCCAGTTCTTCGGTACGGCAATATACGTCGTAGGAGCCAAAAGGGAGAATCATGTACGTCTCCAGTGTGAGTTGATTCCACTGGCTCACTTGTGTTTCTTACTCGGGCAGGACGATTATACGATTACATTGGACGGCATCTCTTCCGTTCATGACGGTTTCGCCACGAATCCTCCGCTATTCCAGCAAACCCTTTTCAGTGAGACTGGGCTAGAAAATACATTGCATACGATTATGATCAACGATACCTCCACACGGACAGACAGACCCTTCCTGGACATAGATTATGTCATATTCACGACGGGGGATGAATCGACGAGGTCTGTGTTCAGGCTGGTCATTTATTCATTGTTATTGAACGGTCAACAGTACTACTCTTGTGAATACTACCTTTGACGACGGTCTCGCGCAATATTCAAGTGGATGGGACTCTTCGCCTGACGACTTCTTATCGTCCTATTACAACCAAACGATGCAGTAAGCGCATCAAATTTATATATTATGTGAGCATAGCTGACATCCTTCAAGTCGCACCAACACCCCCAACGCGTCGGCAACTTTCATGTTCATAGGTTCAGCTATTGCAGTGTACGGCTCCAAGGATATGAACCACGGCACATTTGCGGCTAGTGTCGATGGCGCCGCTCCAATCCCGCTGAATGGTGTCGCATCGACATTCAGAAATCAGACCCTTCTGGTATGTCCACTGTCACGAACGATACGCTGCGGCTCTACTGTCCACGCTCTGCACTCTGCTCACACTCGCGCTTAAACGGGAAACTGCAGTATTACACCTCTGGGCTCTCCAATGACACCCACTACATCACACTCACCAACTTGGGACTGGACACTGCCGTGTTCTTCGACCTCGACTTTTTCCTCGTCTCGCAGTATGTTCCGGCCTCGAGCCCATCCCCAACGCCGGGGTCTGGTAACTCCCACGTGAGGTCTGTTTCTCCCCGTATTTTACGCTCTTTGCTTCGCACCAGCCTCTCAGTGTTATTAGTGCACGTATTTACTCTACACCTCCCACAGAACACATACGAACGTCGCCCCCATAGCTGCTGGGGCATCTGTCGGTGGCGTTGCGCTCATCGTTAGCACCCTCGGCGTCTTTTTCTGGCTTCGACATCGCAAACGACGGCGCATGGCCGACGGTGTGCAAGAGGAAGAGAATAAGATTGTCCCGTTCCGGGACGGTATTCGCGCCGGCGGCACGTCGCAGGAGGCAGTGAGCAGCTCTAGCAGGCGCGTGGCGGGAAGTGCGCCGACTGCGACAGGATCTTCCGTCTTGTCACCGTCGCTCACAGGCGTTCCGCTCTCGATCAATCGCCCTGATACCCTGGTTCTCAGCGACGCAGCTGCTCTCGGCACGTCGACCGCATCCACGTCGACGGCGCGCGGGAGTGGGCGGCGAAGGAGAAAGAGGACGCGCGCAAGATCGTCGAGAGACGCGCTGGGGTCGAACTCAAGCCCGTTTGCGGTAGGCGATAATCGCGAACCCAGAGTGCCGCATCATCCGGACAATGCGTCCGAGACCAGAGCGCTGGATCATGGTGTGGCGTCGGACGAGGTGGCGGGCGGGCCACGTCGGTGGTAAGTGACTCAGTCCATCTTCTGGCCTTTTGCTGTCGCTATTGAAGGCTCAATTGATGCGACATTTCTGTGTTTTGCTCTGGTTTTACAGGGGATCAGAGACCGCATCTAGCACGTACGACATGCCGCCACCAGAGTACGGCCAGGTGTTTCCCCCACGTGTCGAGTCGGGTCGGCTTGAATCTTCAACCGCGATCATCGCTACTGACTCAACCCACTCTGTCGCGCGGGATGCTCCGACGTCAAGGCCGAGGCCATTGCCTGTCCCACCTCCGTGATAGGGATAAAGCAACTCATTATATTGCTTTCCTTGTTCTTCTTGCCTTTGTCCTTGTGCGCTGTTTGATTTGATATGTGTATTGCATCTCCGGTGTGATCCAGTTTCCTTGCGTGACGATGTATGGTTAAACACTATATGGGGGTGTATACCTACTTATATATCATTCTTTACGAGTATCATCAGTCTCCATCCAGCGCTCAAACCTGGAAAGGCTATTGTGTTTCCGCATTCTAGTACTGGTAGTGAGATTTTGCGCGGAGCTATTGATCAATCATTCAGATGTTGATGACGACGTATTGTCACGAGAATCGCAGCGTGCAACATGAATGAATGCCCAGTGCTTGGTTATGTAGCGTACCTCCGTGCCAAGTTACTGATCCGGTTCCCAAGCCGGGAATCATGTCAACGTCAACATCTCACCCAGCCATACGTATCACTAGTAGCGGGAGCACTGTATTGAGCTTGTCGACATTCAAACCCTGGTGCATGTGCATGAACATCTCAACCATGGTTTCCCCGCGGCCCGGTGTCATTGAGTGAAGTCGGCGCCCGAGAGTGGTCTCATCACAAGTGCTTTGGATTCGGGAGCTACTGGCATAAGTGCCATATGCACTGGTGTTCAAGCAAGCCGCGCCCGTCATGACACACAGGAGATGCATACCTGCATATGGAGGAGTGTTTGCGGCAGAACACTCCTGATTGCTCCGTGGGAAAGATGTCTGGGAATAAAGGAGCGTGGCAGGCAGGTGCCGCCGGCCATGAAGATACCCACGACCACGCGGTATCTACTCAACTTCAAGCAGCATAGATGATAGAGGACGAAATGTCGTGCAAGGCGCGGCGACCTGTCTCTCATTTTCTTGCTTCAATGCTGTAGCGGGCGTCATCCGCGGCTGGCCGCGATTTTTATTCATGGACGATGCCCATAAACCCTCCTGTATTGGTTATCTTGACAATCATCGTAAGTAAATTCTCCCGCAGGAGCCATCCACTTGGATTACGACTCTTTGAACCGACTCGGCTTTACTGTCCGGACGAGATATTAGGGCACGTTTCACCTAAGAGCGCTCGCGAGTGGATGGATGTGCTCTGATTTGAGAGGCTATGTAGTGATTCACATTAGGACGATAGTATCGCTTTCGTCGTCTCAGACTGTGACCGATGCATTCTTGACTCGTGGCTGTGATTTTTATCAGGAGGTGAGCTTAGGCTGTAGTAGTGAGGGTCTGGGCGGACAGAGACGGAGTCGGATCCATTCGCAGCGTTCTGATTGTTACGAAGGGAGCGAGAGCGTACTTGGTATGCACAGGTAGTTCACGAGTCAATAGGCACCGCAAAGCCGCCGACGATATTTCCGGACTCAAACGAAACTCCCACGATCCCGGAATAGGCGTACGCAATCAAAGCCTCCGACGCGGGCAACGAGCTGCGATCGCGGGAGCCCCCCCCCAGCGCTCTGCCCCCTCCTGCTCTGCTGTTCCGTCCTGTTCGTTTCTTAAACACTGGCTTAGTCGTAGCGCGCGCGGCTGGCCGCTCTTCTTGTATTGGGACGATGCCGATATACAATGTCACAGGTGCGCGACGCGGTGTTCATTCTGGTGTTGTAACTGACCGTATCTGTTGTAGTGGACGACGTCTCACCGCTACTGATCTATAGTGATGGGTGGATTGATACAAACAAGGGGGATGCCGCGTATGTGGAGTACGCGAACTCGACGTTCCATGCGACGCAGACCCCGGGTGCCTCGATGACCCTCCAGTTCTTTGGTACGGCAATATATGTTGCAGGGGCGAAGCGGGCAAACCATGTACGCCTCCCATGTCCCCTTGACTGATAGGTCGAACTTAACCTTATATGTCCGACAGGATCAATTTACGGTTACAGTCGACGACAGCTCGTTCATCGGCAACAGTTTTGCATCAGATCCCGGCCTGTTTCAGCAGGTGCTATTCAGTCAAACTGGACTCACAAGCGGGTATCATACCTTGGTGATGACGGACAATTCAACGCGGAGCGATCGTCCATTCTTGGATATCGACTATGTGGAGATTACGACGGGGGACGATTCCTCAAAGTCTGCCGTTCACAGACACTCACGTATCACACTGGCTGACGGGAATTTTATCTTTATCTTCAGGACCACTTCAGTTGATACCACCTTTGACGACGATGCGGCGCAGTATTCGAGCGGATGGGACGACTCCCCCAATAACTTGTCCTCGTATTACTTCAACAAGACCATGCAGTAAGCCCCCGTCTAGCTCCTCTATTTTCCTCAACCCAGGGAACACGCTCATAGCTGATTTCGACTATGTTACTCAGCCGCACCAACACCGTCAATGCCTCCGCGACGTTCACTTTCACAGGTTCGGCCATCTCCGTGTTCGGTGCCACAAGCAGCAATCACGGCGAATTCGCGGTGAGCGTCGACGGAGGCGCTCAGCTCCCCTTAAATGGCACAGCACCAGCGTTCAGAGCCCAAACCCTTCTGGTGAGTCACCAAGGCGCCCGATATCCCTCCCCGCGGTTCATCCTTAGCACGACGAGAGCTCACTATGATCATGGATCGCAGTACTATCTGTCCGGATTGACGAACACCACCCATGCCATCACGCTCACCAACCTCGCATCTGACAGTTCCGTGTTCTTCGACGTCGACTACTTTGTCGTTTCGCAGTACTTTGCCGGTACCTCTTCCAACGGCACCGCGTCTTCCTCCGGGGACGGCAACGTCGCCAGCACCAGGTGCGTGATCCACACTTGGCGCTACCGTGACCATCCATGCTGACGTTTGTGTTCAGTCACACGAATGCCGCGGCTTTCGCAGGTGGCTTCTCCGCCGGCGCCGTGGCGCTCATCCTTGGCGCGTTTGGGCTGTTCTACTGGCTCCGCCGGCGCAAACGGCGGTCAAGGGCCGTCGTTGACAACCAGGAGGACGGCAAAGTCGACCTCGTGGGAGACGGAACGACCGCGAGCGCCCCATACGCGACGTACGTGCCAGCATGGACGGCGGCGGACGGGAGCACCACCAGCGCGGGCGCCCCGTGGACCGCGTCGGGCTCGGTCTCGTCGCCCTCCCTCCCGTTCTCGCCGCAGTCGGCTTACCTGGTCCAGTCCCCGGGCGCTGGGACGATAGCATCTGTGCCGACGCCTCAGACGGGCAAGCGGCACAGGGGGAATCGGGAACGCCGGGGCGACGGCGCGACGACACCCAGCGACAGTCTCAGTCCGACTATGAGCTCACCCGCGACGAACTACAGCCGCGATCCGACGACGCGGTATCGCCACGCGCACAGGCGTAATATCTCGGAGACCACGGCGGGCACGGGTGCGGTGTCGACCGCGACGGGGTCTGGACCTTACTCTTCGTGAGTATCGAAATCCTGCTCATCTTTGGAAACGTCGCTAACACGACCTCGGGCGCTGTGTTTAGAGAACCGGAGACGGACGCGGGCCCGGCGTTCGATCCGTACCAGGCGCCGCCACCGCAGTATGGCCAAGTGTTCCAACCGCCAGGCGATCCGGATCGGCTCGCCAAGACCCCAGCGTTCACTATGACGGGACCGGCACCTCCTGCTGGGCCATCGGCCTCGACGCCGCAGGCACGAGAGTCAAGACCGTTACCCACGGCGCCTTAAGGATAATACAATGCATTGTGTTTCGCATCTTCCGTGCACTGCTTTGGGGTCTTCATCTGATCATCTGTGGTGTATTATCATCTCTTTTTCGGGATTTTTCTTGCTTCTGCATACATAGACCACGCTCGTTCACCGCTTTGGATCATCATATGCTGTATACATTCATTCGGAATCTGCTGTTCTGCTACTTATATATACCTTGTACTTTGTTCTCTTGCCCGATATTGATGTGCTGAACCTTCGTATAACGCGATCAGCCTTCACCTGCTCGTCCATGCCCTGTTCACGAGCAGGTTGCTGAGCTCGAGCTTAAACCCGCCCTCCGGTAACCGACTACAACGATGAAGGATATGATATGTATACAGTGAGAGCTATCGACAGGGATGGTGTGTAATGGACAGCGAATTAGCGATTGGCGAGGTGAAGATAGGTCCGGATACAGTGCTGAAGAGAGCAAGGGGAGATACGAGTGAGATGAGATGAGGGAGAGTGGTGACCCGATACGATGAAGAGGAGAAAGCTCAGTCAAGGTTCTCGAAGCCATCCACAGGAGCGTTGAATCGCCATCTGCCTTCTTGGAAACCAACGGCGGTATCTTCTAGCATAATCTCGTTGCGCTTCTGCACGTACACCTGGGAGGGGAAGGCACAGCGCTCAGTACAGTTCGTCCTAAAGAGGCTGTGCGGGATATCAAGGACAACGCACCGTCTTGTCGGTCACCTTCTGCCTCAGCGCAGCCACATCAGCCGCCTCGAATGGCGCCTCGAGCAGGCCGCTCAGCTCCTCGACCGCCTGCTCGAGGTCGCTCTGGTTGTCCTCGAACAGCTCTTTCGCGTTCCCCGGGCTGAGGTAGTACGCCATCGCGTACGTCCACTTGAGCGTCATCCGGCATTTGAACACCTCGTCCACGGCCTTCTTCATGAACTGCACCTCAATCCAGGTCAGCGCGGACGAAATCTGCATCTCCTCCATCTTCTTCTCCGTCTTCGCGTACAGTTCGAGCTGCAGCTTCGCGGATTGTTCGTGGTTCGCCCAACGATTGTAGTACTGGATTGATAGCGCGCGAGGTGAGCATAGGGTCGGGCTGATCATTGTGCAGCAAACGTACATGAAGATAGCGTTCTAGCGAGGCACGACTCTTGGACTGCGCGTCTCGTGCGTCTACACCAGCCTTCTCGTCGAATCGGTTGCAGGAGTACCAGGAAGTCCCGTGCTCGGACCAGGGGCCCATGCATACCCAGCAGAATTCGTGCTTGCACTTCTTGCACGTCATATGGCTATGATTTTAACTCCATTAGCAAACGAATTCTCGCATCCGATCGCGGAAGACCACGCACTTGCAGCCACCGTTCTTCTCGATCGTGCTCTGGCACTTGCTGCATTCCTTCGTGTTGCTCTTGATCCAGTTCGCGGTCTCGCTGTCGTCCGCGCACTTCTTCAGCCACATCTTCGCCACCGCGCACACACACGGGCGATGGTCGGCGTCGATATCGCATCCGAAGCAGAACTGATGCGCGGCATTGCCTCCGCACGTCACGGTAGGTACAATCGTGGCGAGCGAGCTCTTCGTGGACGCCGCGGGGCACGAGACGGTGTAGTTGCAAGACGGATAAGGACAGAACTTGAGGCGCTTGTTCGCAGCGACGTAGTCGCGCACGAGCAGCTCCTGGAAGCGCTGCCAGGTCGCAGTGTCGTCGCCGAGCGCCTTCCGGACGAAGTCGTCGTTCGCGACGAGCTGGCAGCCCTCGGCCATGCAGCGGATCACGTGTTCACCCTCGCCGCGGATCTTGCTCGTCATGTACGCGTTCCAGCAGCCGGTGCAGAACGCGTGCGCGCAGTCGAGCGAGAGCGTGTCCGTTTGGGTATCGTCGAAGCAGATCGGGCAGACGAAGGGCGCGGGGCTTGGGGCACGTGGGGGCGGGGTCGAGCGAGAGGGCAGCCGGGCGGAGTCTGCGGGGGAGCGGCGGGCGGCGCGCCGCACATTGGAGAGGATGCCGGAGGAGGTGGAGGCGCCGGGCGAGCGGGTTGCGGACGGGGAGGGCCGGGGTGGGGGCGGCTGCGTGATGCCGGCGGCGACAAGCACGGCGTCGGCGTTGTCCATGTACTTCTCGGTCAGGCGCTCCTTGTTCCAGTTCATATGTCGAAGTAGGAGGGCTGCGGTATTGGCCTGTGTGCATGGGAGTGAGTGTCTGTATTCGTTGGTCGTGCGATCATCGGATACGGCAGGCGGATGACGGGCCCGTGGCTATCGGCGCCTTCGAGCCACCACACGATATCCAGCACATGTCCGTGCAGCAGAACGGTGCCGCCATCCGCGAGGATGCTCACAAGGAAAGAGGGGGTGATCACTCACGTCTACGCCGAATATGCTGCTGATGCCCTCGATATCTGACCTCATATGCTTCTCGACCTCTTGCTGGCTCAGCGAGTCGTATTCGACCTCATACACCTTCTTCTTCTCCTTCAGCGCCGTCTGAATGTCGTCGTTGAAATCTATATCCATGTCATCGTCGGACGGTGCGGAATCTACGCGCTTTATCAGCAATGCAGTCACCACGGGCCGATATGCAACACATGTACGCTCACCATCGTCGGCCCCGCCCATGTCCTCGTCGTCGTCAAAGTAGTCGTCATCGCTGTAGTCCAGATCCGACATCGTCTCGCTGGATCAAGGGTAGGGTGGCTCGCTCGGGTGGTGGTGGGGGGATGGGACCTGCGCCTGCTGCCGACGGGCTGTAAGCATGACGCGATTTTGAACTCCGACGAGTCCGATCCAGCGGCACTGGTTTCTTCCTCTTGACTCGATTAAGAAAGAGATTTGGATGCTGAGGGCGCTGCGATTATCAGCCAGGCCCTTCCTCCAACGTCCACAGCGACCACCGCCGCCTCTCATTGTACATTACCGCAGCAAAACCATGTCGGCAGAACCGGTCAAGGAACCCGTCGCGGGCACGCACAAGGACCCCGTCACGGGCGAGATGATTTCGAAGACGTGCGCAAAAATTATTGGTGTCGTCGTGGACGGGCATTGACTGGGATGCAGCGAGCTCAAGCGGCGCGAGAAACAACGGGCGAAGGATGCCAAGAAGGCTGAAAAGGCGGAGAACGCGCCACAGGCTGCTGCACCGAAGGCAGCTGCGGTCAAGGAGGAGGACCTCAACCCGAATGTGAGTCATGTCAGTCATCTTTGTGCAATATGACATGTGAATATTGTTCTCCTTGAATAGCAATACTTTGAGCTTCGTTCGAGGCAAATACAACGACTACGCGAGACGCAGCAGCCGAATCCGTATCCCCACAAGTTCGATGTGTCGATTTCCGTCCCGCTCTACATCAAAGCGTACGGCCCTGCCGGTAAGATCTCCGCTGGAGAGAAGCTAAAGGGCACCACGGAGGCCATCGCCGGTCGCGTACACAACATCCGCGTGTCGAGCAAGAAGCTCATCTTCTACGACCTGCACTCGGAGGGACAGAAGGTCCAGATCATGGCCACCGCACAGTGAGAGCACGTTCTTGCACTCTTTTCCGTGACAATGAGCTGACTCTGCTCTCCAGGGATGCCAAAGATCCTTCGAAGTTTGAGGAAGTACACGACGTCTTCCGTCGGGGCGACATCGTCGGTGTCGTCGGCACGCCCTGCCGCACCAAGCTCGGCGAGCTCTCGATCGTGCCCTCCGAAATGATCCTCCTCGCTCCCAACCTCCACCAACTCCCCTCGTCGCACTTCGGTCTGAAGGACCAAGAGACCCGGTACCGAAAGCGCTACCTCGACCTGATCCTCTCCGAGGACACCCGCCGGATCTTCCTCACCCGGTCCAAGATAATCAACTACACTCGGCGCTTCCTGGACAACCTCGGCTTCCTCGAGGTCGAGACACCGATGACGACCATGATCGCGGGCGGCGCGACCGCGAAGCCGTTCGTGACGCACCACAACGACCTCGACCTCGACCTCTACCTCCGTATCGCGCCGGAGCTCTACCTGAAGCAGCTCGTCGTCGGCGGCCTCGACCGCGTGTACGAGATCGGGCGTGTGTTCCGGAACGAGGGCATCGACCTCACGCACAATCCCGAGTTCACGATCTGCGAGTTTTACATGGCATACGCGGATATGTACGATATCATGGACCTCACCGAGTGCCTCGTCGAGGGCATGGTCAAGTACCTCACCGGCGGGAAGACGACGCTCACGTACCACCCCGAGGGAAAGGAGAGCGACAAGGTGTACGAGCTCGAGTTCAAGCGTCCGTGGAAGCGGTACGATATGATCGAGACGCTGGAGGAGAAGACGGGCGTCAAGTTTCCGCCGGGAGATACCCTCCACACCGAGGAGGCGAACAAGTTCCTGCGCGAACTGTGTGTTAAGGTGCGTTTGCGCAGACGCGACGATGTGCGAAGGTGGTACTGACTCTTGACGTGGCAGCACAACGTCGAATGCAGCGAGCCGCGGACCAACGCGCGCTTGCTCGACAAGCTCGTCGGCGAGTTCATCGAGCCCCTCTGCATCTCCCCCGCTTTCATCGGTGCGTGCATTATCGATGTTTGATGGAGGCAACGACGCTTACTCGGTCGCTTTTACTCCAGTCGGCCACCCGCAGGTCATGTCCCCCCTCGCCAAGTGGCACCGCTCGCGCCCGGGCCTGTGCGAGCGTTTCGAGGGCTTCCTCTGCGGGAAGGAGTTCTGCAACGCCTACACCGAGTTGAACGACCCGTTCGAGCAGCGGCTGCGGTTCGAGGAGCAGATAAGGCAGAAGGCGCAGGGCGACGACGAGGCGCAGGATATCGACGAGACGTTCGTCGACGCGTAAGTCAGCTTTTCCCTTCTTTCCAGCTATCCCCTGATCGCGTGCTCAGGCTCGAGCACGGTCTCCCTCCGACGGGCGGATGGGGTATCGGTATCGACCGTCTGGTCATGTTCCTTACGGATTCTACCAGTAAGTGGTTCCTTTCGCGTTCGTTCGCCCGACGTCGCTGACCGACCGCTTTGCGATGCAGACATCAAGGAGGTACTGCTTTTCCCGGCTATGAAGCCTATCGAGACTCCGACAAATCAGGCGTCGACTCAGCCTGGTCCTGGAGGACAAGTATAATACTGCGATATTCTAATTTCAGTCGTAGCTTTTGGAGACTTCTGCCGCTCTCGAATACGATGATGCATGCTGCGTGGGTCCGAGTCGAGACTATCAGCAAACGGGATCTTATTGCAGGATCCGTCTTAACCAACCAAGTCCTTCACCTGCCGAAAGCAGTGATGACCCGACGCTTCGTATCCAACGCGAGTCCGTGAGATCTCCACCGAGAGATCACCGGAAGCTAGACCGCAACCGGTAAGTATCCCAAGTGCATGAGAACGCCCTTAGAGTTGGTCAATAATAAGTATGTGCCAACTGCCAAGTGTGATCTGAGTGTGATGCTCTCCAGCCGTCGGACGCGGACGATGAAATGAGCTCAGAAGTCACGGAAGCGCCACGTACATCAAAATTGATGTCTCCCAACTTGGCAAGGTCCGGGACGAAAAGCCATCTCGACACGACCAACTTGCAAATATACGGCTGCTCGACGTTCTTTTTCATGCATGCCCAGAAGTGCCTGACGATCCAGCCTAGCAGGTTCAGCTCGTGGTCAGAGGCCGCCGACTATCTTGCAAGAAAGACGATCGAGCGGCGAGCAAGGGATTTCGGAGGGTTGCCGAAAATAGCGACCCGGCTCTCCGAGACATTGCGTTGATAAATAGTTCCCCGCACAACATGCAATGCCCTGTATTATCTGGGGAATAGTCGGCGTAGGCGGTTCACGGTTGTATGAGCAGTTGCATTTTATTATTGAGGAGAGGAGGGGGGCAAATGGGGGCAGCCCTCGGCAGACGGCGCCCAGCCTCTGTGAAAGGCGTCAGCCAGGGCGTGAGATCAAAAAGCAACATCCGGAGCTGGCGACCGCGCCCTCGTTACCTTTACCCGCTCGTCATCTGGCCTGAGCCCCCTCCTCGCCGTCTCCGTCCTCCAACCCGCCTACCACCACCACCCCGCCGCTCCTTTTCACCGGCTGCTGGCCTCGCTCTACTGAGGGCGTCGCTCATGCGATGTTGTATCTCACGTCGGACAACTTCCCCGTGTGTGCGTACCGCCTCTCCTCTTTCTGCGCGCGCGCTTCTTCGTTCGCGAGGCTGACGCTCATTTTGCCGCAGTCATACCGTTTGGTGTGATAGGGTGAGCACCGCACAACTGAACGAGTATATCGAGTCGCTGAGGGGACCCCTGTCTCTAGGTTCTATCGGTACTTATGGTACATCATCCGTCTCTCCGCCGCCTGGGCGTACAAGCCCGTCCCGCTCCCCGAAAACCCGACCTACATCGCCTCCGAAGATGTCACTATCATCGTGCCCACGATTGATGCCGGCGAAGAGTTCAAAGAGGCGGCGCACAGCTGGCTCGTCGGCAAACCGAAGGAGATCATCATCGTCACTGAGGAGAAGATGCGCGGGCCCTTGCAAGACCTGGCGAACGCCGTCAACCCGGACGTGATCCGGGTCACGACCGTGCCCTTCGCGAACAAGCGGCTGCAGATGTCGCAGGGGATCAAGGAGACGACGACGGACATCATCGTCTTCGCCGACGACGACGCGATCTGGCCGCCGACGCTGCTGCCGTACGTGCTCGCCTGCTTCGAGGACCAGAAGGTCGGCGGCGTCGGCACCTCGCAGCGCGTGCAGCCCGTCGGGAAGAAGTTCACCGTCTGGGAGGTCCTCGCCGCTTTCCGGCTCACTATCCGCAACATCGAGATCGCGTGCTCGACGCACATCGATGGCGGACTGCCGTGCCTGTCCGGCCGCACCGCCGCGTACCGCACCGTCATCCTCAAGGATCCCGAGTTTATCCACGGCTTCACGCACGACTACTGGCTCGGCAAGTACCACCTCAACTCGGGCGACGACAAGTTCCTCACGAGGTGGATGGTGAGCCACGGGTGGAGCACATACGTCCAGTGCTGCAAGGAGGCGGAGCTGTTGAGTACGATGAAGCCCAACTGGCGGTTCTTGAAGCAAGTCCTGCGCTGGACGCGGAACACGTGGCGGTCCGATCTGAGGTCGCTGTTTATGGAGAGGCATATCTGGACGTCGCACCCGTACGTGGCGTACACGATGGTAAGGCTGAGAGCTCGGTTCCTTGTGCTGTGCTGGGACTCATTGTGGTTCGCAGGTTGACAAGCTTTTCAACCCCTTCACCCTCCTCGTCGGGCCGTGCCTCGTGGCCGTCGTGGTATGGAAGAGCACAAAACCCGTGGACGAGGGCGGATACCACTTGCCTTGGTGGTACGTTTCGTGCCTCGGTGCTCAGTAGTTCCACCCGATCTGACGTCTCCTCCAGGAACGTCATCCTCAGTTACTTCGTGTGGCTCATGGCGACCCGAACGGCGAAGCTCCTCCCCCACTTATGGTGGAGGCCGCAAGATGTCATCTACGTACCCGCGTTTATCCTCTTCGGCTACTACTTCGCTATCATGAAGATTTACGCCCTCCTGACGCTGCACGAGGTGCGTCATTCCCGCTTTGTCTCCTTTTTGACTTCGCTCATGCTGACACACGGGACGCATATAGACTGGTTGGGGCACCCGGGCCGGTATTGGTGACCCGACGGCGGCCACTGCCGCGCTCGACACCCAAAACGTCAAGCCGTCGCCGTCGAACGAGAAGCTTGCCGAGCCGCAGTACAGACAACCGCAACCTCAGCAGATGTACCAGCCCCAACCGCAGTATGCGGGCGAGCAGATGGAGATGCAAGTAGGGTACGCGCGATGAGCGAGACAGAGAGACACGAAATTCCTCTTGGACGCTACGCATTCGGTTATCCTTTCTTATCACGCCTACCCGCGTATTTTAATCCGACCCGCCTACATCTCTCGCAGCAACACGCATCTGTATACCCATCCGCAACGCATTAGTCACGTCTACTCCCGCCACGCGTCCCCCTTTACCTCGCGCCTTCCTCCCCACCCTCAACCGCAATCAGTAATCCCGCTCGTCCCTACCGCCGCGCATATACCGCGTCTCACGTCTCGTTGCCCGCAACGGGTTGCCTGTACCATGGATCTTGGGTGTTTTTCGTGTACAGACATGATTGGGTATAGCTTATCACTCTGCGCGTTGGGGGCTCGCGGATGGTTACTTAGCCTAATCAACGCTCGACATACTGGACTATGGTGTCGTTTTGTCTTTTCTCGTATTCTTTTGGTTTTTCTTCCCTTTCTCTTTCATCTGATACTCCCTTTATACGACACTCGCTTTTAAACTAGACGCTCGCTCGATCATCGTAACGAATGCATCTAAACCGAATATCTACGTCAGAAAATCCGACTGGGACGTCGTGATATGGTGTCGCGTGTCTGGAGCCCCTGTCTTGCTCCCCTGTCTCACTCTGCCAGATCTCCGGATCCATGCCCCTCCATTAACGTTTGCTTCCGTCCTGGATGAGATCATCTTCGACCCGGAGATTGCACTTGTTTCACCGACGCGATGGACGTCGGCCAAGGCACGAAACGGACGCTCATGGCCTCGCATATATTCGACAATATCTGGCTCTTGGACAGAGTTCTTTGAGACCATGGCGTTGCCCTATTTTCGTCGTGCTATGTGAACGCAAAAGCATGTCGGTATAAACTGGCGCCGCAGCACTCTCATGCTCAAGACCTTCGGATTGATACATCATACGACGACCTCGGGGATGAAATCATGGAATTCATGATGTCCGAGGCCAAGGGGCATATACTGTTGCATGCAAATATGGCATGGGGTGCGTGCGCTCTCAAAGGGCCTATAGCATACTGATCAAAATCGTCTGCGTAGGTCATACAAGACCGCTGTGCAACTTTGCGGCGAACGTCGTCAAGCTGCGATCGGTTCATGTTACCCTCTTGACGCTTCCGCCGCTTGTCGACCGGATTGGCCAGGAACTAGCAAGGAGTTTTCCGGCGGGTGAAAAGGAAGAGTCGTTGTTGCGACTCATCAGGTCGGTCCCCGCGGATGGTCGGTTATTGGTGACACTCTCAGCTGAAAGGTCTCGCATCGCAGGGTTGTATGTCTCCCGGTCAACAGGGAGGATCTGCCACATGGCGTGGACGGGCCGTTCCGCGAGACGTATATCAAGCTGGTCAACTCTGAGCCTATCACTTGCTCCGTCCAGGGCATAACCTTCGAAGCCTTGGATCCTCCGACTGCGGCTATCATAGACGTGAGTGAACTCACGTATTCGCAAGCGGACCGTCTAGTAACGTACCTGACTCCATCTCACAGTTCACCGCCCTGTATGCGTTACGAGCTATCAAGGAAAAAAATCGGCCGATCCCGGTCCTCGCGTGGCAAAGTCACAATCCCGCCTACGTCGTCAAATGCAACATACCCGTTGAGGAAGGCGGAGATGGCGACATCAAGCTAGACGTCGACCGGATCGCAGCGAAGCACGGAAAGAGCTATTCGGAGGCTTTCGACCTGGTGAGCCCTTCCTTGCCTTACCACGTGCGATGGATGGAGTCGATATCCCAATCGCACAGTTCTTGGAAAACCTACCTGGAAGAGCCGTGCATGTTGCGGATTTGCCGCCCATGTACGATTACGAGTTTTGGCCTCAGCTTGTACGTCTGTTGCTTTAACTGGTCGCGACGGACGATCAATCGCACAACCCAGGTATCGCCTACCTTCAATGGTCCTATAGTTGATGGCCGTCATGCGTCCTACCAGTCAGTGGCTTCTAGAGCGCGAGAGATCCACGTGTGCTGACCCCTGTCCGGATTGCCCAGGTTCCTTCAAGAGTGCGACGGCGTCGTTCAAACCAGCGATCCATCCTGGAACAGGGGCGGCATTGACGCCATGGAAAGATGGATGTCAAGTTTCGTTCCGCCCCGCAAAGTGTACAGCGTAGGGCCACAGTTACCCTCGGGGCCACTAGAGTTTACCAGGAGCGGAGACCTGGCGCAATCCACAGTCTCCTTCGCCGTCTTGAACTTCTTGGATGGTAAATTGCAGTCGCACGGACAGAGATCGGTATTATACGTATGCACGCTGAAAGTTTGCCCGTGTAGCAAGGAACTAACAATCATCCGTTCACAGATATCGTTCGGTACCGTATGGGGTCCTTGGTCCGGCCCGGACCTTCTATGGGTCATATTGGAGGTCCTCAAGGACAGGGATATGCCATTCGTGAGTGTTTGTATGTGACTATCAAGCACCCCATTATCTCAACGGTCATGTATGCGTAGATCTTGGGTTGTGCTTCGCCGTTTGCTGCCATTCCAGCGGACATCTCCGGATGGATAGAGTCGTCCGGGATCGGCATCGTGTCGAAGTGGAGCCCGCAACAGACGGCCCTAGGACATGAGGTGAGTGAGATCATTTAATCGTTGCGATACCGACTTGAAAGCAACCCGGTCAGGCAGTCGGATGGTTCTTGACGCATGCGGGTCAGAACAGCGCTATGGAGAGTCTGAGGGCCGGTATTCCCATGTCAGTCTCTTGGCCCCTGTAATACGCGGGCTTTATACTGATCTCATGAATCAGGATATGTTGGCCCTTTATCGGGGATCAGCCCATCGTTTCGGCTACTCTGAGCATCAATCTCAACGTCGCGTATGAATTGACTGAGGTTCGCACCGGAAAAAGCGGCACGAGGCCTCTGCACCGAACCGGCAGGGCACCGGAAGGCTCAGCCGACGCTGTCCGGAGGGAATTCACGACGATTTTGGATGCAATGAACGGGCCGGATGGGCAGATCAAGAGACAGAATGCCGAGAGGATTAGTAAGGGCTTGCTGAAGACATGCATGGAAGGCGGGAGTGGCCGACGGGCGATGATCAACCTGCTTGACGGCTTGAGTGTGTAGGTTGAGTCCGATTATGTTTGTACCATGGAATAACGATGGCGCCTTCCACTCAGAACAACGGATGCTTTGTTGCGGCTTAAGATGCATTGCAAGTGTGTACTTTGCGAGAGAGAAAAGGGCCGATACACTACTATCACGACCTTCTTGGTCGAGGCGGCGAAATAACCTTCAAGCCGTACCTCATTGCATGTACCATTACAGGTTATTCCGTACCGCCTCCATACCCGCTCCCCTTATCCCGCCTTTCCCTCCACGTCGTGTTCCATCCCCATCGCCTCTGCCCTCACGGCGTCATTGGCCAAGCTTGCTCGGGACATATTAGGTATTCCAGGTAAGCTCTCGCTTTGTACTCTTTCTCGCACCATCCCTGAAGATGTTCTAGGTTGTGCTGTTGCAGTGGAGCGGATTTTTTCGGGCGGCCGTGATACTATTGCATTGCGACGTGCAAGCCTTAAGCCCGCCACTATCCGCAGGCTCATGATCACCAAGAATCAGCTTATACTCAACCGAGCCACTCTTACACCTAAATTAGCTACCTTACGACCGTCTAGACGGGTAGGCGGACAGGTTTGGTACGGGATGCGGCCCGTGTTTTCACGGCCCGCCTACCTTCTGCCGTCTGCTAGGAAGGAGGCGCCACACCATTAAATTACCCAAAAAGGCTCGTCGTCCGGTGCTTATTTGATTTTGGTTCATGACGTTGCGGTGTTGCGCCAAGCCTCCTCCAGCGGTCCTCCTCGTTCCCGATAACCATCGGGCTCCACTCTGTTCAGCATTTTCTCTTCCTCTGGACTCTGACGCCATGCAACGCCTCGCGACGACGTCCGCTCCTCCCCAGCATCTCAACGGCATACATTTTTGACGTCACCGCCATCATAACCGCAGCTCACATGCATCCTCCGGTCGCGTTATAAAATGTGCAGACAAGCAACTGGCGAGACCGTTTCGCCCCCTCGACTATCGTCGGACGTGCCCTTGAGCGCCAGCGCTCGAAGTGATTCTTGCACTCCATCTGAACTGAGCGACCAACATGCAGTCTGTGCGCCTTGCGCTAGTGCTCGCTGCGGCATCGACGGTCCTTGCGGCGCCACAAGCAGTTTCCTCTCTGACGTCTGCAGCTGCATCGGCGGCTTCCAGCGTCACCAGCGATGCAGGGTCGATCGTTTCGTCCATAACGTCCGACGTTGCGAAGGCGTTGCCTAGTACGTAACACACCATTTCGACTTTGGAGACTCAATAGTCTGACCCATACATCCAGCCGTGCTAGGGAACTGGCCAAGCCTGAGTGACATCGAGAAGAAACTCAACCTGAATGACTCGGAGATCAATAGTCTGCCTCCGTCTGCGCTGATGATCCCTTCGTATGCGAATTTTACGCCTTCGGGGTACGTCTTGCGCCATGCACTTCGCAACTGTCAAAATGCTTAATACGACTTTTCAGATGGAACGTCCGCTTCTATGGCCTTGTCTATAAACAACCGAACGTCTCCACCGACGACCTCGACTCCATCATCGATGGCCTCAAGACAAAAAACCTAAACAACACCCAGAAAGCGCTCCTACAGAACCGGACGCAGGCGCTCGCTGCGATCCCGATCTCCCGCGCGAACGTCTCCGCGATCGTCAAGCTAAACGGCACGCTCGCCACGCCGGGGGGTGGTATCGGCCTCAATACATCTGACGAAGTCGGCGAACTCGACGAGTTCCGGATTATCCCTGGTTTGAACAGCAACAAGTCCGTCTCGAACGTACAAGTTGCTGAGATCGGCATCCTGGACGTGGACGGACCGGGCAACACGACTACGCTCCTGGTACCGGAAACGGGCATCTCTGTCGTCTCCGACATCGACGACGTCCTGCGCATCACCAAGGTCTACGTCCCGAACCAAGGCCTCTTCAACTCGTTCGTGCAGCCGTACGTCAACGTGCCCGGCATGACGGAGCTCTTCGCCTCCTGGCTGAAGAAGCTCCCGGGCGTGTCCTTCCATTACGACACCACCACGCCCGTCGAGCTCACGCGGACCTACGTCGAGTACCTCTTCGACAACTTCCCTCTCGGCTCGCTCGAGATGCGGCCGGTGAACCTCACCGAGCCCTCGCAGATCCTCGACGCGCGCCTCGACTCGCTCGTCCGGCTCTACCAGACCTTCCCCCAGCGCAAGTTCGTCCTCGTCGGCGACACCTCGTCCTCCACCCTCCTCTCCGCCTACCCGAACGTGACGCAGACGTTCCCGAACCAGACGCAGTGCATCTTCATCCGCAACACGTCCGCGACGGACGCGGACGACAAGCTGCCGTACAGCACGAAGGAGTTTCAGAACCTCAATTCGAGCATGTACTTCTTTTATCGCACGCCCGAGGATATCGTGAACCTCGACGTCGCGAACAGAGAGTGCGTGAACGCGAGCGTGCCCCAGAACGTGTCGTTTGGAGAGCAGGGCGGGCCGTTCAAGAGCGGCGCGGCGGCGGCTTGGGCGACGGCTTCCCGCTCAAGCTGGGTTGCAGCTCTCGTTGCTCTGGCGCTCGGCGTTACGTTGACTTGAGCATGACATTGACCTACAACATCCCACAAGGACTTTCGGTATGGGCCCGTTGGGCCGCACGTTACTCGTCGTGCTTTGTGTGGCAGCAGCCTCATGGAAGAACCAACTCTGTATTGTATTTGCATGCATGTATTGGTATCAAGAGTTGACAGAACGACTCACCTTAATCCGAGACGTGAAGGACGACCGCGTAGTCCCTCGGCGCCACCGAGAAAACCAAGATATGTCATGTTATATTTCATTGGTATGAAGCGAGCGTCCATTTCGCAGTCCTGTGTTCCGGGAAGCGCCGACTTATAATATGAGTAAATGAACTTGTTGACGTATACAACCCTGTGTAGTGGCGCATAGCAGAGAGCAGCCACATCGAGGGGTAATTGCCGACACGACATATGTACTCTAGTTTGAAATTCAATCGCCCCTCAGTGACGCGCCGCGCCGCGTTCCTCTCTGCCTCTTTGCTATCTGCTTGTGTGTGCAACCCCACAGCACCCGGCGTATAACACTGCTGGGAACGATGGTGCACATTGTCGTATCGCGGGCTTTTGATGCTCATCTTCTGTCAAAATCGACAGGCTACGGACGGAGGTGGAAGGGAGGGAGTAACGAGACGGGTCCTGTAATATACACAGTATGGTTAAGCTCTTCGCACTACCGTGGAACGAGGGCAGAACCAATGGATTATGTACCTGTAATATACACAGTATGGTTAACTACAGGAATGTGAATAAGTGTCCGTATACAGTCAATGGATATAATGTAGACTCACGCTCTTCGCACTACCGTGGAACGAGGGCAGAACGAAGAGCGCGGTTGCGACAACAGGCAGATATTACAGTCACGTCCACATCAGTAAAGCACACGTAAACAAAGGGAGATAAGTGTCCATGCACCAATGAGACGGCGAGACCCACTCATCCTCCGCGCTGACCCACTGATCTTCCGCGCAGGGCTTGTACTTCAACATCTTCCTCTGCTCGGCTACGGTCTATCCGTGGAGTTTTCAGCCAACACGGATCGCCTTTTCTGCCCGGCTTCATACAGTATCGCTTCGAATGACGGTCCATGCTGCTGGATGCCCACCCATGTGATCGCAAAACCAATATAGAGCTGCACCTTGCAGTTAATCTCGGCCTCATACCGGTGAGACTGGACGATCAGAAGTACCTAGGACGGACAACGAGGTTTTCATATCGCCAGCTGGTTAAATGTCATCTGACGCGACGACCATGAGCTGCTCCCAGCTTCTCTGTGAGTTCTGATTTGGATTGGAGCAATAGCCTTCCTGACCCTATCTGAACCAGGACAAGTCGCCCATAAATACGCTTTGCACCCATCGCCCACTCACGTCGCATCCCATTGCGACATTCCCTTGTCTCAATTCTCACCCACCGATGGACGACAACTCTGACCTTGAGGCTACGAAAGCCCGTGCTAGCTTCGTGGAAGCGTTTGCGCCGAACACGGCGCCAGCCGCCGCAGCCGCATCCTACAACAACCCATTCGACCTTGTCATTATCGGATCGGGCATGGGCGGAGGTGTACTGGCATCCGACCTCATCGACAAGAACATACAGCTCATGACCGATACGTCATCTGTCACAGTGCGCAAAGTGGCCGTAGACGCCGCGGCTCTCTTTAGTGCAGTCCTACGGTTCATCTGCGGGAACGACAAAGAGGATCCAAGGGCAATCTCTGGCATACGAAAGCAAGCCGCTGATCTATGCGAGAAGATCGTCCGGCTCTCCGCGCCTGATGACGTCGTGAACGACTTGGTTTCCGATGTGCGACGGCGTGCAGCCGATCTTTTCGAGAACCTGGCGAGCGCCGCTGGTTCACCCGCAGAAGTGCAGGATCTCGCGGTGCAAGGGCAAAAACTCATCGCCGATCTTGTCGAGATCACCCCGGATGCCTACAACGGAGACATGGCCAGAGACCTTCTTTCCAAAGCTCGGGCCCTTTTCGAGAGCGTGGCGAAAGCGGCCATCGACGTCGAGCCTGTCCCCGATGCAACCAAAAAAGAAATCTTAAGGCAGGCCGAAAATGTTTTCACGAAAATCGTACAATACGTTCGTGTCCTTTTCATCGTCTGTATCGAGCTCCCTCCTGATTAATATTCGCTTACGACAGCGCACTCGTCCACGGAGGATTCTCGTCATCGAGCGAGGGGGCATCATCTACCCATCGTACAGCCTGAATGGTCCTCATCCTACGGGGAATCCCGCAGACCAGGCCAACGACATCATCTACAGGCGATTCACACAACACTTTGGGCTCCATCCAAACATGAGACCTCAATGCGCTGCTCGTAACTGCTGCTCCTGTAGGAGAGGCTGCGAAGGACAATATCCAACTTGTCCTTGTACCAGGCCATGCGACAGGCTATGCGACAAGCCATGCGGCAGGCCACGCGAGCCACGCGACAAGCCATGCGATTGTGTCAAGACATGGCAGGGCGGTGGAATTTTCATGCTCGGAGGGCGGAGTACCGTATGGGGTCTCTTTTCTCCCAGGTACGTGATAGTTTGACTCGTATTCTATGCCGGCGTTGACGGTTTGTTCATCAGAATTGCGCCAGAGACCTTGAAGAGCCATTGGCCGGAGGCTGTTCGCGATGACCTCGCTAGGCCTTCGGGCTCATACTACCGAAGGGCGGAAGCAACGATGCGACTCTCTTACCCGACTACCTTACCCCTGCATCAACTTGTGATCAATAAGTTAAATGTTTCCATCGCCAGCTCCGCCGTCAAGGATAAGGACGATCAGTCGAAGTCGAAGTCCTGCAAGGACAAGGTCGATCAGCCGAAGTCGGCATCCTGCAAGGACAAGATCGATTCCTGGCCGCTGCCTGAAACGCAATGGCAATGGGGCAGAATCTCCTCCCAATTCCGCCACGATCGGAATTTTACCTTCGCCGAAGGCGCGTTCAGTACCGTGGACCGTCTTCTGACCGTCGCGATGATGAATCATCCAACGGAAGACGTTAGAGAGGACTTTGACGATGTACCTCCAGGCGGAGCACACATCCTGGTCAATACTCAAGTGCACCGATTCGAACCGGCACTGGGCTGCGAAGAATCTGTCTCCTCGCGGCCTTGCGTTGTTGTCAGAACGGTCGATGGTCGAGACACATTGCCAAAGGAGTACAAGATCTATTATCACCATGCCGTCCTTTGTGCGGGCAGCGTCGAGAGCGCCGGCATACTTCTGCGAAGCGTCAATGGCGACCCGACTCGGTGCGGCGACGAATTCGCCTAGTAGTTGTGCAGACGTAGTGGCGAATACGCAAATAGACGCCCCTCATGACATGGGAAAGCGCGGCCACAGATCAGCCCAGCTCCGGGCCGGCGTGATGGAGACCAAAAATGGTCGGGGCTATGTCAGCAGTGTCCGTTTATGTTAGCTGTGTCCGTTTCAATACATCACAGCTTCTTCGTGTAAATTTGTACGTCAATTGAAAGCATCGCCATGAAAACAAATGCTGCAAATAGAATCGGCTAAACTAATGGACCATGCGGACGCTGTGCTTCTCAGGTCTCCAGGCTACTGCGGAAAGAAGCTGCCAACTAATGATGGCCCCTGTACCATGTGGAAGGTGATGCTTCTTTGTCGTCCTGTTTCCACACCAGACATGGTAAGATCCTTCTTGGTATCACTTAGTAGTGAAGCATAGGCAGTAACTGAGGCGTAGAATCATGATGTTAAAGGGACAGGAGTCCGTAACCAGGGCACATGCTCCGTCCGTGAACACCGCATGACATGAGGCGATAAGCTATGCTCTATCCGTGGATACCGCATGGTACGTTCGAGATCCATCAGCATGCTGTGTGAACGGAATGGAAACATATTTTGGGGGTCATGATGGAGGTGATGAGTTATGCTCCGTCCGTGGATACCGCATGGTACGTTCGAGATCCATCAGCATGCTGTGTGAACGGAATGGAAACATATTTTGGGGGTCATGATAGAGGCGATGAGTTATGCTCCGTCTGTGGATATCGCATGGTACGTTCAAGATCCATCAGCATGCTGTGTGAACAGAATGGAAACATATTTTGGGGTCATGATGGAGGCGATAAGCTATGCTCCATCCGTGGATACCGTATGGTACGTTCAAGATCCATCAGCATGCTGTGTGAATGGAATGGAAACATATTTTGGGGGTCATGATGGAGGCGATGAGTTATGCTCCGTCCGTGGATACCGCATGGTACGTTCAAGATCCATCAGCATGCTGTGTGAACGGAATGGAAACATACTTTGGGGGTCATGATAGAGGCGATGAGTTATGCTCCGTCTGTGGATATCGCATGGTACGTTCAAGATCCATCAGCATGCTGTGTGAACAGAATGGAAACATATTTTGGGGTCATGATGGAGGCGATAAGCTATGCTCCATCCGTGGATACCGCATGGCACGTTCGAGATCAATCAGCATGCTGTGTAAACTGAATGGAAACACGTTCACTTCGAAGCGAACGTTCACCAGGGAATCTCGGGCATTCTTCGCCGCTTTACTACCAAATGTATGCGTGCGTGCATTAGCTGTGCCAACTGAATGGAACAGAACCTCGCCTCCTTGCCCAATAACCCCAAAACGGGCATTTTGATATCTATCACCAGGCATTTGATATCACCAGGACGAATGGACGGACGGATCATGACAGATTGATAGAAGCGAGGCAGTGTGGGATCGAAACACCACACCATAGCAACGTGGAGGAAACGAAGTTGCGGTATCTCTGGACCAGACGGTCATGAGACACATGCCCCCAAAGCGAGGCAGTGTGAGATCGTTAGATATTCACACAGACTCAACTGGCTCACTCGAAGGTCATAAGGGCCTGTTCGGTAGCAGGTCCAAACAGCGCTGAACGGTGTTCAGCGCTGAAAAGCTGATAATCGCGCAGTGCCACGTGCACCCGTTACAGGCGTGGGAGTCACGCCCTGCGTCGTGATTCTGGTGATTGTCGCGATCACTCTGTATCGTACTTCACATAACAATATGCCACCCGTACAAGACAATTATCCAAACGAGGAGCAGAAGAGGCTCATCTTGGTTGCTGCTGTGACTGCTGTCATCAATACCATCTGTGCTGCTGTTGCGATCACTGCTACTCCACTTGTTGATCGTATTCCTTATCACACATCTGCTCTTTCTGGATATGGATGGGTCTTGGAGCTCATCGATGGGCATCCTGACAGGATCAAGAATGAGCTTGGCATGCAGAAGCATGTTTTCCTTGGTCTGATTGCCGCACTTCAGATGGCAGGCCTTTCAGATTCACGTAATATCACCCTTCGGGAGAAGACAGCTATTTTCTTGTACATGTCTGTGACTGGACTCCGGATCCGTCATGTTGCGGAGCGGTTTCAACACTCCAATGAAACTATATCCCGGTTAGTACTCAAGATCAGGTTGTTTATAACAACCACTAAATGTTCCTCCTAGGTACTATCGTGAAATTTTGACAGCCCTCACTTCATTCCCCTTCCACAACACCTACGTCTATCTCCCAAGTCATGATGCCCCTGTTCCCGAGGCCATAAGAAGAAATCCAAAATGGTTTCCCTACTTTGAGACTGTCCTTGGGGCTATTGATGGGACTCATGTGCGGTGCTGCCCATCTCTGGAAGAGCGTGCACTAGCACGTGATCGCAAGGGCCAGGTTACACAAAACTGCCTTGCAGCATGCAGCTTTGACTTGCGGTTCTTATACATCCTTAGTGGATGGGATGGGGTTGCATCAGATGCACTCATGTTCAATGATGCTCGCACCAGCAATTTTCTGATACCACCTGGGCGGCGGTACCTCGCAGATGCTGGATTTGGCATCTGTGATGCCCTTCTGGTCCCGTACAGAAATGTCTGTTATCACCTTGCAGAGTGGGGGCGTGCTGCAGTCAGGTGAGCTCTAGCTCAGCTTCAGTTCTTCAGTTACTGACCATCTGATAGACCGGAGAACAGTCAGGAATTATACAATCTACGTCATGCCAGTGCTCGTAATGTGGTTGAACGTATATTTGGTATCCTCAAGTGTCGATTCCGGTATATTTTAACCGCTAGAAATAATGATATGCTGACTTTTTGTCTCAGGATACTGGACTGTCCTCCAGAGTTCGACATGAGTATTCAAGCTCGAATACCTCCAGCACTTGCTGCCATTCACAACTTCATTCGTCAGCATGACCCTGGCGAACTCGGAGATTTTCATGATATTGTCAACAATGTACCTGTCCATGATGACCTTGGCGAACTCGGTCATGGACCAGCAACACGGGCTGAACGCCTCCGTGCAACAGCAGATTGGGATGCAATTGCGGAAGCGATGTGGGTTGATTATCAAGCCTACACAAGACAGCACCACTACGGATAGCTACTTGCTATGTAGTACTAACTATAAAAAAGAATTATTGAATGCTGTAGTTTGGGAAAGGAATGATATCTCGCTCAAGCGCCGTTGCAACCACAGCTTGTGCAGTTCTCCATCAGTCAGACCGAGGTAAGTATCAGCATGCTTGACATCATTAGTGAACAAGTCCACAAGCTCCATCTTCTCGAGTCCCGTGAGATGAGACTCGAGTTCTTGAAGCTTGTGAATAGCGGCATGTTTGCGATGCGGCGTAGGAATAGGTGCGGAACTGCTCAAATACCTCAAGTTTAAATTAATTCGGTAGCTTTCATTTCAGTTAGCAGTATATATATATATATTTTTCAAGTAGAATAGACTAAACATGTACCTTAAAACTAGCCCAGGAAAGTCTGACCATATCAGGAAAGGATTACCAAGCAGCACCCAATCTTGGTCAGCATATGACAAACCATGACTCAGCTGAGTCAGAAGCTGACTCAGCACTGCTAAGATGACTAATGTGACTCAGAAAACTGGCCTAGCTAAGGAGTATAAAATGTAGCCGAACCGGCATGAATGAGCAATCAATCAGTTCCACTCTAATCACGCCCGGCAGTCGTCTGCCGAACCCTCTCTGTCAGGCCTCGAGTGCCTGGACAGCTCCTCTATCGACTCTACACAGCCGCCGTAGGCTGTTCGAATTCGTTTCCCTCGCTCTATCGTCTTCGCGACCAAAGGAACAACTGACCTCTCTCTCTTTATTTTTTTTAGGAACTTCGACGCTCGGCACGTCTCACAAGACCTCAACACAGGATCCCTCAAGCCTTCCATTTAGGCCCACTCACATCTTACCGTTTATAGGTATCGCCGACGAGCTCACAAGAAGCTTGTCCCATCAAATTCAAGTCAGGTTCAATAACCGACGGCCAACTGAGCAATCCCCGACTTAGGTAGCCCGGGACCTCAGGAGTTTGTGCTTTTGGCAGAAGAAGCTGAAGAATCGGCACTATACCTCTATCGCCTCAAGAATTCCTCTCGCCTCTTCAACACAGCCACTCACACAAAACTCGTTCGACAACGCCCCGACAGAGCAGCCGCAATGGTCTCACCGAATTCACTGAGATTCGTGCCAAGGCCATTGATAGCTGACAAAACGGTGTCATGAGCTCGGCGTTGGGGCCGGGGTTGACTCCGCCCGACGTTTCTTGTTCGACAACAAAACAGATGGTGCCGTCGAACATGGTGTACTGCTCCGGTCACTGGTTGCAGGTGTCATGTGAGGTGGAGCCTGAGGAAGCGGCCCAGCACCTGGATAAGATGGAGTGCGAGGTGGCAGGTCGACGTAGGGCAAAGGCGAAGCACGGGGTGAAGGTGTTGACTCCTATAAAACATGATGTCACTCTGGCAACACATAAGACAAACGGCGTACCCAATCGTCCGGTCATCTGAAAAAATCTTGATCTATATAGCTGCCCCTCAGAGCTATGAACACTATTGTCGTGCTATGGATGCTATATAGAAGTCGCCCAGTTGCTATATAGTGCTATGGTCGCTATGTAGAAGTAGGTCAGTTGCTATATAGTGCTATATAGTAATTATAGGTAATATAGTTCAAAGTACTAGCTACATAGTGATACATAGCTCATAGGTGCAGTCAACATAGCACCCATAGATTTGGTATGTATCTGTATAGTGGTGATAGCAGGGCTCCCAACTTACACCTTCCATGATCTAAGTCAGTCTCAGGTCTTGAACTGTAATGTTAGCCTATACATTGTCAGATATATGCATGAATAAACTATGTACAAGGTTGCTAAGTGTCAAGGAGCTTATGGACTATATGAGACACAGTGGCCAACGCGGACTTAAAGATTCAACGCAAACCCATGCGTCACGTGACCTGGCTGTGACGCGTGTTTGCCCTCCGCGCTGGCAAATGTGGCTTGCTGTCTCAGCCCACCGCGCTGGCAAATGCGTACGACTCAGCGCTGGCAAATGCGCCCGGCGCCGCGCTTGCCAGTGCGCACATCATCGCGCAAGTCTCCACGCCTGCCCCGACCCTTTGAGTGCCCACCCCGCCCCTGCCGTCTGCCCTTCCCCAAGCGCGAGCCGCCAATGCGGTCGCGCTCGGCGCTGCTTCCACCCCTCGCCCCTGGCGTCTCAGCCCTGGCAGCCAAATGTGTACAGGGAGGTGCAAAACTTCGGCATGGAATGTAGAAAAAATCATGATAAAGACACAGCCTCCTGACCTGTACATGACATTCTGGTCAGTCAGCCATGCGCCTGTACACGGTATGTGTACACACTGGGGCCAGTACATGGTACGTGTACATGCGGGGAACAGTACGCAGTACGTGTACACGGCACACGTCCATGGACCAGTCAGCGCCTGTACACGGTGCCTGTACACGGTGCCTGTACACAGTGCCTGAAAACAGACATATCAGTCAGCAGCAACCGTACACGGGAGCAAGGCCCTGTATTTGGAACAGGTAGGTACACAGGAAACCTCAAATGGTCGTGCGGTACACAATCGTTATATGTATTGTGTAACTGTGTACAGAATGCAGGGCTATGCTACATACCACCTACAACGTGGGCGTCAAACGAAGAGCGGCAGACGGACGGCGGGGAGCGCTGTCTTTGCCGAAGGATGGCCGGCAGCGAGAGCATCCATGTAGCAGAGATGGCTGTGGGCCACTACGGATCCTCGGTTTCAACGAAACATGGGCCGCAGCGAGAGCATTTGAATGGGGACGGCAGACGAGATTTGTTCAGGCTTCTGACAACGACCGCGGCGGATAGCGGGATAGTTGGGCTGCGAGAACGGACCGTGGAGCGGGGTGGTTTCAGTCTCAGCAACGCGACAGGCAGGGGGAAGTTCGAGTATTGGAGGAAAGCATGTGCGGCGTGCTGCAAAATGGGTGAATACCAGCAGAACGGAAGCAATCTGAGCTTGGCTCACCCATGCGTACCAAACCCGAGACACATGGCCCCATCATCCGACAACACGGCCCCATCATCCATCTGACAACATGGCTCCATCATCCAGCACCACCCTCTCCATGATCAGTTCCAGTGTCGGGCGCGGGTCATATGGGCCGCAGTATATGCTGGGGTTGTTGGAGTCATGGGCTCGCAAGCGTTGCATGCGGGCTTGGGCGACACAGCGATGCGTTGAGTCTTGACCATGCGCGGGGCCATAATCGTTTGAGAGGCACGACGTGGGTGCGATGGAAGTTGCTTCCTATAGTAAGGTGAGTGCAAGTACGGAGGGTGTGTGATAGCGACATACAGGCTAACACCTCGCCCTCGCCCTCTCAGCCCGTTGTGCCCGACCGCACCACCGACGCATGGTCGGATTGAGCAGCCGACACATCCGCACCGTTCACCTATGCGTCCACGCCTCGCAGCACGGCAGCCGATACCGGAACGGGAAACCGTTTTGAGGTCGATGCGCAACAGCAGCAAACCTAGGAAGCTGTTATCGATGGCGCGCGAGAGGAGGCGAGGTGGGTTCACTGAAAATGTATAGCAATGGATCACAGGCCCGTAGATTTGTCCTCCGGGGAATGGTAAGCGGAACGGACAAGCTAGCTTGAGGCTTCCTCGTAGCTGAGCGTACCGGTGTACTTGCTGGTGTCCGCACCGCTGAAGGTGAGCTCGCCGTTGGTGGTCTCCTCAACGGTGGTGGGGGCAAAGTAGACGCCGACAGCAGCGGTCTGTGTGAGATGGGATCAACAGGGTGCAATCAACAGTACACGAAAGGGATCATACCGAGATCGTGCCCTGGGAGTACAGATTGTTGGTAACGGTCGGGATCTCGGTGGTCGAGGAGCCACTGAGAGTGCCCTCGGTGAGGACGGTAGGACAAATGCCGAGGATACCATCGACACCAGAGAAGCCGGAGGGCCTGGAGGCAACACCGATGGACTGCTTGGTGATGACCAGGTTGGACAAGATGGTCACGGTGTCGGTGTCTGATGAGAGAAAAGAATTCGATGAATGATGCGCTTCCACGGTGACCAGAACCGTACTGACATTTGGTACTGGCGAAGGAACCGGAGCCGTAGCTCACAGAGACAGACTTTCCGGTAGAGCTAGACATGCTAGTCTTGACGTAAGACTTGCCAGCACCGACCCAGGTGCTGCTGTAGACTGCGTGAGAAAGGGTTTCGACGAAATTTGTCTGCTGCTTACCTCGAACCGGTGTCGATGATCAGGTCGTAGGAGGTGGCAGGGCTGCCGACGCCGACGCTGGCCATGTAGGTGACAGCCTCGTTGGTGACGCTGACAGAGTAGGATGCGTGCTTGTGCACGTTCTCGTGCTTCTCAGCGAGCGCGGCACCCTGCTCTTTGATGAGGTTTGATGCGAGCGCGGTCGGCCTCGATGATGTTCAAGGCGCCATTGGTGCCGTTGGTGAACCTGCGAGTTTCCCATCATTTATTCTTTGCCAGCAGCATATGAACATTTCGACTTACCTGACCGCAAACGGTAGCTTGACGGGGGAGGGCTCACGCACAACCGGGGTCACGTAACCACCGATGGCGAGGAGCAGCAGAGACAGCAGAGCGGAACATGGCTAGTGTATGCTGAGGCTGTTTGTGTAACACGTAACTATCGCCCAGGAGCCAAGCCTAGAGCAATCAGCATTTGATCAGTACTACAAGAAACCTCACCGCGCCGGGTCAGAGTGAGCAGGGGTTTAACATCTTAGAACTAAGGGTTTTCGAGGCTGGAAACTCGCGTTAGTCGTGAGTTCAATTGAAAGCAGCGAAAGAACTCACCAAGAATGACATTACCCTAGGTGTGGGAGTGATGTAAGCTACAAGGCGTGTATAATATGGGAACATCGTGAAACGCATGCAGTATGGTGAATGGTGCAAGGCATATCAGGGGAGAGCGTTGTAGATATCCATAAACATGAAAGCAGTGATTAAATGACGTTAAGAGCGGCATACTCCGCAATATGTTAAAGGCGGTGGCGGCACGGGAGCAACGACGGCGGTGGCGGCACGGGAGCAGCGACGGCGGTGGCGGCACGGGAGCAGCGACGGCGGTGGCGGCACGGGAGCAGCGACGGCGATGAAGATGGTGGCGGGCAGCAGCAGTGGTTCACGTAGAGCGATAGCGGCGATCGCAGACGATGCGCTGGATTGGTGGTATATGCAAAGCAGTCACGGGGATCACAGACAATGGACGGATCGATGGTATAATGCAGAGCGGTCCTGGCTTTTGCAGACGGCGGGCCTGGTTGGTGGTATATGCAAGGCAGTCGTAGCTTGCGCAGCTGACAGGCGGGGTACGGTGGTATATGCAAAGCGGTCACGGCAAATGCAAGCGACGAAGGCGGCGAGGGTATGTTCCAGCGTCCGCGTCCAATGCGGACGAGGGCTGCGTGTGCGATGTTCAAGCCTTTGCAGCGGGCACGGACGATGGCGACGACGGTGATATTTGCAGTCCGTCGCGGCAAATGCAGACAATGAGGGCGAAGGTAGTATGTTCAAGCTGTCACGGCAGATGCGAACAACAGCGACGAAAGCATATTTGCAGGCTGTCGCAGCGGATGCAGATGACGGCGGCAAAGGCGGTATGTGAACGTTGTGGGATGACCGGATGGTGGTATGTTCAAGCTGTCGCGGTGGATGCGGACAACGGCAATGACGAGGGTATTTGCAGCAGCAGCCACGGTTTATGGACAGGTGGCGGGGTGGTTGTGACGCGGTATGCACAGATGGTATGGCGCAAGGCCACTCAACGTCTTCTGAATACGAAGATTAATACCTGACGGACTCTTCCGGGAGATTGCAACACTTCACTCACCTAGACGAGCCTGCCTTGGCCCTATTCCTCCCCTTCTTGGCGGGTACTGGCTTAGCAGACTTCTTCTGGCTACAAATACAAGGCAGTCAGTCAGAGATTGCACAAGCATAACTTAGGGCACTGACCGAGGCGACTTGCGATGGGGCCCAACCTTTGGCTTCTTCTTGGGCCTCGAGCTATCGTCGTCGTCGTCATTATCACTATCCCCGTCCTCCTCGGAACTCGAATGCGGGTCGTCAAGGCTCGGATCGTCCATATTGTCCCTGAGGTTCTGATCGCGGAGGAGAGCCGTCATCGCCTTCAACGACCACTCCATGTCCTCGGCAAGATACTCCAACTTCTTGCGCGACGTCCGATCCTGGACGCAATTGAAACCCCAGCTGAGCGCCTGAATCAGCACGAAGTAACCATTCTTCGCATTGCAGCAGAGAGCGCCCCAATAGATCTTCCCCTCCTCACGAGAAAATGGTAGCTCTCCTCTCCATCTGGGCTGCATCTTCGTGTACCATGCCTCCAAGTTGTTGGTATAGGCGGGGCCGTCGGCGATGGCTGGGTGGCTATCTTCAGGACGGCCGCGGCGAAGCCACTGCACAACTTCCTCGGGGCGCTCAGAGCTGGAGGGGAGCCTGCGCTATTGTCATAGATTAATCATGAGTTTTGAAAAAATGAACGATTTGTTTGTCAACATACCCTGTCTGGTCCTTCTATGAATCCTTCCGCGAGCTCAAACTCTTCGAAGGCTGGCATCAGAGTTTGATAACAAGTCGTACCGGACCATGACTCCTTGCGCCGAAGGCGTGCCGCCACGGTCTTCAGCCACTCCGGCGCATCCGAAGACTCGAGGCTATGCGCTTTGGCGGCTGCAATGGCGGCCAGGTACTCGCTTTGGCCACACGGAAACTCCGGGAAAGCACCCTCGCTGGTGGGAGTTGTTGGCAAAGAATCTGACTGCAGCGGAAGCAGCCTAGAAGCAGAAGGGCGTGGCGTAGAGGAGTGGCCGTCGTCACCATTCTCCTCCTCGTCATCATCCTCCTGGTTGCCGGACAAAGCACAGAGGCGGGGATGCGAATTCCAGGCACGTCTTGAGAGCACGCCCGGTGCAGTGGCAGGAAGCGGCCGTGGCGGTGGGGATGAGGAAACCTCCTGGAGAGGACGACCAGCCAGGAACAATTGAGGAATAGGTGGAACAGCAAACGACTTCCTTGCAGAATGCGATTCCAACTCCTCGTCATCCGAATCCGAGAGAATCACGCGACGCAGATTCTTGAGGGGCCTCGGTTTGGGCCGCAACGGTGCTACCGGAGGTACGGAGGGTGGAGTAGACGCCGAAGACTGTGCCGTGGCAGAGGAACGAGTCGTCACCGGAGAGGACGCCAAAGACGATGTCGATGATGACGCTGACAAGGATCCCTTGTTGCTGAGTGGTGTGGCATCGTCACCCACGGTCCCTGAGCGAGGCGCTGACTCCGCTGGTTTATCGACGGGCTCAGGCGGTGGAGTCGAGGTCGAGGAAGGTGTAGTTGCCTGCAACAGTGTTGAAGACGGCGTTGACGAGTCCGATGTTGCCGAGTCCGATGTTGCCGTGTCTGATGTTGCCGAGGACGAGGACGTGGACGAAGATCTCTGGATGCCGAGCGACGGAACGTCATTGACCGGAGTCCCTGAGCCAGGCACTGACTTCGCCAATTTTTCGACCGGGATTTTGACGAGCTGCTTCGTATACGCAGGCGACTTTGGCTTGCGCTTTCGCTTCGGTTTTGTTTGCGGCTTCTTCTCGGGGCTTGCATCCTCACCGGATGCGGCCTCGGTTCCGGCAGAGTCCTCTATGAGGGGGGCACCATCCGTATGGAATGCTACAGCGTCGGCGATCAATTTCATGGCCTCCTCCTCGCTGGTAACTTTCTTCAAAGAGACTTTGGCGCAGTCTTCAGGTGCTACACGGATTCCCAACAAGGTCAATATCGGGTCGTAGCAAGGCTGAATCCGGCTAACACTTACAAAATACCTCGCGTAGGAACTGCGTGAACGGGACCAGGATGTCGGTCTTGTATTGTGGACACCAGTCTTCGAACTTCTGACCATTTGCTGTTTCGCCATCCGAAAACCTGTTGATAGTCAGCACATGATGAAGACGAAGACGGATAGGATCACATACACAATCACGCTGAAGGCACCATCAGCGCCTGGTGTTGGGCCGCCCATCATCCGGAACGATACGAAGCCTGTCAAGTCCTTGACGGCAGACGCCTCCTCCTGCGCGAGTGCAGGAAGAAGTTGAATTGCTCTGTGAATTCAGAGTACGAGTGAGAACTGAATCTAGTCAAAGAAAGACGCATTCCTAGCGTACCTGTGAATGCGTATTGCTGCTTCACGATCGTCTTCGGTCCCAGGGTTAACAAGCTCCATCACGTCGTTCTCCGACTTGAGTTTCTGTCGGTATTCCTCCACAGCTGCTTTCACCTCTGGCGACTCCATCTCCAGCCGCTCGGTAAGCCACTTGGAGAAGTGGTTGACCGCTGGCCCCAGGATCTGACCCAGTTTCTGAAGGTCCAGCACGTACGGCGTCCAGACCTCCGTATTGAATTGCTCCTTGAGGTTCAGCTCCGGGTAGAGCTTTTCGTATGCGAAGCACGACTTCTTGAGGTTCTTCAGCTTTGGCTGGAGCTTCTCAATAAGTCTCTTGAGACCTGCAGACGCGGCGGGGGATTCGATGGTTGAACGGCCCTTGTTTTCTAATGCTTGTCGAATTTGCTATTGTATGTCATCAGCATCCGATGCATGACAGGCTGTGATGTGGTACGAACCCCCTGCCGTCTCACTCGACGAGCTACATACGTCGGAAGCGAGGATGCAGCCTCAAGGTTGCCGTTAACGGCCTTGAGTTCCTTCGGGGTGAAAGGAATAGCGTCGGGCATGGCCGCCCAGTACGATTCGAACGTTTTCGTGAAGAACTCGATTACGGTACCGTTCGAACGAGCAGCCCAGAGACCGGGAATGCATCCCTCCATGAAGGCGGTGTCGCGACGACTAGCCCATCTCTGACCACGCTTGTATACCGGTTCATCGTCGATCACGACGCCATTGTGAATGGGAAATTCAGGGATGGTGTCGTCGTCCGCAGTAGAGTTCGTGACGGAAGAATCCGAGGGCGTGGCCGACATTAGCCTAAAGAGTCAATGACTGTGCTGGCAAAGCCACCGGCGTGAGAACGCTCCGTCGTCCGAATAAGACACCCGGTATTGTGGCGTATTTGGCCCATTGTATCAGTCACGTGCTGGTTGTTATTCCGGACACGCTGCTTGGTGTTCCGTTCGAACTTACTTCGCTATGTCTCAGAACAATCTTAGAACAAGGAGATCGGTGCGTATCTGGCTCAGTTGATGGAATGTCTCTCTCACTGAGAGTAACCAGCCTTCTCATCAGAGCGGAGGCACCGCATTAATGCTGGGTGCAGTTATTGAAGCCGTCCTTCGCGGTAAGCAAATCCTCCCTACACACTGATGCAAACTAACGTTCCCTCAGTTCACGGGGTTGTGCTTGACGAAGATTACTCACCCACTAACCATGCGATGTGCATTTGCGGGTGCCACACGCCTACGACAGAAGTCGCACATGCGCACGACGGCAAACCCTCCAGCCCAAAACCCACCACTCGGGATTCCGACCCTGCAGGAACATCCAATCGTCAAAGAGGTGTCTGCCCCCCCAAAAGCTCCGATTCGACGGCCGGTGGTGGTCGAAACCCTCGTCGCAATGATTCGGTGCCCGTCGCCAATCTGCAAGTCGTTCACACCAGCCACTATGTTTGTCCAGCCTGTGTCCAGCTGGTTATGGAGCAATGCAGCTACAACACAGGGTTGTTGGCAGCTGAGCTTTGGGAACGACCGGCCGGGCCGGACACAGGGCACGGCACGATTCATGCTTTTGGTCTAGCGGGCGAACATTATCATTGGCCGGCCGATGGCGCTCAGGGCCCATTTTACGTCGTGACTGCAGGAACGGCTGTCGGGTTGTTCACCAATCGGTATGGTTTTCCAGGTTGGTTGTAGAAAGTCGTTAACCTCTCTCGCCTCTGCTAGGCCTCTTGTAGAGAAACTCGCTGTGCAATACTCCGTTCACGAAGACTTTCAAAGTGCTTACGTTGAGTGGCTCGATGCGCTCCACGGCAATCGACTCGTAGTTACCCACTAGGCCGATAGTTTCTCTTTGTCATTGACGGTGCTCCCCTTTCGGTATTACCTCTTTCATCGCGTCGTATCACAGCTGCAATTGTATGTGTTATTTCTAAACATAGCCGCAAGAAGGCAACAACATCAGAGTTTGCATGGAATCGTTCTGTTATCGACATGACGCAAGAGCTACGACCTAATTCATTTATTGCGGTACCACCCGAACCTTTTGCCCTTCCAACGCGCGTAAGAAGGCGGTATGAGCCTCGTGGAAGGTCCGATAAGAGCAGTGAGCATTTGATGGACAACGGAGCACCTCGTGCGCCGCGTCAGCCCTGAAACGCGTGTCAGACATAACCATCTTGAAACTAGAAAGGTACACACCATTCGGTCCAAATGCCGACCTGATGTCCGATGGTAACCACGTAGAAAGTCCCCGGGGCCCCTTGCGCATGAGGTGGTGGGAGATGATACTCAGTGACCTCGGGAAATGGAGGCGACGGTGGTCTAGCAAGGGGAGACGACGGGGGAGAACGCCGCCTGCCTAGATTGAGACGTTCAACTCTAACCGCATCTTGTCGTTGGTCTTCACACAATTGATCCTGGCCGGAAGAGCGCCGATCGTCAATGGCTTGATACGCAGGCGGTGGTGTACGCTCAACAGACGTCTGAAAGGAGCGGTTATACTCGGACGAGGCGGGGATAGGAATATGCTGTGGCGTTGAATGATCCTGAACTGACGTCGAATGTCCAGCAACAGTGCGGTGATCCTCTCGCGGACGATCAAGGAAGGGGCCTGGGCGCAGCGAGGACGCCCTCGAACAATGAGCGGAGGAGACCTGGAAGGGGGCATGCTGAGACTCGGACGGTTCACGGTTGGGCGAGGCAATTGCTGCGCCCGGACCATAAGCCGGTCATTCTACGTTGGCGGCACCGCGAATCTCCCGCAGACGATCAGGGGAGAGGCATGGGCGCAGGGTCGCCGACCTCGAATGGTGAGTGGAGCAGCTGCGCCTCGACCGGGAGCGGGCCATTCTACGTGAACCTCCCGGGGACGACCAAGGAAGGGAATGGAGTGCTGCGTGGAGGTCCTCGAATGATGAGGGGAAGATGCAGGGAGGGAGACATGCTGAGATCCGGGACGCCCACTGTGAGACGAGTCAGTTGGTGTGCCTCGACCAGAAGTCGGCCGCTCAACGTCGACACCGTGAACCGCCCGTGGACGATCAGGGAAGGGACCTGGTCGCAGCGTGGGGGTACCCGAAGATTCTGCTAAGGCAGAAAGTGGGACTACAGGCGTGGGGTGCAGATACTCATATGGTCTGATGCCAAATTGCCGCGCTATTTCTCCGAGGTGGGCAGTCGGCCGTGGAGATCCTGTTGGCGACAGGAGAAGAGGGGGAAGCGGGGGCAAGGGCAAGCCGGAGGGAGAGGCAGATTGCAAAGACGCAAGCTCCATGTCACTGCCATTGGGGTCCTGCTCGGGAAGATCCGCAGCCTCGTCAACAGGTTCACTAAGCGGGAGAGCATAGAGGTCATCATCTCTGAATCCGGAGTTGGCAAACAAATCATCGTCATCGTGGTCCGACTGGCTGTGAACGGTACTGCTGTCACTGTAGCCTGAATTGCATGGTACCACGCCAGGGCCTGACAAAGGCAGCACGGGACAACGAGAATCCGACAGCGTTGGTCGCTGAAACACCACTGGGGCAGGCACGGCATGGGAAAGAATACTCCCGCATGATGTGCACACACGAGGGCCGTCGACGAGGGGACCACCGAAGCGGGCTTGATTCTCCTCATCTCTGTCATCGATGTCATGGGGCACGTCGACTCGCACGTGCTGGCTCGGACGTCCATGGGCGCCACCAAGGCGATTTGGCGGTGCCTCAACGGAGGAGTTTCCCTGCAACCTCGGAGGATCGAAAGCTCGTGGTGGGGCATTTCGAGGGGTGTCCTGGATTCCAAGAGCGCTGTCGTGCGGAACGGCGGGAACGCGGCCATCACGCAATCTGTGAGACGCAGAATAGCCATGTTGAACATGTGCATTGTCGCCTTGAGGAACAGTGCCTCGCGCGCTATGGGCATCAACGACGGGCTGGGCGCGCAGCACCTGGATGGGAGGATTGGCTTGCAATTTTCCTGTGGAGCACGGGAACACGAGATCTGGAGCCACACCGGCTTCATCCTGACTGAGGGCAAGACGGCTTAGGCTCTGCCATGCACATTCGATGGTGACGGGCTGTGTCCCTTGAGCCACGACGGGTGGTTCCGAATTTGAGCAAGACGTTGAAGCATGAGCCAGAGACGGAGCAGCAGCAGCAGATGGCGAGTCTTTGATCTGAGGTAGGTCATCTTCAGCGGCTTCAGCCGCACCGTGGCCATCGACACTGTATCCTGCTATGTTGCGTGTTGTCAAAGACAAATGACTATACGTGAGCAGGTACGACAGACCTTCTTCCGCGAGCATGCCGACAACCCAGCTAAGGCCATGACCAGCGTTTTCGCCTGACACCAAATCAGCCAGGGGCAGCTGGCACCCAAACCGAAATACGCACCGCCGCCAAGGTAGTCAATGAGCGCGCCGACATCGTGAACCGAATTCTCGTACAACGCAGCAAGGAGCGCCTCCCGGTTGCCTCGTGGAAGGTCTCTATACTGTCACAGAATCAGGCGGCTGCACGATACGAGGTTCAAGGCTTACCTGTTGCCTTCCACCCGTCATGCAAGCATTGGGAAGCGAAAGAGATTGGGGTGAAAGAGGCGCCAGCGGGGCTTATAACAGGGCATAACGAAGCAACGAAATGACGGGTGCCTGCGGTCGTGAAGGGTGGCGCGCGTACACTTTATTGAGTAAAAGAAGATTGTGAAGGCCTAACGGCCCGCCATATATGTTCCACGGTATGGCCGCCAGCGTAGCCAAGCCGTAATATTATCGTGATGTATGTGAAGAGACTGGAGATATTATATAAATTGGCGTACGGCGGAGACGCTGCACACCCATCAAGGCTGCGCCGTCAGACACTAAAACTTCGACAATCAGGTACAATAAGTAGCCAGGCGATTTGGCCAAACGCATGTAATTTGCGCATCTAGCTTGCTTCTCTGGTCCGTGTCATTTGCAACGAGGCCGGCTTTGGGTGCGCAAGTCACCAAAGAAGAGATTCCCACCGTATCGATGACATCGACTTCTTGAAGCTCTTATCAGAATGCTTTACCGCATCGGAAGAGAATAACATGAGCCCACCAGGCTGGAGTTCGACTAGGAGCCCCAGGTTCCACATGGTGGAGATGCCGCCCTTGCTGATGATCGTGGAAGGCGTGAACCGTGCATTGGCCATTGGCATAGTTCTTCATAACGATGCGGCTGCCGATGCTGAAGGTGACGGAGGCAACCGCCGAAGACTCCCGCAGGCCCGGGCTCTGTTCCGTAAGATCCGCTTGAGGAAGTTGAAAGTGACATGCAGAACAACAGCCTGCGTGTAGACCTTAGGGAAGGAGCATCAAGCCTAGGATCTAAGCTTGCGTTCGATATAAATTCGGTCAGTTATCAGGTTACGAAGTAGATCGTCGATACCTTTTGACTTTCTCACTGTCGTTGGCGCTATGTAATATGTTAATGCACCATGGGCCGTGTAAACGTATCTTCCGACCGCACCCCGCGCTGAAGCCTCCATTCACGCAGGCGAAACTTCCGCGGTCGCGCTTGAGCTTCTCATGAGCGCAGCCTCAGCCTCCACCATGTTGTGTTGTTGTCTCGATCTGGCCATACGATGGGATGCTGATAGGGCGTATTGTGTCGTAGCTCCATGCCTGAGGGTGCGGAGGCAAGGATAGCTACCACCTGTCGGTTGTGTCGTCCGAGCACTATGGTGTCGTGGGATCAAAAGCATGAGCTCAGGTCAATCCAAGGTACTCACTTGAATCCCTTGTACTACGCTGAGGGAGGAGCAACCTTGAAGGTGCGCCCTATCTTGTCGAGGCTGTGAAGCCGACCGAGCAGTTTCCCTTTGGAGCTTGGCCCTCTTCCCATCAGACTTCGTCACTGTAATGGCATAATCAGAACAAATAGTAGACAGCGACAAAGAGGAGCGAGTTTACAAGACAGGATCGCGGCGGTTGAAGGAACAAGAAGCGGAAAGTCATTGGCTACGACCTAAGACCAGCCATATCCACGCCACTTCTGCTTCAAAGCTTCATCACCGCCACCCGATGTACCTTACGCGCTTGCCCAGCAATCTTACCCCTCGCATTGCAGACGGGTCAAGCGCAAGTCGCTTGAATTTGGATCGACAAAGCTTTAAGCTAGATGAGCTAATGTGAGATCCTGAATGCTCGTTGATAAGCATATCAATCTCCCATGGTGGGGCCCATTGCTGCGGAAGGTATATTCGTTCTGGAGCCCTCAACCCCGGTCAAAAGTCGCACGGCGTGAGTCGGCGGTGGATAGCGCAGGGCGGCGATGTGATTATTTCGCCGGCGCAGAAAGGCGCGGCAATGCGAGGGCGCGTTCGGAGTTCCCGATTAGGTGCGGCCCTCTACTCTTTGGTACAACGTCCGTTGTCTCCTCGCTCTGAGCTGCTCGGTTCTCGTACTCTTTCAATCTACTCTCTGCAACTGTACAACGACAAGGAATCTCGCCTGATCACGTGTTCGTTTTTTTCTTTTCTTCTGAGAGTCGGAAGAGTCGACGAACTCCAATCGTCTCTTTGTCCTCGACCACATCCATCCCCTTCTGGCGACTATCGGCTCTATGTGACGGTTTGTAACCATGGTAACATTCTCTTCCCTCTATTGACCCATGGCTTATAGGGTGCATGTGAGAGAAGATTGTCGTGTTTACCGAGGTGCCTGTGCCAGCCCGCACGAGTCGTGTGGATGAAGGCACAGCTTCAGACACTTCCGGGGACGATATCGACGTGGGTAAGTACCCTTTGATGTCACACTGTGCACTGTTTGTAGCCCGGTAATCGTATAGCATATATTGTAAATTGCAATATATGCGCATTATAATAATATGTGGTGGAATAATCGAGCGGCGCGAACAGGCGCATATTGGCGGATCTCGTCTACGTGGGCTGCCGCCGTTTCGTGCTGCTCTGCGCCACACCACACTGCACAGCGCCGCTGCAGACACTTTCTTATTTCGCTTTTCCGGCGCCAGCGTGTTCGAGGCAGCGCTCAGCGGCGGAATTTGCGTGCACCGCTCCACGCTGCTCATCGCAGTTCTCCGCCGTTCCGCGCCGTGCGACTTTTGACCGGGCCTCAACATGCAACCAATGCCGCCACTGTCAGAGTTAGAGCGTACATAGTATTTTTGGTCTCACTTTCGTCAGCACGCTGTTCGGTGTTGCCCATTTCCGTGCACTTACCCATCAAGCAAGACGATCGGTACACCACCACGTTATAGCTATATTTATCATGAGTCTGTGCATAAGCTTACACTGTCGACCTGCGGAGTATGATCGAATGTACATCGATTACGACGAGTAGCTGTTGTTATAAAGCTCACGATCTCATCAGAGGACCATCGTTCTTCGAACGTGCCATGCATCCTTGCCCCTACATCCAGCATTCCTGCTTGATGGTGCGAGAGAAATGTTCCGTTATTCATGTTGCATATAGTCAATCCCGTAGCGTCGTGGTCTGACTGATACTCTACGGTGCGCCTAGTACCACTGGCCCACGACGACCGACTGCGGGCCGGTCAGTGGCAATCTGCCTCCCCTCAGAACTCCGTCCCTGAAGCCAGACAAAATCTCCGTGAATTCTGCGCCTTTAAATCGACATTCCAGCTACACTCAGAACAATAGAGAAAGGGCTGGATAACCTTGCAAATGCAGGTGGGCAGCCACGGAACGGATGCTCGTTTGTAGATGCGGAGGTCCAAAATTCTTGCTTCCCGGCAGGCTTCATACAAAATCAACACGGGGGCCGATGGTTCGGCAGCTCATTTTCATGCACCGACGCAACCTGACCTTAGGGCTAGCTAGTTGTTCGCACACCAAGTCCGCTCGCTCTATTACGTCCAGCACTCCAGCATGCGCATGTTGCAGTACGCACTCCCGTCGTCTACTATGTGAGCTTATCATGATTTCTCCTGGCTGCATCACTGAATTCTGTGCTAGATCACCATCGAGCGCCTCCGACCACGAAGTCGTGGCTTCTGACTGTTCCGTAGTTTTCAAAGCCCAGTGACCCCAGAAACTTCGCAGCGCCAGGACCTGACCGACTGAACGGAAGCCAAGTATGAGGACTAGGGTCGGCATTGGGTCGGGCATCGTTGGGGCTGTCAATTGCGACCTTGGTAATTAGGTAGCATTCCCTCCAGCCGCAGCATTGTGGGGAGGGCTGGGATGCTAGGGAAGAGGCTTGCGGCGAGCTACCTTCGTGCTTTCCTGCTATTAGACGAGGTCACGCTCAATTTCCCTCTTTCAGAAGCAGTAGAGCTCATTGTGGTACAGGTCCATCCAATGGCAGGCATGCGAAGCCATACTGCCCTTCCCCCCGCATACAAGCACATTTTGTGGAGCCCGGACCACGCCACCTGTCTTTGCGCCGCAACGTGTAACTCTGCACAGCGCGTGACGGTGGTGCCGAGTACGTACTATACTGTGCAAGGCCTATGCAACGCTGACTCTAGACTTCTACATCAGAATGCTCCCCTAAGGCGTGTCGCATACTATACATTAACGAGCACCTACGCTTCAGGCTTGACCACCATCCCCCTCCTCCCTCGATATGAAGAGAAAGCGTGGTGGCAATGGCCCCAAAATACATCTTGTTGCGCCCGACACTGCACATGAAATACGGGTGTCGCGGGACCAAAAAGGCCGTACCAAGCTCCGACACGCCTCCGTCGTCGTGCCGCCCGCAAGGCCGCTGCCCACGGCATCTCAAAGCAAGGATGTCAACGAAAGACAGACGCACACCAAGCCACCGTCTGTCTTCGCTGAACCTACGTCGGCAAAAGCCACTGGCGCTAAATCAAGCGCCAAAAAGCGGCCTGTCGCGGTGAGCGAAGCTCTTGATCAGGGTCGACTCATAATGCTGAGATTACATTAGTCCCAGATGGACTCGTGGATTCCTCGTCGTGATGACTACCTCAATCGTCTCATGGTGGCCGAAGCATCCGACCCCCGTCAGCTATTGACATGTCAATCCATCGTTAACGACGGCAAGGGGCCACCACGGATTTGCGGCAATGCCTCGCCACTTATTAGGTGCCGTGATTGCATTGATTGCAGCACTGTCGAGTGCAACGAATGCTGCTTGCAACGCCACAAGCGTCTCCCCTTTCACCGAATCGAGGTACGCTAAGTGTAAAGATATACACTTGAACTCTCACCTAATCAACAATCAGCGATGGAATGGGCGATATTTTGAAGACTACAGCCTCAACAGTTTGGGCTATGCGCTTCATCTATGCCGCTTTGGCGATGTGTGTGTCAACCCGAAGCCTGCTCACCCCGACTTCGTTGCATTCCATACCAACGGCTACCATCGCTTGCACGTCAACTTCTGCGGCTGCGGCACGGTTTTGAAGTATGAACAACTGCTCTCGGTTCGCTTATTCCCGGCCACGACAACGGAACCGCGAACCGCATTCACTTTTGACTTCCTGAATACATTCCATCTGCTCACTCTACAAGGCAAGCTTACCCTCCACGATTATTATCAGGCCATCATCCGATGCACCGATAACATGAACGATGGACCCGGCGTAGTGCGTATTTTGGCTGCCGCAGGTTTACGTCGCTCATGCCATCCGTAGTGGAGGTACCATGACGCTATTCTTGCGACGCGTCAGTGGCGGCATCTCAAGATGCTCAAGAGAGCAGGAAGGGGGAACGATCCGACCGGGGTGCACGGTACTCCTGACGGCGGGCTTGTTGTTGAATGCCCCGCGTGTCCGCATCCCGAACGTAATCTCCCTGACGACTGGCGAACAGACCCTCGGCAGTAAGCACAGACCAGCACTTTGGATCCTGATCGTGTCGCTCACAACTTCACAGGTGGCTGTATACTCAGTTCATCGGGCTCGATGCCTGCTTCAAGCTCAAACTCAAGGATCGTGGCCTCAGCGCTCTGCCTCTAGGCGACGGTCTTGCTTACTATGTCAAGGAGTCGGAGTACCAGCAGCATCTAAGTACATGCTCTGACGAAGTACAAGAGGTACGCCTGCTTGGTATTCCCTTGTCGCCGCCGTGGCCGACACCTTTTTATAGGCTGATATCGAGCCGTGTGACTCACATCACCATGCAGTGAGCCAGATGAACACCAAGAATAGCGGACGAAAAGTTCTAGTAACCGGGATTGGAGGGGCCGTATGCGTGTGACATTCACTAGTCAGAAAGAACGGTGTAGCCGATCTGACAAGGGGAGAGTGGTGTGTTGGTCCCTCTCTTTGTAACCCTACTGGCGCGGCTTCTAATGTCGTTCGGGCAGGCAGGTCACCATGGACTATATTTTTTGGTCAACGCTCCTCGGTTGCACCGTAGCGTTGATCATAGCTTCCTACGACATCGCCTGCTCGTGGTCTATTCATCTTATGGATCGACTGCAGCAGAACTACCCTTCCACGTGGGTTGCACAGTTTGTGAAGCTCGCGTTCATTTTCCTGCTACCGAAGATGCATATTCAAACCCACGGTTACAAATGTCGAAGGCTCTATGACTTTCAGCACACACCTCACGTCGGCTGCACGCACGCAGAAACGGTGGAGCAACTGTGGGCGCACCTTGGAGGAGTGGCAACTAGTATAGTCGAAATGGCCCCAGCTGCTTGACGTGTTACCCTCGAGGACCACATGGGCAACTGGAATCATATGATGAAGATGAATATGGGTAAGCTTCATGTGTAAATCACCGACTGTGTTTATCTGAGTGTATACGCAGGCCTCAATATGTTTCGCTCTCTCACGGAAGCCCTAGACGAGAGAAGCAAACATCGACAACTTTTTGAGGAGCTTGACGCTACTTTCGATCGGCCGACGGTGGGAAGATGGGCTAAGTTAGTGAAGGCCTTTGAGCACGACAAGAAGGAGGGAAAAGACCCCTATGCGGAGCCCGAGCTGTGTGAGTCACGAAGTTTGGTCCTCTAACTGCCTCAAATTAACATCCATCGTGCAGCGCAGACATATGATCAAGTCCGAAAAAAGCTGGAACAGGAGGAAAAAGCCTCAATGGACCCATCCGAACCGGATCATGACGTCTCTCCGTCAAAATATATACAACGCGCTTTGAAACTCTTGGACAGGCGGTATGTAAGGTCTTGCAGGTGGTTGTACTCAAGCTAACCTATCCCTAGCCGCGCTTTGAAGCAGGAGATGGATTTGCAACGGGCGGAACATCACCGAATAGGGCCTGATCTGCAAAATAAGCGCGAGGCGTTGGAGCGCGACGTCAGGAAACTGGAGGACATCACACCTGTGTACATGCCGTGCATCGCGATGGTACCGTCGGAAGTTGCAGACCAAGACGCTTCGCCCTTGAAGGCCAGAGGCATGGGCTTCATTCATCTCCCTTCCTCGCTCGAGTCCGACAGCCTCAGGTCAACTGGGTGTATACGAGATCTTGCCGATACCGAGTGCCAGATGCGCATCGCGGAAGCAGCCGACACCCTCCAAGCGATCTGTAGGATGCGACGGTCATACATGGGGCTCATTCACAAATACAAGGTCAACATATCTGGGACGACCTCCGCAAACACCCGATCACATGCTATTCGGCGGAGTATTGCTCGCAAGATCCGCCTTCTGGTCCTAAAGTATCGCGACGCGTGGCGCGCCCTTTTGATACTCAGCCCCGACGGGAAGTGGAAGACCTTTCTTCATGAGCTTCACAATGACGATGTTCGTGGCCCTTACCCAGAGGAAAACGAGAGCGAAGGACGCCGCGAAGACTCCTGGATTTGGCGCTCGCGAGGACACGTCGTCCGGCAGGCTCTCATGCTCGACACTTCCTCTGGCGATTGCGCGCTCAATCCTGACGAAGAGCTTGATGAAACGATGCTATATATGTGGGCAGGTGCTCGTGCTCGTGCGCTTCGATGGAGTGAAGAAGTGCAGCTCCTGGCGGAAGAAATGCGGCGTGTCGTTGCATTCCTCCATTGGCAGGCAGACACATGGGAGTCCAAGAAGGGTGCCCGCTCTCGCACTGATGCAGCCATCCCATGTACTCCAGACACATCTCGTGGCGCAGACTGCTACGCTTTCCGCCAAGCCGATCTTTGTCGTGCGCTCGCGGCCGCTTTCGTCCGCCGATGGAAGCCGTTATTGTTTAGGGCCGGCCTCGGACAGCCGTGGATCTCTCGATATTCAACAACCCAATCGAAGACCGCAATTGTTCCCCAGGTTTCACCTGCGTCCCAAAGGACGGCATCCTCAGAGGATGCGGAGCTTACACCAAGTGCTGTTGCAGCGGGGAAGCAACGGGATGTAAATGTTGCGGAGAAAGAAGACGGACCGGATGCCGCTGAGGGGCAGGGAGAGGAGGAGGTCCAGGAAGACCAGGATGGCGAAGAGCACATGGAGAACGGCGAGGATGGAGAGGAAGGGGAAGGAGATGTCGCTACCTTGGACGCTATGGACTACAGCATGTATCTTACAACAGACTGATTATACCATACGTTTGCAGTACAGTTAAATGAACAGTTTTCAGTGCAGGCTGTGCATCGTATGTCCGCTTTGATTACATAATGCAGTCACGTGCGAAACCACAGACATAAGTCGCGGCGCCAGCTCATCCATTCCTTCACCACGTCCACCACCTTCCCTTCCACAAAGCGCTGCATTTCCACATTGCTCTGTGCCTTGCCCTCTGCTATACGCGTAGCCCCAGGATGACATTATGGCCTACATGATTGCCCCATGGCCCTCAGGCCTATGCCTTGCAGCGGTGCGGTTGGATATGGACTAAGGTGCGTGCACCTATCTATCTCATTATGTATCACTCAACTGACGCCTTCATATAGTCCTTCCGAAATCCGTGAATTACGAGTATCTTTTAACTGCGCTCTGCGCTCTGCGCCATGTTATGCGCTCAGCCTCAGGACGACCTTCGACCCTTCGGCTTATGGTACCGCCTTCAAGGCCTATGCTTTGCCACGTCACAGTCTGATATGGGTTAAGGTGCGTCTACCAATCTCGTTAAGTCTTATTTGACTGACAGTGTCTTCATAGTCACACCAATACATATGAATACCGACCATGCCTCAACGGCGCTCAAGCATGCCCACCCGTCATGCCTGTGGGTGAATACTCTGTACTTGGCGCGCTCCCACTAACGCCGTATCTCAGTTGAGTTTGAACACATCCCGACGGCCAGGTCGTCACCTTGCGTCGGCACAGCTACTGTGCCTGCTGAACATATCAGTGCTCGTCCCTCTGAAGAACGGTGTCAAGTCCATCCGGTCCCGGTCCATGGAGCTGGCAACAATCGGTATGTATATCAGTCGCGTCATCATCTACAGAGCACTGATCCTACATGGAACATCTAGTTCATCAGTGGGGCTCCGTCGTCTAGTCCGGTTGCGGTTGGAGGAGCAATATGGAGGTACAACGCGAGGTCAGTTCATTAGTCATTTATCTCTCTCGGTAACAATACTTATCCGCTTGATTAACTAGATCTCACATGTGATTTGGGTGGCATTGGCAGTACGCAGATACCGCTGAACATGTCGTTCCAGTAGGTTCCCCAAGCTCTCAGTAGTCAATCAATTAGTGACGGATTGGTGAAGGTTGCCTGGTCTGGTTCCATGTAACGTAGAGTAGCCAGTCCTGTGCTCGGACCCCCAACAGCCGCCTGGTCCATTACGTGCATGGCGGGCGGTGTTGCGGCCGCCGTCGAGGGCAAAGGTGCCCCGCGGGCTGTCACTGTGGGCCGGCCGTTGACGACGGCCCTTGCGGTGGTCATTGGTTTTGATCACCGCTGTCACTCGCCGACGCCAGGTCCCCCTCGGACCACAATGCCCACAGCGGTCCCCGTTGCTGCCGCCTTCCACCTCAAAGATGCCCTGTGGGCGGGTCGTTAACGACGGCCCACGATGCCCGCAGTAGTCCCTGTTGCCGCCACCTTCCACGTCGAAGATGCCCCGCGGGCAGGCCGTTGACGACGGCACTTGCGGTGGTCGTCGGCTTTGATCACCACCGTCACTCGCCGACGCCAGGTCCCCCTCGGACCACAATGCCCATAGCGGTCCCCGTTGCCGCCACCTTCCACGTCGAAGATGCCCCGCGGGCAGGCCGTTGACGACGGCCCTCACGGTGGTCGTCGGCTTTGATCACCGCTGTCACCTGGCGACGCCAGGTCCCCCTCGGACCACAATGCCCATAGCGGTCCCCGTTGCCGCCACCTTCCACGTCGAAGATGCCCCGCGGGCAGGCCGTTGACGACGGCCCTCGCGGTGGTCGTCGGCTTTGATCACCGCTGTCACTCGCCGACGCCAGGTCCCCCTCGGACCACAATGCCCACAGCGGTCCCCATTGCCGCCACCTTCCACCTCAAAGATGCCCAGTGGGCGGGTCGTTGACGACGACCCTTGCGGTGGTCGTCGGCTTTGATCACCGCCGTCACTCGCCGACGCCAGGTCCCCCTCGGACCACAATGCCCACAGCGGTCCCCGTTGCTGCCGCCTTCCACCTCGAAGATGCCCCGTGGGTGGGTCGTTGATGACGACCCTCGCGGTGGTCGGTGACTTCATTCACCGCTGTCACTCGCCGACGCTAGGTCCCCCCCGGCCCACGATGCCCGCAGTAGTCCCTGTTGCCGCCGCCTTCCACGTCGAAGATGCCCCGCGGGCAGGCCGTTGACGATGGCCCTCGCGGTGGTCGTCGGCTTTGATCACCGCTGTCACCTGGCGACGCCAAGTCCCCCTCGGCCCACGATGCCCGCAGTAGTCCCTGTTGCCGCCGCCTTCCACCTCGAAGATGCCCCGCGGGCAGGCTGTTGATGACGGCCCTCGCGGTGGTCGGTGACTTCATTCATCGTCTCGGCGACGGCGGTCCCCCTCCCCGAGACCACGGCCCCGGCAACAGTGGTCCCGCCACCCGCCGTCACTCAGTGACTGCAAACCCGACCACGCCGCTCACAGGTTGCGGCCGCCCTCCACGGCAAAGACGGATGACAGCATTACTGTGCAGGCTATTGAAGCAGCCAGGCCGCTGACATCGGCGCCGGCTGCCGGCCAGTCCTCTGTTGCGGTTGACAGCTACCCTACGAGATCACGTGATTCTGCCATGGATGCGGCATGTTCGTGATAGCGTAGGTTGTATTTGTGCCGGAGGCTTACATACTCTTCGGAAGCTGTACAGGTTCCTTGTGTGTGGAGTCTGACCCGTGTGCCGGTGTACTCGCGTAATCGCTGTATCTCGCGTTACTAGATATTTTATTTGCAGTCGATGTACACGGATGGGGTGTGCCATTCACGTTCACGTGGAGGTGTGGTGGCTTCCCTGCGCTTTGGAAACCCTGTACGCGTCATTGTGGTGCCTGTGTACACGGCACATGAGCCTGTACAGGGTGGGTACATCCAGAGTCCATCTTTGTACAGGAAACAGCCCGTGTTGTCTTCATGATAAAGTTTACAATGCCAGCTGATTTTCTTCGGGCTGGCTGTACCCAAGTGGCACCCAGCATTGGGCGTCTGCCCATTCCCGAGCGCGAGCCGCCAACGTGGTCGTGCTCGGCGCTGCTTCCACCCCCGCCCCTGCCGTTCGCCCAGCGCCGAGCGCGAGCCGCCAATGCGGTCGCGCTCGGCGTCGCCTCCTACCCTCGTGGCCCCCCTTCGCCCGACGCCGAGTACAAGCCGCCAACACGGTCGCGCTCGGTGTCGCCCCCGTCCTCGCCCTTGCGCTCCCCTTCGCCCAACGCTGAGCGCGAGCCGCCAACGTGGTCGTACTTGGCGTCGCCTCGCCCCCTCGCCCCTCCTTCCCACAGCACCGAGCGCGAGCCGCCAACGCG